TATCCGTATATACCATCGTGCTACAGCTCTCTTCGGCCGACCACGCTCCGTCATCGCACTGCGCGGCTATTGTCAGTGGCTGACGTACATGTGTACATGGCTGCAAGTTCTATAATGCAATGACAAGAAAAAGAAAAAGAGAAGAAGGAGGGGAGGGGGTGGGGGAGTGTGGTGTATATAGTAAAAACCAAACAAAAGAAAACAAACCTACAAATCACCTTTATCATTCAGACATTCATCATGTTCCGTGCCCGAAAGCGTGGAGGGAGGGGGGGGGTGGGGGTATGTTTACTAGTATTATTTATTGTATTAGGGGTAAGTGTGGGGGGGTGGGGCTGTCAATGTACCAGAGCGTTAATGGCAGCGTGTCCGCTGTGAGTTCGGGGTGGTTTCTCGTGTTTTTTTTGTGGGGCCCCACATGAAAAATTTTACGCTATCTTGTGTGTTTGTTTTTTAATACTCTACCCCGGAGATTTTTTTGTTCCCCCCCCCCTCATGTTTTTTTTTTTTCCGGGAGGCGCCGCCCCAAAAGGGCATTTTTGGAGGGTTCTTCAAAAAAGGCCGGAATCTCTTTTCGTCATCGATAAAAATCTCTCTCCGGATTTACTCTACCTAGGGGTCTNCNNAGTTTTTTCCTCTCAAAAAGGNNCCCAATTTTTTATAAAAGGGGGGGGGAATTTTGTGGGGNNCCGCAAAAAAACTCCCCCCTTCCCTTTTTTTTTTTTTTTTTTTTTAAAAAAGGGGGAAAAAAGGGGGGGGGGCCCTTTTTTTTTTTTTTTTTCAACAATTTTTTTTTTTTTTTTTAAAAAAAAAAAAAAAAGGGGGGGGGGGGGGGGTTTTTTTTTTTTTTTTTTAAAAAAATTTTTTTTTAAAAAACCCCTTTTTTTTTTCCCCCCCCCCCCCTTTTTTTTTTTTTTTTTCCCCCCAAAAAAAAAAAAAAAAAATTTTTTTTTTTTTTTTTTTTTTTTAAAAAGGGGGGGGGGGGGGGGGGGGGGAAAGGGGGGAGAGTCTAACCACGACTCTAAAAGATGTCACAAGAGTAGAGATAATAGAGACCCTACCCAACTTTATCAGTAGTTCAGTCCACCCACCCATTCAATTTGCTGCTGCTCATGAGCGACAGTTTTAGTATGGCGCCCCAGCATCCTCCCTCGTGCTAAGCACTCGTTCGGTTACTTGGCTTCACTGGCCCATCCAACAATATCAATACCACTCCTGCCACACTTTCGATCCACCTTGATATCAGACAGACCACTGGCATCGTCCAAATACCGATGATTGCTCATGCCGCCCGCATCGGCTCGCTGTTGGGGATCCATCTGCAGCATTGGCAGCAGAAAGCTGGCCAGCAACTTGGCCTCCTCCTTGCTATGGTTGTATTTCTCATGCAGAACTGCCTCCAGTGGCCAGTCCTTCAGCTTGGAGATCTTCTTGAGCTCGCCCTTGTCGTTGAAGTACTCTGACGTCCATTTGCCGGTCTGCAGCACGCTGGTAGGGATCTTGCCGAGCAACTCGATGATCTGCGCAATGTGGTCGTCGTCCTTGGAGTACTTGGAGCCGGTCTGGGGCTCGAACAAATAGTCGCCGGTCAATAGCTCAAACACCAAACACGACATGGACCAGATATCGCTGCTGGCGCCCCAGAACGAGCCCAGCAGCACCTCGGGTGACCGGTACTGTCGCGTCTGGATGTCGTTGGTGAAGTGATGCTCGACCCAGCACGCGTTGCCGAGATCGACGATTTTGACGCTGATGAGCTCCTCGGCCAGCGCGGTTCTCGGCTTGGTGGGCGATACCGATGTGGGGCTCTTGGACAGCTGGTTGCTGGTCTTTTTCTCGTGGTCGTCGTCGAGTCGAACCTCCTCCACCATCTTGGTCATGGTGAGATCGTTGAAGAAGGACGCGTTGGAGCGCAGAGGAGAAGGGAGTGGCTGGGAGCCGGTGATGAGAGATTGTCGTCGCGATCTACGACCGGTTCTGGACCCGGGTTTGGTCTTTTTCGTCTCGACCGCCGCGCGATCCTCCTCCTCGGCCAGCTTAAGCATCTTCTCCACGTCGCCAATCTCAATGAGCACGTTTTCAGGTTTGAGGTCGGTGTGCACAATGCCGCATTCGCGGTGCAGGTAGTCCAGGCCCAGCAACACCTGCTTTGTGATCTGCTTGACGAGCTTGACGGGGATGCCGGCAAACTGGTGTCGTCGAATGAGACCCAGCAGATTTTCGCCCAGCACCTCAAACACCATGCAGTAGTGTGTGCCGTTGGGGCCCACGTGCTTGAAGCTGTCGTACAGGCCCACGACATGGGCCTTGCCTGGATGGTCGGGGTTCTTGCTGCTCACCCGCTCCAGCATTTTGATTTCGTCAATGGCCGTCTCTGTGTAGTGGGAAGCCGACCGCACCACCTTCATGGCCACGTGGCGGTCGTTGTTCTGCGTATCCCGCGCGAGCCACACGGTCGAGAAGTGTCCCCAGCCCAGCTTGCGCACAATCACGTAGCGGCCGTTGGCAAACTTCTCGCCGATCTTCACGGGATGGTAGCCTCCGGGACAGTAGTCGTCCAGCGACTCTTCGTTTTTCTGCAGCACCTCGTCCTCCGAGTCGCTGAGGTCCGTGTTGACGGTGAGTTTCGACATTGTGTGCAACTGGATATGTGATGATGGTCGGTGTTTGTGTCGTATAACCACGGACGAGTACTTTTTTTCTGGTGGATTTCGTCTCGACTAGGCTGGTTAAAAGTGTTTGGTGTAAACTCGGGGGTGTTGTGCTGTCGCGCTGTTTATGTAACGTCGGTTTGTGTCTGCGTCACGTCGTCTGTGTCTCCAACTGAGGGTCGCACGTTCAACTTGTATCAGTATGTCGTCTGGTCAAGTCGTCTCAGAGTACGAGTTCACTAGATATCGCCAAACTTGTTTTGATTTTAAAGTTGCGCATGCATGGCGTGCTGTGGAGGGCCTTGAAGGGGGTCCAAAGAGGGACTTGTAGACGCGCTAGAGACAGAGAAAACCCGCCAAAATACTCGCCTAATTTTTCTCTCCTGATTTCTCTTTTCAGAATCGCGCTGGGACCCCCACAGCCCATTCTAAACACACTCTCCTGCAGGTGCGGCAATCTACCCTCCAACACGATAAGATGAGCTCATGTTCATAACACCGGTTGTAGAGGCCCAAAAGCGGCGGAAAAACGGCTTTTCCAGGTCAATTGCCAATCGGAGCCCATTGCCGGAGATTTCCGCCCCGCCATTTCTTCCCCAAGTCCCCGCGTAACCCTCAGCCCTAAGTACATCCTGTCACGACCCACTTACCCTAACAGAAAACACATCCCAGCCACGCATACCCCATGCATCCACAATGGCAACCCTCCCACATACGAGCAACTCGGCGCGCTTCTTGAGATTAGGAGATAAGCCAGAAAGAGCGGGACAAGTCCGTTGGGGTGGGGGGATAAGTGTGTGGAGGTCACGTGACTCCTTCCGATGGGTGTAATCTGTATATTTTTGACGACTCTCATGCGGGAACATGGTGGTATTGCACTTGGAGAGTATATATACCCTGCTATACAGGAGAGCAAGAGAGAACAGTTGTACTACAAGTGGCACAACCAGCGGTACTTGTACTCTGTAGAACTCCGATTGCACAATTTCCACATGTACCTGAGAGAAGTACCATCTGCCTCTTGTCTCGGCACTGGCTGGTGTCTTTTGTTGTTTGGGTGACGTGTTTCAGATGTCTTGACGAGTACGAGTACGAGTATGTACGAGCGAGTACAATACACTTGGATACGATGTGATATCGGGCAGAATTAGAAAAATCGTGATTTTTTGGAAAATCGAGTAAAATAGATTGGAATCGGGAAAACCCCCGATTTGATAAGAGTCGATTTTATATATATATTGAAAATTGAATTGCACAGGTTTCGAGCAACGCGGCCATTTTGACCCCTTTCTATACCAGTTGTTTGGAAGGCCTATATGGTCAATATTGGAATAAGATGTTTTTTAGAGATGACAATTACGTCATATTGGAGGAACATAAAAAGGCGTATGCAACGGACAGAATGGTGGCTCAACAAACTAGAAAAGACTATGGTTGGAATCAACAAATCAATAGCTCTCGATCGGTCAAAAAATCATCGTCATTTTGGCAAAACTGGCCTCATTAGAAGCCCTCTCCAATCCCTTGTCTCATGGCAAAAAGTAACGATCAGTTAGTAAAACTTTTACTACAGTACAGTACCTGTAGTGTGACCTGGGTCAAAAAAAAAGATGGAGGTAACAAACAGAGCGGGTGTCAAGTCTACAAGTGCATTATTGGAACGGAAAAATTCCTTAAATGGGCATTTCTGGCTACTATACATACATCAGTCGTCTATCAAATAGCAACGAATCTATCTCACGCCACAGAGGAGATATTGGAAATCTGACAAATCCGTCCTTCTTTTCATGCCCATTTCAATCAGTTTATCATCTCTCGGCGTGTCCTTAGCCCTCTTATAAGGTGCTGTTTGTTCGTCACCATCAGTCAGCTTTCAGTTGGATACTGAACGAGTATGTACTGTACCGTAGAAGAACATCCTGGGGTAATATTGGCCAACTGACTCTTTCAACCAACTCCGAATCTCATCTAATCCACTTCTGACTCTTTCGTTACCCTCCAGCTCACTTATTCGTCTCACAACCTCACCCGTTCTCTTTAGCAGAGGTACTCCTTCAACTCCAGAATACCATATCAAGAGCCATATATTTCCATATCCAATGGTATCATTTGCACGTCTCCCAGATGCCCATACCGCCAGTTAATCGCATGTCATCAACAGTCCAGATCCATGACACCCCCAGCCCATGTATGACTAAGCAGGTGGCAATCAATACCACTCAACTCATCTGTGGGCCCTAAAAACTCCATCTCCCCCTCTTGTAGAGCCGATAATGACCCCCTTCACTCCGCCTTTTCGCATACTCTTAACCTCTATGTGCATGCACATCGCCACTTAACCTAACTGTAGTGACACGATCCAGCACCACTCAACCACTCAACCACACAACCGCAATCACAACGACAATGTCTCCAATCGCATCTCTGGAAAGCGCATACAAGGCCGGCGACTACGAAAAGGTGGAGCAGCTGCTTCTGCCCCTTAAGGTGGACATGGCCAAAAGCGGGCTTCTGACGTCGCCCAACTCGTCTGGTCATTCAAAGGCGGACCTGGAGGCAGCTCGAACGGCGCTCGAGATTGGCGCTCTGTCTGCCGTCAATCTGGGCAAAGAGGCCGAATTCACCAGGTTTGTGGCGCAATCGCGGCAGTTTTATGGCATCCAGGGTCTTTCTGCGTCGCCCCACGAGTCCAAGATTGTGGCGCTCTATCTGCTGCTGCTGCTGTCGCAGAACGAAATTGCGCAGTTCCACACCGAGCTGGAGTCGTTGGACTTTGACACGGTGGAAAACGACAAGTTTCTATCGTTCCCCATCAAGCTAGAGAGATGGATCATGGAGGGAGCCTACGACCGGGTGTGGAAGGCCATCACCAACAAGGACGCTGTTCCCAGCTCCGAGTTTCTCTGTTTCGCCGACCCTCTAGTATTTGCCATCCGGGGTGAAATTGCTTTGTGCGCCGAAAAGGCATACACCTCGCTGCCTCTCAACAATGCTCGACATTTGCTGTTTTTCGACTCGGACCAGGGCGTGGTGGACTTTGTGCAGGAGCAGCCTGGCTGGGAGATCCACGGTGAGCGAATCACCTTCCCGGGTGTTATCAGCGAGGACGCCACTCTGAATAGCAGAAAGGTGACCGAGAAATTGATTGGAAACTCGTTGGAGTACGCCAAGGAGATGGAGCAGATTATCTAAGGGAGCGACAAATCGGAGATACGATACGGAAACAACAATCTATCGGTACAGTACCGGTTCGGGCGAGGATCTCAGTGTCACTACCATCTGTGATCTGGCCTGACCATGATGAAGTATGAATTGTTCTAGATGATGCATATTATAATGAGCAGAAAGTGTGTAGTGATAGTACGGTACGTGTATTGAATGAGGAAACCGCCGTCTCTCATCTAGTGTCCTTCTAAGGTGAATTGTCGTAGGGCGATGTACATACGCATGTTGTAGGTCGACTGTTGTACTTGTGGTCACGTCTCACTCGACTGTCTGGGTTTTATTACAAATAATTGATGTAAACAAAATGGGCAAGACCAGTGCAACAGATTGATACTACTTGTATCTACTTATCCATGGAATGTCTGTGGATCGTGATAAGGGTCGTTTGAGGTGATGGAGGATTAGTTGACCCAAGTCACATTTTACTTGAGTTTACTTGGGTATTGTAACAACAGCCGTTGTCTAAATAAAATGGCGTCACGGAAATAAATGAATGTATATGCAGAAAAAACCCAGTATCAGCGTATTCTCTGATCTCGGGAGGGTACAATGTGTGTTTCACTACTGAGAGTGCCTAGTAGGAAAATGTCCAGGGCGCCCTTCTTACCTAATTCACCAGCTACAGCTCAGAGGCCTGCTGCTATCTTGATCATAATGCATTAACCATTTCCTTAGTGTATTGAATTGCTGACGATACTGCACAGTCATGACCCGTTATGAGATGTAGGAGAGTACTCGTAGTCTCAGCGACGGGCTTGACTACGTTCGACGCACGACTTGATCGCTGAAGTAGTTCGCAGTAGCCACCGTCTACGGCCCAAGAGACCCACGGAACATTGCGCCCAAGTCACCGACCACCGAAGGTCCTGTCACAAGACTATGTCTCGTCTTCCCAGGAGAGTAGTCTAGACAACCCATCAAATGAGTTTGCGAAGGAGGTCATCGCCGAAATCACCCACCTTGCAAATATACGCGGCGTTGTTCACCACGCCCTTGTTGAGCTGGTCGGACTTGTCCAGCTCGGTGCACTTTTCCAAAAAGGCGAGCACCTTCTTTCGCTGGGCCTCATCTAACTTGGCAGCATGAACACCGACAACGGTGGTGATTCGCATGGTTCGGGGGGTAATGGGCCCGGCCAGCCCGTCGATTACATGGTCAAGCATGTCTCGATCCATATCCGAGCAGTATGAAAGGGCGGTTTGTAGTACAGACTTGATATGAGCGTCTGCTTCATTTTTGTAAAACTGGGCTCCCAGGGTCTTCAATAGAGCGTCAGTGTCCTTGTCAGAGACGTGTTTGACGACATTGAGCAGAATCTGGGCTCCCAAAAGTCTCAGTTCGGGAATGTAAGGGAAAGCCAGCAGATTGGTAAGTCCTTGTTTGAGCAGTGGACTAGCTGCCAATTCCACACAATAATCCTTCTTGTTGGACGCCAGTTTGAGGAAGTGGCCTCCCGACTGCAACTGGTCCGTGTACTGGCCAGTTTGGAGCAGAAACAGCGACTCTTCAATCAGATGCGGGTACTTTGTCAGCACAGTGGCCAGATCTGACTCATTAGTAATCAGAGTACTAGTCACCGCAATCCAACAGGAGGGCCCAATTCCGGCCAATTGAGGGTCCCAGAACTTGAGATCTTTCAATTGGTACACAAACTCGAGCTGGTTCATGTTGATACCTTCCGAAGCACACACCAGAGCGGTGTAGAGGGCTCTTCTGAGATCAAGAGGGGCCAAAAGAGCGTCATCGGGATTGTCCTGCGATAAATCCACTACCAGCTTGTACAGTTTGTCAAATTCCACCATCTTTCCTGTTTCCTCGTCGTTGACCATGACCAGAAGCAGCTCTGTGGCTCCCGGAACATTGGAGTCTTTCTGGGTACAATTCAGCAGATATTGGTAGACCGCCGCGAGGATTCTGGGGTCCAGTTTTAGTCGACCAATCACCCACATTTGCAGCATGGTCAGCAGAGTGCCTATCGATACAAAGTCGGTATCTGTCAGGGTTTCAAACAGCAACACCAGTCCCTGGGTGAACTCCTGACTGTGAACCAGTTCCTCCTTGACGTCGGGGTCTTCGCCATTGGCCCAGTTGAAGAGCACTGCCGAGTAGAAGGGAAGGGCCATCGAGTTCTTAGTCTTCACCAATGAGCTCATGTAGTGTCTGAAGGAGTCCTGGTTGAGCCACACGTCCAACAAAATGGCTCTATTGACCTCATTTTCACTCACGCAGTTGCCGATGATGCGTAAGTAGGACACAACAATGAGGTTGTCGGTGGATGCGGGTAGATCAAACACCTCGCAGATCTCAGGAAGCACCTTGCCAATGTCCGACTGGTACTTTGTGTCTCTGAGAGTGACTGACAGTTCCGAGATCTGCTCGGCAGATCCGACGGAAAGAACGCCACTTTTGCCGATCGTTTGTAATGCTTGCCTGGGGTCCATTGAAGAGTGTCAAAAGGGTGTCGGAGTCGTTTCACAGCTGATACGGTCCGCTTCTCACAACTGCTGAGTGTAGATTGCTGTGCCAGGACACTGGGCAACTTTATGCATGCACCAGAGATGGGGGAGGGGTCATGTGCTGGGGCGGTTACGGCGTCCTTGAAGATGATTGGAGGGCACAAAACGACATGAAACGGGCTGGCGAGTCCATTAAAGGCATCGCCAAGGCCCCAGCTGCTCTACAGGGCCCACAAAACTACACTTGCTCCGATTCTCCATATGCACCCCCTCATAAGTTTAAAAGAGGCGGAGAAAACTGGCTGGAGGTGAAGAAGGGACAAACAGCTGATTTTTGTTGAAGCTGGCCGGGCAGAAAAACCCGCTTGGTTTTGGTAGCCGGATTCAGGCGGAGGATCGGCCCGCCATCTACACAGGTTATGACCACAGGTTACGAGCGGGCGATGTTGACCCGGTTCAGTCTTTTTCGAGCGTTTTCCTTGGTTTGGGTTTTTCAGTCTCACCAGTATCAATGCAAGTTTGTAGAATAAAAAATAAATAAGGAAAGACAAGAAAATAAAATAAAACAAAGAAAATCAAATAAAATCAAACAAATCAAACAAATCAAATCAAATCAAACCAAACCAGATAAAATCAAACCAAAAAACAAAACAAATCAAATCAGATAAAATAAACCAAATAAAATCAAACAAATAAAATCAAACAAATGAAATCAAATAAAATCAAATAATATCGTTTAATACTCACAAATCGGTTCGCCCTGTAGCATATATATTAACGTTTCGGTTAGGACAAAATGGAGGAAAATAACAAGTCGGGCTATCTTGCTCAATATTGATCCTGGAAACAATCTGAGTGAACAATTACGATAAGCAAGCCCCAGCAATCCTTCTGATATCTTTATGGCCCCGATTGAGCCAATATCAAGCCCAATAACTGGACCAACCTACCCCACCCACACAACCCTAATTTACCAACACGTCACGCGTCATACATTAGGTATCTACAGCACATCACTCTTGTCCGACAAACACACACACCAACCCAACACACATCATGACCAAGGCCACCGAAACCGCTTTTTTCTTTGTGGCTCTAATTGCCGTGTACGCCGCTCTGTGGTTCGGCTTCATTCCTGTCGGCGAGAAGATCCGACAGGAGATTGTGCCTCTGCTGCCTTTCTGGACCATTGTTTCGTTTGGCTCTTATTCTCTGGGTACTCTGGGCTGGGATATTCTGTCCTTCAACGACAAGCCCGAGAAGTACGCCGAGCTGAAGGAGGTGAGTAGGAGAGGAGAGGTGACAAGGTTGCATTTCGTTGCGAATATGTGCAGTGCAAGTGTGACGTCCTGGATGGAGATGAAGTGCCGGAGTGGATACGGAGTATCACTATACCAGAGTCGTGCCATTGTGTGTGATTTTGAGAGGGTTAAACTGTGGTGACTTGACAGCGCTCTTAATGACAAGTGCTGACTGCTCGAATCAAATATGGCAGACGTGCCATGATCTGATTATGGCGCGTGTTTACGAGGCCTGTGGCTCTCAGACGTGACAGTGGTAAGACAATCACTATAGTACAAGCCCTTGAGTGGTCAGACTCCTCACCTGCCCAAAGTCCAGTCAACGACAACTACAAGTTCTAGGTGACTCCCGACTTTCGAATTCGGCCTCCCCTCGTCTCATGTTCCCTACTAACCCAGCAAATCAAGCTCGCAAAGGCCGACCTCAAGTCCAAGGGCGTGTCTGTTTAATATAGAAGGATAATACACGAGCATCATCAGCGACGCGGATCGTACTTACCACAATAGAGTACAAATATCGAGTATTGAGACGTGTTTACTCCGAATTTTGTATCTACACGACACTCTGAAAAGTTGCCGAAATAATAAAGATGGCACGAAGCTCTTGAATGAGTCTTTTATCGTATCACAGGGACAATACGACGAGAAGTCCAATATGTCCGAAATGAACCATTGGCCTTGTAGAATGGGATTTTGAAAGGAAAACAGACAAGAAAAGACAATCCATGAATTCTACAGGGTTCCACGACATTCCAGGTATCTCTTTTGATCCAAAACCCCCCAAATTCCGCTTCTCACATTCAACAACCCGATCTCCACGCCAAACCACGACTCGTACGAGTAAAAGTCACTCCAGGTGACTGACGAAATGTGCATCTTGATCGTCTCATCGAGCTGCTTCCATTGATGTAGGCCATGGTCCTTACGTTCCTCAGCCCAGTGTCACGACCGCCTGGTTCCTTACACCAGTACCACCTACAGCCCTACACTAATAGTCTATAAATCTATTGTTATGTTGAAAGTCTCGGTATGCTCTCGTTGTCACATTCTATAACACTGTAGTTAGAGCGTCTTGATAGCAGCCTTGGAGACCGTAGCATCCAGTACGATAGTAACGGACAATGCTGGGATGCGGCCGTGGGGGCAGAGCCAGTCACGTGACTTTCCAAACGCGCACAGGTGGACGATGCAAGTCTAGACCATCATTTTGTTGTTGTTGTTGCTGTTGTTGTTGCTGTTGCTGTTGTTGTTGCTGTTGCTGTTGCTGTTGCTGTTGCTGTTGCTGTTGTTGTCTTCAGACTAAATGCCTGCTAGGGCTTTGGCCATTCGGTTGCAAGTGGTTTTAGGCGGTGGCCTGCTGCTGTTGTGCAGCGCCACCTCCCATCTCCTGCAACTTTTTGGCCTGTTTCTTCTTTCGCAGTCGCTTCTCAGTATCCAGGAACACCTTGATAGACACGTCAACGTCATCCCATTCATCCTTAGCCTCGGGGTCATTGGCTCGATCTGCCGGTGGGGTTCCAAAGTCGGCCGGCCATGTGGCTCCTGGCGTCTTCATGAGCGCCTCGTGTGCCTGCTTTCGCTTCTCCTGCCAGTGGTCAATGTCTTCCTTGTACATTTCCCACACGCAGTTGATACATCCGGACATGCAGCAATTTTCGGGCTCTTCGGGTCTGGGGGGCACTCGGACACCTGCAATCACCCGGGTCAGTTTCTCGGCGTCTTCTCGTCGGGCCTTTCGAGATCCCACTTTTCCGAAAACCAGCTCGGCTCTCTGCTGGGCCGTCAGGTTGTCGTGTTTTCGGTCGGAGGTATCAAACGTGAGACTGGAGGGTTTTGAGGGAGAAAAGGTCTTTTTGTGGTTGGCTCCTTTGTGGCCCACTCCTCGTGGCTGTTTTCTTTGTACTTGGTTAGTGAAACTGGTTTTTGGCGGGTCTTGTCTTGTCATCTCCAATCCGTCCTGGACGGTCCATCTGGTCACTCACAATCGTAGAAAACATAAGGGTTCTTGTGAAGGCTAGCCGAGGTGCTAAACCGTCGTGCCGCGGGCTGTACTTGTGTAAGACGCGATCGCAACATGTTTGTGTGACAGTAATATCGCGTGCGCTTGGTCGTATCTGTTTCAGTGGTGGTCCTCCGGTACCGTCGCTACCTCACTTTTTATGCCAATCAGCAATTAGTAATATGCAGAAGCAAATGACCGTCTAGCTCGGCCGACTCTAGTCCGGGGGGGGACATGGATGGACATGACATGCAGGAAGCAGAGCAGGTGACGTCATGACTAATCTACAAACCTTGCGTCCTCTGGCTAGAACCGGTTTTGGAGAGTACACGGGGCATTCTTGTGTGCGTTTATTTTGTCTTGCTCCGATTTTTCAATGCCTATCAAACTCGCATCCAATTTTCATATTAGTTTTTCAGTGTATTTTTCACCTTTTTTGACTCATGTTTATATAATTTTTTAATTTTTAATTTTTTCATCATTTTTTCATCATTTTTTTTAATGTTTTTAAATTCATCCTTTCGTCCAGTTGCCCTTTAACTCAACCAGACTCTGCTCACTGGTACTCCTGGTATAATAGAAGCTTGGATCAACGCTAAATTTTAGAGATATTGCGGTTCCGAAAGTGAATAAATACTCAGCCAGCTTTTCTCTACAAAATGATACAATTATATTAGTAATAGACCCATTGAAAGGCAGAAAAAAGACGTACATCTTGTATTCAACCATTCACTTGGACCTCTTATTAAGCTGTAAGCACAGCTAGGCCTAGACCGAGGCTACCATACATACGGTGATACTACTGCGCCGTACAAGTACAAAATACAACGCTTGTGGGAATATTAAGACGAGCCTGAGATACCGAAGATGACTAATATCAACGCCGGGACCACGTGACTGAACCACGGGATCTACAATGGCATCTTGTCTTGAGGTTGTCAGGTTATCGTCAGATCGGATGTGCCATTGTAGATCCCGAGCTTAGTCATATTTAGGAGAACTTACTAAGCTGAGGCATTCCTATCGTTCCCACCACAATCACCAATCCCACGCTCCACATACTCTTTTAGAAACATTATATATACGGCATCTTTTACTGTTTTACCTGTCTACTGATTATACTCCCTCCCACACACTCCTCTCGCACTAATTAACTTTCGCCTCGAGGAGCCAGTTGCATACAGAAAGCAAGTGGCCTACAAGTACTTGTAGGTGTGGAATTGGAATACAGAACAGAACAGAACAGAGGAGATAGCTATTCAACAGCGACTCGAAAGGGATCCGACAGTGATTCGACAAGTGAGACAACAGCACCACACAATCCAGTAACGACACACAACCGACGGCCTTCCATCCATCTCCTCTCACTCATGCTATGACCCCTATACACTCAGACCCTCTACAATGTGAGGCTGTCTCTGACGAAGACAGTCATGGCTCGATAAAGGACACTGTTTCCAGTCCGGTATCAACACAAACACAGACAAGGCCCGCCCCCGTCCTCCGCCCGAGGAAATCGTACAATTCGGCCCATACAAACCCACATTCGCCTGCTCCATACGACACTCCTCTGTTCTCCTCGCTGGATGAAATGCCAAGCGCCCTCCACAACCTGTCTGACGAATCGCTGGCTAAAATGATCGACCGACACGGAGGCATGTTTCTGGTACGGCAGCTGTCACGTGATCTGGCCCAACGTGAGAAGGAAGTGGTTGTGATGCGAAAACAGCACGAGGACCGCGAACGCGAGCTCAAAACCATGCTGGTGGAATGCGACGTGTCTGTGATTGAGATTGAACGGCGGCTAAGCTCCATGCGCGTCACCAGTGTCGTTAATCCGGATCACGTCATCAACGAGGCTCTACAGGAGGCTCTAGTTGATGTTCCTCAGGAATCCGAATCCAGGAGTCTCTTGAGTATCACCAAGACTCTGTGGGACAGTCCTCGAAGTGCACGCTCCCTCCTTTCGGTCAAATCTTCTTCTGCCTCGCTCAAAAGTTTTATGGACGAGGGTGGAGACGGCAACAACTCGGGTTCTGCAGTTGTTTCCACTTCCGCAATCACAACTTCTTCTACGACAACAAACACCCGTGAAGAGGAATACTCGAGTGTCAAGAACGGCTCGCTGAACAACGACACAGCCACCAACATGTCCACTTCTTCTGACCCTCCCAGAAGTATCGAAATGACATCCATCTTCGACCCCTCCATGGCTCCTCCGACCCTCCAACAGTCACGTGACCTGCTCACAGACAGATACGGCTTCAAGTATGACTGGAAGCGATCTCAAAAAGAGTCCGCTCGAAAGCCCGTCTCCATTCATAGCACGGAAGACAGCACCATTGATAATACTTCTTCTTTTGAGCCGGTTAAGAGCTCCAGTTCAAGTACCAGCAGTTCTGATCAGTCTAAAACAACCACAAAGTCCTCAGAATCGAAAACAACTTCAAAGCCTATCTCCAGTGCGTTTCAGGAACCCCCTTCGAGAAGTGCTCCCACTGCTACAGTCTCTCTAACCACCAATGTCAACAACAACAGTGTCAGCAATGTTTCGAAAAACACACCCGTCAAACTGCTTCTTTCCCAGCTCAGTCACATTCACGACACTCAGCAAAAGGCTCAATTACAAAACTGGACCGAGTTCCTCAACACTCTCTCCACCTTGGCGTCTGAACAGGATGAAAATGCATGTACCAATCTCCTAGGTCTCGGCGGCGTTTCTCTCCGACCCCACAATCCAAAACTGTACAAGTCTTTTGTGTCTCTTGTTCTGGGCGGCATTCCTGTCAAATTGCGGCCCCAAATCTGGTCTCAATGCAGTGGAGCCGAGTCTATTACCATTCCTGGGCTGTACCAGGAGCTGCTTACAGACAGCAACAGCTCAGCCACAGACTATGACCCCATAGCTGCGCAGAACACGTCGCAGATCGACCTGGACCTGTACCGAACCATGCCTCATAACATCTTCTTTGGCAAGGGTCCGGGAGTAGCCAAGCTGCGAAACGTTCTGGTAGCGGTATCCAGACACAATCCGGACACTGGATACTGCCAGGGGATGAACATTATGGCTGCTGTTCTGTTGCTGGCATTTCCCACAGAGGAAGATGCCTTTTGGGCCTTGGTGGCCCTCACAAACCTGCTGCCCACAGACTACCTGGCTCCTCCTTTACTCACTTCTCGTGCTGACCAAAGGGTGCTCAAAAGCTACATTGTCCAGCACTTGCCCCAAATAAATCAACACATGGACCAGCTGGAAATCGACCTCGAAGCAATCACGTTCAGCTGGTTCCTCAGTTGTTTTGCAGACACGCTTCCTCCAGAGGTGCTGTTCCGGATCTGGGACGTGTTTCTGTGTTTGGAAGGTATGTCGTTCTTGTTCAAGACTGCTCTGGCGTTGTTCAAAATGCACAAGTCGCAATTGCTCGAGTTTGACTCGGCAGCCGACTTCTACACGTACATCAAAAATGTGGGAGACAAGGTGCTGTCGGTGGACAATCTCATCAAGACCGCTGAGGAGTTTGATATCACTGAGGCTGACGTCGAGAAGCGCAGAAAGGCTGCCCTGGCTGACTTGCAGTGATCTATTACGTATTTATGACCAGTATTTATCAATATATTTATATCCTACAAGTGCACGGATCTGCCCAAGTCATAACGAGATGCATTAAATCATGTACCATTATCTATATTTGCTGTGGGGGGAGGGAGGGAGATAACAAACCATCTTTGTGAGCACCACGTCTCAAGAGAGGTACGTACCTCATGGAGATGGATGGCGTTGTGCGATCCGATACCGCACCATGCTGCGCTTTGGACTAGCCTCCTTAGCTGTCCCTAATCTAGTTCTGCAAAGAAACCCTTGTAAGCATTATCAAGATCAAACAACAACTGTCTCGATTGATCATCGGTGATACTCTCCGTGGCCTTCATATTGTTCAACGTGATTAACCACTTGACGATCTTGTCTCGTCCCGCGAAGTCCTTGTTGGTCACCTTACCCAGCGAGGTCATGAGGTCTCCCAGCAGAGGATGCAGCTGGTCAGTGGCGGAGTAATTGAGCTTCAGAGCGTCCATGCACGTAATGAAGTTGCCAGTGGCCTCGGCAACAGCTCGTGACGTCGAGGGGCCTTCCCCTGTGGGAGTGGATCGTCCTCCTCCGTCCATTCCCCCAATGTTTGTTGATGCTAGTGCTGACGATGCCTGGGAAGCAATGACCACGCTGGCCGGGATTCCCACACTGATTCTTTGTGTTGCCAGCGAACAGTCGAGTCCGTACTTGTCCTTGAAATGCTGCAACGACACAAACTCATTCTGTACTCCTTCGTCCTTGAGCAGGGTGTTGTATTGAGACAGCAACCGAGTGCAGATTGACGAGTAGTCCTGTTGCGACACAGAGTCTTTGAGAAAGGCCTTTTCAAGATAATCCAGGGACACAATAATCGAGTACAGCTCCGCGAGGTTCTCGTATCGTTCTCTCTCTTTTGGCGAAGAGTAGAGACGCACCTCCTCGTTGAGAGAAATGTTGGAGCTGCGCTGTGGTGGCATATGGGTTAGTGGGGCGTATGGAAGTGACATGGTTAATATAGGCCGTTGCAGAGTGTCGACTCGTATTTGGATTTGTGTTCACGGCTGTATTTGGTGTTTTTCGGCTGTCCTCTGTTGAGTGAGATGGAGCTGGTGATGTGGTGATATTAAGCGGAGTAGTGTTAAGCAGCTCTCATGTGAGGTTGAAGTTTATTTGGACCATTTGGAGGTCAAGTAAAATACCCAAGTATCTAGTTGGGATACATGTGAGTGGATGAACTGGTTAGGATATTTTGCGGTGACGATGGTGAAACTAACATGAACATACAAAAAAGGGCTCGTGTAGTCGATCTTTCAACTATCTAGCGTTCGTCATCTATCAATAGTCGGACTATGAAAAAATTTCAGTCTGCGGCTCAGAACGTGGTCAACTGAGCGTGATATAACGCCATCTGAGACATGTTGAATCTCTATTCTGTCCTCGAGTCCGTTACAACCAGGATTGTCAAGTCCCCGATTACCTCTAGCTTCATACTGTCGTCCTGTTATGTGGCTCTATGTACTTCTACCTCCCACGGGACCGAGAGGTAAGACCATGGAGACACGACCTTGATCCAGAGATGTCTTACACTCTGTGTACTTGGCAGAATTTTCATTTCAGTCATGAACTTTCCCTGATCGGCGGTTTTGGTGTCGTACGACTACAGTACCCGCACTGTGTACTGTACTGGGTATACATCTTGTCCTAGTCCGCCTCCAAACCCCTGACGGAAGCACTGTATCTAGCAAGCGGCTCCGTGGAGTTGCAATCTTGTCATTCGACAGCTTGGAATGTAACGCCCTTGAGCACGTGTTTTGAAAAAGAAATGCGACATACATAGCTCGTGCTGGCCAAATCTGCACATTGAGAGCATCAGTCGGCAAAGCATCAGTGCGGCTCCTACGCCTGGTAATCCACCCCAAGTCTTGCCGAAGTCACGCATCGAGTAGATATGCACAGTCGCGGGTAACAAGCAGGGTGTTACATCAGGTACGGGCAGGTACGGGCAGGTACGGGCAGGTACGGGCAGGTACAGATCAGGTACAGGCCAGGTACAACCCGAAGCGTATAGCTCAGAGATGTTACGAGCAATGGGACATATATTTCGACCCGATCAAGCAGTTATAGCCACTGTATACCAGAAGCAGCGGTGCGTCTAGCTTTTCCGCTACAAACATCTCCATCGCCAAACATTCAGTTGTACAGTCCTTGGATCTACAAAGACAGGCAGGTGTGCAGATACACTATTGGACATTGGATTCATGTGTGCAGTAACAAGAGAAGTCAAGTTTGTCAACAAATTGGACTGGGAAAGGTGATTGCAGAGGAGAAATCGATCGTCTAAGCCTCTTTCGAGACACCAAGACAAAGGTTCTATTCAGAGTTGGCTTGTGCTTGTTCGAGAGGAGGGGGGTTTGAGATGAGGGGTGTGGGGAGTGTTGGCTTGAGCTGCAGATTACATTCAGAGCTACAGACCGGTAGAGCTTCAACAGGGAATCGGAAATGCTGCGGTGCAGGTCTCAGATAGTGCCTCGTATTGTGTTAAACGTGGTTTTAGAATTGGGTGGGCGCGTGGAGGAGGTTTGGCGCATTGTGAGGGCGCACGATTGCGGTGTCTATAGCTGCACCAATAATAACACTAGAGGAACGCCGAGTTGAAAAATCGATTAATGAGGTGGAATAGATGTGATTTCGGTTGAAATGTCCACGAAAAACAAGCTTGTTGTCCACTCAGCGACCGCCATGTTTCCCGCATCTCCGGTACATGCAACTTTAAGCAAGTCTCAGACCACCAGGCAGAAGCTGAAGAGAGGACCACATAGGGTTGAAGCCGAGATGTGTGAGGGAGAAAGTTCAATCAGGTGATAATATATCGCTCTGTGGACTCCATTGTCAACCATGCTGGCAACTGTCAAGAGTTACGTTACGAATACGATCTGAATATGGACCAGTCGGACTGTAGAAAGGTAGACGCCGCAGGTATAAAGATCGGTTACCACTTCCGTTATTACAAAGATAGACAAGCAAACGCCATCAAGTGTGCCTACAGTGCCAAGAGATGTCTACAGGAACCAGTATTACGTGAATAAGAGCCATTGGTTGTACCAAGTAGGCTATATTAACCTGCCAAAGTGGCTACTTGTAGTATGGGCTGATGGGGTACACGGTACAGACGAGACGAGACCTCGGTGTTTGTAGAGCAATGAATATTGCTTTAGAGTAGAGTGAGAAACCACGTTTGATTGATTAGAAGTCCTTTCTGTAGATCCGTGTAGCAACTATGTCTGACAAGCTCGTTTCTTTTTCCACCGGTCGACTATGCGATGGCAGATCCAATCTCGATTGTCAGCGCTGTCATCTCCATGACACCGAAAAGTGGCGTCACTAGCCACACTCCAGGAGAGGGTCTCGCATGAGCGCATGAGCGCATTTAATGTAGTTAATACTGTTTGTGCGTGCGGTAGTGTAGTGCAATGTGTGAACAAGAGGGACAAGAGCCAAGGACAACCCTGTCAGGTTCAGGTCCGGTATTTTCAGCATCTCTGCACTCCATATTTTACCGCAGCAGGTTGCAGAGGGGCATGGCAGGACAAGGGCTGTCTGCGCCAGTTGTGAAACAAGCCGCTTGTGTGTCGCGGTCCGGATATTTGCTCTTTTTTACTTCAATATACGGTTGCTGGCAATATTCCGAAGTCCGAGACATGGATGTAGGTGTATAATTGGTGTACGGTGAGCTTAAGAGTGTCGGTATTGCATGTACCCCCGAGAGGTGCACTACAGTGCGGTTTTCGCTGGGCAGCCCCATTCTGGCTCTCTCAAGACCCCCAATCAACTTCTCCGTCCCCACATTTCGCCTAAACATGCCTATCCGGAAAATTCTCGGGAGGTGTGCAGCTTCACTCAACCTTTTTCCCAGACAAAAGCCCAGCCAAAAGGCAGGGAGACCCTCATACTCAAGGTTGATGCGGGAGTGGTCTAAAGATGATTAGGTTGGGCTTGTACCCCATACGAGTTGCAGCGGCAGATGGACAACAAGCAAACAAGTACAAGGGAAAAAAGAAACAAGGGGCAGAAATAATTGGTCGCTTGAGAAAGAAACAATGAAAGAAATAATAAAGAAATAATGAGAAACAATGAAAGAAATAATGAGAGAAACAATGAGAAAAATAATGAGAGAAACAATGAGAGAAACAAATGAAAGATACCAAATGAAAACATTGACACCGTTGCATTGCGTCCGTCCATTGTCCTCTTTTTCAAATCTGCGACATGATAATACTGGTGCAGTACAGAATCTTGTCTATACAAGTGCATTACCTACTGTACTTGGACAATACTCCTGAAGCTTGGCTCAACGTCGGCAGGTCCAAGGGGTGGCTGGCTACAGCAACATGGCCTGATACTGCAGGCTTATGTTGGTTTACCAAGCGGATGAGCACGTTTTCGAAACACGTTGTCGATAGGAATCGAGTTGTACGCTTCACCTGTTTCATCAAGGATCAGAGTTGAGTGCGAGTATAGATGAGGTTTATGAACGGCCAAGTACCGTAAAGTACCTCGGTAATAACTGAACACTGTACTGTACTGTACGGTACTTGTAAACGTCCATCCCGAGTATTATTCAATAGCAATGTACAATGACCCGTATTTGAGACAATACCGTCAGACAGGGTACAGTTCGGATCCACAACGTATTGACAAGCACTTGTTCTAGCGATGCGAGCTTGACAAAGCTTCATCGGGTCAATGGGCCCTTTTAAACCGTTGAGTTCACACGACCGGGTCAGAAGAGCACTACCGCAGCAACACGAGTGGGGGTTGGTGGGGGGAGGAGTGTACAAGACGATACCTTATGAGCGTCAATGGTATTGGTATCTGAGACGCCAACAGTTACTCTAGATGTCGATGTATCTGGTTATTGTCGTTTCATGGATCTTCTCGTTTCCGAGGTCGTTTCTCTCTCTATCGTGTGTCTGGGGTCAAGAAAGAGTCGTATCAAGTACCTCGTCATTTTTGGTTGAAACATTTGTTGGAAAAGTCTTTAATTTTAGTGAAGGTTACTTGGATAAGACATTTTAATAGGCAACATGACTCAACATCTGCTGTACCTACTGTAATTGGAATCATGCCAGTGAGAACTCATCTGCCTTTGTATTGTACTCAAGTTCAACCCACTGTTCACCGCTGCAGATGATTACTGCTGAGGGTGTTGAACTTCGGGGCTTTCCCATCGAGATTCGGCCGGACTCTAGCCTGTCAATAGCCTGAGCTCCCTCCGTTCACTCTGAACTACTTCTTCGGGTCTATTTTACTACAGTGCACTACTAGCCTTCATTCTGTGGGTCTGATACTCCCTCCACTATTATAAGTTAGTATGTATTAAATAATGGCTAGACGAGTGCAATCACAAGTGGCGCGACTGTTGACTCACACCCTACCGGCGTGGCACACTCCTGCAACGCACTCATGAGCACACCTCCGTAGAAGCAATACTATGCTCCATACACTCGCACCCGCAACCCGCAGGACACTGACCCAGCCCGGTCTGCCACCACTCGGCAGCACAGGCGGCATGGGTAACGTGTTCACAGACGACACAGAAAAAGAACCGGCCCTGCACCGTCACTGAACAGAAAGCACACTCCTTGTTGTTATTCGGATTGGCTTTGAAATGCACGGTTCGAGGAGGCTGCTGAGAAACGGTCTTGGAAACCACTTGCGTGGGCTGCTTAGCGTACAAACCAATCTGGGCGCTTTTAATCTCTCCAAACAACGAGCTATACGTGCGATTATTGAACTTGAGTACCTCCAGGCTCTCGACTGTCAGTCCCCAGGACGCTAGAATCGACGCATATTGCATTCGGTAGCTTTGAAACTTGTCTTCTCGTGCAGGGTCTAGTAGAGAAACTGGAGACGTGTCCTGGAGAGTAGGGAAGAACTCAATCTGCATCTTGGGGTAGTCTGCAGGCTCGTGTTCGGCTAGAGACAGAACGATGGAAGCTTGTCTATGCAGAAGAGGTGTAAAGAGACCAGAAAAGTCGATATTGTCATCAGACGACGGGGTGTACGACTGGTCGCGTGTGAAAAAAGCAGAATCAACCCGTGACAACGTTCCTCCTGCTACATCACGTGAAGACGGTCGAGCCATTGACCTCTTCCACCATTCGGGCGAGCCAAATGTTGTGTTTGAGGTCTGCGAGCCAAACGGCGAAATGTCAATGACACGTGACCCAGACCGTTTCTTCCGTTTCTCAGGAATGTCCCAAGCCTCTGCGTTGACAGGAGATTTGAGAAAGTAGTTGGTGGAGTGTTCACCTGGCGGGAAACCCGGAGATCTCACAAACGAGAGTGTTCCAGGTGTTTGGGGAACGTTCAATTCAGACTGTTCCTGCTGGTGCACTGAGCTCATGACACAACTCATATTTGCCAGCATCTGGGTATTGTGTTGCTTTTCAAAGTAGTCAAACAAGCGGGTGACCAGAGCATTACGGCCAAATGGATGGTTACCCCAGTCACCCAGAATACCGTCAGAGACATTGGAGGTGATCTGGCCAATATTGGGGTTGATGTGGCCCATGAGATTAGACGTCAGAGAAGGCAGAGCAGCATTACTTCCAGATCCACCACCTCCAGCGCTTCCACCACCTCCAGGAGTGCAAGTATCCAATGTTCTGGACATCTCAGTTGGGTCCACAATGAGTTCTAGAATCCTCCAAGCGTCGGATGCCTCTTCATAGCCGTGTTTTTCGGCCACAGCAGCGTTGTGGCGACACAACAAGTGCGGAGGAAGACCTAAAATCTCGTATCCCTGTGCTAAAATCTTTCGGGATGGAATCAGGTTTCTCAAGTCGAGCACCTTGATAATATTTGTCGACAGCAACTTGGGACTGGTGCCAAAGGACCGCTGCGTGTCCGACTCTGCAGAAGACCGCACTCGTCTGTTGAGAGCCCGGGGTACAAGAGATGTTCGGAACTTGGCGTCTCTAGGCCAGACGGCGTTTTGTAGCGAATCCTGGGAATCATCCGAGTCTGAATCTGAGCCATCCATATTGCTGATTTTCATATTTGTCTCGATTTTCCGCTGAGTGTGGGCTATATCGTCTTTTCGATGAGTGAAAAAACACACCAGCATTCCTCCACGTGACCAAACAGCTCCACAGCCCTTGGGGATAGGCGTGGAGTTGAATGAGTTTTTCCCTAATCGTGCCATAGGCATGATTCCATCATCCGACGAAGATGAGCCAAAAACATCTGATTCAGCACCGGAATTACCTCCATCGTCAGACTCAAACACAATGTTATCATGAGATCCATACTCGTCATAGTCTGTCATCTCAGAGCCATCATCACTGCTGGAATGTTCTTCATAGAGAGCTTCATCAATAGACAAGAACTCGCCCATAAGAAATCTTAGGCAAGCCTCGAGACAGAACCGACCATGATCAGTGTAGCTGCTACTGATTCTATTGAGATTGGATTTGATCAGTTTGATGTCTGCCTTGGTCAGGTCCTCATTCTCCTCAATGAAGTATGTGGGAACATCATAAGGATAATCGTGGGGAAACTTGATAATGATTCGCAGGAATGTCAGCTTGTCCGGCTCATTTTCGTCCAGTTGACCATTAAGAGATACCACAACTTGACCTGTAGACACACTGATCTTCTCAAATCGCACTTTCGGGAAAGTTTTCCCCACGCAGGAAACTTCTTCTCCAAGCGAGGTCGGCACAAGACTTCCTCCAATACCCACTCCTTCATCAAACGAGCCATAGTGAGAAGCAAAGGCAGCAGCACCAACTCGAACACCCGAGAGCCATGACAAATGCATGTTTCGCTTGCCCTGAGATGACCTTACCTTGGTACGCATTGTAGTTGCCGCCGGGCCGACAAGACCCATGTTTCCTCCAAAACTGCCATGACTAGGAGATACAGACAATCCCGACCGTCGCCCTCCAATGCCAACTCCTCCCACAGGGAATGAGTCGGTTCCCACAGGCTCATGAGTGTACGTGACGTATGGAGCCCCCCTTCGAGTCAACTTATATGGTACAGGCTTCTCACCTCGCACAAAGTTGACACGACTTTCGAGACCAGGAGTAGAAGGCCAGAGACGCAGGTCACGATCTTTGGACCATGTGACCAGCTGGAATTCTCGGTCGTCCACCTTTTGGTCGAGTCCACCTCTTGCTCGCCACAGAAACTCTCGAACCACATCCCCATGGCCTCTGTAGGTGTAGACAGGGTCCATATTGACCTTCCCCTCCTTGTCTTTGTAGTTCATTATATGAACCGAGTTTTCACCTCCTCGTAGAGGCATGATGGCGCATCCCGAGCCAAAAGGAGTGTGTCTTGCTTTAGAAACTGGAAATCCACATTCGACGGTGATCTCAGGCTCCAGAAAATACGAGTAGTTTGTCCTCCAACCTTCGCTGGGTCCTTGGTATCCTCCCTCGGTATTTTGAGCAAAGTTCCAGAACTTGACTGTTCCATCTGTGGAAGCAGTGACCAACTTATAGGGCTCACTTCTGTGGAAATCAATGCAATTGACCTTGCCCTGATGTGCCTGGATCCGGAACATTGGTTTGGATCCCATTCGTTTGTCCCATATGTTTAGTCGCCGTCCATGGGACGAAGCGAGCACGTTTGAATTTGTTCTGCTCCATTTCACCTGACTGGCGCCGGCAAACCAGTCAGCAAACGAGCCTGCGGGTTTCTGGGGCGACCGCAGGTCCCACGTGTGCACAAAGGTGTCGACTGAACATGTGGCGAGCGACTCTGGCTCGAACGGGTGGAAATTGATGTCGGTGATAGCTCTATTGTGGCCATGGAGAAACTGCTGAAGTGCCTTTTTGCTGTCTCGTGCGAGGTTCCATACCATGGCTTTTTGGTTGGATGTGGAGATGACCCACTCGGCCTTGGCGGCGTGTGGCGACCATTGCACGTCTGCGACTTCCCATGATGTGAGGTGCTGGATCCATCTTGGCGGTGTGAAAGGATCGTCCAAGTCGACAACGAAGAGTCCGGTTCGGCTGGGTTAGTATACAAAAATCAACTGGCTGTAGGACAAGAGTGAACAAGATCCTGGTTAATGGTCATGTGGTCTATCGCGTCATCTTACCAGACTCCTGGCTGATGGGTGTGATTTGATGCCCTTGGATCAATGTGAGATACCAATGGTTCATGTATCTCTTCCAATCCAAGGAAACATATCATATCACATGTCTGATCATGCGACTGTTGTTTACGCCACGTGCTAAGTCACATGACATCTTCTCTGTCAATACTCACCTGGCCAGGACAACGTCTCGTCCCGAAGGACTGATGGACATGGAGCCGACGCTCTCATCGACTCGGAGCGACAGCGGGTTGCCAAACGTCGGCGAGTTGAACACAGACCGAGGCTGGCCCTCTTTCGACTGCATTGCTGAAAGGTCGAACGGGCGGATGTGGTGAGATGTTGATATATGCAGATGGAGGTGTAGATTGAGATGCAGGACAGTGGAGTTTATTTTCAGAGTGGGGGAGGAGTTGGAACTGGTACTTGGGAGGTAAAGTAAGTTTTGTTGGGTATTTGAAGGTAGGGGTTAGCTATTAAGTAAAAGTGTAAGTAAGTGATCAGTATCGGTAAGACGACTACGAATGGTCGTTTCAATTGGGGGGAATTTGCACTGGGCTGACATTGATGTGGTCTGAATACTGGAAAGCACATTTCGGAATTGGAATATATTTAGTGTAGGTGACGATACAAACTGATCCGCGTCAGGATGGCAAAAGGAGACACCATCTGACCCTCTTCTTAATGTTTTTTTTTTTCACAAGATGACTTTTCATCTCAACAAAAGTCCCAATAAACCCAACTAATTGATAGTAGCCAACCACACAATACCATACCGCACTTGTCACCTGCCGGCCACTTATCTGTCAATTGTGACCCCCCACATACATCAGTCACACCACATACAGCTAATGCAACCCTCCAACAGTCCATCTATTCAGTCCATGTTTCACCGTCTTATGTTGGTTCTTTCAAGCTGAAGAAACGTGTTTCAAGGTATCCAGTGAATGATCGCCGACTCGAGAGAGAGGGTATAACGAGTTACAGAAGCAGTCTCGAGACGTATATTTGAAATCCTTCAACATCGCCACCAACAAGCCAGTCTCGGCTTAAACAGAAAATAAAACACTCGACAGTTCATAACACCTCGATATACATCCGTTGTCCGGGATCATCCTGTGAACTCCTCACGCAGTATATGTTGAGCATACCCCAGAGTCGAAACAGTTCGAAGTGGGTACGTTCATGTGCCACCCTAGAGACTGTGGTACGACCGCATAGTATTCACCCAATGGGCGGGTAATAATCCTTTGGGATGATCTGGGGGCGCGGTATGAGATCGACAAGCTGACCGTGGCGGCTTCGAGAACAGCCGGTGACCCAACTGACGACTCCCTCTACAGCTGCCACAACAGCAGTCACGATCACAACGGCCATGGCGGTCACAAAATTAGTCGTCAAAGCGGCGTACTGGAAATTGACGAGGACTCCAACTCGTCTCTATCGTCTCATCCGCCGGCCAAAACAAGGAAAAACTCGAAAGAGACAGCAGAAGAATGGCCTAGGGGAAAGCACCAGAACTAAGATGGACAACCGCAACACAATTATGACTTAAACCTATCGATTCTAGTTTTCCGACATTTCGACAGGGCACCTAAGAATGGTACACTTTGGAAACCATCTCTGGCAAGAGTGTCAAAACTATGTATAGATAGGTCACGAGTGGAGCAGAATTGGCTGTCGACAGATCCATGCTGCCAAAAGCTGTTTCCAAAGAACTTCTAGATGATCGCTCGCGTAGATTCCATCGACAAACATGTTCGCAAAGAATACTCAGCCTGGCTTCCAAGTTAGAAGGATCAAAGGTTGAAAGACGGACTACGACAGCAACGGTTAGTACATTCATACTATGATAAGGTGTTGGACGAAGATGCGGGTCTGACAAGCAGTTTATGGCCGTACTCTGTGGGAGCTGTGGCAGTGATTGCGAAAGCCGATTCGAAGTTATACTCTTTGAATTACCACCAGGGATGGTTTCGTCAGTCGCCGAGCGAAGCCAGCAAAGGAGGACAAGATGCTGAAGCGAAGCTGGCGAACAAAAAAGACGACGGGGTCGTGTATTTATATTGTTTGTAATATATCTGTAATATAGTGGATGGTGGCTTTCCTACCATCTGAAAAGACTCCAGTGGTTATCTTCTAACGTATGTACTGTAGCCTAGGAAACATCGCCCAAAGCGGCAAAGTGACCTTGGCCGTGCTCTTGAACCGTAGCTATATCCATCCACTCATGGTTTCTAGTATCTTTTCCCGGTTGTCTAGCCTTCTTGACTCCAGTGATCGCATCAAGGCTCTATACAGTAGTACATGCTGTTCCTGGTCTAAATCATGTTAATCGTAAGATACCTATCGATACTGGTTCCAGAACTGGTTCTGGTTGGCACCCTGGGGGGGAGGTGGAGGATTCTGGCCATATTGCTGATGATGGGGCGGCTGTCCGTACTGTTGATGCTGGGGAGGCTGCTGCATAAACGGAGAGTTGGGGCCATATACTGAAGGATCATACGTGCTAGGCTGGCCATAGTTATCACCGGTATGTTGCTGGGGCTTGGGAGGCAAGGTGGGGGCCCCACCAGAAGTAGGAGCTGCAGAAGAGCTGCCACTGCCAAAAGAAAGACGTCCAAGCTGAGACTGAAGCTCGTTGGTGGTATTGCTCTGAATGGCAGACAAGATGGACTTGCCCTCCTGTCGTCTAGCGTTGACAAACTGAGTGGCCGACACATTCACCTTGTCTGCCATGTTTTGCAGGTCTCTGTAGAACTCAAGACCCTTGTCTAATCCAGTCTTGACCTGTTTCCACGACTCAAAGGCCTTTCGGAATCGCTCAACAATCACGTGACTGTGATCCAGAGCCCGTTTTCGGTCTGTCACCTTGTTTTTGACCACGGGGTCACGTGTAATCTTCTCCCAGCTGTCGGCCAAGTCCTTAATCAGCAGCGCCTGGGTGTTGATAGTGGCAGTCAGGCGCTGTTGGTAAGGCTGGAACTTCTCCAGCTCCTGTTCAAAAATAAGATTGTCGTCTGCTCCCTTGGAGTTGACTAGAACGCCAGAGATATCGTCTCTGTGAACCTTGTCCTTGAACTCGTAGAAAATAGCCTGACGGTCCTTTTGACAGTTTTGCAGCTTTCTGAAAGAAGTTTCGCACGAAGGAAGCAACTTGTCAAGAGTAGAAGAGGCAGCAGGATCCCGAGAAGCGGCTCCCTGAGAGAAATCCAAATCAATAAGACTTTCAGATGGTCCAGAAGAAGACTTGGAAGAAGACGAATCGGCATCAAACAACTTTTCAAGCTCAGGGTTGTTGATTCCACGTGACAAAAGCTCAATATCAGGCTTGACACCGTCGTATTGAGCCTGCAGCTTCTCGTCACTGGCACCGGCAGCCACCAGAGACTCCTGCACACGTCGAATGTCGCTCAACAGGGACGCATTGACCTGTGCAGAGGGTGCCTGTGTCCATCCGTCCTTGTAGTAGTCCTTCATTTTGGTGGATTCCGTCTCTTCAGAAGCAATCAGAGCCTGGGAGTCTCTAATCTGGGTCAGAATCTGATCCCTGGAAGTCTTGAGAGGACTGAGATCGAGAGTCTTCACTTCAGAAGCATATCCAAGAACAACAGCAGGCACCTGAGCTGAAGAACCAGAGTCTCTACCGCTCTGAAGATCCTTTTTGAGAGCATACAACTCGCCAGGAAGTCCCATGTACTCCAGCGCAGAGTTGAGTTTCTGGTCAGCAACCTCAATTCGTTCTCCTTCACTTCGCAAAAGAGAGGCCTTTTCTTCACTGTAAACAGAAGTCTGCTGCAGAACGTGCATGGGTACCAGTCGGGTAAACAGGTCGCGGCCGACCACTCGCACGTGATCTTCTTCTTTATACATGTCTTGAAGAGGAGTAGCAGTGACGACTTCCTTGGGTTCCACAGCTCCCAAAGTGGCGGGAGCAGGCACCAGCGAGTGGTAGATGAGATCATTATCGTGTTCCGAAGACTTGAGAGTGCTTCGAGCAAGATCAAGAGCGGTGGAAACAAGATCTCGGTACCACTTGTTGAAGTCCTTCTTGTTGGCTCCATTGGGCAACGGCAACATTGAAGCCTCGTTAAACTCATTGATGGACTTTTGAATGTATCCGATACTCTCGCCAAACTTTTGTGTGGACGGTTTGTTCTGAAGAGACTTGGCATACAGAAGCGAACCAAGTGCAGTAAAGTACTTGTTTTTGCCCTGGCACTCCAACGGCCAGTTTTTGTCGCCCCATTTCTGTTCCTCTTGAATCGCTGTGAAGGACTCGAACGCAGCCTTATACAGAGCCCCCACTCCGGCACACAGCTTGGCGGTCAGAGCAGACACCTTTCCGGCCTGCTCCTGGTTCACGTCAGTCAGCACAGACACACTTTTGGCAATGCTATCCTGACAAAACATCTCCTGAGCCTGTGCCAGCATGAGCTTGTTGAAGGCACGAACCACATCCTGGCCAATGTCGGGCAAAGGGGCATGTAGAAACTTGTCGGCAATGAAGGCAAAGACACCAGCAGCGTTCTGGAACGCATGGAAGGACGCCTTGGGGTCACATGAGTCGTCACGTGACATCTCCTCGCCCATGCAGCTCAGAATCGCTCCCAATTGGTACAGCACGTTGGCCTTCTCGAATGAGATGGAGTGCTGGGTCACCTTCTCCTGAGACAGTGAGTCGGACCAGGTGAAGTCCGGTTTCATCCCCGACTCGGCCGCGTTGATCCGGCGCTCCAGTGAGTCCAATTGAGCGAAATACCGGAACAAAATATCTCGTCCCGTGGCATCTCGTCCTGCTCCCCGTATGTCCTGTCGTAGTCGTTGGAACGACGAGATTTCCTCCCGAAACTGCTCGGCGTAGTCCGGACCGTATGACGACGCAATGTATCTGTGGATGGCACGTGACCAGTCCGTGCTTTCGGTCGTTTTCAGCGCCAGAGGGATCATCTTATGAGTCTTGTGTTGTAGTCAAATGTCGATACTTGTACGAGTTCTTGCACGATTGTAGTCGACATGCGTAAGGCTGTAACTGGAATACCCCGTTTGAGCTTATTTTCCAGGAGTTGGAGGAGCATAGATTATGACTGTGGAGAGGGATGGTGATAGCTGGCAGGGTTAGGGCTATTTTAAGAGGATGGGGGTTGATTTGCAACTCTTTTAATCAGTTCAAACCGCTCAATTTGGTCGTCTAATACTCAGAGAGTCCCCACATGTGGTTTGCTGTGGTGGCAAACATGTGGAAAACTTAACTAACGACCGATTTTTTTAATTGGGTTTGGTGGGGATGATACTTGAGATTCAACGTGGGCCAAACCCCTCAAGATAGATAGAGATAAGGAGGAGAAGTGGTGTTTTTTGGGTAAATATAATCTGTGATATGAGCTGTGTGAAACACCTAGTTCCATGATCTCGACATTACCGTTTACTACTTCCCTCGTATAGTACACACAACGGTGGTAAAATTGCTCCAGTGTCAGGCTGCAGTATCATAAAGTTCCCCACATGATGCGATATGCTTGGACTTTTGTCACCACCCACCACCCAGACCCACAGAGCAGAGAACGGCACCAACAGCACCAGAGAGTCCAAGCCAAGAGAACCCCTACGACCCTCGACATCTATTTATACTAACCCATTGCTCAGTTTGACAGCAACCCAACCACGCGAACCACCGCGCAACACCATATCAAATCCAGGTCACCTCAGAAGAATGGACCTAATCACGAAAGAATCCGGCCAGCTGGGCAAGAATGCGTCTCTACAGGCTTGTGAGGACTCGGTGGACGCTCTGCTCGAGTTTCTGGAGCAGGCAAAGGCCAATGTCACTGACAAACAATACATGGCCCAAGTTCACACCATGTACACCAGCCAGGTGGCTCCTCAGATCATCCAGACACCCAACGATGTGCACAAGGCCATATCGCGGTATGGAAAGGCACTGGACCGAACGTTCAAGCTCAACGTCAACTCGGCAGCGTCGTCAATTGTGCAGATTGCGTCTGATAACGACGACAGCAAGGAAGCCGTGGAGTCACGTGAGGAACTGAACCGGGCCGTGGCGGTGCATTTGCTGCGGCTGGGCGAGTTTGACACCGCCAACATCTTTCTTGGTGAAAGTGCCACCAAATTGCCTCCATTGTTGGTGGAGCAGTTCGAGCTGCTGTATGACATTCTCAGATCCATGGGAGAACGCAATCTGCAACCGGCTATCGATTGGGCGTCGACGCACCAGCGATTTCTGGACTGCCGAGGCTCAGATCTCGAATTCCAGCTGCGAGAGCTCCAGTTTAAGATGCTCTTGAGTCAGAGAGATACAAGTGCAGCCCTTGCATACGCACGTACACATTTCCAAAGGTACCAGAGACACTATCTCAAGGAGATATCGCAGTTAGTCACCAGCATTCTTTACAGTTACACTGGAAATTCGCCATATGAAAAGACAGGAGGCGAAGTATCAGGAGACGATCATGCTGTGGCTCTCAAAACTGTTCAGCAGACGCTGATTAAGGAGTTTTGCACGCTGCTGGGTCTGTCGTCCGAATCGCCGTTGGTCCAGGCAGTGTCTTCGGGAACTGTGGCTCTTCCTATTCTCGCCAAAATGGGCGGTATCATGAAAACCAAACGAACCGAATGGACCTCGTCGAACGAGCTGCCTGTGGAGATTGATCTGCCACCAGAGTTCCAATTTCACTCGGTGTTTGTCTGTCCTGTGAGTAAGGAGCAGACTACGGATAGCAACCCTCCGTTGATGTTACCGTGTGGACATATTCTCGCCCATGATACGCTCAAGGCTATGAGCAAGGACAGTGACCGGTACCGGTTCAAGTGCCATTACTGTCCTGAAGAGACTACATTTCCTCACACGAGAAGGGTCTACTTTTAGGCTCGGAGCGGTTGGACCTTGTAAGTGGATGGCCATTCTGGTAGTGTCCTCCCAAGGTGTACATTCTGTTCCATCGTGACATGACCACTCGACGTTGCATCACGGCCATGCCATCTTTGACATGCTCCGACTATTCAGTAGGACCAAGACCGTGGTTCTACTGTACCCCACAAGTGTAGTCTAGCCACTTTAGGCTGACGACTTGCTCTAGGACTCCGCCGTTGCAATTGTCCAGTGTCTGAACTCCCATTATTTAACACGATATTTTCAAAAATTAACAACGTGCCCACGCAAATGTATCTGTCTTCGCTGATCTTTGGTTTTTTTCCCTTTTTTTCTTCATAATTGTTCTTTCATCCACTCAGATCAGATAATTACTGATCCGAACTCACCCACCAAATTAAACTCGGAGCACTGCAAGAGGTTGAGGTAGAAGTGAGACTGCGCAATGTTGAGGCATATATGTGTGATGTGTGGATGGCGGGGTTCTGATTGGTCGGCTTGCAGTGTCTATAATTAGTACAAGTAGACACCGTGTTATCTTGGTCTTTTTTCTGCTCTTTTTCCCCTCCCAAACGACGCCCCGTAGTTTTGTTCAACACTTGTGCCTACAGTACACAGCTTAAATCACGCTATCAGATGCGAGATAAGCGGTAGGAGAGGGAGCTTGAAGAAGGAGTGCTGAGAGGGGACAGTCGAGAAGCAAACAAGTTGAAAAGCAAACAAGCTGAGAAACAGAGAAGACGAGAAGCAGACAAGTCGAGTAGATTCTGATTACTAAGCACTAGTTATATTGGTCTGCCGGCCCCTGTTTTTCCACTCCCTTATGGTATACATCGGGCTGTCATCTTGTGCCGTCCTCTTGCGCCGTCTTCTTGCATACTCACTCGCCCTCGCCTTGGCTGTTGACTTTTTACCTCATGGGCTTTATGCGGAGTCCGAGGCGCATGAAAGGGCACTACGCTAAAAACGGGTGGTAGAGAGCCAGAGAAAAGGAGACAACCCAAAAGATGGACTCGGGGGCCAAAAAAGGCGGGGAAAGGGGCCGATTCAGGGGTCACGTGACCGGTTAAACCCTCGTCCAGGGCTTCTTCTTTCCATCTAGGCGGGCATGGGGCTCGTTGTAGAGTCCTCTTGTCCTCTCCATAACCGCTGCCGTTCACGTCGTCATCTCCCAATTAAGACTGCAGTTGCCCAGTTTGGGAATAGGGTTTCAGCCCTTGACGAGGCGAGAGGAGTTGAGAGGTGATGGAGGCCGTTTGGAGCCATTGCGCAGGATGTAACCAAGCAGATGGGTGAATGTTGCGGTTTACCTTGTTATAATGTGTTTTTATTGGCCATTGCTGCTGGTCAGCCTTCTTTCTAGGCTGGATCAATAGATTAACTTTTTACGCCCCGATAAGCAACATACTGTAGGCTTACAGCAGCTAAATTACCAGTAGTTTCCCCCCAAAGTACATACGCCACCCAACCTGTCTTTTTGTCCTCTTCCTCCTCTTCATCACAACCACACACCGCGACGATGAAGTTCTCAATTGCCACTCTGGGACTGGCAGCGTCCGCCGCTCTGGCCGCCAACCCTCTCTTCAAGGATATCCAAAATGTGCTTGGAGGCGACTTCTCCAAGAAGCTCGGAAACGTGGCCGACAAGCTGGCCGATGGCGCTCGAAAGACCACCACCGACTCCGCCAACTGGCTCTACACCGCCACCAACAAGGCCCAGTTCCCCAACTACGCTCTGCGGGCCAAGGACCCCTCTTCTCTGGGTCTGGACAAGGTCAAGCAGTACTCCGGCTACCTCGACGTTGAAGACGAGGACAAGCACTTCTTCTACTGGTTCTTCGAGTCCCGAAACGACCCCAAGAACGACCCCATTGTTCTGTGGCTCAACGGCGGCCCCGGCTGCTCTTCTCTGACCGGCCTGTTCTTCGAGCTGGGCCCTGCCTCTATCGGCGAGGACCTCAAGCCCATCCACAACCCCCACTCGTGGAACTCCAACGCCTCCGTCATTTTCCTGGACCAGCCTGTCAACGTCGGCTACTCCTACTCTTCCGGCTCTGTCTCCGACACTGTCTCTGCCGGCCGAGACGTCTACGCTTTCCTGTCGCTTTTCTTCCAGCAGTTCCCCGAGTACAACAAGGGCCAGGAGTTCCACATTGCCGGCGAGTCGTACGCCGGTCACTACATTCCCGTGTTCGCCTCTGAGATCCAGTCCCATGATGACCGAGGATTCAACCTCACCTCTATTCTCATCGGTAACGGCCTCACTGACCCTCTCCGACAGTACGACGAGTACGAGCCCATGGCCTGCGGTAAGGGTGGTGCTCCTCCCGTTCTCGATGAGCCTACTTGCGAGAACATGCGTGACTCTCAGGCCCGATGCAACGGCCTGATCAACGCCTGCTACAACACCGAGTCTGTGTGGACCTGTCTCCCTGCCGCCACCTACTGTAACAACGCCATGCTTGGTCCCTACCAGGCCACCGGTCTCAATGTCTACGACATCCGAAAGGAGTGCGACTCCGGTACTTCTCTCTGTTACAAGGACCTCGAGTACATTGACAAGTACCTCAACCAGCCCGAGGTGATGGAGGCTGTCGGAGCCCAGGTTTCCGAGTACGAGGGCTGCAACTTTGACATCAACCGAAACTTCCAGTTTGCCGGTGATTGGATGAAGCCCTACTACACCGCCGTCCCCGCTCTACTCGAGGAGGGCATCCCCACCCTCATCTACGCCGGAGACAAGGACTTCATCTGCAACTGGCTCGGAAACAAGCGATGGACCGACGAGCTCGAGTGGTTCGGCAAGGAGAAGTACGAGCCCAAGGAGCTGTCCGACTGGGTCGTCGACGGCAAGAAGGCCGGCCAGGTCAAGAACTACAAGCACTTTACCTTCCTGCGGGTCTACGAGGCCGGCCATATGGTTCCTTACGACCAGCCCAAGAACTCTCTGGAGATGCTCAACTCTTGGTTGGCTAAGGATTACTCTTACGGATCCAAGTAAGATGTCGGTAATGGACAGTTTCGTGAGAGGCTGGACCGACAACTTGTAGCCATCAGTAGCTTAGCACGAGCTATTTTATTAGCTAGATTATTATTGAATATATATGCCATTGAATGAAGAGAATCTGTAGATGAGCCGTAGGTGTGCTGTGGGACGTGTATGGACCGGTGATATAGGAGGAATGGTTCGTTTATGCTACAGTAGCCAGATGTATCAGGAAGGATCTCATATCAAAAGGTCCTTCGCATATCATCACAGACTGAACAATCCACAGCACACGTAGCCTTCACACAATCTTCTATGAAGTGGTGTTATTGTTAGTACTGGGTTTCACTTGATCGATAGGGCAAGTTGACTAAGTTAACGGTCTCACTTGGTCCTTTCCTAGACGCCAGAAACAGATCAAGAACACTACGGCAAAGCCAACTCCTCCGCAGGCAATTCCTACAAAGGGCCAGATGAGATCAGGGTCCTTGAGAGCAGGAGTGATGGCGGTCTTGATGGCAGTAGAGACGGCTGACATGGACAGCAGCAGCGACATGACCACGGATTCGAGACCAGCAGGAGACAGGGAGTAAGCCAGCTCGTAAGAGGTGATCACTGCAAAGATCTCAGAGACAGCAGCCAAAAAGTAGGGAACCACCTGCCACCAGATGGTGATATGAGACACCCCCTCGGGACACTCTGTGGCATAATATCCACAAGGAGACGTTTCGTAAACACGCCATTGAATGATTGCACCAGCCCCGGAAGAGGCAGCAGCCAGCATGAAGCCCAGAAACATGCGGAAAGAGGCTCGGAAGTTGATTTTCAGCCGTCGGAGCGTGGGGTAGATGATATAATCGACAATAGGGATGCATACAATGATGGTAATGGGATTGAAGTTGTTGAGGAGATCGTTGGGCACGCCATTGGTGAGCATGGAAGCACCCTGAGAATTGAACAAGGCTCCAATACCCTCGTCGTTGATCCAGTACATGGGGAAGAAGAGGAAGAATCTGCAGGCCTTAAGAGTGGAATTGACGTCAAAGACAAATTCCTCGGAGTAGGTGGGTGGCTTGCGCATAATTCTTTGATACAAGACTCCGTAAAAGCCACTGAGAACAGAACTTCTGCTGGGAGGGACCTTGTAGACATCCTTTCGAACGTACCAAAGAAGAGGAGGCAAGAGAAAGTAGAGGATGGTGGGGATGAGAAAGGCGAGCCAGAAACCAACCCTTTTCTCAGAGTAGGCTGTAGCAATACCCAGAGTGACCCCAATGTTGATGCCCCAATAGTAGACCAGGGTCATTCTTTGCAGAGTAGCATCTCTGTCAATGACTACTTCTTCGCCAGAAGGCAGCTTCTTTACCCAATTTGCCTTTTCTCGGTACTGGTCCAGCAGCAGAGGTAGAATGTTGGGTTTGAACAGACCAGTTCCGATAGCAAAGACCAACAGGCCGACCATGAAGACACCGAAAGACGCGTTGGTGTGTTCGATAATACCGGGGAAGCCAGCAATCACAATTATCACGTGACCCACTCCACACACAATGGTGCCGGCCCAGATGGTGTTGAATCGTCCGTATCGGGCGTCGGCAAGCCAGGCTCCCCAGAGAGGAGCCACGTAGGAGAGAAACTGCAAAACGAGAGTGACGACGGTGGCAATTTGGAGACCCTTCCCTAGAGCTCCGGGAGTCAGCTGAGTGCCTACTGGTGAAGCTCCCCATCCGTTCCCTCCCTCAGGAAAGGGAAACTGGACGTAGTTTGAGATGACATTGACTAGGCCGTAGTAGGAGCCACGTTCGGCAAACTCGACAATTGACAAGAGGTAGGTCATTTTTCCAACCGGTCCAGCAATGTGTCTGAGATCCTTGTCGGAATCTGTGGCGGTTCTGAGACCCTCAGGGTTATGTTCGTCCGTGTAGGCACCCCATTCGGAGTACACCTCTTGGACTGAGCAGCTGTCGGTGACTTCGACGATGATGTCTTCGCCTTTTTCTTTGGTCAGGATAGATGCAGGTCGAGAAGGAGTTGGGGTTCGAGTAGAGTCCATACTGGCTCGGACTCTCTCTAGAGCCAGGTGTTTGGACATGTTGACAGTGGTTGTAGGAGATGTTGATGAAGTTGATGATGTAACAGATCAGAGAAAGGCACATACTTATACCATGTACGTCTGGTGCACGTAGATGAAGACTCGTATGACTGGCACGCGGTTATCTCGGTGTGTGGGGAATATGTAGATGTTTGTTTGCGGAGTCGCAACAAGCTGAGGGGTGGGCAATTTTGGATCGAACTGCATTGTTATGATCGTGGAAAAGAGGGGAATCGACCAAAGTAGGTAACTGTAGCATCATCATAGAGCTATTTTCAATCGATGGGTTTATCTCACACGAAGAGATCTGCATTTCTCATGTCGGCGGCTAAGCATGTGCAGAGGAATATGCAAGAGTCCACATGTTGGAGCATGAGCTGAGTTGAAGAGAGATGTTGTTGGTATCACTGTGGTCGTTGGGGACGGGAGATTTCATTTGGTTTGTTTGTTTTCTCTGTCTTTTTTTCAGCGAGCTCTGGAGGCACTTTTTCGCTCCAGATCAGCTTGGATTAGATTAGGTTGAGTGAACGGTGAGAATGCAGACGGAGTGGAGCGAGAGCACCATGTACGATACGAAGTCGAGTGGGGTTTTCGTGGTGGAATGATGGGGTCAAACAGTGACTTTGGGTCAGATTCTTTCTGCGCGAAAACTGCCGCCGGAGGCCATCAACGGGCATTTACGGGCTTAAGCGGGGGTCATCAACGGAATAGGTATCACAACTATAACACCACAGCTGTTCTCGGAGATGGCTTCCCGACGGTTCAGGGAATGCACGAGAGCCGGTACAGTACTTGTTGTATGCCGGTACAAGTACTTGTTGTTTTCCGGTACAAGTACTTGTTTGTATTTCGCATTACTGCTTCTGCCCTCAATGAGTCAACTGGAAGTGTTTGAGTTCCAGTTGTGCAGGTTGGAGGTATGTACTGTACTGTACCATGATCTCGCCCCAACGATATAGTACTGTGAACTTTTCCGGAGCTGATAATAGAAAAAGTGAATGGCCTTCTACCAACGAATGTCATCCTACCCAGTCTGTTGCGTATGCTGTACTTGTACCCGTATAGTACTGTACCAGCACTTGTATGTACAAGTATACACTGGCATTGTCCATAGTAGAAGTATGTACTGTACCTCATTTCTCCCCTACCAATTAACCCAAAATAAGAATTTACCTCTGAGATAAAGATGCGACCATGCCGTATCGCTCACCAGGAGCTGTCATACGAGACATGTCATGATGATGTGGAAGGCTTTTGATTATCAACGTCCAATTTCGTCACCTCTTCTGGTTAAATATTTCCATCATGGATCGTCTCACCATCCAGTCGGCTTGTATCGTCTCATTCTTACTTGTCCTCGTGCTGGTGCTAGAGCTTTCTCATTGTCCTTTCCCCCCTGTGACTGGCTGGCTGATAAGCTTGAAGCTACGTAACTGTAGCGGAGAACGAGTATGATGTTAAGACGAGTACGAGGGTAAGACGAGTACGAGGGTAAGACGAATACGTACTAGTAGGTTGATATCTGGCCGCATTTGATTACGGAGACGAAAAACTATCATCCTGGGGTTCTTTTTCGGGCATCACGTGATCTCATTTCCCTTTGTCGTTGCTCTTTAATGTTCATTTTCATTCGTTGGTGTGCCGTTGCAACTCATCATCGTAGTTTTTCGCCAAGTGAACTACAGTGTACATATGTATGTACATACATACTTCCCGCGCGTATAATATAGCAGTCGTAGTCGGACCGCAATGTGCTGCCGCTACTGTGCTGTGACTACTGTACCATAGATCTTGGTTGTCTTCTAGCCATCGGTAATTACTTGTATTTGTATACGTACTCGTACCTACACGAGACTCACAATGACCGAGTAGGAGCGGCTAACGTGGATCCACCCCACCCAAGGAACCCCGCCTGCAGGCCGTACCTAGAAAGTGCACTCCATGCATCCAGCCCCACAGTTGCCGCAATTGCCAGTGTATTGCCACTGCCACTGCCACTGTTCGATATTTTGGTGCTGTACGATACCGGGGACGACCATATCTCGTTTTTGTTCTATCGAGTGCCATAGATAGTTCAGTCCAGACTCAGTCCAGACTCAGTCCAGACTCATGAAGGGCTGTGCAGATTTAGATTCCTGACAGTCACAGTTTTGGAAAGAGACAGAATTTTACGTCATTGTGGGTGGCTACTTGTAGGAGCAATGGAAATTCGTTGTATCATATGAAGAAAAAGCAGCTCACAGGTAGACAATGTGGCATTCCTGCTTTTGGTTGGTGTTTGTCATGCTGTTTATGGTCCGTTATCCACTCTTAGGAGTCCACGATCTCCAACCACTTAACTAGTCGCGGAATACCAAGATCCGCGGAAACTCCAAAACGGAACATATGAAAGGACGTATAACTGTGGAAGGAAGGACACCACCTGAAATCTGAAAATACCACAAGAAACTACAGATTTCACATTACAGTTCGACACCTTTTCTAATTAAAATACTTCTTTCAAGCCTTTCAAATCGCCGTCGCTTTTATTTCGCAACTTTTGGTCTGAGTAGACAGTAAAACCGTCCAACAAAGTTCGCCAGCACCGTGGGCCCGTTTAGCTTAGGGGTAGAGCGTTGCACTTGTATTTTCAGAATGTACTGGAATGCAAAGGTCACTGGTTCGATTCCAGTATCGGGCAGTTCTTTTTGCCCCGTCAGCCCCTGACGTTCCGTCATGCACATTCTGCTTCATGTGTGCCGGTTTTCAGCGTGCCACTACCTATGTTCTGCCCCTTACATCCACAGCTGTAATACGACTGAACTCTGTCTGTCTACTGTGCGATATTGTACCATAACTCACAGTGCAAGTTAGCCGTTAGTTTTAGCTCTTGTATGCACTGTGGCGTAAGGTTGCGCGGTACAGTAACTGGAGCTGAGTAAAAAAAAGCACATAGATAGAGTAGAAGACGGGGCAGGTGTTGTGATAGACAGCGGATGAAAAGATATTTCGCCAGTTGGGTGTGCACATACGGAAAAGTGTCTTGCAGATTGCGTTTGCTGTTGACCACTCAGGATCTACGGGCTTCGTTTCCGTGTCCCGTCTCCGTTCGATAAAGTTCACTGCCTGGTATCAATCAATCTCACCTTGCACAACTCTGAAGAGCACAACATTTTACGATATCTCGAGTGTTTTCACCGAGCGGGCAAAAACGGGAGTACTAGATAGCGAGAACTAGAGACGGCAGTGCCCAGTTGAGAAGCACCGACGACCCATCTTCAAAAAAACACAAAAAACAGCAAGTGAAACCTCTTTCGACAGCAACCAAAACCGCACCCTTCACCACTCTCATGGACGACGTACCGTTAATAGTGGGACTGACCTCGGGCCTGGGAACGCTGATTCTCGGGCTCATTCTCATCACAGTGTGGCTGACCATCTCCTCGAGCCGATCGTCCGGCCGTATCAGACTGGGAGGCTCTGCTCCGGGATCCTACGACGATGAACAACAGTTTCTACGGGACGAGGTCGAGGCCATCGAGGCCATGGACGAACAGCAACGCGAGGCCTACTTTGCCGCCAAGGCCTTCATCCAGACCAACCCCCCAAACAGCGCCCAGAGCGAGATATCTCTCGGCCAGTACATGACCATCCAGGAGAAGGGCGTGGCAGCCTGGGAGTTCCAGATGGACCTGTTTGCCAACACGAGCAGCGCAGCCCTCAGCAACGCCGCCCAGAGCGCCCACATTACCTGCTTTGTGGAAAACCGCACGGAGCTGCAGTTTCTGGGAGGTGTCATCAACCGACAGACCGACTCCGACATCACATACACGTCGCCACGGTCGGTCCAGACCAACCTGCCGCTCCCCAAACAAAATGAAACCTACTACTGGGAGGTCAAGATGTATGACAAGCCCGTCGACACCACCGTGGCCGTGGGACTGTGCACCAAACCATACCCTCTGTCTCAGCTCCCGGGACAGCACCGGTACTCTGTGGGCTTCGAGTCCACCGGCCACAAGCGCAACAACCAACCCTTCAACGACGTGCCCAAGTACGGACTACCCTTCAACCAAGGCGATGTTGTTGGCGTGGGTTACCGACCCCGAAGTGGCACCATCTTCTTCACCCGCAATGGAAAAAGACTCGAAGAGGTGGTCCACGGCATGCGGCTCAACCTCTTCCCCACCGTGGGCGCTACCGGACCTTGTCAACTGCATGTTAATTTCGGACAGTCTGGATTTGTGTTCATCGAGGCCAATGTCAAAAAGTGGGGTTTGGCCCCCGTCCAGGGCAACCTGGCCCCTCCGCCTCCCTACGGCCGACACCAGCAAAACTCGCTGCTTCTGGAGTCGGAAGAACCCGAGGCCGAGGTTGACGAACCCGAATCCCCTCCTCCTTCTTTCGAGAGGACTCTGACCAGCACCTCCACCGCTTCTCTGGGAGACCTCCAATGCGAGTACCCCGAAGAAAGCATCAATCTGGCCAAACTGACCCCCCAACAGGGGTCCGTGGAGAACTTGCCCCGAGCTTCCGAGACTGCGACCAACAACCAGCCTACTAGCTCTGTTACAGTGGAAGATGTCACTGATGAGACCACCCCTGGAGATGCAGTTAGCGTCTCTTCCTCTACGTCCGACGGCCAAACAGTCCTGGACATGTTGGAGGAAGCTCAGTCTGTCATCATCGATCCTCCCCAGCGGTCTCTTAACACGTCACCACCTCCTAGTTATAAGAGCGACAGTGACTCAAGTTGAGACAGCATTCCACTGACTATTTAATGTACATTTATTTATTGAGGCGAATCTAAGAACGGAAACGAAGAAATGAGTCCACAACAACCTTTGAAAGAAGGGCCGTAAGTCATGAGTGGTGTGTCTACAATGTAGTGTGTATGTAACTAAATACACATGTTTGTAACTACTACAGAATCATTCTGGCCATTGCATTATAAAGAATCATGAAATTATGTGGTTATACAAGAGCTCAGTACCCGCCTGATTCCTGTGTATTGTACTTCGTAGCTAAGTCCAAGCGTAAGGAGACTTTGCTCTCAGTTTCTCTCCATGAATATAAAAGACGAAAGGAATAGGAATCATGATGCAACTGACAAACCCCAGCAAACTGGTGGCCCAATGGTAGCTCCAGTTGTCAAACATTTGTCGTGCAAACAGAGGGAAGGCGCAGGCCATGGCCGATCGTACAAAGGCGTTGGCAGCCATCGCTGAAGCAGCGTAGACTCGATAACCGTCTACGAGGAACCCAAAAGTGCCAGCAAACACAAGAACGATGCCTGCTCCAAAAAATCCGGAGCCGATCATGGGAACAATCCAGTGAATGGAAGGATAACATGTCCATCCGAACCAAAAGAGACCAATGGGACACAGGAAGCAACCAATCATCATGGGGATGAGTTTCAGCTCGGGCGCTCCTCCGGGTTTTCCCTTGGCGATCTCCTTGTCGTTGAACCTCTTGGTCAGGTATCTCATTAAGGGAATGGATCCGTAAGTCGCTGTCAGTTGGCCGACTCCTAGAGGCAGAAACGACATGCCCTTGAATTGGAGCTGGAAGTTGTAGATGTTACCAAACACCAGAGGAAAGACCACAAAGAAGCCGTACACAATGGCCAGTAGAAATCCAGAGTAGACACAGACTAGCAGTACCATTGGATCTCGACTCAGAAGTCCAAACGGTCGCTGACAGTTGGTCATGACACTTTTTCCCAGAGACTGAGTCTTCTTAGTCTCCATCAGAGCACAGGTGTAGTAGACTGGGGTCTTTTCGTTGATGGTAACTGGAGCACTGGGGTTCTTTTCTGGGTCGCTGGAGAAGACAGAAACCAAATGATCTTTCAAGTTCTTCTCCCGTTCACCTCTCAGTCTTCTGACTTTTCGTTCAGTGAGCACAGGAGCATAGGTTTCCTTGGAGAACAGGATGACAATGGCAAAAAGCACTCCACTCCAGATCATCATTACCCAGAAGGCCCATCTCCACTTTGTGTTTTGAACAATGAATCCTGAAATCAGAGGGCCGATTACTGGACCAAAAAAGGGGGAGATTGAGAAGGTTGACATTGCTAGCACCAGCATATCGCCCTCGGTCTTCTTGTCGAAGATGTCGGTGATAGTACCTCCAGAGACAGCGGCAAACGACGAGCTGAAAAAGGCGCTGAGAAACCGTCCAACCAGCATTGTCTGGATGTTAGGTGCTAGACACACTGGCAACTGGAAGATAACGTAAAGAAACAGACCAGCAATGTAGATGGGTCTTCGTCCATAGTACTCAGACAGGGGTGCAAACAACATGGGTCCGGAACCTAGACCCAGAATGAACAGGGAAATACCTAGAGAAGCCACCACTTTTCCACAATGAAGTTCTTTCATGATGGGTCCTGTAGCGTTACCAAACGCACTGGAATTGGCTGTGATTTGGAGGAACGTTGCACACACAATGCCTGCTAGTAGCCACTTGTGAGCCAAGCTGAGTTGTGTAGAGATATTCTCAGGGTCATCAGGTTCAAGAGTCACCATGATGACTTCGGGTCGGCGATCTCCATCTTGGGTGTCACTCAGAGATCTGGGGCCATCAGAAACCGTTGGTGGAGTTTTGATTTCAGCAACATTCACTTCGGGAGAACTATTCGCAGTAGAGTGCTCGAATGAACTTGCTGTGGTAGAAACCACCTCGTGATGACTTGTTGTAGGGGTGTCCATGATTGTTTTGCCTGAGTTGCACGGCTACAAAGTCCATTGGTTTATATAACGATCCGAATCAATGTGTGATAGAGTCACGCGCTGCTCCCCTCATCTCTCCCCGCTTATCTAGCACTGCATACTGTGACTAGCAGGATATGTAGTATGGTGATATCAGTGGGGATGGAGGTAGGGACAGAGAAGTGGGAGCATCTTTGGGGTACCTAGAGTTGATATTTTCAAAGTCGATTGACCTTCAAATGTGCTATAACGTAGTTACCTACTGCCCATGGTTGTCACAGGAAGAATCAGCCACCTCCAATTCCTTGGTATACTACCCCACAAACCAAACTACAAGTAGCAGTTAGATCAACTCCCAGACCTTAGATAAGGCAATGTGAGGCACGTAGACCCCAAGAAAGATAGTAGCAGAGCAATCCACGTGATCCTGCTGATTCTCACATGGTTTTATGGGCATGACGCTCTCGAGCCTACCTGATGTTGGTGATGTGAACTTGCAGGTCCAGATTACAAGACTTCAGTTCTCACTTTAGAGGTATTGGACTTCTCATAACATAATTAACATATATTTAACACTGAAACAAATTGACCAGCTCTCTAGACAGCACCACTCAGGTCTACAAGTAGTAGTACCGGTAGTACTTGTAGCCTTATCTGTTTCAAGTTCCCCTCCTCGTCAACTTAGTATTCTGGACAAGATAGAGGTATGAAGGAGGGGGGAAAGAGACCCGCTCGGTCCAGAAGGTGGTTATTTTGAAGGCATGGACTCCTCACTTTAAATGGATCAATATATCAGGGCTTTTGAGCTATTTTCGAGTTATCGCCATAAGTCAGGGCTTTCCTCGGAACTTAAAATGCCTTGGTCCAGATGGATAGCGGAGTACCAAGCCGCCATAAGGACTAGTGGTTGGACGAAAAAAGTCGAAGGGTATATTACTGCAAGAATCTGAATGTATTTCTTGTTTTTCAGGCACTCACAAATCTCTACCTATCCTCATTGCAGCCTCCAGACACTCCTCCATGCTCTGTTTAGATCTATGAAAAATGGTGCGTTATCTTAGCGAGATCCCCGTTACCCCTCAAGATACAATAGAACCAATATAGCGGCAGGGGATCCGGGAGCTCCGAGAGGTGCGGCTTGTTAAAACCGCGACTATCATGTCGAGATCAAGTCTAAGGAATGACTATGTTTTCTGGAACAGGCTGGTGTTCGCGCACGTAATATTACAGTACTGTATGTAAAGACTGTACTGTTGAGTGATTGTCTACATGTAGAGATACTGTAGTTTACTAGTAGTACGACTGGTGAGCTATGAAAGTTATGTCTGTATCACTGCAGTCTTCAGGTCCACAGCCTCGTGCTACAGTACGTACTTGTGCTTGTACTTGTTCAGGTTCGCACTGCTTTTCCTTCTACTCCTATCCAAAAATCAACTCTGACGAGATTCCCTATACCCAACCAAACTAAGGGCTCCAAAAGTGATTCAACAACACCAAGATCAAAACACAGCCAAAAGGCACCATGAAGCAAAAAGGAAGCTCGCAGTGTCTTACACGCACCGTATTTGTACAAGTACAAGTACGCGAAAGTCACATTATCATTGCTCTTACTCGCATAACCCTTCTACTCAAGCTCCTCTAGTATTGGGAGTTCCTCAACTCATCCCATCAAACCAATATATTATCTACTTTCGCTTTTTGCCCTTCTTTTTGCCGTCCTTCTTCTCCTTCTTTTCCTGGGCGACCTCCTTCGGAGCTTCGGGCGCAGGAGTCTCTTCTTTCTCAACGTACTCGGTGTTGCTCATGGTCAGAGCAAAGCCCTTTTCTCGCACAACGGCGGTGGATCCGGGGGCGAGAGGCGCAGGAGCACTAGAATCCTCCATATTGACGTCCTCGGTCTGATTGTCCAGCTTGGCCTTTTTGTTTGTTCGCTTCTTCTTGGACACCTTGGTGATCTCCACTCCTCTAGGACCCAGGGCACTAAGCAGCCGATTCAGCTGCTTGGCACGAGTGATCTTGATTCGGAAACACACGCCGGAGACGGGATCAAAGGTTTTGGCGTACAAAATGGGCTGGGCAGCAGCAGAATCCTCGTCCTCCTCAGCCTCGGGAGTGGCTTCTCGTGTCGGGTCGACTTTTCGCACCTGGTGTTTGTAGGTAAGCGACAGCCGGGTGGTGTCGGGACGCGCCTCCAGAATCGAGGCACTTCGCTGGATAAACGTGTCCAGATCGTGGATTCTAGGCATGTTGTGTGTTTCTGGCAGAAGTGTCACAACAGCGGTGATGATGATGTATCTGCATGCTGGAATTTAGTCACGTGAGTTGGGAGGTAGGACAAGTACATATGGTGCTCGTAGGAGCAGGCAGGAGCTGCAATTCAGAGGACAAGTTGAGCTGCGAAACAGGGATAAAATAGTGATCACGTGACCGTCGACTGGCGTTGGCTGCCGTTGAAAAGCAATTTGGCAAGTTCACCTACATTTTCACCTATTCTTTCTTCCACCCGCTCCATGTTTGATTGTGGGTAAGGGTAGAGCTACAGTAGGGGAAAACCTCCCAACTCGGTTTTTGACCTTTACCACACACGGCGAGATGGATGTACCCTTTGTACTGTATGTACTGTACGTACAAGTATGCCTGTAGTTTTACATTAAGAAACGCCACAATAGAGCTGACCAAAGCGCCAATTTGGTGTGGACCGGTTTTAAAAAGGTTGGGCTCAGCCGAAACAGGTATGGCCCGACTGGACGCCCAGAGGGGCCACTCTTTCCGCAGACAGGTCACAGTCGGGGCCAAGGAGTAATTTACCGGTGGCCAATTGTATGGTATGTGCCCTTTGGTACAAAAGTAGGTCTGGTAGGTCTACAAGTATCGGTGGTATGAGTACATTCTTGTATGTACATACTGTTACTTTACAATTGTATTGTCGCGTAGCGAATACGAGTTCCAGAATCCGTCTTGGGTGCAACTTGGCAAACTCTCAGTACTTATGCAACGCGGCCCATTGGGGGTTATTTGAGGTAATTACGTGCGAACGGACAAACTACCGTACTAATATACTTGTAGCACCAGTAATGGTAAGGAAGCCCAAAGTCAAATGGGCGTTGTGCTCATAGTAACTGAACGGGTGCTCCGTCTATGCATTTCCTATAGCTAGGATATACTTGTGCTCCTTCAAGTATTCCACAGTACTCCTACTACTAGTATTGGCACGTATGATCGTAAGGGAAAGAAGAGGGGAACATGTATGGCCGAGCAAGTGTAGCAGAAAGCATGTCCGTGGCAAGTGAACCAGATACCCTTGGCAACATGTTAGCGTCTCAGTTGGAACCGCCTCCATACAGGTGCTGACTGACTCCATGCATGCACCTTGTCCCTCCTCCCAGCAATCTAAAACCAGGAGGACATGCATAATCTTTCGCAGGACCAGCAATTTGATACAAGAAAGACACACTATCATAACCGACTTTTCACTAGAGCGGATCCACCCAGCTTAATAGACGCTCCTTCACCACACTCGCCCCACACATGACTGCCCCAGAAACCATCTCGCGCTGGGAAACACAGCTGTCCGCCTGGTACACCACCACCAGCGAGGCTCTGGCCCAGGCGGCCCAAGCCAAGCACAACCTGGCCATTTTGAGCGCCAGGCGCCAGCTGGACGGCTCGTGGCTCCCCGAGGGCGTCACCGATGTCGACAGCTACCGATCCCAGCAACTGCAGCACGTGCAGTACCTCGGATCAGACGTGACCACCTGGATCTACCACGACATTGGCAAGGAGCTGGCCAACAAGCTGCTGGAGATCAAGAGCCCAGAGGACGAGACCAAGGCCACGGAAATGCTCAACCAGACGCTGCTGCTGCTGCAAAAACGTCACGCGCAGGAACTGGGCAAACTGCGGACCGACGAGGCCACCCAGCAGATTCTGCTGCCCCTCACCAAAGACGAGAAACGGCCTGCAACCCAGACTGATTTCTTCAAAATGATGAAGGAGATGGAGACTGGCCAAGAGGGAGGAGAACGAGACCACCGGCCCTTCACCAGAGATCAGGTCAACATCTACTACAACGACTGGCTGGAGAAAGAAAAAGAAGAGAAGGAAAAGAAGGACAAGGACAAGAATTAGAGGTCGCAGTACAAACCGACATAAAAGGGACACGGACAACTCCAATACAGAAGGAAATTCATATAATAATGCATTATAAAACGTCACCAAAGTCGATACTTGAACAGAAAGCGTGGTTGTACTGCAAATAATAATATGCACTCTGATAACAAGTACAAAAAGTGTACGACGATAGCGCCATCCACTAATTAATTTAGTGTATATTATTACAGTATTGTAACCGATAGCCAGAAGTATAAAGTGTAATGCAGTAGTAATTTCATATGGCAATTACAGTAGCTACTTATATATATAAGTATATGGGTGTTGATGGTGATGGGGGGGCTAACCCGATTGGATGTAAATATACACAGCACTCGCACGATATTCGAACGGTACTCAAACAGCACTTGAATAATCTATTTGTGCATGTAGCTAAAGGAGCCGATATCTCCTCTTCCCTCCTAACCAAGAAGTCCCTCCTCCTCTTCTCCTCCCTTGCCCTTCTTCTTTCGCGACGACTCACCCTGCTGATCGTCCTCATCCTCGTCGTCTAGAGCAAACAGAGTGGCATCATCTGTAGCCTCAATCTCGGGCGATTTCGAGCTGGAGGCTCCCTCCTTGTCCTTCTTCTGGTACACTCCCGATAGAGTGGCCTTGGTGTCGGATCGGGTGAGATCCACATCATCGGGCATGGAGTCAATGGATGTTCGGTTATGGTCTCCAAAAGGGTTTTCCTGGGGGATGCCGCCGACGTTTCGCTCCTCGTCGTCGTCTTCGTCGTCGGAGCCGGCCAGAGATCCAATCTCGAACTCCTGGGCGTCGTTCTCATCCTGGGCCAGCTCAGTGGACATGGCAAACCGCTTGTTGTTGGCGGTGGGTCGCCAGATAAAGGCAATGAGCAAAAAGTCAATGAAGTAGATGACGTTCACCCAGCCGTCAAATAGGAACCATCGGTATTTCCACTCGGAAACAATAGTGTCGGTCATGGAGCCGGAGGTCATGATCAGAGCATTGAAGAAGAAGAAGCCGCAGATGACAATGACGGAACCAAGCAGAATCCACCACAAGTTTCGGTACATCTGCGCCTTGACGTGCTGCTTTCGCTCCACCAGATACTTTGTGGTGGCGGTTAGAGAAGACAGAATCCAAATGTAGAAAGTGGTCAGAGTGATGGACAGGGGGATGATGAGGAACAGAATCACGTTGGACGCATCCACGGGGTCCATCAGATACAGGGCAATGGTAAAGATGAGGGTGAAGACGAAATGAATGCCTCCCAGAGCCTGGCACTTCCACATGAGATTGCCCAGAGTGGGCTTGACAACACCGTATCCAAGACAGACAATGAGCAGCAGGAAGAAGGTGAAGGCATTTCGCATCGAATTGAGAATCGAGACAATGACCAGGAAGGCCTTGGAGCCGGGAGAGTCTCCGGTCTCGTTGACAATGTCGTAATAAGACCACACAAACATAACCTCAACCACCAGGAAACCAAAGATACCGGTGATGTAGTTCTGGACAGGCAAAACGTCCTGTCTGTGTTGCCAGTAGGAGAACATCCACAGCAGAAAGGCCACCAGGTAACAGATTGACAGAATGCCGTAGAAGGGGTGCTTGGGGATCTGACTGCCAGGGAGGTATCCGTATGCGCTCTGAATGAAAATCTTACCCTTGTAATTGTCGTCGTTCGAGAAGGTGGCGATACAGTAGTAGCCAGTTTTGGACACGTCGTATCTGTAGGTCTCTGGTTCTCGCAGGTTTACCCGATGCGTCTCGATCTTGGCGTATGTCTCCACCTCTCCCTCCTTGGGGATAATATATGTACCCTCCTGTTCCTTGGTACACAGGTTCGAGTCGATGGCTTGCTGGTCACAAACGTACTTCTTGATACCTGTGTCGCCGGGGATGTCGGAGCCCATCTTGTCGACATCTCGGTACTCGAAGATGGCGAACGCCAGCCAGTCGTCTGTGTCTAGTTTTTCGGGGGTGAACTCGATGTAAACGTCGTGCTTTCCTCCCCAGTCCTCTTTGTTGTAGATACCCGAGCATTCCTGGCGGGAGTTTTTGTTCTGTGTTAGTCTTAGTCAGGTTGGAAAGCTGTAACCGGAGATAACTCCAAGATAGATGTGGAAGGCGTGATTAAGCATGTCTTCGTGCACGGCGCCCCAAAAGAGACACCAAAAAAATTCTCGGGAAGCCCCCGAGCAATTGATTTCGAGCGGAGATGCTTTTTGCCCAACCTTCGTGTACAATATCGAAGCCAACGTGTCCGCCCATAGCCCCCAGACCAAGTAGCTCATGGCGGGCGGTAGGTACCAGGTGCCTATTCTACTCACAATCTTCAAAACCTCGGCACTTGCTCCTAGAGCAAGAAAGGCCAGCGCCAAATTGACACACTTCATTTTCGCTGACGTGAGTGTGTGTGTTTGCGTCGTGTGTGTGGTGTGTGGTGTGCTGTGGTGAACTGGAAAGCTGGGGGTACGTATATCCGAACCATGCAGATGCGCTGTTAAACTAAGGTTGACTGGTGTGCCAAGCAGCTCATAACCTGTCGAGTCGTGGCACAGCTATGGGGCGCTTGGCGGTGCAGAAATGGGCCAATCAGATAACTGGATCGGCCAGATTGCGAAATGAATAGTCGCCACTGGCTACAGTGCCCGCAGTCCACTTTGAGCGATTAAGTTAGATAACGCATCATTCGTGCACCAGCAGATCAAATGGTGATGGAACGGTGGGATAAGCCGCGTCCCAGAGGAGCCTGGAACAGATCATGCCGAGTCCTGGGGTGGAACTGTTAGTCTACAGGCAGAATACCTCCAAAATATTACCGGAAATTTCCCATTGCTGATCTCACCTGGGATTTCTGTTCTGTAGGTCTGTCGTCATATGCTGACTGGAAAGTTGGCTGCAAGGTTGGGAGGAGTGGTGGTCAAAGAGAAGGAGTAGCACTTGGGAGTTTGGTTGGGAATAGTTGGATATATAATGTTGCGGAGGTCCCTAATTTGGTTTTCCTGGCACATTAATGCAATAATGAAGCGGCCGTTTAATGGAAAGTACCGATGTATCTAACAAATATATAATTATATATAAATTATTACCAACATTTATGGCTAGTATGGCGAGATGTCGGCGAGTAAATGTTCTTCACCCAAGTACAGTCAATTGGCTATGTCGTTGAAGGTCACTTGGGTTGAGGGTTTGCCCATCTTTTAGATGCAACATTGGCATATTACACCCGCATCAAATATTGGTCGTAAATCATTAATAAATTACATGAGTATGGTTAAAGATCCCATTCGCTCTTGCCCTGGGGCATAAGCGAGTTCTCAATAAGATCCACCTTGATATCGGAGCAGATGAAGCACTTTTCGGAGATGACATCATCGAGAACCTCCTCCAGCTCCTTCTTACAGGACACTCCTCGAGACTGGAGCTCGCTGATCCGCTTCTTGAGCTTGTAAGAAGCATTCTTGACCACAGCCTCCGTAAGAGCATCGGCCCGAATAGCATGCTGGCAGGGGAAGACATAGAACTTCTTGGACAGCAAAGGGTAGCCTGAAAGAACACAAGACTCGCCAGGCTCAACAATGACATATCGTTTCTGCTGCGTGTGCTCAATTTCTGTTCGAATCTTGTCCGCAGTGGCAATTGAGTCCTTCATTTCTCGCTGGATGTTGACCAGGTTGGAGTTGTAAGACTCCAGAGAGTCACAGATAGCCTGCTTAAAGTCGTCCACAACGACAAAGTCGGGGAATAAAGGCAGAACGTCTTCAATCTTGAGCACCTGGCTCTGTTTGAGAAGAGAAACCACCTGAGATAAGGGAATCTCGTCGGACTTGTCAGACTCCTCAATCACATGTTTGACAATGGCAAACCACAAGTTCTTGCAAAGATCAGGGGTGTAAGCGGCATCAGATTCGTCCAAATCTCGAGTCTGTTCAACCACCTTGATGGCAAGCTCCAGTCTGCCATGGTCAAGAGCAAGCTTGACTGCCTCATGGTACATGTGAATGTTGCAGTAGATGTGAACACAGGACTCGAACCGCTTGCATCGAATGCAAGTACGAAGAGCAAAATCCACATCATAGGGCAACTGAGGAAGAGTAGCACACTCGTGGAGATAATCCAAAAGCTCGGTCTCTTCAGTCTGAGGAGACATAGAAAGCAAAGAAATGAGAGTGTTGTGAATAATAGCATCACGAGATCCCTGCTTTCCCACAACATTTTTCAGGTACCGCACAGCCTGGTCACTGGCAACCTTGCCAGGTCTGACAGTCTGCGAGTAGTTCAACAGAGCAGGAACCATTTTCGTGGGGTCAATCTCCTTTCCTATCACAATCCACGTGTCAACGGTATCTCTGGGAGCATGCACCAGCAGAACCGTCGAGTATTTGTACAGCAATGCACGGTCTTCTTCAGCCTTGACCTGTCGAAGCACCTGAAGAGCCTTGGACCAGTTCTCCAGACCAACCCAGTATTGCAGAACAAAGTTGTAATCCTGAATAGCTGCAGCGTAATATAGCAGCTCCTCCTGTCGGCCGTTGACGCTCATGATCTCAAACACGGTTCCCTTATGCAAATCGCCCTTGTATTTGGTAATAAAGTCGTGGAACTTGGTCGACAGGATTCGACGCTGCTCATCCAGAGGGGAGTCCGAGGTGGCCTCCTGATCATCCAATTTGTTGAACTGCTCCATAAACAACTCGATGATCCATGTGGACACAAGCAGGCGTTGAGTGACATTGGCCTTGGGAAAGACGGTCAACTTGTTCTGAAGGTACTTGAGCAGTGCCTCAGGCTGGTTCGCATCCAAGAACAACAATGCAGTCTGTTCCAAGGGGCGTCTTCGCGAGTTTCCATAGGTGTTGGCTGCTCCAAGATAGTCCTTCTCTTGGATTTGCTTGTCTCCCAGAATACCTAGCAGTTCATCCTGAGAAGAGGGATCAGGGTCGTTTTCAGACAACCGCATAGCCTCGTCCAGATCACCCTGTTCGAGCACCAGCTTCCACATTCCTCGAGACTCATCGTCCACAGTGATTTCGTAAATGTTTTCAGCTGAGAACAACCAAAAGGTGTGTTGTTTGGGGTCAACTGTGAGACCGGTAAGAGTCTCATTGCCCTGGGTAACATGCTGCTCAAACACCAGCTCATGAGAGAACCGATTGACAATATACAGCTTGGTTTCTGTAGCAATGGCCATATGAAAACTGGTCAGACACATACCCACAATAGAAGATTCCTGGATCTGGTTGAGAATGTAAATATTGGATCCTTGAAAGAAGGTCTTCCGTGACTCCAAAGTGTCATTTTCGTCCTTCTTGATTGTTCTGTGCACAATACCGACCTCTGAAAGCAGAGCAAAGGCCCAAGATGAGGACTTGGGGTCAGGAGGAGTGGCTGACAACATGGCAGCTCTTCCGTTATCGGCACCAAACTCCTGATCTACGTGTTCTTCACGCTCAAAGAACTTGGTGTAGACGGGAATACCGTCCTGCAGGTGGGCAGAGATCTTGCCAGAGTAATAGTAGGCATGTCCATTGGCGTTTGTCACAATGATTTTTCTGTAATTTGGGCTGGATCCGAGCTGAACAACGATTCCGGTGATGGGTGTCACCACGTGGCTATCGGCAGCTTTGAACTCGGCTACCTTGCGCACGTATCTGTCTTCCCGCTTGAAGTACTCGTCCGAGAACTCCAAGCATGTCTCGTAGACGCAGCCGTCTGCCGTTCCCAGTAGCACCTCTCCTGAGCTCAGAGAGCTTTCGATGGGGGACCATGCCACGCATGTGATTGCCAGGTCTCTCAATCGGCCCAGAGACTTGACCTTTGTCGTTTGGTAGTTGAGCACATAATTGTCGCGGGTCTTGGTGGCGATGAGTAAGTAGGAGCCGGTGGGGTCGAGAAACAGGTTCTCAATGTCACATCCGCCGTCCTTGACGTCCACGTCATCCACGCTTTCGGGGTTGTCGAGGTCAATTCGAATGATTCGCCCAGACTTGAGCGCCAGACAGAGAGTGTTGTTGGCCACCGCCAGAGCCACGATCGACGAGATGGCGAACTGGAACTGCACGGGCTCGACCGCAAACTTTTCGCTTTCCACAGCTCGGTTAGGTTCCGGGGGAAAGTCCATGCTGGTGCGATAATTACTTGTAGGGCTGGTGTTGGTGATGTGGAGCTGAGCTGTGCATGCAGATGTCCAGCGAGCTTAATGGAGGGTAGTTGGATGGAGTTCCATAGGACCTACAAAATGTGAATACAGTATTTGTATGAATGCTGGGAAGTAGATTATCTGTAGAAACATTCATGCTGATTAACGGAGATGTGAGAATTACTTCTCTCATGGTCAGAAAGTTGACGATTTGCTTTTTCCAGCATGTTTCGGCCTGGCGCTATATCATCCTGGATATCTGATCTCTGTACATGGCTGATTAACGTCAGTTGATAGTCACCTTAAAATGTGAACAGGGGGATAAGACAGGCCAAAAAATTACATACAGTATAATTATACAGTAGCTACTTGTACTTGTACTTGTATAATTAAATGAATGTATATGCAGAAAAAAATAAATTGTACAATATACAGAATGTACAGTACAATACATACTTATATTATGTTATAAAAATTGTACAATATATGATGATACTGTATATAAATAAATAAAAAACCACCACGTAAAAACAAGACGATATAAAGACAACAATGTAGCCCAGTAATAAAAAAAGATGGTAATTTAGAAGAATGAAACACTGCTGAAAAAGAGATCAGACGAATTATCTAATTACAAGTGAACATACCATAGCTACAATAGTCACAAACTGGAACCCTTTTTCGTTCTTCTTCGTCAACTAATATTGACAGGAACTTGTTTATCTTGTCATAATCACGGAGAGCTCTTTCTCACCAATAATTCGGTTAAACGAAGCTTGTACCCCCAACAGTCAGCCATATATCGCATTTCGTAGCACTCTTCCCTATTCTAAAAGTTTAGCCTCGCCACCACTCCTCGTGTGCTACACCAACTCTATCCCGATGAACATTTCTGCAGCACCACACATCACACTATGGGAGCTGGCGGAATTCCATTAAAACTCCTCAGCGAGGCTCAGGTGAGTAAAGAAAAACAGAGGAGGAGTTGACATGATGCAGCAAATGGCGTATGGGCACGACTTTTGTGTCGCCACACACCCCAGAACATAACTAACACAGGGTCATGTTGTCACCGTTGAGCTCACTTCAGGACACACTTATCGGGGAAAATTGATTGAAGGTGAGTACAGAATAAGGGTATTGTGGCAACTTGAGGGATGTCAGCGGAGTCAGGACCTCGCTTCAGCTTGGTGTTGCTCGCTCGCTCAGAATCTCGCGAAGCTGGGTATCCATGTGATATTAAATTAGCACCATGTGATTGTGCCGCAGAGACCGAATTGTTCGTGGAGGTTAGACGACAGATAGGGCAAGCTGCTGAACGGAGCTTCAATGGAGCGGTTTACGCGGAAAGATGGACCATTTGTTATGTGTCGCTGCATTGATGGAGTTGAAATCGACCGTGGCTTATCAGAGGACGACCATAAGCAAGCATAAACGTTTCATTTCAACAAACGAGATCATGCGGCTCGCAGCTGTTTCTCAGAAACCTGGATATACTGCCAAACACTTTCCCCTTAGACCACCATACTAACTCAGCGGAGGATAACATGAACGTGCAGATTCGAGACGTGACCGTCACTGCGCGAGGAGGCCGAGTGTCGCATCTCGAGCAGGTTTACATCCGAGGATCCCACGTGCGGTTCTTTTCCATCCCCGAGATGCTGAAGAACGCGCCCATGTTTCGGCCTCAGACTCTGGCTGCTGTGCGAAGCAGCAGAGGCCGGGGCGGACGGGGACGAGGAAGATGATGTATGTATTTGCTGGTTAGATGTAATGATGAATGTAAAATAGATATTGCGAGCACGAGCACGATAGTACGAGTACAGCACAGGTATCGGTACTGTACTGTAACTTCTGTGGGAATTTTGTCTACAGTAGCAATATTGTAGGCCAAGTAAATATGGTCATGATAGAGTAATTATCAGGCTGGAAGAAAAAACGAAGGCGAGGGGTCCGTATAATGAGGGAGTACGAGACCAAATGGGCACGTATAATACTCTTAAGGTCTTATAATTCATCCATTACTATTTTTAAGACCTCGAATACATCTCAAATCATACAAATACATTCCCTAAATTTTCTTCACATTTCATCTCATCTGCAACTAATTAGTGGGGTTAACCCTAATGGTGTTTCTTGACTGTGTGTCAATCATTCATAGTCCCCAAATTGCTCCGAAAGCGATATGTTTTCGTTAAATAATTCACTGAAACCAAAAACCCAGGCTTCATTAAACAATTAATCATTTCATCAGTTCCTATACCTCCTTTTTCTCCGTGTCCTGTCATCTCAGCTTTTCCGGGGCTTAAGCACACGTAAATACCTCCCAACACCTTAATACGTTATCACGCATTCTGGAGTCGGCTACACGACTAACACATCACCAAACTCGCTCCCAAAAATGAACAAGGCGGCCATCTACGCCAAGTACAACATCTCCGAGGACTATCCGGAGACGTTTACGGAGAGCGAAAACTTTGATCTGTCGGTGCTGCCCGAGGCCGATCCTGCTCAAGAGACGAAATCAGGAGCAGCATCAGCGTCCGTCAACACCTCTCGATATGTGCTGCTGAACCAGCTCGTTGGCGGCAACAAACACAGCAGACACGCCATCACCGACGACGAAGCCGATCCACTGGGATTTTCGGCCTCGGTCATGACTCAATTACGTAAAAAGGGCGTCGATTGCAGCGAGTCTCCGGCCATTGCTAACCAGTACTTTATCTCGTCACGAGACTTCAATCCCCGAGTGTTTCTGCGAGACGTGCATGCGGACGCCTCTTTCGACACCCTTGCTCAATCGTTGGACCACCTGGAGGCTTCAATTACCGAGCAAAGCTCCGCCCTGCAAACCCTCGTGGACCGCAACTTTGACAAGTTCGTCAAGAGTAAGAGCTACCTGGACTCGGTATTCAAGCAATTCAAGTCGTCCGGGTTCACCCAGGAAAACGAGTGGGGCATGGGAGAGCTGACACAGTCGCTAGATGAAGGAAACAGCAAAGCTGCGATCCTGATGAATCCCGTCTTCAACACACGACTCAAGGAAGAACGGCTACAGGCTGCTCTGGAGATGGTGACGGCCAACAGATATCTCTTCGAGCTACCCTCGACAATCAGAGCACACATCAAGGCTGGAGACCATGAGAATCTCATGCGAGACTACAAACGAGGCAAGGAGACCAAGAACGAACGTATGGCACAGGCAGAGCAACTGGGAGACATGACTACCGTCCACATGACCGATAGAATGTGGAACGACGTGGAGGATATCATCGAGGAATACGAAAAGTCATGCTGGACGAAACTGGAAGCTGCTCCTGCTGGATCTCATCTCCCCAGTATCAGTAGGCTGCTAGAGCTTCAGGTTACCACAAACCCTGTCGTGTACTGGGTCAAGCATCGAGCTGCTGTGATTCAACAGGAGATCAATTCTACCTGCGAGAAGCTCATGCTCAGTATCACTATTGCTCGAACCGAGATTCTGGCTCTTCCAGAGAATAACACCGTGTGGGTGGAGAACATTATTGAGGAGGTTCGAGGCCAACCCTGTGCTCCTCCAAGCACAAAGATGTGGATCACCGTGAAGAAGTTTGTGGTGGACATCAATGCTCTTTGTGCTCGAATTGAGGCTCTGTGGAAGGGAACTCGTGACTTTATTGACGGTATTGCCCAACAACAGCTGCCTCCCAGTGAACACCTAAAGTTTTCTGAAGTCGATGCGCGAACTCTCTATGCCAGCATTGGCGGTCTGATCGACCTTGCTGCTCAGCAGATTGGTGAGTTCTTCACCCAGAAGCCCAAGGTCATGAACCACTCCAAACTAGACGCAGCCGACGTGGAAGGTGGACCCGAGAGCTTTCAAGAGACTTGGAAACGGTTTGGATTCCTGCCTCCTCATTCTAACGCTCTTACCACCTGTAAATACCTTCCTCAGCTTGTTCTGGACCTCGCTGTATCTTGTGGGAACATTGTCAACACCCGAATCCCTGGCCAGAACGTTGAAACCCTGCGTCACGTGCTGGACTTGGCCCGAACCCGATCTGTTGAAGCTCTTTGTGCCGTCTGGAAGGACGATACTTCCAAGTTTGAGCTGTTGGAAAATTGGAAGCCGTCCCGAAAGCAGGGTAAGGGTCACGTGACCCATGTCCCCCAAACGGTGTTTGAGTACCAGAAGCTTGTGCTTAGTGGTCTCAAGAAGGTACTTTTCCTCAACACAAACGACCAGGGCCAACGAGATGTCCAAGTGGTTCTTCCTCCTGCTCCCAAGCTTCTACAGGCTCTCCAGACATACTTCCTCTCTACCAATCTTATGATTGTGGACTCCATCATCAAGCTGGTTTCTGGAGAAGAGAACTCCAAGCCAGATGCGCAGTTGCAACAGCTTGCCACTCGACTCAAGGGTGAGATGGACGCTACTGACTACATTTCCGTGCAGACTTCTCCCCTGCCTGCTGACACCAAGATTCTGTGGGTTGTCAGTAACCTGGGAGAACTAAAGACCAACGTCATTCCTCCCCTGGTCAAACAGTTCCAGAAACAGTTTAACACACAGGTCAAATTTGACTACGACGCGCTTACCCAGAGTGAACAGAAGCTCTTCAGTACCTACACAGCCCCCAAGAAGGCCGCTCTGACCGCCGTGATCAAGGAGGGTATTCAGGGCAACAAGGAGCGATGGCCCAGCAACGCCAATCCCACCGATATCTCAAACTACATTTACGAGTCTCTGCTTTTGCTGGTGGTTGTGCATGCTCAGCTCATGTCTATTTCTCCACAGTTGGTCTCTCCTGTTACTCATGCTCTTCAGCAGCATGCACTGGAGTCTCTCCTTGAGGCTATTCGAGAAGTGGAGCTGTTTGGACCAGGAGGCATGTACCAAGCCGTTGCCGACATTGAGTTCTTCCGAACCATCATGGCCTCCTACAACACCAACAATGTACAAAACGTGGTGCAACTTATTTATCAGGCCATTCAGCAGAGTTCTGGTGACCAGAGCGCCTGGACTGGTAGACATGGACCTTGGGAGAAGGTGCAGAAGCTGGTGGGCGAGTGCGCCACAAGAACTTTTGTTTGTTTCAGTTGTTTCCGAAGCTAGCACTAATTTTAGTTGATGTTTCTTCGACCCATCTTTCCAACCACATACATTTACAATACTGTACGCGAATGGGCTTAAATACTCTCGGCAGCCTTGTAAAGGCATTCTCATGGTGTATTTAGTGGACATTTTGTCGAGTAGAAAACTGTAGAGTCCTTGAATGTTGTAATTGCAGCGTATGTAGGGGCCAGACTGTCTGAATCACTGTATGAAAGCGATGTCTTCAATAGCCAGTTGCACTTTACAGCTATTGTTGATTCTACAGGAACACAATACCCTACCTATCACTCGTATTGCTTTCATATGAATCGCATCTTTATCATTCCGTACACAGTTCACCTCTCTCCCTCCTAATCCTATCATAGCATATATTGATCTAAATTACTGTACTGGTGCGTCAACCTCTTAGTTTTTCTCAATGAGATTGGCGTCAAAAACAAGGTCAATCAAAGTGGAAGAAGACCATGCCTGGGTGGGAGAAGAGTCTCCACACAGCTCGCCGTCCTTCTGAGTGAGCTCGGTGAGTCCAGCCCAAGGAGACTCGTGGATCCACTTTCGGTGTTCCTCCAGACGTGAAGACAGCTGCTGGTAGACGGAGTCTCGGGCCTCCTTGCTGGGATGCTCGAACTGGGCGAGTCCGAAATGCAGGAAGGCTCGGAAAAAGTAGCCGATGTTCCACACCCATTCAGGACCCTGATGGTAGTTTCGGCCCTTGGAAGTGGCAAAGTCGTCGCTGTCCACACTGTTAAGGTAGTAGGGTCGGTAATTGAGATCGGAGGGATCAAGGGTAGCCATACCGACGGGACCTCGAATGGCCTTGTCAGCCACCGACAAAGCGTGCAGAGCCTTGTCCACGGTGAAGAGCTCGGGGGCAACAGACATGGCAATGGCAAAGTTGGGTCGAAGCTGGTAATCTTCGTAGGGCTTGCCAGATCGGTACAGATCCTTGTAGATGCCTCGTCGGTTGACGATAGAGGAGTCCACATCGTAGTCCTTGTCCTGGGAAGCCTCCTCGGGCACCCAGTAGCAGTGCTCAAACGAGTCCTGCACCTTCTTCTCCCAGTCGACAAACTTGACCTTGTTGCCGTCCTGGTTCTCCACCTCGGTCCATTCAAACAGACCCTTCTTGTTGAGCTCGTTGACGAACCGCAGCGAAGACTTGAGCAGGCCGGCAATCTCAATGGCAGATCCATCTCGAGGAGTACCGGGGTAGCCCTTGTTGCCAGCCTTGGCACTCTCACCCATCTTATCCATCCAGGTTCCACAGTTCCACTGGTTACCTCCAAAGATGAGACCGTTGCTCCAGTCGACAGTGATCTTCTGGTTGAAACCCTCAGACTTCATCTGCGAGTCAATGTCAGGGCCAGCATTGGCCTCTCGGAACTCAATGCCCTTGGCGTGACGGGTGAAGATTTCGTAGATGACTTCTCGGATGGTGGAAGTGGTCTGGAAGGCCTCCGGAGAGTCGACAGGCACGTACTTGTCGTCCAGGGGGAATCGTCGGGTGATTTTCTCGTCCAGAATCTTCTCTCCGTCAGGGGCAAACTTGACGTAGTCCTGGATGGCCTCCAAGAAGAACCATGTGGCATCTCGGGCATTGTATCTAGGGTTTCTGCCAGAGTCAAGTAGGTTGGGGATCAGACCATGTTTGAGAGTTTTGGCAAAACCGAGGATGTGCGACTTCACAATGTCGAATCGACCAGTGCACAGAGCAAGACCTCGAATGGAGATGAACACATCTCGGCCCCAACATCGCATGTAGTCCACGGAAAAGTGGGGCAGACCGGCAGCCAGGGAAGCAACGACCTTGTCAGGGAAGACAGAGGCAGAAGGGATCTTTCCAATCATCTGGATGGACGTCAGAGCAAGGTTCTGCACAAAAATGGTCGAGTCGCTGATAGAAGAGTCCAGCAGAGAGAGCGCCTTGTTTCGCAGAGCAGCATAGGCAGTGTAGATGATAAGGGCAAAGTATCGGGGATGCAGGAAGTTGGGAAGAGAAGAGATTCGGTCGAACCGGCTCTTGAGCCACTTCTTGAAGGTGGCGACGTCAGGGTACTCCTCTTCGTACTTGCCCAGACGGTCTACGGTGTAGCCCATGGCCCAGTTGCCCTGTCGAAGGTGCTCGCACAGAGGATGACCAAGGTTGTTATCTGCCACAATTGAAATAAGAGGGGACACCCAACCCTGGATGCCGGCATAGGTGAGCTTTCCGTAGCCGGGAACCTCGTAGACGCCGTCCTTTCCGCCAGAGAAATCTCGCTCCTCGGACTCGGCTCGGTAAAGAACCACGTTGAGGTCTAGCAAGTCAAAGTTGGACACGGCCTCGTCGGCGCCAGTTCGCACAAACTCGTCCATCTCCTTGTCCACCTCCACGTAGTTTGTCTTGAAGAGCGCAATGGAGCCCGCGGGGAAGTCAGGAAGAGTGATAGTGGTAGTGCCGTTCTCAAACTTGATATCGGCGTCTCCAAGCTCCTCGACCTTGGTGGGGATACCAAAGATCTCCTTGTCGGACTTTTCGGGGTCTCCAGTCTTGACGAGCTTCACAGCGAGTACCTGCTCGGCCTTGGAACCAGACAGAGTAATGGGAGCAATAGTCTGCTCGGGGGTGTGCTCCTCAAACTTGGTTCGAGCAACCAGGAAGTATCCATGACCGTCAATAGGGGACAGTCGGTGCACAGTAATAAATTGGCCTTCGTGGTGAATGAAGGTCTCCTCGGCATGCTTTCGGCCAAGCTCCTCGTGAACAGCGTACAGCTGAGCCTTGATCTTCGAAATGCCGCCATCAAAGTTGTATGCACGATCCTCGCCCACAACATCAAGCAGCTTGGGGTACACCTGATCGTAGCCCATGTTGGAGCCCACGGAACAGGCACACATGGCAACCAAAGCGGCGTTGGGCAGAGTGTCCTCCACAGTTCGTTTCTGGGCAGGGGGGTTGTTGTCGTGAGTGCAGTCCATGAACAGAGCATCGACGTTGCTCTTTCGAACCAAGTTGATGTCCAGACGATCACCAGCAACATCAACTCTTTCAACACCATCCTGAGTACAATGAGCCAGAGACTGCTCAAAGAAGGAGCCAATGGGTCTACCGCCGTGTTTGTGAACAAGAGTGGACAGCTGGGCAACGTTGTCCGCCTGCATAGCCTCTCGAATCAGAGCAGTGATACCGAGACGCTCAACGAAGATTCGATCTTCTTCCTCGGAGCCAGTAAACAGCTCGGCAACAACGAAGAGGTTAGGTCGCACCTTTCGAGCCTTGTCAAGCAGATACTGGCCGACAGGAAGAGGAGTGGAGTGACAGTTGTCGACTCGAACACCATGGAAGTACTTGGCACAAGTCTGCACGTACGTGGCCATGTGGTCCCACAGCCAGGGCGAGTCCTCAGGCTTCTTACCGTATCGAAGCTTGACGCAATCGCCCCAAATGATCACCTGTCGAAGCAAATAGGCCTTCGACTTGTTGGAAGCGAAGTCAACTAGAGGGTTGGCTCCCCACATCCATCCATTGTTGGCCAGATGCAGCTTCTTGCCGTCCTTGGAGGTGATTCGGGTGTAGTAAGTCTCCACCAGAGGGGACTTCTTAGACACCTCCTGGCCATGCTGAGGTCCATTCTCGTCCAGTCGAGTGTACGAAACTCGGTTCTTCACCTGGTCCAGAATGGTGACCTGGTCGGCGTTGTACTCCTTGTAGAAGGGGTCGTTAACTTCATCAAGCACCTTCTTGACCTCAGACTTGACCATATCGGCAGGGAAGGCCTTGGCATCAGTGCTCTCCAGCTTGGAAAGATAGGTGGCAATGATTCCAGCGGCCTTGGCCGCATCAACCTTCTTACCAAATCGAGCGCCAAGAATATGGGCGTTCTCAACAGCCTCCTCCGTCACGTACTTGGCAACTCCCTTGAGATCATGGGCCCAATCGGGAAGGTTGTCAATGTACGAAAGAGAGGACCAGGCTGCAGCAATGGCGTCCACATTCTTAGAAACATCCAGAACGTAAAACTGCCACAGATCAAGGCCAGAGACGGTGTCCTTGAAATTACTCATAATCTCATCCAGGTGTCCAGGGTCTCGAACAAGTCCGACTCCATCGGAAAACTCGATAATGGCGTCGTCGAGAACAATGGCAGACTCCATGTGGGGAGCGGTCTCGACATTATAGCAGGCCTCGGGATGCTCTTCCAGCCAGGTAGTGTTGTTCGCAGTATGATTGAGCACAATATCAATCATGGCAAGCATGTCGTACTTCTTCTCCATCTTGTCGACAAGCTCGGCCACGTCGGAATCGCCGTTGGGGAAGATTTCCTTGTCAAACTCTAGCTGGTCAAAGATGGAGTAGGGCGAGTTGGACTCTCCTCGGGTCTGAAGAGGAGTAAAGTGGATCATGTTGTATCCGGTGTCCTTGATGAACTGCAGCTTGCTGTCCCAGGTCTTGTAGGGGCCCATCCACTTGGAGATGATGGAGATCAGAGTAAGGGCCGAGAAGGGCACGGGCTCGCCATTGAGGGTGTAGCCAGAAGACACGTTAAAGTAGTACTCCTCTGTCTTGCCGGTGGAGTGAGACTCTTCGGAGGCGTTGAAAAAGTCCTTTCGGGGGGTCTCAAATTCAGCGTAGAACGAGTAGGCTCCGGGGGCGTAGATAGGGATGTCAACGTAGCACTCCTTTTCGAAGGAAGAGGAGATTCTGTGTTAGTGGGTACTCAATTGGGATGATAGGGTCGTTCACTGGGTAGGTTTGTACTCACTCAAAAGCCTGGTACTTGGTTCGGTCAAAATCGTCGCCCTTCTTGGGCACGTTGGTCAGGATCTTGCCATTTCGAGAAATGTCACTGACCGAAGACACCACCAGACGCAGGTGGTAGCTCGGGTTGGGAACCGGCAGCGAGATCAAAGATCCCTTGCCCAGAGGCCGGGGTTTGCCGTCGTTGTTCAAGGGCAAGACGTAGTATGACATTTCAGGAGAAGATGTCTTGTCGGTCTTGGTTGCAGTAGTGGTGGTCTTGGACACGGGTTTCTGAGCTGCCGACTTGGTCGATTTGGTGATCTGGCTGGGCTTATGAACAGAGGAGCTCTTAGGTTTCGTAAGTGCCTCGTTGCTGTCGGCTCTGGGTGAGTTAAGCGTGTTTCTAGTGGCAGCAGTAGGTCTGTTCGGACTGGGTTCCCTCAACAGTGGTGTCGTCTCTTCTGAGTTTCCTTGGTCCTGCTTGATGCCGAATATCCAGCAAAAAATCCTCCACGGGTACGTTAGAATGCTGAGCAACGACAGTGTGGGCGGTGGCGACTCGTCTTCGGGGGTCGGTGGGGAGTCAAGAGAAAAGACTGGGCGCCGTAGATAATCTCAAAATGCCACCCAAGGTTGGTAGCAATCATCCCATAGCCACTGCATGAACTTTAAGCTACAATTGTTGTCCTGGAGATGGGCTAAACGAGTCTAACAAACGGCTGTAGTAAGTGGCAAGAGCACACGACCGTCCGATGAATCTAGCGGAGCAAAATCCGACACAAGTACACCCATTTCAGATTCTCCCGCCCTCTTTGGATTCCCTCGACATTGTCTCGCGCTCGTATCTATGCGCTTGCATTTGGGATGTCCAACACGCCAACACGGAAAAGTTTCCTGGGCCAAAGTGGCTATTCTTGTAGCTAATGTCTGAGTCTGGTAAAACGCTGCGTGTCTGCGTATCGACTCTTTTGGAGCGTGTCTCACTCGGCCTCTCAGTTGGGTAATTGCACGGTGTCTTTGTCAATCTGTCTGTGTATGAAAAGTGCGAGGGCAGCAGCGTGTCTATGGGTTCTTGTCTACATGGTCCATTGTCCACTGGATACGGCACACTCACACTCTCTCCACACACTTAGTTGCTTCTTGCATTAGCCAAAGACTCACTTAATCTCTGCGGCAGGCTATAGCAAGGCAAGGTGGACACATGGTGGGACGATTGCGTGCATTAGCGACCGGTGGTTACTGCTACTTGTGTGTACGTTCCGGGGACAGAAGGAATTCGGCAGGATAAAAGCTGCGTCCGACAGGCACCTGAGTAGTTTATTCCTGATAAGCGGGAATTAGAGGAGGAGAAGAGGGAATTTATAACGAGAAATAGAGGGTAAATGGACCATCTAACAAGTTGGATTCAATTCCTCATGATTTGATATACTCCCATACCGCTCGCTGGCCCTCACTTTTCGATATTAGTCCATTTGTATGACATATGCCCCCTCAGTTCTCCACCATCCCGGAAAAACTCACTCCCGAGTAACCTTCAATTTTTGGTTCCCAATCAGGCCGATTGGCGCTTGTTCTGTTTTCTGCGCAGGAGAATAGCAATGAAGCGCTGTGGTTGCTGATACACGCTGGGGAGACGTTTGGGCGGCCAACGGCCTGGCGTGTTGTCTACGTGAGGCTTTTAGAACCGAGACAATTGAAATCCAAACACATATACGTCGGCAAACACTATAAAATAGCGCGCCAGTGTCTCGTTTTTCAAGCCCCCAAAATCATGCGACTCCGTCTCTTCCTTGTCGCTTCTTTCGGGAGCAGCTTAACTCCGTTAAGTCCTAATTGTAGAGAATGAAAGGATGATAATGTGTCGTGTGCAGATGAGACGCGGAGGTAGATAAGTCACGTGAATGGGTCACCAGTGGTGTTTATGGTGGCACACTCACATTATCACCGACGGTTCAGTACGTGGTACGGTGCTGTATGTACTGTTCTTGGTGAACTGTAGAATCCTCAGTGTGCTTTTTTATACTGTAATAACATAATACTGTTTTGTTAGAGTTACTTATGTTGGGTTAGAGTGATTAGTAGAAGCAGCTGTCGGGTTTGGTTGATGTCGCTTGTTGAGAATACACAACTGAATGTATTATGGTATTATAAAAATAAAAATGCGGGCAAGTGTTTGGTCGTTTGGACCATTATGGTGGAAGAATGTATTTCCAGATAGTTGCATATTTGTATTCGCATTTCATTCTTCAGATCTTCTTATCTCAGCGTAAAATACATATGAAGAGTTTCTGCCTTGTCAATGCTGTTTTGAGCCCTATTGTAGTATATTTATCACAACATGGCCAACTATAAAGTAATAAGTAGTTGGGTCAATAGTTGCGTTGATACAGCAACCCCCAAGCATATCTAAAGGCACTCCGATTTAGTAATAACGCGCTCAATTGCATTTCAACCTCCAGTCACCTACAATTAAAGGACCCCACGTTGTCCCACCACCCTCCATATTCCCACAGAGCACCCTCTCATTTCTCCGACGATAACCCGAGGGTTAAAGTTGCATTGCATGATTCCCCACAGTTCTTCTCCTATGATTTGGATCACATCCCGTTAAGACTCAGTCATCACAGTCATGCTACGACAGTTCATCCGTTCTTACTCTACAGCGTCATCAAGCACAGCCAGCTCAATTGCAGCGCTCAAGGCTCGGGCTCCTTGGAGAAAGCTCGATTATGTCTCTCCCACCCAATCTCAGATGCTCAAGACTTCCATCAGTCATCTATTCCAGCAGCCCGAAAAGCAGTTTCAGGTGGGTGATGCCGTGCCTCCGGGCTTCCACATGGCCTACTTCAACCCCTGCGACCCTGAACCCACCCTCGCATCCGACGGGTACTCTGAACAACAGGCTCCAGGCGAACCATATGTCAACCGCATGTGGCTGGGAGGCTCTGTGGAGTTCCACAAGGGACGGCAGCTGTCCATGGGTGAACAGTCCACATGTTCCGAATCTCTGGTTCAGGTGAGAGAGCCCGGATCAAGCACATCAGGTGATAAGCTGCTGGTTACGATCCAGAGAGATCTCAGAAACGATTCTGCTCCGGCCGAAGAGCCTGCTGTCACTGAGAAACGAACTCTCATTTATATGAAGGCCGAAACGGGTCAGAAACGAGGTGCTACCTTTGAAAAGATAATCTCCCCTCCGGATGGAGCTACCCACTCTGTGTCCTTTGTTCCCTCTTCAACACTGCTGTTCCGGTACTCAGCGCTGACCTTCAATGGACACAAGATTCATTATGACCCCGATTATGCTCGAGAAGTGGAGTCTTTGCCTGCTGTCATCGTGCATGGACCTCTTACCGTGACTCTCATGCTGACCTGGATGAACGGCGTCATTCAGAAGGATCTGCCCGGCAAGCGTATTGCTGCTTTTGAGTACAAGAACGTGCTCCCCCTGTTCTGCAACAATGAGCTGACGTTGCGATGCAAGCCTCTCATGAACTCGGACGGATACAAGGTCTGGATCGAGAACCACCACCAAAGTCTCTGCATGAATGGTACTGTAAAGGTGGAGTAGGAGGGACTCGGTACGACGAGACGACACACCATAGCTAACTGAATGTATTCTGAGTACACTATGAGAGGTGTAGTATACACCTCATGACTCTGATTAAGCAGATCATGGAAGGTGCTTCTACGGCGAGTCAATAACACGATATGTCCGGGCATTCAATGACGTTTGAGCGTGTAACGAGAATATCCAACCAACAGAATGTACAGTACATACTTTTAATGCATCCGAGTCTCTCTTGTTTGCTCATTTATTGTCTCCTTCAGTTCGTCGGATTTCCGAATGGCTTGTTTGCCACCAGCTGGACTCTGACCTGATGCCAACAGGTCGCCCGTATTATGTTCAATACGTTTAATCTCCCTTATCTGTGGTACCGAACCAATAGACAGTCGGAGTGTTGGTACCAGTCGTCCCAAGGGAGTTTCAAAGAAACAAAATGGCCCCACCTGGTCCCGAAGGCACTCAAGATCAGTGTCAGTTTTGATGCTGTAGAACAAGAAAATAGAATGACGACTACTTGTAGTATCATTTGTCAATAGTTCAATACGTTACAGTTACGTAGTCGTTATAATGCTTGTAGTTCAACTGCAGTATGTACATACTGTACTTTTTTTTCTGCATATACAACTACAAGTAGTAAACTTCACCAGATTGGGTTGTATCTAGCTTCGAGAAGAACGGTGCAACTGAACTCTTTAAAGAGAGCTATACACTGCAAGTAGACTATGTACATACACAGGAACTGTACGTACAGTGTACAATGCTCAGACTGTGGCTGTACTTGCCCTATCATCTCAGCTACAGCATAATACTTCTCGTACAGTATACAATAATTACGCCACCACTATCAACAGAGGCCTTGCTTCCAATCTCCGATATCATTCCGCCTTCAAATGGCAGGAAGTATGGGGCTCAGCAACGGCACTACGAGCCTCAACAAATAGGCTTCCAATATGACATCTCCTGAGGCCACATTTGAGGACAAATGGCATATGAATTCGGGCCAGACAAAGGTGGGGTACTCATACATGAGTCCCATCTCTTCTGATTAGGTGAGAGTGATGTACGAGTACGGTTATCGTACATATTTCACTTCATCTTGGATATAACAGTTGAGACTAAACACTTCAAGGCTACATCTAATTCTACGGTTGTATAGTTAAGCGAGTATTTCGAATAGTTTATCCCAAGTTTGTTTAAATGTAGAGCGCCACGATATGTAGATATACAGTAGCCTCTCACTTACAGGATCGTCCTGGACGACTCGGCACGTTCACCATTTCATTCGCCTGCATAACTCATGTCATGTGCGGAGATAACGCACGTGAGGCGTCGGTGTGCCCCAAAAATACCATACCTCCATAAGTTATAAATGCGTCCATTTATTGCAAGTAGTAGCTGCGGCCACCCCTGTGTCACTAATATACCACCCTTCCGCCATGTCTTTTCGGCTAAAATGCTTGAAACGGCGCATGTCGCAGATCCAGCCGCTCATCCAGGTGCTGGCCCATCTCCACAACATCAACTATTCGGCAGACTCCCTAGACCCAGAGTTGTGGGACAAGTTATACTCGTTGCCCATTGCCATGAATTCGAGTATTCAGAGCGAGATGTTCGAGGAGTGTGAGTACGAGCCCTCGCAGAACTTTCTCAACCAGATGCCCATCATCTTGCCCCGAGAAGCCTTGGACAATCTCATGAAGTCTGAGTGTGTGGCAGATTTCTTTGTCACTCTCATCAGATATGTGTATCCCCACATTGGCCCACTACTGTGTCACTTTTCCAACATGGAGACCGATGTTGAGAAAGTCCGCATGATGCGCGTCTTCTTCCAAAAAGACAACTGGGCCGACGTCGCCGACTTCATGAACAACTTCTACTATGGCGCTCTGGTAGTTGCATTGTCTCCAACTAACTTCAGATCTCATCGTTTCGAAACGTGGTTTGCAGAGACATATTTGCTGGAACTACTCACACCCATCTGCAACTATCTTCGGGTCCAATATGGCAAACCACAACGTCGGCTTAATCAGTACTAGTCGAACACGAGTACTTGCTGTACAGTAAGATGCAGCCCACACCCTTTAACCTCTTCCAACTAGAGCTATTTATATATTTATTTGCATTCCTTCATACCCGTTTGTCGTCCTGTAGTATCAATAGTATTAGTATGTATTTCCTTTTGTAACCCATGCAATCAGCCTCTCCGTGTTTAGTTGTCAGCCTAGTACAACATAACTTTGGCGTCAGATTCGTCCAGAACTCGCTTGATAGCAGGAATGGTCTCTTCCAGATCCCAAACGGAGTTCTTCTTGGAGTCCAAATAGGTGCTCTCCACAACAATGGCCTTGATATCCTTGGGAGTCAGCACCTTGCTGTCCAGCAATCTCAACAGACGGCCAGGGGTAGCAACACCCACAGATGCCTGGGTCTTCTCGACGGCAATAGTGTCATTTTTGATAGTGTTCTTCTTGATGAACTTGATGCTGCCGGCCTTGAGAGGCTTGAGGTTTCGGTGCACGTCACACACCCGAATGGCGGAGATGGACAGCACAATGGTCCACTTGTCACATGCATTCTTCTCCAGAAATCGGGCCAGCTTGTCATCGACTCGAGGAGTTCGCCATGAGGCCGTCTCCTTGATTTGCTTCTCGCTGATGGTCAGCTCGTTGATCTCAATGTTGGAAAGATCGGGGTTCTTGGCTCGCACCTTGGCGGCAATGAAGTCCGCAATCATGGCGGAATCTTTGAGGGCAAGTTCGACCTTGGCCTGGCTGTAGTTTTCGGCCTTCTCCTTCTTCTTCTCGACCGCGGACTCGTTCTTGGTCTTCTTCTTCTTCTTCTGGGGCTTGTCTCCGTTGGACTCGGGCAGAACTCGCTTCTTGGTTTTGACAATCTCCTCCTCCTCGTCCTCAAGAGGAGCCAGATCCGCAGCCTCCGTGTCCGAGTGTGTGTCAAAGGTGTATGCAAGGCCGTCGTCTAGTTCATCCGAAGCTGTGAATGCCATTTTTCTGTGCGGTTGATAGTGCGTGATGGAGTCTTCAATCTTTTTTGACTGGTTGCATCACACAGGCACTATTTCAAAATAGAGTTGCGCGTTCGAGGAAGTTCAATCATAATCTGTTGTGGGTCCGGCACTGGTTCCACTCGTGTGTGAAAATAGTAAAAAAGAACTTCATCGGGTGGTCACCATACCGATATATCGAATAGAAACCTATGTTTTTTGACAGTCCGCCACTTTCCTCCTTATTGCTTAGTCATCAGATAAAGTTCCATCAGTCTAACCACTGCGAGACGCGATGTTGTGATTTTATTCTCAGGATATGGACCAACCTGTGAAAACACCGTTAAGACGAGGCTCGTCTCCGTCGGGACCGAATAGCTCGGTCAAGCGACAAAGACTTAACCATGAAACGCCCAACAAAACGCCAAACCGACTACCGAACACGCCCAACCAGATGATGGTGGCGGCGACTCCGCGAACCAACCGCGTGAAACAACGACTGGCACAAGCAGCAGCCACTCCTCGACGTGTCCGAGAAGACACCGGTCGACAAATGACACCCCGTGATATCCTCAGAGCTCTATCACGCGTGATGGTGCGTGAGAAACAGGCCATAGATGAGGAGGATCGGATAGCTGGCTCAGGGAGTAAGGAACGAGAGACTGAAGAGTCACAAGATGCTTCGCCGACTTCTGCCCGATCTCGACTATCCGGCCGACTGTCGGAACGGCTTTCAGGTCGTCTTTCAGACGCCACAGGCATGATGGGACAACTCAGTATGGGTTCTCCTACACCTGATGGAGCTGTGGGAGTAGGAGATGTGTCCATGATGTCTGCTCGTTCTGTGGAGTTGCACAGACGGGTCAGTGTCATGTCTCGACTGTCTAATGCGACGCGTATCAGTGACATCTTCCACACTACCAATAGTGCTGAAGAGGAGGTGGATGGTGGCCAGACGCCAATATCCCTGACGCCATTCAAGCAAGGCGAGATGCTTCCCGAGATGGATCTGGAGTTTGGAGAAGAGATTGGTAATGATATGGCTGCAAGCAGCGACGAGGACTTTGGAGGAGCAGTCATGGACTACGATGGACCAGAAGATGAGGGGGGAGAAGAGAATAATGAACCTGTTTCTGATGCTGAGGCTCCGTTCTCACCACCACCAGAGGGTTTTGTTTCGGATGACGTGGTTGATGATGTAGTGGACGAGGTTGTCGATGTAGTGGACGAGGTTGTCGATGAAGAGATGGCACTCAGTCAGCCAGTCGAGACCATGCCAGATGTCAATATCGAACTCGACTCGCCTGAAGAAGATCCTGTGCCACAAGACGATCCCATTCTGTTTTCTGACGAAGAAGTGCCTACCCAACCTACAAAGAAGCCTGCTGCCCGCAGACCAAGGAGGAAACGTGCTACAGCAGACCTGCCCCCTTCTATCCTCCCTCGTCCCTTCTTGAAATCATTGGTGGCCTCTATCACCGGAGACAATGTGGATAAGAGCGTCATTGAAGAGCTAGTCACCTCCTCAGAAATGTTCTTCGACCAGGCCGCAGATGACCTAGCAGCTTATACAGACCATTGCAAGAGGAAGACAGTGGAACCAAAAGATGTGACACAATTGATGAGACGACAGAGGCTCATTAACAACTCTTCTGATGTGCTCCCTCTAGCCCAGAGACATCTTCCGGCCGAATTGATAGCAGAGCTTTCAGATGTCTTCACTATCAGAGCTCCTAAACGAAAATCGAAGAAGACCAAGGAGGCCGAGGAGGAAGAAGAGGTTGAAGAAGAAACAATCGGAGAGATCACCGAGGACCACATATAACTATTTATTACTCAATGTATTTATTATAGACTTGTTTGTCGTTTGCCAAACTGAAATCACAACTCACCATCGGCGCCGTGGGTCGGGGTATCTCTACACTCTAGAAAAAAATTCAAACAACTGCTTAGTCAGCGCGTTCGAAAAGTGCAGTTAGGTCTATGTGAGCTGTTGATGATAAATTTTGGCGCCCTTTTCCCGGTATCTGCCAAGTTTCAGTCACATTTCCGTTTCCACTCATGACTGTCTGGTATGATGTATGTTCCCATTTCAACTTTACACTATTAGAAATAAATCAACAATCAAGGTTCCTCGCTATAACATCATCTCAAGCAATGGTCACGATACACCCGACGCCAGTGTATGCTATTAAGACACGATTGGCAACCTCCGCAAAGGGCAAGCAACAAGGAACCAAGGTCTTTCTCAACGTCTGTTACGACTCCAATGTTCCTAGCCCCGATACTCCGTTTGGACCAGAAACTCTTCGCAACCTAGAGCAGGGCATCGACTGGCACATGCCTGTGGTGCTGGGCAAGGAGCGAAAGGACACCGATAACAAAAAGCAACTGTGTTACGTGTGGGACTGTGTGGTGTCTCTGTCGGTTCTGGAGGCCTCCATGTCGTCCATTGAGGTCAAGTCTCTCTTGATCGAGACATGCATGGGGTTAGTGGAGATGAACTATGGGCTAGTTCTGAGCAGAGAATTCACACTGCCCAATCTCACGGCCAAGGGCACGCCGGCAGCAATCAAACTCAGGGCCGAGGGCGACGAGGGGGTCTCGGGTGAAGACGTTGACATGGGATCGTCTTCAGAGACGTCATCATGCGAGGCATCATCCTCGTCAGATGATAACATGGCAGATGATATTGATGCTGTTGCAGGCAACATTCTGCAGTCTCGTGGAGATGATCCGGTGGCAAAGAACAAGTCAAAGACAAAGCCGGATGATACACCCATGCCTATGCCTCCAGGTATGGAGTGGAAGCCTGATGTCTTGGATAAGGTGAGCATGGATAAGGAGCAACGGGAGAAGGAAAGACTTGTGGAAGAAGTCAAGTCTGCGGGATCAAACAAGAATTTCATCATCACACACTCGATCCGAAAATTCAAGCCCAAAACCCCCGACACACAAAACCCTCCTGCCTTCGAAATAGAAGTGGTCTTTGATCCCACAGCAGATATGACCTGTGAGCTCGTACAGAAGGGCTCTAACCTGGAGCTGGTCGGAAAAGACGGAAAATACACGGTCCCCCTGTTTAAAAGCATGTTGAAGGCCAAGTTCGAAGCATACCTTGTTCAAAAGGAGCATATCATGTGGATTTTCGTTTGGCCCACGGTTTAACAAACGTGGCTTAGACACTAGACACGCGCATCTATACACACATACATACTTAGCATATACGTAGTCACTACATTACAACCCATTTACAAGTACAAGTACATACTGTACAGTTCAGAGCGGTTTTACAACGTTCAACGTTTATCTATACATATATATATTGTCAAATCATGGTGTGAATTGCTGTCTAAGCAGGACTGGAGGGGGCATTAGTATGGGGCAGGAAGGCAATGTTGTCTCGGAATGCAAGATATTCGGAATCCATGAATCCAAGAACACTCTCGATCTGATTACTCTGCAGGCCCTTGATGAGCTCCATTTCAGTGGAGCCGTAGTTGACAAGAGCTCGTCCAACCTCCATATCGGCAAAGTCGGGATGGGGGATCCACCCACCATCCTCCAGCTTTCGACCAACGTGGATAGACACGGTCTCGGATGTGTGGAAGGTGCCGACGGTTCCGAGGAGACCGGCGGGGAGCATACCAGCTCGATTCTTCCGTGTAAGAGCCTTGTAGCAGCCAGCATCGATGTAAATCTTTCCAGCGGCACTGAGACCATGCAGCAGCCAGAACTGTCGATCCTTGATGGGCTCCTTGTCGGCGATGAACTTGGTGTGCAGAGGCACGTCCTCGACCACCAGTCGCTCCAGTTCCTGGGCCTGGTAAGCGGGAGTGACAATCTCCTTGGCGTCGGCCTCGACGTCGTACTTCTGATTGTATTTGACGATAGCTCGGATGTTTCCGGGGACGGAAGACTTGCAGATGACGGTGGTGGTTCCGACAGAAGTGGCCAGCTCAGCTGCAATCAGCTTGGTGGTCATACCTCCGGTTCCGACGTTGGAGCCGGTAGAGCTGACATCAACCTTCAGGGAGGAGATATCATCGACAATGAGAATGGGCTTTGCGGTGGGGTCGGATCTGGGGTTGGCAGTGTAGAGACAGTCGACGTCAGTCATGAGGAACAAGTAGTCGGCGTTGGCCATTCCGGCAGTGATGGCAGACAGAGTGTCATTATCTCCGAATCGGATTTCGTAGGCGGACAAAGTGTCGTTCTCGTTGACAATGGGGATAACACCCATATTCAGCAGCTCATTGAGAGTGGCTGTGGCGTTGAGGTACTGGGTTCGGTCGGCCAGATCGTTTCGGGTCAGCAGAATCTGTGCAATGGGCTGACCCATCTGTCTGAAGAGATCGTCCCATAGACCAATAAGACGGGCCTGTCCGACGGCTGCAACAGCCTGGACCTCGGCGATACCCTTGGGTCGATCGGTGATACCGAGACGCTTGAGACCCACAGCAATACCTCCGGACGAGACAATGATGACTCTGTGGCCGTCTCGCTTAAGCTTGACGATGGTCTCGACCAACAGAGACATGTTGGCGATTCGGGGTTCTCGTGTGACCTCATCGACGAGGGACGAGGTTCCTGGGTTAGTACGGGGTGCGGAGGGTAGCAATTGGTTTGGCGATTGATCGATGATGACGTCGTCTGACTTGTAACTGTATGTCGCGCAATATGAGGGGACCATGTGGCACTGACATCACGGGATCTTGTCCCACACTTAACATTGCTACAGCAGTATCGGTGTGGTAGCAGTATCAGCAGTGTGTCGGAGTAGGATGTGTGTAACGGTGTCCAAGTAACTACTTGCGGGATCAGTTTACACGGGCATTCACGACCCATTCACAAATGCCACTGTATCCTCTGTACCTGTCACTCAACACAACACCACTGTGTCTGGTGATCCCCACCACTGCGATAATCACTTCCTGATCCCATATTTTTCACGCTGTCGGTCAGGGCATTTTTTTGTGCTCTTTGAGACCCGTTTCTCCTCTTGCGTCTGTCGTACTCACCCAGTTTGATAACGATTGTGTAAAGAGATGCCATGGTTGTACAAGTGGAGATCTCGGGTTGAAGGAAAACAGTATTTCGATTTTCTAGTGGAGTCTATGACTGAAGGCTGCTTTGAGTTCTGAGGGGTGCATTAGGGGAGCGAAGCCGAGGTGCACCAAAGATAGGCTAAACTGAATAAATAAGAGACACACGAAAGGGTGTAAATAGTGGGGTGAAAGACAACCCACAGAGCTACAAGTAGAGGGGCGCCAGGTGTCGATTTTTCGACCGGGAGTGCTCGATTCGGACACCGCTCTCCCTCCAAGAATACCCCGGGTTCCCTCTTGCACATTGGGACGGTTGGAGATCGATGTGTGCCATGCGGTCTTTGGAGCAAGGTTGGCATGTTCGTCCATTCTCTTTTTTTTTTTTTTTTTGTCTAATTTTTTTTTTTTTTTCGCCTGTCTTGGTTTTTCTTTTTCGCTCTATAACTGTAGTTCCTTAACTAGACATGGAACATTAACCAGGAGGCATGTGTGCTTGCGCGAAATGGAGATGCCCGTAGAATGATTATAGCGCCCCCATTTGCCCAGAATAAAACCTGTCAGGAGATTCTTTAACTCGCTTTCTCCTTGACTAAGCCATTAGCCTCCCAGGGCTCGTTACATATCGTTACTTTTCGTCTCATTCGACGGTGACTTGTCCGAACCCAAAATCCCAGGACTGCGTGTTAAACGATATAGTTGCTCTCTTTTCCTCGCGCACCACAGGCGGGGTGATGTCATGATACAGTGACGGGTTCCCCATCAGGCAACCCGCGAGAAAAGACTGGGATCTAAGCAAGGGGCTTGTTCCTCTGAGGTGGCCTTTCCTCCGGCCATGATGATGTTTCGGCAGGAGGCGGATGAAAACCCGCATACGGTGGCTGTGACGATTGCGCGTCAACTGCGCATGGAACAAAAACGGAACACGATGATTGGCCGAAAACTTGGCACGGACCTGGACACGCAAAATGACGGCCTCGATATTGTATTTATATTCCTGGGACGCATGAACATGTGAGACGACCGATGTGGACACGTTTTTCCTCTATCTCTTTCGCTTTTCTCGAAGTTAACATTTATCTCGCATCTGTGATGCAAAATTAGTACTACCTCGGGAGATAGCATCAGAGAGATGCAAGGACTGTGTTGTTTCTCATGGTTTGTGATTGGACTAGCCGGCGGGGGGTGAGGGGGGTGAGAGGTGTGAGATAATTTTGCTTTTGGTCTCGCTTTATCGCTTTCCCCGGCCTTTTTCAACGAATCTTGCGATCATTGGGATCCACCTTTACTGAAGCTATCAGGAGGGCCTGTAAAAGAGAGCCCCTTGTCGGTGAGTAATGAAACCCACAATAAGAAGACGCTTCCAAGTATCATTATCACCAGACAATTAGAGCTATGCGGTGTTTGATGTACACGTGCTTAGTTCTTGGGGGAGCGACTAGCGTCTGGAAATCACTATCTGGACAAGGGCACCCAGAACTGGACCAGGCAGCACAGATAAGGAGTATTCGGGTATAAAACCGTGTTAGTCACAGGGCCGTAAATGAAACATCATTTCACACATTTGTTATGATCTGTTGGTTCTCCAGCAACACCTCTGTTGTCCTCCCTGACTGAGATCCCTGCCCTGCTTCGATACCCTTATCTTCCCTGACACGGTTGCGTACAGTACTAACCCTCGAGGCACAAGAACAAGGCAAAGTGGATCAATAGTTCAGCCTAAAGACCTTTACAAAGATGGGTATATCTAATCACGTCCGAACTTGAGACACTCCAAGCTGCTTATCTAAAGTTGATGGAGGTCACCAAGATAAGAGCCCGACAGCAGGGATTGTGCGAAGGTGAAATAGTCGTCGAGGAGATGTCGACGCCAAGATGCCAAGAGATGGGACAATTTCTCTTGGCGACAATTTATATATATATAGTCCACCTCTTTTTCGTATTCGCTACTCTCTCGCTTACCCTGTATTGTTTATCGCTGGATATAGAACTTTGTCCCTGATAAGACCCAGACTCAAATCTAACAATTCAAACACTGACTCATACGAGTCGGGATATGGATGCAGATTAATGGAGACCAGTACGATCGTTATCTGATAGCCTAAATAAGTATCTTCGTCTATGTAAAGCCTGGAGTCCCCATGTCTGGGAGCTGAACCTGCAATCTCAAACACTCAAGCACCATGTCTGAACCCACGCTCGAGTCTCTTCAGTACACCATCAACACCGCATACATGCTGGTGGCATCGGCTGGAGTGTTTGTTATCACTCCGGGAATTGGCTTATTCTACGCGGGCATGCTCAGGAAGAACAGTGCTATGCAGGTGATTGTTCAATCGTACATCACCACGTTTGTTGTCACGATACAATGGTGGATATGGGGCTATGCCCTGGCATTAGGAGATGGAAGCTCTTTTCTAGGAAACCTGAACATGGCTTTCCTCAAGGACTCGAACCCTGGTCCCTTGGTCGAAGGAGGTCCCGTTCCCAGTGCAGCCTACTTCATCTTTTCCGTCTTCTTTCCCGTTTGCACTGTTCAGATCTTTTTAGGGAGCACAGCCGAAAGAGGCCGTGTGATTCCGGCGCAGATCATCGGGTTTCTGTTCACTACAGTGGTATACTGTCCTCTGGCATACTGGTTCTGGGCACCCAAGGGCTGGTTGCTGGTTCTAGGCACGCTGGATTTTGCTGGAGGAGCACCTGTTCATATTGCTGGAGGAACCGCATCTTTGGCCTATGCCATGTTCCTGGGACCACGAAAAATCACCCCCAGATTCCATGCCTATAAACCACACAATGCGACAATGTCTATGATTGGCACGACTCTCATCTGGTATGGCTGGCTGTTCTTCAACTCGGGGACTCTCCAGGCTGTCAACACCCGGACAGCTTACATCATGCTCAACACCCATTTGAGTGCCTCTGCAGCTGGAATGACTTATGTCATCTACGATAAGATCTTCCACAAAAAATTTTCTATGATGGGTGCATGCGAAGGAGCTATTGCAGGACTGGTCGCTGTTACTCCTTCCTGTGGTTACGTTGCGCCATGGGCTGCCTTCACTGGAGGCATCATGACTGCCCTGGTGTGTAGATTGACCATAAACGTGAACAAGTGGCTACGAGTCGACGATGCCATCTACTCGTTCAATCTCCATGCCATTGGTGGATGTATGGGATCCCTCGTTACCGGCTTCTTTGCGTCTTCAACTTGGACTGATATGGATGGCAGTAAAGACGCTATTGCTGGAGGTTGGATTGCCAACCACTGGGTCCAGATCCCTTACCAGCTGGCTGGACTGGGAGCCACTATTGGCTGGACGTTTGTCGTCACCTATATTCTCTGCTTTGTGGTGGACAAGATTCCGGGCCTGAAGCTCCGAGTAGATGAAGACCAAGAACTCAAGGGTATGGACGCATATGACATTCTGGAGTCCGCTGGAGAGACCATTGACGGTGTCATTGTTAACACAACTGAAATTTTGGTGGCCCATACTCCTGCTCATACTCCAGATAGTGGCTCTTTTGTACGGGGTGAGAAGAAGGAATAGGTCTAAGTATTTAGTTTACCATTTGTTTAATTTATGTAGGCTTCTGAAGTGTACTGTAGCTGGAGTGTCTGAAATATGGTGAGACCAGGTCCCGTACGGTTGTTTGTTTTATACGACTAATGCTTGTGCTATATCGTAATAGGACTCTTTCCATTCATGTCAGCATCCAAAAGTACAGTATCAATATCATTGACACTGCTCCCAACTATTGCCATTCATCAACATGACAGCTGATGGCATCCAGGACGCTGTATGAAGGAGGTGTAAGTGCCTCTTTGTTACCCCTGATATGTCGAGTAGAGTTCAGTGTCTGGTGGCATTGGTGGTGAATATCAGAACTGCTGATGCAAGAATGAGTATTTGATTTCTCATCATCCGTTTCAATTTATTCCTCCACTTTCATCCAGCTTGTCTACGTCAATATTATTATGTCCTGTATACTCAGATGTTTTCATCTAACCTCCCAGTTCCGGGGAGCACATAATAATAATATCCCCCAGACAAGACGAACTTGGCACCCTCCAGTTTTTGTTGTTGGCAAAACGTCAAGATGTCAAATTATGACAAGGTCACCTATCCTCCACCGCCACCGAGTGGATTCCGAAACTGCAACAGTCTCTCTCAACACACCATGCCCCACGTTGAATACTCCAACCAGGACGTTGAGCTACTGTCCAAATGGAGTGTACGCACCCTGGAGCTCTTTTTGCAGGTGCGCAACCTCCACATTCCCGAAGACGCCTCATATGTGGAGATTCTCGATATGGCCACGTCGGCGGCCTCGGTGCCCATCCGCGTCGTTAGTCTTACCCGAACCATCTTTGACAGAATGACCCATTTGCAGCTCATTTCGTGGCTCGAGAGTCGGGACTACGTGGTGCTCCCCAAGGCTAAGCCCATGTTTACATCGCCACCTGGAGCGTGCTACACACAGAGACAGGAGCTGCTCAAATTTGCCAAGACGGATTACGTGGACAACATTGCGCATTTGGACAGTGAGGCCAAGTACGAGCTGGAGACCAAACTGGCAGACATCTTCTCCACCAGCTACGCCTTCACTGTCACGTCTGACGTTGAGCAGCCACCATCCATGGGTTCCTATGGTACGCTTCACAGAAACCACTACCAGGACGAAGACCTGGAGATGATTTGGCAGCATTTCTTTGGAGATCAGCTCCAAACCACCCCCAAGAGTCGGGAAGAACGGGCCATCATCATCCAGCACTGCATCCGGGTCTTTGCACAGGGTCCCCGAAGATTGCTCAACTTGTAGTAATCAAAAATGTCGCTGTCATCCTGTCATGCTCAATCTAGGAAATTCCAGTACTGTAGTGGTGATGTGTGTTTGTAGTTCTTCAAAGTCTGCCTTGCCAGAAGAGAATCCACTGTATTTAGAGTTACGATCTGCAAAAAAGTCTACATAAAAAATTGGTACATAAACGCGCTTGAGAATGCACGCGACTAGGAACCAAAATCTGCAACTCCTTGGTCCCACTCCAACGCCAGCCATGAAACCAAGACTCAAGATATTCGTGCTGGAACCCATCCCGACCCTCGAGATAGGCGGTAGCGTCTACCGAAGCGACCCCCTACGACCCACACACCACATTGCAAAGAGGTTCTTGTACCTGGTGAGTGATCCAGATGAGACGATCGAAGAGCTGGCCGACAAGCTGAAAGCCACCTTCATGGAGCTGTACCCTCATCACGCGAAACCGTGCATTGACTCGATCCAGGATGAAGCTGCATTGGATCTGGACAGGCGGTTTTTGCTCCGGGAAGTGTTCGAGGACAACAGCCTGGTTCGTATGGTCCTGACACAGCCCACGGATAAAGACGAGCTGGGTAACTACCATGCGGCCAAAGCACTGGCTGCCCGTGAAGCTGCTCGCAAGGCCAAGGCTCGGGCCGAGGGACGGCTTGTGGATGAGGACGAGAGTTCTGATGACGACTTGGATGATGACTATGAAGAGGATATCATTGAGATCAGACCTAGAAGGATTACTCCGACCAGAAACTGACGCGCTCTGGACATGTTCACGGATCCGGTCCAGGACAATTTGCGGATCTTGATTCCATATAGAGGGAATGCATTATTTATTTGGATGGGGTCTTGTACAGTATCGTAGGCGGCTGTAGTTGGCCTCAACAAGGTTGCTTTCCTGAAGCAAGTCTCCAACGGTCGTACAGGAGATTGTGCATAATTGTAGTTGAGTTTTTGGTGGGAGTTCATTATGAGGAAAGCCGATTACAAGTATTGATAACAAGTAGAAAATATAAAATGCACTACAGAGTATTTTGTACAAAACCAGTACAATCGGTGTAGTACAGCACGGTTACATTACATCATCAAAAGAGGAAGAAGGACAAGCTGAAGACGAGCCATCAACTTGGATCCAGTGTTGGCCTGAGCGACAGTGGTGGGGACGGAGTCAATCTGAGGAACTTTGGCTTGAGGAGTGGAGGAAGTGTCGATAGTTCTGGTCAGAACAATGGTGCCAGTAAAGGTGGTGGTTGCTCCGCTTTCAACAAGAGTCTGGGTTGTGAGAAGAATCTCGACCGAGTTGGTGGGTCGGGGCTCGGGAATATCTGTGTTGGTGGACAAAGCTGCAGAAGTTGTAGTCGAAGAAGCAGTAATGACACTGTCAGATCCGGTATCAACGGGCTTTCTGGAAAGAGCCTGAGTGGGTTTGGACTTGGTTTGGGTCACACCGCTACCAGTGATCTTGAAAGACTCAGTCTCAAATCTCACAAGGAACAACCACTGCCAGAGTCTTACCCTCAATGACAGTAGGGCAGGTGGTGACTGTGCGGATAACGGGAACTTTTGTAGTCCAAATTACAACAGTGTGGCCACAAATACCTTGCTTGCAGTAGGTGGTGGATACAATCTCAGTGACATTCGTCATAAAGACAGAGGTGGGAAAAGTTCCAGAGCCTGAAGAAGGGGTGCTGGCAGTGGCAGAAGAGACAGAAGAGGCGGGGGAGGCGGAAACTGAAGCGTCAATAGCGGAACCGTCGACTCTGGTAGAAGAGCCAGCATCTCCCAAAATTGAAGAAATCAAACCAGTGACTCGAACCGGAAGCTGTTACGGGAGATGCATCTTCAGTGATTGAACCAGAATCAGAGGCTTCTCTAGTGGTAGCAGAACCGTCATTGGAGGCAGACTCAAGGATAGAACTCGTGGCAGAGGCAGCTCCTCGACACGGTAGCAGACACTTCATCTGAAGTAGTAGCCCAAGTATGAGTAGACTTATGTCTGAAGTAGTAGCCGCAACCTCGGCTGACGTAGTGGCAGACTCCTCATCCGAAGTAGCCGCAACTTCGGCCGACGTAGTGGCAGACTCTTCAGCTGAAGAAGTTTCAGAGGTAGCTGGAGATTCCTCCTCCTGTTCCACCACCTGAACAGATCCTGAACCTCCTAGATTCGATTCACCACCAGTGGCGGGCGCAACACAGTAGTTGGCGAGCTCCTCGCCGTCACGTACAAGGGGGCCACAGTTGATCTAGTTTTCCATGATTACATCAGCCTCAACCGAGAAAGCAACTGCCACTACCCGCTCGTCTTGAACATTGTTGACAAGGGTAAAAGACACCGGATCAGAAGTGAAAAGAAGGTCTTCGAGAAGACTAGGTTCAATCGTCCTTTAGATAATATCGTCGTCCCCATATTCAATGTATTTGTTGAGGCTGACGAAGCCGTTAGGCTCCACAATGTTCACATTGTCATCGACGGTGACAACAAAACTCGTGAGAAGATCCTTCGACAATGGGAGAAGCAAACCTGAAGGTAGCGGGGTTTTATGAAAGGTGCGTAATTGCTCACATCTGGTTCTGTCAAATCAAATTCCACGATGGAAAGTGAGTCAGTAAGGTCCCCAATTGAAACAGAGACCTCCCCTTCAGACATGGCAGAAATGACGTCAAACACATCTCTCTCCCTCAATTGATTGGGGGGCATTCTCAAGGAAGTAGTCCGTAGCTGCAGCTCTGAAGGAGTTACCTTCGAAATTGGAAACCACAAATACTGGGGCTCCAAGAGAGTCCAGAACTTCAAAGCTGTAGGGGCTCGTCATCACCATCCCGTCAATGACCATGTCAAAGAAGTCTCCGGGTTGGATTGTTTCAGTGGTGGTAGCATCAAGTTCAAACCCTAGCTTTACCTCAATAATATCCTCATAGGTTTGACGCAGATTACCTGTGCCCTTGAAGCCCACAGCCAGTGATGTGAAGGGGGCATTAAGTTGTGTCTGAGCCAGAGCAAGCGAAGCGAGGGAAAGAAACGGGAGAATCATGGCTGGTTGGTGATGGAAAGAGACCTTGATCTGGTGTATTTATATTGGACATTTTCCATGTCTTTGTGACCCTGTTTATGTTTCAAAAGTCTCGGCCTGTCAGTTGTGGTCGAGGTGAACTACATGTATGGCGTATCAAATGTGAAGCTTGCAGTTGTAGTTCGTACATGTTAGGGGTCTGGTTCACTTTGGTAAGAGATTTTTTTTCTCCACGAGTATCAGTCATGTATCTCAAATCCATTCTCAACATATCGCTCTCATTACCATCGTCAAGATTCTCTCCCTTGCTGTCTTCGCGCCATTGTCGTCCTAGATTCGTCTCGGGAACAGAACATGGGCTACAACGTAGTTCGAGGTAGACCTGCTAGTTGACTCAATTGGGAAGCCGGATACCGTGGAATGTCATTTCTGGTGACTCGATAGGAATGCAACAAACCTTCGAGAATATGTGACATTTAGAGATGGATCCGATACAGCTACAAATACTTATAACTACAGCATGTACAGGGCGATATAAGAAAAAATCTATAGATACAGCTTCTAATGCAATAGGCATAGAACATGTAGATTCATTTGCAGCAAGAACGAGATATTGCATACAGTAGCGTAATAGCAAATCAGAATCTACAAGTCCATTGGTTATTATTGAACCATCACACGTCATATCATAATGAAGCAGCTACCCTATTATTTACTGTACTTATCTATTGTGCTGTTTTAGGATTCGTACCATCATATGCATGGATTTCACTTTTACGGTATACAGTATATCAGATTGTCCTGTGGTGAAAAAAAAGGGCACTAAAATTCAACTTTTTCTCCTGCCTGCAACTTTTTTTTGGCAACTGAGGCCTCCACCTTGTCCAGAAGAGTCTGGGTGTAGCCAAACTGGAGGACCTTTCCGTCCAGGAGACTCCACAGCGACGCCCGATCTTTGCTTATACTGGACTCGTAATGCTGCTGCTTCTCGAGATCGTAGATGTGGTATCCCTCCGAATGATGGAGAACCACGTGTTTGGCGTCCAGGTGGTCGGCCCAGAGAATGGCCTTGGATGCCAGTGGCTGATCGTAAGTCCACCGTCGCATACTGACCAATCGAGGAATGACTCCTTCGTAGATGAAGTAACATTTGACAATCTGCGAGCTCTCAATCAGATACATGCCGCCATTGAAGAGAATGGGGATGGGTCGGGTCTGGGAAGCGTTCCATGGAGGACTCTGGAACGGTTTAATATGACAGAGCTGCCACAGCTTCTGGTTGTCCCAGTCGACCCAATGGAGGTGATAGTTGAGACCACGGTCCTTGTAACTGATGAACTGTTGGTTACTGTGGATCTCGAGACTAGGAAGATGATCTTGTATCTTGTTGACGAAGATCATGGCATGCGCACGGGGAGGGTTTGCTTGGGTTTCTGAGTCAAAGGCTTGTTTTGCACTCATGGGCTTCACTTTGACCAGGTAAAAATGGCCTCTGTAGTGCATATCGGGATCGTAGACCCAGCCAGTCTTTGGGGTGAGCTCTGCAAAGATTACGGCTGTCAGCTCACCATCGGGACTGACAAAAGATGCTCGCACCACGTAAAACCAGTACTTGTCGGGGTCGTTAGCTCGAGTGGAGTGATGTGTGGCCCACAGGTAGTACTTTCCGTCTCGCTTTTCGGTGAATATGGTTTGGCCCCGGCTATTTACAGTGTTGTTGAGGGCCGTGAAGTTTTGCATGGACGTGCTTTTTTCTGTCTTTGCGTGTCGCGCACTGTAGACTGTCTGGGAGGCACAGTCGAGTCGCACTTCGGGGCGCGATACAGTGGTCAGAATCAGGCTGCTATTGGAGCCCTGGGGCGACGGTCGGGTTGGAAGAGAAAAGGTGCTGGAGTGATAGAAGGGTTTTGATTCAGTGTCTACCAGCTGGTTTGTATGGCTTCGGGGGGCCAGGGTGACACTGGTGTAGAACATATTTGGGTCAACATGGGGGTTGGTAGTGCCGTTGGTGGTGGTGACAGGTGTATCACCGTTGATTTTGTCGTTGACATCTTCGGTGACAGCTTCACCGTCAAGGTCTTCTGTGTTGGTGTCACCATTCACACTGTCAAGATCATCTGATAAGGCTAGTAGTTCCAGCTCGTCTAGAAGACCGGGGATCTCGCCAATCTCGTGCTCTCGAAAGTCGAATTTGATGTCGTCACCTGCCACCTTGGATGCTTTAGCAGACACTCTTGCGATTCTTTTCAAGTTTCTGGCAATCTTCAACCATGAAGCTGGGTCGTCCTGATCTTGGGACGCCCAAGGGCAGAGTTTGAGAGCCTTGTGACGGGCTGCAATTTCGGCCATGTCTTTTTTCGATAGAAGCGGTTGTCCGGAGTTGTCGATCCAGACGTTGGTTTGGCACGGTTTTTTGGTCTCGTTGTGCCAGAAAAACCGCCAGAAACTCTTGCGACAGGCTTTTGGAGGAAGGTCGGTGACAAGCCGGGGAAGAACCTGGGGAGTCTGCATGATGGAGGTATGTAATACAGGTAGCTAGAGGTTGGAGGGGTTAGTTTGGTTCTTGGGGGGGAAAGGAACGAACAGAGACTTGTGTACATACATATATATTAAAAGATTGAAACAGTATGGAGACGATGGATAATGGCATGGATCTAAATCTGCTCCGTTTTCAGTTCCATACAATTGATTTATCTGGTCTGGTCGTATCTTTGAAGTCTCCTGATAGTCCCTTTTTGAGTTCGAAACTCCTGCCAATCTCATCACACTTAGCCTTCAGACTCGCGTTCCATACGAGCCAGAATCGTATGTTGAAACTCACTTGAAACTTTGGCCAAGAAGAAAAGGAGACAAAAAGACGCGCCATTAAATGAAGGAGAAAATGGGTTTTGGAGGGCCAAACTCAGATCAACGAGTCGTCACCGGTATTAGTTCGTGTCACGTGAACCCGATTCAGCCATAATTCTGTCGACTATTGTACTTCAGTCATGCTTTCCAGTATATGGATGTACTAACCATGGTTACGAAAATTGAGTTGCATCCAACAATGGAGTGCCACAAGAAATGTGAATATTTGTATGATAGATTGTGGATCTACCGGGGAACTAATTCTACAAGTATAAATACAAGTACAATTGCTTGTACTTGGATGTCGTTATTTATAGACCAAGTGTTCCATTTTGCCTCTGCACTACAAGGTCTTTTTGAACCCTCAATCAAATGATCCTTCCATTAAACACCCAAAATAGCCCATGGATACCATAGACTAGAAGTCTTCATTTCAAGCATAATTTCATGTCTCAACCAACTGACCAATCCGGTCCGAAAACAAAATGAAATCCATACCCCAATCTGTGCAATAATATGCACATTAATATTGTGTCCCAGACAGTATGTTTCACAATTGAGTGTAGCCCCTCTAGCCCCTTTGCAGTCTATGCATTCTCGAAGATGTCTTGAGATCAAGCTGTACGAGAACATACTGTAGTAAACAAGACAGTGCAAAAGTACTCAGTTCAAGACTACAAATAATTAATGTGTGCGACAATAATACAAGTACCATCTGAATCAACTAAGAATTCTGAGTCGATTCGTAAACATGTGTCGCCCTTATATAGATAGTCTTCTTGTACTATACTAAGGCGACATCTACAGTAAAACACTTCCAAACTTACCACTGTACAATCCAAGCAATCATGGGCATCATAAAGACAACTATTGAATGTGATTATACAATCATATGTAGTTAATTGGTGTTTCTGAGACTGTTACTGAGCCAGGATGGGTATCCGATGGTGGCTCAAACCTGGTGGCTTTTATGCACTTTATAGCAGCCACCCACTTTAGCAAACGATCTAATGCTACTCAATTCTCTTCGTTCCCTTATATAACTCCTTCATAAAATATAATCGATGATTACTTATACTTGCACACCTCCAGCTAGGCCCCACGGCCTCTTTTAGAAGGAACAAACATGCTGGGTGGCGGTCGTCCTCGACTACCTCTATAAGGAGCATTCCCTCTGGAAGCTCCACGCGGCGGATATCCTCCTCGCCCACCTCCAGGAAGACCCTGATATCCACCTCTATACTCTCCTCCGCTATGTCCTCCTTGGTAGTCGCCACGGTAACCACCTCGTCCCCCACGATGAGAGTCTCCGCCGTAATGACCTCCTCGGTCACCATGATAACCTCCTCGGTCACCCTGGTAGCCTCCACGGTTGTTGTTGCCCTGGTAGCCTCCACGGCCACCGTTCCTGTCACCGGATCCATTGTTTCTATTGTTGTCAAAACTGGAATCGTTGTAGTAGTCTCCTCGGCTGTCATACCAATCGTTGCGAGAGTCAGACCGGTTGTCTCGGTCTCGGTTGTCCCGGTTGTCCGGGCGCTTCTCTCGGCCCTGGTAAGAGTTGCTGTCGCTCTTTCGCTTCTGTCCAGCTGCAGCAGGGCCAGTAGGAGTCTCGGGGGGAGCTGCAGAGCCAGAAGATGGTCCAGTGGAACCAGCAACAATCAGATCCTGCTTTCGCAGAGGTCGGTTACCATCCATCAACATGTCTCTGTTTCTGGCATCGTTAACGACTTTTCTCCAAATGGTGTTTCGACTGAGAGTGTCGGCGTTACCAAGAATCCACATGGACGACCGCGCTCGGGTAAAGGCGACGTTCATTCGCCGTTTATCGGCCAAGAAACCAACGGAATCAGAATCGGGAGAAGCTCGAACACACGACATGATGATGATATCCTTCTCTTGACCCTGGAAACCGTCGACAGAGTTGAACTCAATTTTGTCCAGAATATCTCCTCCGTACTCTCGGGTAAAATGTCGCTTCAGACGCAGCACCTGCTGCTTGTAAGGAGAAATGATACCAATGTCAATCTTGCCGTACATGTTGGACATGAGTCTGTATAGCTGGTCGGCAAGGTGGACTTCGGCGTCATTGAAGAAGGAATGGTTTCGCGTAGCCTCCTGGTTGCCCGCAACGTCAAAAAAGGCGTAGGGTGCCAGCTGCTTGTACTCGTGCCACGGCTTCTTTGTCTTTTCAGCCATACCTGCACCGTCCTTGAGAATACCCCGATAGAACTGCTCACGAGGGAACACAGAGATGTCAGGATGCATACGGTACTGTGTATCAAGCATATGCAATGCTGAAGGGTTGGCGGTCTGCATACGCACAAACAGCGACTGTTCATACTTAGACTTTGCAGCGACAGTAGAGAGAACGGTGGGGGGTAGCTGGTTGGGATCTCCAACCATGATGGCATTGGTACATCCGTACTTCATGGGGATGAGAACCGACAATTCAATACACTGACAGGCCTCATCGATGATGACCGTCTCAAACGCTACACCCAGACTCTTGAGCATGTTGTGGGAAGACGCAGACAGAGTAGAACATATGATTTCAGCCTCCTTGAGAACCCGAATGTTAAGGTTTCGCTTCTCGGTCTCCTTTCGTCGGAAGTTGGCAGCATGTTTCTCTCGCTGTTGATCAATTTCAGATCCAATCTTGTTCTTCTCTCGGTTGATCACCATGAGACGGGACTGGATACTGGCCACCTCGTCGTTGCTGAGTTTGACACTGTTGTCATCGAGCTTGGCAGACAGCTCCTTACGCTCGTCAAGAAGCTTGTTCATCTTCTGACGAAGCTCGGGAGTACTGTTGACCACACTGTCTTTCTCCTGCTCCTTGAGTAGTGCGTCAACCCGCTCTTCGAGAACATACTTCTTGACCTTGGAGTTGACGGCTTCAGATCGGCCAATACGGATGATCTTGGGCTCAGACTTTTGACCAGAAGAGGAATAGATACCGTCGGAGAGTCGCAGCACCAATTCGTCCACGGCGGCGTTAGAAGGAGCACACAAAAGAATTCGTCTGTTGTCATTGCCAATATCAGAGGCTTTCTTGGAGAGGAAACTGCCCACAATACCGAGAATTGTCTTGGTCTTACCGGTACCAGGAGGACCCTGGATGAGCGAGAAGCCCGTGTTGTTGAGAGAACCATAGATTGCAGCAGCCTGAGAATCGTTGACCTTGTAAGTTTTCTGAATATCGGCAAGTTGAGAAGGTGATCCCTTTGGCAAAGGCGATGCCTTGGCCTGCAAAATCTCGTCCTTGAGATCGTACCACTCGAGAGCCTTGAGAGATGCATATTCACGCTCAATCGTAACCATGCTGTTGTTAGTATGTAAAATAATGTCGTAGTCGCCTTTATACTCACTTCATAACCTTGTAACCCTGCCAAGAAGTCTTGGGGTTAACGTCTCTGGCCACGCCAGTGTTGTTTGTTCGAATGATGATGTCGAAGAACTCTCCAGCAGCCTTGACTTCCTTGATTTTACCGAGACACGACGTCTCTCGAGACGAATCTTCGGTAGAAGTCAGCAGAATCAAAGTGCTGTCGTTGATAATGAAATTGTTCATAGTCTCGGCGGAAATTGATGCATGGATGTCAAAGAACTCGTCCACCGAGGTTCGAGTACCAATCGTGATGTTGAAGAGCTGCTTAGAGTTGAATTGCTCTCGTGCCTGAGTGATTCCTTGCCAACATTCCAGCAACAGAAGAGGCTCCATCGTCTTGGTGTACTCCTCGACATTCTCAAATTTGTCAGGAACAGTAGTCAGAGTTTGATCGTCTGTGGGGAAATGACCATCTCGGTTGAATCGCCACAGTAGAATCTTCTTATACAAATTGTCCAACCGAACGTTGAGACGACTTCGCATATTCCGCTCCTTGAGCTCTGCATTGGACAGCCGAGGAGTGTTACCCACTCGCATCTGGGAAGCTCTGCCGACGTTTGTCATGGACGAAATCTGGTTGATTCGACGGGCACGAGTCTCCTCCAGTTTCTTCTTCATCTGGGCTGCAAACAGAGTATCGTCTTCGTCGTCAGATTCAGAATCCTCTTCTTCCTGCTGCTTTCTGTTGAATCCAGCAGGTCGAGCGGGCGCAGGCTTCGCAGCCTCTGCTCGGCGGGCCCGCAGCTCAGCTCGCAACAAGTCCTGGGTCTTGTTCTTGTCGGGCAGCTTATCCAGGCTCGAAACATGAACAGGAGGGTTGGGGATGTTCTTTGCGAAGGAAGTGATGTTAGTCTGTCGAGCGACATTGGTGCCTACAGGTCTGGGACGCTCGGCCACAATCTTGGGTTGCGACTCGTTGTGCTCATATAACAGCTCCTCCACCCGCTCCTTGTCCACAGCAGATGTGGCAGTAATCAGTCGAGAGCACTGCTCGTTGGTGAGCTTGCTTCGCTTAACTCGCTTGGAAAACATGACAAATACCCGCAGCAGCTCGTCGGGAAGCTTGGCATTGTGTCGCTTCATCAGCTTGAGAGCCAGACAAATGTTGTCCACAGACTTCTGCAACATATCCACGTCAGCAAGACGCAGCCACTCGGCCATCTGACGCAGAGAAGTGAAAATATTCTGCACCATATCGGGAGCCTTATCTGTTCCCGAATACTGCAGCATCTTTTCTCGGAATTGTTCAAACGAATCCAGCATGCTGTACGAGTAGTCGAGGACATCGGTAAGGAAGGTGATCATGAAAGACCGCTCGTACCGGCCACTCCATTTGGCACTCTGCTTGTAAATGGGCTCGAGAACCTGCCAGGACTCCGACCAGAAGGTCATTAGACAATCGCTGAGAGGCTTGTTGATGTCAGAGTGTCGCTCAAGCATACCGTCACGAGGATTGAGCAGAAGATCAAGCACTTCAATAGCCAGCTTGATGAGCCGCTGACAGGATCCAAAGGTGGGATCTCGTCGAACGGATGCAAGACACTCGTTGTAGTCCTCAAAAGTGTTGACAATATTATCAGCAAATATGGCTGCCAGAGCCTCCCGCCGGTCGGATGCTCCAGAGTCTGCAGCAGCAGATCGCACTAAAGAAGCACCAATCTGGTTGATGCTGGAAGAGGTGGAGAATAGAAAGATAAGCACCAAACGCTCTCTCACCAGCTCCATAATCTCAGCAGGCTTGAGCATACTGACGCTGCTGAAAATGTCAGCCACGTAGTCTGAAATAGCGAGCAAGTCCTTGTTGAATGCAGTTCGGGCCTCGTTGGCCTTAGAGGGGGCGGCAGAGGTCTCTTTAGGGATCGTGAGCTTTTCCAGAAAGACTATAGGCTTGCATGCCACCAATAGCTTTCGTGCAAAGTCCACATCGAGTCTCGGAGGCTCCACGAGCTTGAGAACGTGGGTCCACAGTCCTTCTCTGAAGACATGCACAGACCCAGGCTCCGATTTGCTGCCTAGTTTCTTTGTGTCCAGAACCATGCATGTGATGTCGTACTTGATCAGCGAGCAGAGTAGGGACAGAACCAGCTTGTCACGGGCAGTGTCTGCACCTCCAAGCAGAGCTACGAGTTTAGAAACATTGGCCTCACACGTTGCTCTGAGCTCTGAAATCTTCGTTAGTGCACTTTCGGACAGGGACATGATATCATCGGTAGCAGAAGAAACAACACACACTGCACGTTTCAAAGCAAGAGACAGAATAGGATGGTTGTGTTCCAGAGACAAAGTGATGAGTTTAGACATGGCCGAGGCGGGAAGAGCATTGATCCAGCCGTCTCGGGTGGGTCTATTGAGTTTGAGGAACTCAGCGTTCTTAAACAGGCCGTCCAGAAAGTACTGAGGGTTCATAGGTGCAGCAAACGCCCAGAAGGGGTCTCCGATCTTCATGACAGCACCCATAAATGACAGAGCAGCTTCCAGGTGACGCGATTCATGATTGGTGAGGTATGAAACCAGCATTTTGGGCAGGTTCACCAGACTGCAGATGGACATGATAGATACAGGACCCAATTGCATGAATAGGACGGATCCTCCAGACAAGAAATCGAGCGTCAGATTCTCCTCCTCGTATTTCTTGCACTGCAAGGCGACATAATCTCGAGTGAGGCTTCCGAAGCCAGATTCGGCAAGAGCAGCGTCCGAAAATGGTTCCATCTGGCCATCGACAATGAGCTCCTTGATGTTATCGATAAAGGCCCATCGTCTCATTCTGGGGTCGCTATCGAGCAGGAGGTGGGCAAGGCCGGGGAATATAGTCCGATCTCCCTTGGCATTCTTCAGTTTGAAGAGGTTGACCGAGTTGGGGTGTTTGGACACCACGACGGCAGCCAGCAATTTCATGAATAGCTCTTTGACTCGGGCGTCCTGCATCAGCTGGGGAGCACACATGACTTCCCACATTGTGTTGATAAGAATGTCTCCCAGCGTGTGTGGGTCAAAGTTCTCCCCTTCTTGTCCATTCAGCTTAGCCACTCCCATCTCCAGCCGTGGAATGACTCTTCTTGTGTCCCATTGTTGAATGACACGCGCAAATGCATTGACTTGGTCCAAGCTATAGTTCATGCGGTTCTTGACCGTGTCCATCATCTCGTGTCGCTTGATGTGAAAGTTGATAGCACAGTCCTTACAGGATGCCAGCCGCAGTTCCAGGTTCTTCAGCACTGTCTTGGACATGGGAATCAGTCCTACGGCCAGCAGAAAGACGCATCGGATCGACAGTGGTGTCCAGTCCTCCTTCTTGGGGTCCTCCTTGTCGTTAGGACCTAGAGGGCAAGCCCAATGATGGTCGGTATAGGGCTTTGGGTCTTCGTAGAAGTTCTCAGGCTCGTCAAGACTGGTGAATTCGACAGTTAGATGGTTGCTCAGGAATCTTAGTGTGGCGAGCGAGGCGGCATTTTGTGCTGTGGGCGAAACATCTCTATATCCCTGCTGAACAAGCTCCGACACTGTCTCCAGCGGAGGAGGCGATTCCGATTCAGACACTGTGTTAGTAACGAGTCGATATTGGCTGCTAAACAAGACAAACGGCTTGCGTGAGATATACTTACTCGTGTACAGCTGCTTGGTGACACACGTTCCCTAATGCCTGGATGCACAAGTTGGCTAAGAGAGGTTGGTCTTCGAAATTTCTGTTAGACTTTCGCCCGTGGGTTCAGGGTTGTGGTAGGTATCACACGTCCACTTTGAAGAATCCATTTATTGGGATCTCGCGTTTGAACTGTATATTTGGGCGGGAGAGTTGGCGATCAGGTGATATATGAGGTGGAGGATGAGCGAGGCGCGTATGTGATATGTAGTTAGCTGCTTATATCGAGGGTGCAAGTGGCAATGAAACGTTTTTCATGTTATAATATCAAATCAAACTCCTTATTGTGGTTATGCCGGCCGGCATCTTGTATGCACACTGTAGCTGCTGGTAGCTCTTGCTTGGTACTGTAGCTCTTTATCGTATGTACAGTAGATAAATTACAGGTTTTACGGATATTTGAAATGAACAATACAAGTAGAGTACGACATGTACAGCAAAATAATGTAAAGATCTATAGTATATATTATCATCATCTGTAGCGCCTCCTTTTATATGTCGACGGGTGAATTGCTCCGATTGTAGTGGAAACAAATCTCTATGTAAGTTGTGTGGCAGATTGTATCTCAGTCTAGGGATCTATGCATATAATAAAATGTTCGTTTTGCCTAGCTAATAAATAATCTACAACTTGCTTTGAGTGGTTCGTCGTCCCCACTCGCCTGCGAGTCATTCAGCAGACAGAGGGGTGGTTCGAAGGTAAGGCTTGATGGTCTTGAACTTGGGGAACAGAGTAGCAGCCTCCTCGTTGGACACGCTGGGGTGGACAATGACGTCCTGGCCGGGGGTCCAGTTGATGGGGGTGGTGACTCGGTGCTTGTCACCGGTCTGGAGAGAGTCAATGACTCGAAGGACCTCAGCGGTGTTTCGGCCGGTGGAGGCAGGGTACTGGAGGATCAGACGGATGGTCTTCTTGGGGTCAATGATGAAGACGGATCGGATGGTGAAGGCAATGCCCTTGGCGTCCACGTTGGTGGCGTCCTGGTGGTCGATCATGTCGTACAGAAGAGAAATCTGTCGAGTGGGATCGGCAATGATGGGGAAGGTGAGCTTGGAGTCGTTGACCTCATCAATGTCCTTGATCCAGGCCTTGTGGGAAGAGGTGTCGTTGGCAGAGAGGCCAATGAGCTTGACGCCTCGCTTGGAGAACTCGGGCTCAAGCTTGGCGAAGGCTCCGAGCTCGGTGGTGCACACGGGGGTGAAATCATCGGGATGAGAGAAGAGCACGGTCCAGTTATCGCCGATGAAGTCGTGGAACTTGATGGGGCCGTTGGAGGTGTCGGCCTCGAAGTCGGGAGCCTTGGAGCCGAGTCGGAGAGGAGCACGTTCAGTAGCCATTGTGATTGCAGGAGTACTGTCTGGGGAGATGGGGATTGAGCTACATCCCGGATACCGCTTCTTTTATATGGGACAGTGAGCTGACTTACCAATCCAGATTGACTTTGACCGTGTCAACCTAATGCATCCATTGAGAATTTTTAGTGTGCATTACGCCATAGTTGGGTCTTCTGGCGGAAGGTTTAGGCTGGAGGTGGCTGATAGGGAGCACCTTGGTTGACGAGGAGCACTGGTTGTTTTTGTGCCCAATTGTGTCTTTGTAACCATGACTGGCGGTAGCCCTCCGCGTCAATTCCGCCTGTATGTTGCTCCGCTGCTGCCCTTCTCTTTCTCTCTCGGCTGATCGCCTCTCCAGCCTACTCGTCAAAGGTAGTCTATTGCTGATGCATAAGCGAGACAACATAACGGCTCATATTTGGGATGCTCTTTTTTTCTTCATCTTAGCACGTCGACAGGCGCACGCCACCGAGCTAGGCGAAAACGAGCTCGATGGCGTCACAAAGAGCCACTCCTCCAACAGCCTTCTGTGGCTAAATGACGAGGCTCAATCCACCTTTGTTCCACCCTCCAAACCCTGCCAGAATTCAAGCCACCCAAACCCAACTCTGTTCCTAATGTCTGCAAGCCACAGTTTCAAAGGTGGCGAGTTGGCACGCCCACCGCATCTGGGATGTTGGGCCAGAAGAAACGTAGCGTGGCGTCATTGGCGGGCTATTTGCGCAAAAGTGGCGGTGCAGCGATCGGAGGCGTGAGGACCCCGGTGGGCGTTGCTCCGGATGGTGTATTGAGTGTGGACGGAAGCGCCGGAAGTACCTGCAGTTTCAGCGTCCGTTTTTGCATGCGCTTTTGAGGTGGTTGGGCTCTGCTCGAGAGAGCTCTGTCATATCAGAGCTATTAATCTATCAACCGTATGTCGTCGTATGTACGGCCTAATTGTGGCGTAATGTGGGATCCATGTCAATCGTGCTGCTACTGCGTAGGAGGAAGATTCAATATTTCTCTTCTTTTCTTTCTTGTATCAAAAATCCAAAGTCTATATACTAATTATTGTATTGTTCCGAATACCCGCTTCGTGTACGAGTTCAGCGGCATGATACTGCTGTAGGTGCAAGTACCCCGTAGACAATGTTTCAGGCACGGGAAATGACGCGATGACGACAACATGACGCAATGACTGCGTTCAGTCGGTGAACCCAGGAATATTTTGCTTGGCTGTGCATGACAGCGCATATAGAGACTGACATGGATTATCACGGAGACAGCGTCCGCAAGTGACGAAGGGCTTTTGATCAGTTGTACGATTACTTACTTGTAGGTGTCCACAATCGTGACGGTCTGACATTTTATAACATTATGAATTACTGACACACCCCTTCTTCTAGTTGGTAGCCTTGATATGATGAGACTTGAGCTTGGTGAATCCAGCAAACCCGAATCGCGACAAGCTGACGCCTCGTCCGGAGTTTTTCCATCCGGTCCAGGCCAGAGTGGGATCGGGATAGTCGGCTCGGTTCACAAACACGGTGCCGGCCTCAATCTCGTTACCCAGAGCCTCGCCCACAACGAGATCCTTGGTCCACACAGAGGAGGTCAGGCCGTATTTGGAGTCATTGATGAGATCGATGGCCTCCTGGTCAGACTGGACCTTGTACAGAGGCACCAGAGGTCCAAAGGTCTCCTCCACAAGCACTTCGGCGTCATGAGACATGCCCACCAGAATCTGAGGAGCCACGAAGGCCTTGTCTTCGGTGACAAAGGTTCCCTCAGGAATCAGAGCCTTTCCGCCCTTGGTCAAAGCGTCCTTGATTTGGGCCTCCACGTTCTCCTTAGACTTGATGGAGACTACAGGACCCAGCTGCGTCGACTTGTCGAGAGGATCGCCGACCTTGTAGCCGGACAGGACCTTGACCACGGCCTTCTCAAACTGGTCGTAGATGTCGGCGTGGACATAGACTCGCTCAATGGAGCAGCAGGACTGGCCGGAGTTGAAGACGCAGCCGTCGACAATATCCTCGGCCACAGCATCGACATCAACGTCGGGTCTGACGTAGGCAGCGTCGTTACCGCCGAGCTCGAGAGCCACGGGAATGGTTCGACCAGCTGCAGCCTTCTGAACAGCCAGACCTCCAGCCACTGATCCAGTGAAGGAGACACCGTGGATACCAGGGTTGGCAATGACGTCGGAGATGAGATCGTTGTCGCCAGAGTGCAGGACCTGGAGGATGCCCTCGGGCAGATCGGCCTCCTGGAAGGCCTTGTAGAAGGCGTCCGCAACCTTGGGGGTCTGTGGGCTGGGTTTGATAATGACTGCGTTACCTGCCAGAAGAGAGGGAACCAGAGCGTTGGTGAGACACAGGTAGGGGTAGTTCCAGGGGAAGATAATGAGGATGGTTCCCAGAGGCTCGTGTGTGATGTATTTCTTGAAGCCATCCACCAGGCCATCTGCCCCTTCTCGGGAGGGGGCCAGGGCCTCGGGCGCGACCGAGATCAGAAACTTTGCACGGGCAGCAGCAGTGGTGATCTCGCCCTTGGTGTATGCAATTGGCCGCCCCATCTGCTCGGTGAGCTCCTTGGCAAGGGTGTCGACGCCGGGCTCCGAGGTTAGGTGCTCGTAGGCCTTGGTGACGATCTTGATTCGGTCTTCGAGGGACGTCTGTTTCCAGGTCTTCTGGGCCTTGTTGGCCTTCTCAATGGTGGCGTTTGCCTGCTCCCGAGTGGCCTCGGGGGTGGTGAAGTTGGCGACAGCGTCAATAGGGGATACGGTAGTGAGCACAGACATTGCGGGTGTGATGTGTGATGATGGAAGGAGAGAGATCAAATCTCCATGTTCGCTTAATATGCATGCTTGATTGACGTCGCTGACTTCCAGAGTTAAGTTTTGGGACTCAGTGTGGAGGAGCAGACCCGGACCCACACGGCTCTACGTTGTTACGCGGATGAGACAGGCTGGATGGAGCCATACGAGGCCTTACTTTTGATATTTTTTTCATTGAATTTTCCTCTCTCACATAATCCGCCTATCATGGTTCGGTGTGAGATAAGAGTATCGACTGCTAAGGTGTCTGCACATGGTCCTGCTTATCTATGCATGCTCCATAGTACAGTGTTTAATGCTGTACAGGCGAAAGTAGTATCGTAGTATGTACAATAGTGAAAAGTTGCTAAAAATATATACACACCTCCAGCACAGATAATCCGCGTCCACTGAGAAATAGCAGTGCTGGTACCCGGGAAGAGCCGTGTCACGCAACATGAACGTTCGAGTACCGTCTTTTGACCGTGGGAGCCGCTCAATGGGCCAGTCTAAAAAATTGAGTAGCCGAAAAGGTGCGATTTAGACACCTGTGAAGCTGTGAACCATCCCCCCGCTTTGGCATTAATTATCCAGTGCCGCAACCCGACACGGTATTATGTCCGAGCTTAAAACCGCGGTCAGCGCTAAAGGTAAGGTAGGACAGACACAGCTATGGGACGGTATTGAGGGAGGTTGCGCGGATGCTGGAGACATAAAAATGTGCTCAAGACATGTATGGATCACGTGACCACAATCTCCGCCCGTTTCCATCCGCAAGCCAGCTCTGCATAATCCCTCAACTGGCTTCCTGGTCTTAGCTCCGAGGACATAAATGTAACTTTGAGCGAATTGGAGTAGCCATTCCCAACCCACATTGGGTGCATTTACTTTACTGTACAGCATCATCACTCTTTGGTAACACATCACTAAAAATGAGGTGAGTCGATGGGACAGGAATAGCGAGGAAGAGGCGAGAGTGGAGGAGAAGGGGCATTGTAATGGTGGTTGCATCAGCGGAATGCCACGTATGCAACCCCTCCCCCCCCAAAAAAAAAGAAAAAACAGAACTAACCCAGTGGAAGATTCGTCCGATCATCGAAGTACCGACATGTCTACGGACAGTCGACCAAGAAGGAGCTTTGCTACGACAATGTGCGAGTGAGGTGAGTATCAAGAGGAATGCGAGAGAGATGGAGGAAGAGGATTGTCTACGACCGATGGATCAATTCGTTTTGCGTACCGTTTTGTTGATTGATGTGATGATAAAAAATCACACCCATCCCTAAACAACACACGATATTACAGCACACGACACACATACCTAAACAGCACAACCCAAAACGAAATCACGCTAAGTGAGAGACATGGGGAATGGGGAATGGCCATTGAGTGTTGGACCGACCTTGCAAGACGCTTGCAATGGTCATAAACGCCTGTAGCCACCTCATCATTCCAACGCTAACCCAGCAACAACGCTTGGGACTCTAACCTGCTCAAGGTCAACCCCGAGTACATCTCTCTTAACTGGGAGGCTTCTGGAGGAGGAGCTTTTGCCGTCATCCCCCTCTCCCACAAGGGTAAGCTGCCCGATCAGATTCCTCTCTTCCGAGGTCACACCTCTGCTGTTCTCGACACAGACTTCAACCCTTTCAACGACCAGGTGATTGCCTCTGCCTCTGACGACGGCAAGATCGGTCTGTGGAAGGTTCCCGATGACTACCGAATCGTCTACGAGCCTGAGGAGGAGATTGAGGACGTTGCTCCCGTCGCCAAGCTCTCTGGCCACCAGCGAAAGGTCGGACACGTCAAGTTCCACCCCACCGCCAACAACGTGCTGGCCTCCTCTTCGGCTGACTACACTGTCAAGCTGTGGGACGTTGAGGCCCAGAAGGCCCACCAGTCTCTGGCCCACAAGGACATTATCACCTCCTTTGACTACAACCAGGACGGTACTCTGCTCGTCACCACTTCTCGAGACAAGCAGATTCGAGTTTGGGATCTCCGAACCGGCGAGATTGTCAGCTCCGGCCCCGGCCACACCGGTGCCAAGAACTCGCGAGTTGTCTGGCTTGACTCTGACCGAATCGCTACCACTGGTTTCTCCAAGCTTTCCGACCGACAGCTGGCTCTGTGGAACGCCTCCGACATCGCTGCCGGACCCATTGGCGGCTTCCGATACCTAGACTCGTCCTCCGGTATCTGCATGCCCTTCTTCGACCACGACACCAAGACCCTGTTCCTGGCCGGCAAGGGAGATGGAAACATCCGATACTACGAGTACGGCAACGACGACTTCTTCGAGCTGTCCGAGTACCAGAGCACAGACCCCCAACGAGGCATTGCCTTCATGCCCAAGCGGGCTCTCAACATCAAGGGCAACGAGATTGTGCGAGCCTACAAGACTGTCAAGGACTCCTACATTGAGCCCGTTGGCTTCTACGTGCCCCGACGAGCCGAGACCTTCCAGTCTGACATCTACCCCGACTGTTACGCCGGTGTTCCTTCCGTCGAGGCTGAGGAGTTCTTCGAGGGCAAGTCTGCTCGACCCTACGTTGTCGACGTTGAGATTCTCTACGAGGACAAGCCCATCACCAAGGACAATGTTCATGAGGCTGCCGAGGACAAGACGGAGCTCAAGAAGCCCGAGCCTACTCCCACTGCTTCCCCCGCCCTTGGTTCCAAGGCCTCCGAGCCCGTTTCCAAGTCTGCGGAGCCCAAGGAGGAGAAGCCTGATCTGCAGTCTAAGGGCTCTTTCGGCACTTCCTCTTCTGCCTTTTCTGGCGACAAGGTCAACTCCATGTTGGCCAAGGCCTCTGAGGAGGAGGAGCCCCGAAAGAAGGAGGACGAGAACAATGACGAGTGGGAGAACTCCGGTCTGCTGGCCACCCGAAACCGTCTCGCAAAGACCGGCAAGATCGAGCTCGTCCACCAGGCTGCTTCTGGCGGTAAGACTCTGACCGAGAAGGAGATTGGCGCCATGGTCAAGAGCGGCAAGATCAGCTCTTCCGAGGGTGCCAAGGCCGTCGAGAAGGTCCGGGAGGAAGAGGCTAAGGAGGCCAAGGAGGCCGAGGACAAGAAGTCCGAGCCTGTCGAGGAGAAGAAGCCTGAGCCCGTTGAGGAGAAGAAGCCTGAGCCCGTTGAGGAGAAGAAGCCCGAGCCTGTCGAGGAGAAGAAGCCCGAGCCTGTCGAGGAGAAGAAGCCCGAGCCTGTCGAGGAGAAGTCCACTGAGAACGGAAAGGACGAGTCTGAGATCAACCCTCTCCCTCTGCTCAAGGAGGAGTCTCTCCCTCAGACTGACTCTGCCACCACTGCTGCTGCCTCTTCCGGTGACTCTGACAAGCGAATCTCTTCCCTGGAGGAGCTGGTGCAGTCTCTGGTTTCCCAGGTCAAGAGCCAGCAGGAGACCATCCAGCAGCTCAGCAAGAAGCTGGATGCCTGCACCGACTGTTGTGCCACCGACGCCGCTCCTTCCAAGAACGAGTGTGCCAACCGACCCGAGGGCGCCGAGCAGTGCGACAACTGTGATTGCTAATCGAGCTTCGCTACGATACTAATGAGTTGAATGTATACTATGATCTAATAAGCGAACTAAGAGTTATACAGTAATAGGTCGCACCTGTAATGACTACGATACATTCAGTACTGAAGGATAAAAAAATTGTCAAGAAAACCACAATGGTGCACATATCGAGACGTTTTTGTATTGTACAGAGGGTATATAATATCACCACTACAACGAGCTCACAATTCCGTCTTTAACTCCCTCGCCAAAAGAAATTCGTCACTTCTAATTATATACTGTTGATGTTAGCACTACTTGTACCCCATTAATACTCTATTGATTTTATTGTATAAATAAACAATTACTGATCCTTCTTTTCCAAAAGCGCCTCAAAGACGCCAGCAAACTTGCTGTAGACAATGAAGCCATTAAAGTCGAACCAGTCGTTGAACTTTGCGTCGACGGTCTTCTTACCGCCGTCCACGTCAACGACAATCTTGTAGTCCACGCCGGGGTTGGCAGCAGTCGTCGACACGGTCACCTTGGTGTCTCCCTTCTTTCCCACATATGCGACGTTTCGCTCCTTAAAGTAGAGCCATCCGGACACGAAGAACTCAAGCACAAAAAACAAAGGAACTGTGTAGACGAGGTAGGGTCGAGCAAAGTCGAATCCAAAGGTATAGTCCAGGTAGAAGGATGCGGCGGCGAGAATTACAGATGCATAACCGGCCGCCAGACGCACGTCCAAAAGGGAGTGGTCCTGTGTGTATCCGAGTTCCTTGAAGACCTGGGTTAGAATGGTTGTCATTCTGTGTGTTTCTTTTCTTGAGATCTGAACGAGTACATGTGCTTGAGACACGATATTTGATGTACAGTAGTTTCAACTGTCAGTACTGTAGCAATATCATATGTTTGGATCCTGATCTCAAGATACAATCCGTTAGCCCGTGGAGACACGTCTCACAAATCAATCTTGGTTTCCACGTTCAATGGCAAATGCCAAGGCAATGTCACGTCCTGGCTGGCGTATACTCACATAAGCGATGTGTTCGTCGGAGGTCTTCTTCAGTTCCGAAGTCGAGCTGGGTTAGTTATTGCGTGTCGAATTGTCGGTCGCTGTATCGGCACTCACTAAAGATTCACTGCCTGGGTCTGTCGAGACATTTTCAAATTCGAGGTCGGGGTGATCGCGATGTGGACACGCACTTATTCACCAACTTTAGTGGAGGTGTGCTGGGCCGCATAGAGTGGTTATGTAAGCCAAAGTTTATTTAGGTGTTGCACTTTCCAACTTTGCAGCTTTCGAGTCCCACCAGTCAGTCCAATCGCAACCCCAAAACAGTAGTTAAGCTTAGTTCCCGAAACGGAAATCCCAACTTCAAAATGGAATAGTGCAATAATCGGGAGCAACGGAACCCAGACGTGTTGAGTCAACATTCTGGTCGGGCCAAAAGGATAGAAAAGAAGACACGATTGGTGTGTGATACAAGTGTGTTAAGAGGAGGTGGTCCGAAATGACGCAAAGTACTGCGAGAGTTGTAGCCAGGGGAGCAGCGGCACAATCTATAGCGTCGGAAATACCTCATGCTGACCTATCCTAGAGACCATGTAGTGTTTCCATTTTAGGAAGGCAACAACACAGTTTTATAAGGCCTTTACCTTGGCCCGCGTAACCTCTCTAATTATCGTGTTATCAACCGATAGTTGCGACCCGACACCCACGCAACCCCGGACCCTGTTTGTGGCATATTTAGTGTCTAATTCGGCTCTTGAACCTCTTCAGCAGTCGTATTGCTCATCTGGCGGAAGTCACTATCTACCAGGTGTGACGCGGTATCTATAACGGCCGGTTACTTGACGGACTGAGTCACAGTCACGTTCATCTCTTTACCCCTTCTCTTCTTCGCCACCGACGACACGCCCGGTGTCACGTTCTTTGATTTTGGTCCCACTACGCCCTCTACCGGATCAACCACCCCCGTCTCCCCCTCTCATGAGCAAGAACTTCAACTTTGCGGCGCCGTCTTTTGTGCCCACTGAGCCCAAGCCCAGTGCCGGAAAGAAGCCGGCTGCTAGCAAGAGCAAGAACGGGCCGCCCCGAAAGCCCAAGGCTATCAACACGCCCCAGCGAAATAACCACCGTAATCGACAGCGTCCTGTGCCCGAAGACACCAGTAAGAAGGACGCAGACGCCAAGAGAGACCTGGAGGAGGAGCTCGCCTCGCTCGCGCCCCGTAAGGGCAAGGTCAACATTTCGCACTTGCTCGAGTTCTCGCCTCCCAGCGCCAGCCGACACGCTAGCAACAACCATGCCTCGGGCCACCACTCGCACTCGCCACACCCCCGACGAAAGGCAGCAATCAAGGAGTTTGATAAAGACGCCTACGCCAATGCCAACTTTTCGTTTGTGGTCAAGCCGGGCGAGTTCTCTAACCCGGACCACGTTGACATGACGCGTGTCGTCCGGGTTTTAGTCCCCCAGGCATCTGACTGTCTTATTTGTTTGTGCGAGCCCACAGCTCCACGAATGCTCGGCTGTGGCCATATCATGTGTCTGGCCTGCCTTAAGCGCTTTAACACCCAGTCCAAGGAGTGTCCACTGTGTCTGGAGAACGTCAACAACGCACACGTCAAACCTGTCATTTTCGGTGGCGTCGACGACGAACGACCGACCCTCAAGACAGGTGACACGCGTGAATGGACTCTTCTGGGCCGAGACCTCCACGACGTGTTTGCCGCACCTGTCACGGCCAATGTGACCCAGTCCTCCATCCCCTCGGTGGAGTCGCCCTATGCCTCGTACTCGCGTCTACGTATCGGCACAGCACATTGGGCCCGAGAAATGTACCAGCGCGAACTCGAGGCAATCTTCGATATGCGAAAGCAGGACGAGTACATGTTTGGCGACGATGGCCACTTTGCTGACCAGGCCGTCGAAGACATTATGGAGAAGATGGAGCTCGAGTCTGGAGGCGACGACCCCGCCGCTGCAGACCACTCTCTCCCGTTCGATTTGGAACTGGAGTCACCCCCCACCGTGGGAGGTCTGTCCTCACCACCCAAGGAGTTTTACTTTTATGCCATTCGGCCGAACTACTTTTTGGCTCCTCTGGATATCAAGGTGCTGAAGCACGTTTTCGGCCATTACTCCATGTTCCCTCCGTCGATTAAACCCCGAATCGAGCACGTGGAACACACCTCAGTCACCATTGACCTGCGAAAGCGGTCCAAGTACCTGGCTAACCTACCTGTGGGTGCTGAAATTGGATTCGTCGAGTGTGACTGGCGACATGTGCTGCCCAAGGACAAGCTCGCACCCTTTGCTGAGGAGCTCAAGCAGCGTTTCCGCCGTCACAAGAACCAGGAACGACGAGACGACAGAAACAAGCGGTTGGCTGAACAGAGAGACCATGTGGAGTTCGATACGTATATCGAGCAGCGAGGCTTCTCTTCCCCTCCTCTAGGTGCTTCGGCGCCCTTTGGAAGCAGTCCTATCAGCTCGCTGGACCCTGTTCTGGGTGAGACAGCTCCTACCTCTTCGGGCGAGACCCCCTCCCCTTCTGGAAGTGCTCAGAAGAAGACCGTTTGGGGCAAGGCTGTCAACTGGACTTCGGATCCTGTGGCCCCCCATGACTCTGAGGAGAATGGCTGGGGCGACATTGCCAAGGCCCTTGAGGCTGCTGAAGCCGAGTCCGGAACCCGCAAGAAGGGCAAGAAGAAACTTGTTCTTGTTTCTCGAAATGCCTTTTAAGCGATTGGCTCAGCACGGCCCAGCACGCCCCAGCAAGCACGGCTATTAACTTTTTAACCTATTTACTCACTTACACCCATATACAGATATATTTATTTATGCATTTTGACCAAGTAGCGTCGTTCGGATACAAGCACGCGATATATCCGTAGCGTGTTGTTGTAGGTCTGTAATGAGAGTGTTGTGATGGTGTCTCGTTCTATGAGTACAATTAGTCACTGCATTACACCCGACTACACTGATATCATACAAATCATAAATACATTAAGATGTCCTACAAGTAAATCAGTACAAGTAGCGTCCTTACAGCTCTCCTCGGCCCACCTTCTTGTGCTCAACCTCCTCCATGCAGCCATCGAGGTTGGTGGCCCATCGGCAGAAGTCGGCCAGCCAGTGGGGCACGATTCGAGCCAGAGGGGTGAGTCTGGCGTACAGAGGCTCAATGACCTCGCCTCGCTGGCCGTTGGCAATGTTGTCGACAATGATCTTGGCCAGAGCCTGGGACTCAACGACGGGAGCAAAGAACTTGGTGGGAGTGGACAGATCGGCAAACAGACGGGTGTTCATCTGACCGGGGCACACAAGGGTAGTTCCGACCTTGCCAGCAAGACCTCGCTCGTGGGTGATGGAGTCATGCAGACCGACCACGGCATGTTTGGAAGAGGTGTAGGCAGACATGTGGCCGGGTCCAATGAGACCGACGGTGGAGGCGACAGACACGACCCATCCTCGCTTGTACTTGAGGAAGTCGGGGATGACGGCCTGCAGGGTCCAGAAGTGCGAGACAATGTTGACCTCGAACAGGTTTCGAATGAGCTTCTCGTTGAGGTCCTGGACTCGCTGCTCGCACATCATACCGGCGTTGTTGACCAGAATGGAGATGGGACCCATGTCTCGCTGCACCTCGGCGAAGGCCTTGTCAATGACGGTCTTGTCAGTGAGGTCACAGTAGTAGTAGGTGGAACCGGGCAGGGTTCGGGCGGGCTTCTCTCGGTCGAGAATGGCACATCGCACGCCTCGCTTGGACAGCTCATAGGCAATGTAATGTCCGAGACCGTTGGAGCCTCCGGTGATGACCGCAACATCTCGGGAAGTCAGCTTCCAGCCCTTGATCTTCAGGTATCGTCGAGAGATGACTCGGAAGAAGTAGAGGATGGTGGTGAGGATGCCAGCGCCAGCAATGCCAGCGAATCGGGGCAGGTTCTCGTAAAGGTCACCATTCTGGTAAGACAGGGCCAGGGCGGCGCCTGCAAACAGAGGGTTGAGCAGGATCTTGTCTGCGAGCTTGACAATGTTGTCAATGTTCAGAGAGGACTTGGCCTTGAGAAACTTTTCTTCGTGAGCGAATTCAGACATTTTTAGAGAGGATGAGAGATGTGATAAGGTGACAGAAGGGAGGAACTTGGAAACACGAGCTGGCAACACCTATATATACCCCGCACTATTAGACACTTATGACTTTCAGGCTTAAACTCTTTCCCCATGTGAATGTGAGAGGTGCAGATTATCATGCCACTCCGGAGGAATAAACCCAGCGGCGTGTACATGATTGACGCAGTTGCTGGAGAGATATTGAAGGGCAAAATGGGCTCATATTCACGTGAAAGTGCGGTTGTGCGAAGAATTGGGCCTTGCACGTGGACATTTTCGCTTCTTCTGCCGAACACGCTTGCTCAGCTTCCGTATCTGACTCTCTTCCGCATGAAAGTTCAGCTTGTGGGGAAGCCCGTTTGTTGGAGACAGGAAGGCATGTGAAACATGTGTCGGTGGAGGTACACTCGAACGTATATAAATTCAGTAGGCAACTTTCTCGATCAGTTTTGTCGTCAATTGAAGACTTGCACTGATTATTGGGATGATTTCAAGCACTGTCGCCGTCTATTTTCACCCCTTCTACAACGCCCTCCGATTCCATCACTTGCTATGTTAATTTTTCCTTGCTTAGAGCACATCGCTTACCCTTTTACCCTTTTACCCTTTTACTTTCCCCCCACAAGACCTCTCCAACCTAAGCGGTACCTTGCAGTTGAGTGATAGACTGGGAGCAGTTTGGGTGCCCAGAACCGCACCTGTCAGCGAGATTTTCACACCGTTGGAGCCACCCACTCCTTTACTTCAGATATCCGCCATTACACGCCAAAATTAGAACCATTTCCTTTAGTCTACTCGGCATCTCGTTTCTGATTAGTCTACACCCCACACTGTGGCAAATAATCTACTCCCCACAGCCGAATCCAATCGCAATCAGAGTTTCATTCTCAGGCTGCAAGTCCGTACTGTAGTGTAGTCGACTATGAGGTTGGTCCAGCACTGGCCCGATAACTCGGTCAACCCAAGGGACTTCTCGGAATTGCGTCTTGTTGAGTGAAAACAAGACTCTTACTCAGCACCCATGTACACTGTCAGTGCCGATCTTTGCCGTTTGCAGCGTCGTACTTGTGCCTAACTCCGGTCCAAGCTCACGTGGAAAATCCAAATAGGCGTTAATAGCTTGTGATTGTGAATTTAAGACAACCCGAATGCGCATCAGGCCCAACGTCAAAGCTTGTCTCTCGCGGTTTCATGTTTGCGACATAACCTCCAGTTTATCGCGACTGTCCACGATGCTTCTTCCATTGATTTTGTTGTTTTTTTTCTTCATCAACTCTCTTCTTTTCCGTGCTGCATTATCGCCGTGTGGATACAAGTGAAGCGTATATACTGACATAGTGTGCATCCGTACCTTAGCGAGATGAAATGAGTAAGGGACGAGCCCACCTCATGTGTGTACCAGCCAGTAGCTAAGACGTAGTGGCGTCGTATTTCACTCCTGTTAACTGCATCCAATCTCAGCGGCTGTCAATGACACGTCGGCACCATCGTCTGTCAGATACAAGAATGTGTCAAGTTGGGTTGGATGATATTTGGTGAGCTTAGTCACATCAACAGTGATGTACAATGGTAGCATACCGTATGTACAGTAGTATTATTATGAGAATCTTTGTTTGAGGGAGTCAGTAATTGTTGAGGTGAAATATTATTTGAGAGCGTCAGAAGTTGGAATCTGAAGTCATAATATTAGCACGGTGTTGATCTATAGAATGTGCAAATGATAGCACTCACCGGACGTTGTATAAGTGCTGTATTTGCAGTGGCAGGGCGTAGAAAGCAATCAGAAGAAGAAGCCTGTAATCCACGTTCTCGCTGTCAATGACCAGAAAAACCTCTTTGTGCTCTTACAACATGGGAAGATTGCATTTCGTGCGACTTCGTGGGACCTATAGTGTGCCCTACAATCTCCGTAATCCGCCAAAGAGATAATGGGGCTCTGCAGATAATAGCATTAGGTAGTGCACAGGAAAAACATACTGTGCGGATAGTTTGGTTTGGACCGTTCCACTGAGCGCTGGGCAAGACTCAGGCTCTCTAACTAGTATCTCCAACGTCATTTTTGCTCTGTTTTTCCACAGGGACTAATTTCCCGTCTTTCGCCGCATATATTGCTCACATTTTCCGATTATTCATCTTTTATTTGCTCGCATGCAGCATCCTCTTTCGGGAACATTTCGGAGTGTACTTGCCTGTTTAGGTTAAAATTGGGACCAACGCTGCGATATAAGTGTGTGTTATCCCCCGTTGGACATCAGACCAGAAAATGCGCCGCAAGAGATTTGTCATCAGCAAAACGATGATACCCTTTAAATACCTCTCAGGGAGCCCAACTAAATGGCGTTTGCACTGTGAATCCCCATTCACCAGTTGTCGTCAGAACTGGGTGGAGGAAGATACGATACCTGCCTCTGATATATTCTGCAAGACGTGAGTCTTCAAGACGTTGGGGTGCTTGAAGAGTTCATATTCTTGGTGCTGATACATTTCCAAGTCGCTCTTTCAGTCTTCACATCAAGAGATGCGTCTGTATGGTCTTGATACTAAGTCTCAAATGATGTGGACACCACACCACTATCCCTAACACATTACAAGACACCATGGTTCAAAGTACAACAATCAATTACAATTAAATAACGACACGCTCAACATGCTCCTCAACCTGCTTCTCGTTGGCCTTTTCGGACTCCTCCTTGGCAAGCTCCTGGTTGACAACTCGAACGGCGTCAAGAACTCGAGGATCATCTTCCAAGTTGGATCGAGGGCCGGTGTACCATCGCCGAGCGTACAAAAAGTAGTAAGCCAAAGCGCCAATCCACACGCCAACGTTTAGCACCACAACGTAGTTCATGGTGTCCGTGGTCACGTGAGGGGTCGCAGTGGGGAACATTAGCAGAATGATGGCAAAGACGAGATATCCAGATGCAGCGATACCGATGATCTTGGAAAGAACCTTACCAAGGTAGAAGGGGCCGGGCACAAACTTGGAGGCGCCAAACACGAGCTTGAGGAAGATGGGCAGGAGCCAGGCCAGATCGTTGGAGACGGGGGGCAGAGAAAACAGAGCGTAAGCAGCCTTGTCATCAATCATACAGATGCAGCCAATGGCCAGACCGACAAAGGTGCCCATGATGACGGTTCGTCGAGGCACTCCAGTCTCCTTGTGGACAACCTTAAGCCAGTCGGAGAAGGGCAGAGCGCCATCTCGAGCAAAGGCCCAGTTCTGTCGAGATCCAGCGACCAGAATACTGAGACCCATGGTCCACTGAAGACAGAAGATGATGGACATAATTGCCATGGTCCACTTCTTTCCAAGACAGTCGTAGATGATCTGGGCCATGGGCTGGCCGAGGGGAGTATTGATGATAGCCTCAACATCGGGGTTGATGACAGCAGCACAGATGATGTTGACAATGACACCAAGGATCCAGCACATGCCAATGGATGAAATGATACCGATAGGGACGGCTCGAGAGGCGTTGGATGCTTCCTCAGCCATGTGGACACAACTGTCAAAGGCTCCAATGGTCCAGATGGGGGCGAGCCACGACAGGAAGAAGTTCCAGCCGGTAGGCCATTCGGAGATGTTTTCAATCTGGGTGAAGATGAACTTGCCGTCGTTGAGGTGATCACGTGCACCGACGGGCAGCGCAATCACAACCAGAACAATGATACCAATGTTAAGCACGATACAGGCAGTCTGGATCTTGGAGATGAGTTTGGTGGTGAGGATGCCGGCGAGACCGTGGGTCAGCACAGCGCCTGCGAAGACGCCGTAAACCGTGTATTTGGAGGGTTCAAATTCACCGTCAGTGGCCAGGGAAACCACAGACAAGAGCATGAGAGAAAAGCCATAGTCGATAGACACCAGACCTCCAATGAGACCCAGCGAGTTGGAGTAACCGCAAAGGAAAGACAAGGGTCGTTTGGCGTTCTCAGGTGCAAAATGGTAAGTCCACCAGTACAGACCTCCCGAAGTAGGCAATGAGGAACCCAGCTCGGCCATGGCCAAACCTACAACCATAATACACGCCGAGGCAATGCACCATCCCCAGACCATTCCCACGGGGCCAGCCGTGAGAGAGTAACCAATGACGGACGAAATGGAAGGTAGCAGACCCATGATGGAGAAGGCGATTCCAAATACTTGGACCACGGAAAAGTGCCGTTTCAATTCCTCCTTGTAACCAATGTCGGCCAGGATACACTCATCCTGAGTGGCGTAGGGAACGCCCTTCTCTTGCAAGCTGTCGTCGGACTTGCGCTCGATTACTGTCATTGTGATCTTGTGTGAGTTGGTAGTGTGTGTGTGTGTGAATGGATAGTGAGTTGATGGAGTCCGAATACCGTATTGCAACGCTCTTATATACCATCTTGACCCCCATATTCATCGCCATCTACCCCATCGTTATCTTGCAGATGACTTTGATTCATGCGGGGGGCAGGTGCATGAGATCTGTTCCTCTTCGTTGTGCCAGGGGCCACCCTACAGATCTGGCGCACCATTTAGTGATTAGTGATCATGTTCCAGCAATATTCGCAGCTATTCTCAGAGATGGCAGTTTCTTGGCACCCTCTTGGCACTGCTATCCGACTGTGGGGTGTGAACTCTGATGCATGTTTATGTTTGAAGACAACTCCTTACACGTCCTCAGAGGTGTCAATTGAGCTTGGTGATACTTGTCTAGGTATTTAGTCAGTATATGTTTAGTCAGTGGCTGGAATGAGACACTCGTTGGTACTGTTTGGGTCGATGCTACAAGTACAAGTGTTCAAGTCAAACCACTATTTGCGGAATATATAGCCGCCGCCCTGTTTGAGAACTCAGTGTGTTGACTGCAGTTAGTCATCTGTATCCGTTGGCTACTGGTCTGGACCAATTGACCTCTTTTGAATAGCAGCGTTTGGGGAAAGTGTATATCTCGTTAATTCCTGCTGGTGATATCTCCAAAGACTTGCCTTCAGCCTCACCGATAAAAATGTTGTCGAGGTTGTTCGCTTATGGTATGCATCTCCGTGAAGTTGCCGGCAAAAAAGTGGGGTAAAAGCGGAGGTGGAGGTAATGGGAACATGTGAAGCTAATGAGCCATCCCAAAGTCGAATAATACAGCCAGATTTTTGCGTGGACTTTGCCAAATAACCCTTTACTGATTATGTGGGTTCCCCGAAGCTGAATTTGATCTCCCTGAAACTTGTTATTAAGGTGATGGGTGATGTTCGGTACGATAAGCACATTAGTGCGAACCTAGTCGAAATCAGTACAGGTACTGCCACAACATTCTCAGATCAAAGACCAATACAAAGAGCTCTGTGGTATCGAGTAAACCTTCCAATATTTCGACGCGTTCAACAAGAGACCTCTTAGGTGGGGTGCTGTGGTACAGCTTTGCTGTACAAGTACGTACCAGTGTACTCTGTATTGTGCTGGACCCCGACTCGGTTGTAGCTACTTCTCGTGCAGTAGCTATACTGTAAGTGGACATGTGCCATAATCTGTCTGAGCTTCCACAGGTACGAGTAGCTACGACAACAACAGCGTGTTCTATCGATTGATGATTCAATCAATCCAAAACGCATTCTCACGGTGGAAAAAACACCCGCAGTATAGCCTTGCCTCTATTGGAAGTTTCTAGATGACTGCAGGGACTTTCCACGACGTGTATATTTCATTTCTACATTCAGCATTGTTCCCCCGCACAGCTCAACGAGGGAGTCTATTCGTTTTTTAACCCTTTGCGGACGGCGTCTGTGGCCTGCCTCCGAGTACCTCCCGGCTCTTTGTTGTGTGCAAAAGGTATATATTGCAGGCGCATCCTGAGGGGTGTTCGAGATGACGAGCAACAGTGTTTGCGTGATGTGAAGGTTTGCTTATAATATAGTGACTCTCTATGCTTTTAGTATTTCTATAGTGGATATACCATTAGATGGATTATGAGTAGCTGTACATGTACACGGATGTTTACCTGTCGTTGACTCTACTGTAATTATTGTAGGTATAGTAGCTTAGGAGCACCAATTACCATCACTAGAGGAGTAAATTGAAATATTGGCGACTGGAAGTCATGTGTGGAAGCTGTTCAGTGTCTGACATGAACAAATGATACTACAAGTAGTATGTACTGTAGTATTTTTTTGCTTGGGGAGAATCTCGGTGGTGAGTATATATAGCTACTATTCGATTATTGTACAACTATATATATAGTTACAAGTACAGTATGTACACATACATGCTGGACCTGAACTCGCACTAACTAAGCACTGATGTGGAATGCCTGAACATAGACACTGGTCAGACGCCGGTTAGTTGCCGGTTAGTCGCCGGTTAATCCCCAGTCAATCCCCATTCGGCTCCCTACATTTCTTGAACTTCACGTGCAAGTCACCTGACCTCCTCCCGTCAAGGCGCAATTGTATAATACTGTACTTGAACTCGTACTTGTACCTCATACTCTCTACTGTCCGATGCTGCACATCTGTTGTCTAATCCTCTCTGACGGAGTCCGAAGCAAAAATAGCGTTTTTCAGCCGTATGTGACTCACTAACGCTATATACTGGTATGTACGATACGATACAGTAGGTATGTACACAAGTACGCGGTCGGAGTCCACATTGGACCTCTACTTGCCCTCAATGTATCGCCCGCAACACTCTTCACTCAGATCTTGACGTTAGATCTGTCAGGTACAGTATGTACTGTACACGAGCATCAACAGTTGGAGAAGTGATAGTAGTGTACACGGCGGTGAAACGTTAAGAACGTCGCTTCAGCATTAGCTGCATGGGGCTCACCTGAGTTCTTGACCATACTTTCGCCCATCTGCCAGTGCCAGGAAACAGACCTTGTATTCTATGGCTTTTGACCGCATGAACGACGCTTTTCAACGTGCTCAGATTATGCCATAAACAGGTCCCTGAGATTTACCGATCATACGAGTATAAACAGCCAATAGGATTGCGTTTAATTAGAGCTCGTAAGCAAGGCGAACCCTGAAATATCACAGCAATAGTGGATAACGCCACAGAGATAAGCGTAGAACTGCTGTTTCCATGCCAATTTTACCCACGAGAGATCGCCAACAGCTACTAAGTACTTTCCCGGACATGGACGTGCCGACTATGTAAGCTCTGAACTTTGCAGTTGGGTCCTGAATCCAATATACCCCCCCTAGAAAGTCGTTTGGGTCGTTTAGACGCATGAAGAATCATGGGCCGCATCAATTATGCACATTAAAGGGCTATCTAAAACGAACATTATAAAACCGTTCACGCTAAAAGATTACGCCATGTTCATGAACTCTACAACGACTTCTTCATGATTATTGGTGTGAGTATGGCCTCTGTTGCCGGACAAATGATCCCGCTAACCCAGATTGATCCAAAGTACTACGGTCTGAGGCCCCAGGCGGCCCAGACTGGGCTACTTTTGGTTCCAGCTGTCTTCGCTCTGTCTCTCATCGCCTATGGTCACAAAGCCGTCAAGTGGCAGCTCACAAACACTCTGCTTGTGCTCCAGATAATTCTACTGATCCCGCTGTATCAATTCGGTCCCGTGTGGGAGCTAGGATGTGCCATCGCTGGAACTCTGGTCATGCTGTACCGTGAGTCCTCCACGATCCATCTTTCCTATCACATTGCCCTCATCGCTTTTTCCTTCAGTCTGGTGGTCGCCAACATCAACCGTCATCTGACACACGCATTTATGGGCGAGTTGGGATGCCAGACCGTCTCTGCAATCTGTCTGGTGGCCAACTCTCTAATTCTGTGCTACCTGCAACCGTCTTCCGAGTTCTATTCCAACTTGACCTTTGGATGGCTCCAAAAGACTCTCGATAGAGACATTGTGACCCAGGATAGCTTGGAAAAGACCCCCGACGCCCTCATCACCGAAAACGCCTTCTCAGACTTCAAGAGCTTCCAAAGGAAGTACCCTGAAGGAACCTCCTTCTCCACTCTGATCCAAAAGAGATACACTTGGTGGTATATCAAGGCCTCCACTTTTTTCCTTGGAGAGGTGCTGTTCCCTTTTGCTCAGCCCCTCCTTCTCAAGTCGCTCATTGTCCAGGTCACCAGCTATGACGAGAAGCAAAACTCCAAGTACATGTCCAGAGCATTCACTCTGATTCTAGCTCTCGCAGGAATCGACTTTCTGGCCACCCTGGCGGCCACCAAGTTCCGACGTCAGGTCACAACTATGGCCCTTCATATGATGGTTGGCCTGGGTGCTTTCATCCAGGACAAGATTTTCCGGCTGGAAACTATGCCTGAGTCGTCAGGTGATATCATCAACCATTTCGCCACCGATATCACCAATGTGCTTCATGTGCCCTACTACTTTGACCAGCTGTGGAAGGCTCCTCTCCAGCTCATTGTCTGCACCTTCTTCCTCTACCAGCTGCTGTCGTATGCTGTTTTCTGGGGCCTTTTGGTGCTGGCTATTTGTGGACCAGTGTCTTACTTCCTTGCCAAAACCCAAAGCATGGTTTATCGAAAGATGCAGAGCCAGCGATCCGCTCGATACTCGCTTGTGGGCCAGATGCTCAAGAATATCAAGACTCTCAAGTTCTACACTCTTGAGAAGCACACCTTTGACACTATTCGAGACATTAGATCCCGAGAAATCAACACCCTGAAGCGTGTTAACCAGATCAAGCTCTTCGATACTTTCCTGTGGCACACCTGCATCTTTCTGTGCTCTTTTGTCTCTCTCTATATGTTCAGAGAGCAGCATGGAGGCAAGCTCACTCTTGATGTGGTCTTCCCTACTATGGTTCTCTTCCAGATTCTGCAACAGCCCTTCAAGGTACTTCCTACCAATGTTTCTCTACTTGTTGAGTCGGTTGTCTCTCTCAAGCGTGTTAGTGGTTTCCTGGATCACCCTGAGGACGGTGTTGATCGAGAGTCTCTCAACTTGGAAGAGACTTCTCAGCAGATTATCGATGACCTCAACAACAACGTTGATCTGATTTCCATCATTGGAAAGGTCGGTAGTGGAAAGAGTACTCTACTCGACATGATTGTTCAGAAGAGCTCCCAAGCCGTGGCTTACATGACCCAAGGACACTTCTTGCTCAATGCCAGTATCAAGGATAATATCATTTTTGGCTCGAATTTGGACGAGGAACGATACAAGACTGTCCTCTACCAGTGTGCACTTGTTCCAGATCTGGCCAACCTGAGCCATGGGGACCAGACGCTGATTGGTGATAAGGGTCTTTCTCTTTCTGGAGGCCAGCAGGCCCGAATCTCCATGGCTCGAGCTCTGTACTCTGGATACACCATGTGTCTAGACGACCCTCTTGCTGCTCTGGATCAGCATGTGCAGAACCATGTGATTCGACATGCACTTGCATACGCTGAGTCTCAGATGGTTATGGCTACCAACTCTCACAAGCTACTCGATTATGGAAGAGTCTACAATCTCGATACCCGTGGACAGGCTGCTATTGCTGCCAAGAAGAACCTTGAGGACCTGAGAGAGCCCAATGTTGTTCCCCAGGATATCAATGTGCAGCCTCCTGCTTCTCTACAGCAAGAGGAGATCACGACTAGTGGTCGAGTCAATTGGAGCGTCTACCGACGGTACTTCCAGGAATTTGGCTTCTTCACTTTCACGGTCTTTATGATTTTTGCCATAGGATTTGCTGGTCTAGGTGTTGCCGCTGGTCTTGCTATTTCGCGAGCCAACGTTTTCTACTACCTCATGTTTGGACTTGTTGCTGGCCTTTCTGAGATCATTTCGAACCTCATTTTCCTTAAGGGAAGTTGTTCGGTTGGTCTCAAGATGCACTACAGACTGCTGACTTGTGTTATCACCTCCCCATTGGCCTTTTTTGTTTCTACCCCTATGGGTCGAGTTCTTAACCGACTCACTGCTGATCTCAAGCTCACTGATGAAGAGGTTGCTAACAACGGCCGACTGTTTGTGTACTCGTGCATTGAGGCTGCCTTTGGCCTGGGTCTCATTGTTGCGGCTGCTCCTCTTTCCATCATCTTTGTGGCCGGTCTGCTGATGCTGTACAAGCACTACGAAGCCATCTACGTCAAGACTTCCCGTGAGCTCAAGCGAATTGTCGCTGCCACTTCTTCTCCAATTCTCACCATTCTCGGAGAGAGTATTGACGGTCGACATGTCATTTCTGCCTACAGCCGACAGCCTTACATGTCTGGTCGTCTTTGTGAGGCTCTTGATGAAAACAACAAGGCTCGATTCATCCAGGGTAACCTTGGATACTGGCTAGGTCTGCGCCTCAAGGGAATTGGCTGTGGCATCATCTTTGTTGCCGGTGTGCTTTCTCTGTTTGCTCTTGGGAGTGGTCAACTTTCGGTTGCTCTTCTTTCTCTGACTATGACCTATGCTCTGGGTATCACTAAGCATCTTGATGCCATTGTTTCTTCTTTGATCATGGTTGAGACCAACTCTGTGTCTGTTGAGCGAATTGTCGAGTGGATGGGCAATGAGAAGCAGGACCCTCTTGATACAGATGTTGAGGCCAACGGCTCTTCCGGTATTCCCTACCCTTCTGAGATTGATCTTCTCTCTGACAAACCTCCTCAAAAGATCTTCACCAAGGGTCACGTTCAGATTGAGGGCTGGAACGTGTTTTACGGCGACACTCAGGTGCTCAAGAACATCAACCTTGATATTCCAGGTGGCACAAAGCTGGCTATTGTTGGTCGAACTGGCTCTGGAAAGTCCACTCTGGTCAACTCTCTGTTTAGATTGGTGGAGCCTCGAACTGGAGAGGTGGACATTGATGGCTACAACATTGCCAAGGTTCCTCTTCTGGATCTTCGTGCTAACATGGCCATCATTCCCCAGGATTGCCAGGTCTTTGCTGGAACCGTGCGTCTCAACCTCGACCCTCATGATATTCATACTGATGAGGAGCTTGTTTCTGCACTGCGAAGCTGCTCGTTGGACTTTGCTCTGGATATGCATTTGAGTGAAGATGGTTCCAACATCTCTACTGGCCAGCAGCAGTTGCTGTGTCTTGGTAGAGCTGTTCTCAAGAAGGCAGCTGTGGTGTGTCTCGATGAAGCCACGTCCTCGGTGGACAAGGACACTGAAAAGGTGGTGGGCTCTGTGTTGCAGAATGCATTTGCCAACTCCACTGTGATTACAATAGCCCATCGGCTGGAAACTGTTATAGATTCCGACAAGATTTGTGTGTTGGATAAGGGTGAGGTTGTGGAGTACGGGTCTCCTTCAGAGCTGCTGGCCAAGAAGGGTTTGTTTTACGAGCTCCACAAGTCGAACCGACTGGACTAAACGAAAATGTTTATAGATGATTTAAAATGAGATACTTGATCTTCGTGGAATATGATGGCTTGTGTGTCAAGTAAAGTACCCATTGTAGTTATCTAAGTTAAGTAATATGGTTAAGCGTTGGAAGTAGCCATTGTAGCGATGTCAGCACTCTACTGGTGCAGAACTCCAGTGACTTTTGAAGGGTTCGGCTGTAGAATTAGTTTCAATTGCACCAAGCTATTCAAAAAAATGTTTATATATAATAACCCTTTTCTCATCATCGTGGTGCTCATAATATTAAAACATCGTACAGTAATATGAGGTCCTCCTCCGCCACCTGTATCACTGTGTGACGTCACGCATGTACATGTACTGCACTGTGCATAAAGTTCAAGGTCCACGTTTCGCCTTCGTCAAGAACACTATCGTGTCTCGACGCCTCCTTTCTTCTCCACTGTAACACCACACTTTACACAATGGCCCGAATTATTGTTCTCATTGTTGCCTTCATGGCTCTTATCGCCGGCGTTTTTGCCACTGAGGAGAAGCTGGCCAAGCTCCAGATCGGTGAGTTTGATGGGATGGATCAGAGCATGTTGTGAGATCACGGGAATGGCAACACGACACACGCAAGTGTTACAGGATGGATATCGTGTTGGACGGATTCAATTGCGGAATCATTGCGCACATACTAACTTCAGGCATTCTCAAGAAGATTTCTCCCGAGGAGTGCACCCAGAAGGCCAGAAAGGGCGACACCGTGTCTGTGCACTACACCGGCAAGCTTGAGGACGGCACCGTGTTCGACTCCTCCGTCGAGCGAGGCCAGCCCATCCAGTTCCCCCTTGGCACTGGACGAGTCATCCCCGGCTGGGACCAGGGTATTCTCGGCATGTGCGTTGGCGAGAAGCGAAAGCTCACCATCCCCCCTCATCTTGCCTACGGCAAGCAGGGCGCTGGCCGAGTCATTCCTCCGGACTCCACCCTCATTTTCACCACCGAGCTCGTTTCTATCGACAACGACGGTGACCGAGATGAGCTCTAAGCTCCTGGCCATGTAGCTCTACCAAAATATATCTAAACCCGTCTTATTGCAATTTTAGTTCCGCCCCTTCCCACAGTCGCAACTGTAGAGCCGCTTTAATGTCAGCAGCAGTATGTACAGTAATAGGCAGCCCGTAGGATTCGGTTGGGGGCTTAGCCTCTTTCAGCCCCACAATTCCACCCAGAGTTAATAGCTAGCCTTGGTACTTAAAAGGTAGCCCGGTTGGGTGTCTAGTTTATATACATTTAAGACTGCCATTTAGACACTGCGTTGTTTTCCACACCTTATGCAAGCTTCGGCTCTACCATAAAACTGCATGTCCCTCTACACCCTTGTGAGAGCTGCGGCCACCCATTCCAGGCCGCCAGCGGGCACCAATTTCAAAGCGGAAATCGACGACTTTATGCGTGGCGACGAACGGGTTCGACTGTTAGGGGACATGCCCAGGAAGGGCTCTCGTGTGGTTGTGTTGGACTCGTCCTTCAACCCCCCGCATTATGCTCACTTAGAGCTGGCCATGTTAGGGATGACACACACAAAAGACAACTGGTGAGTAAAGGAGGATGCCGGGGTGCTGGGGGGGGGGCACTTGGCTGGTTCTTGGGCTTGTCACGGACTTCCCTCAGCTATTTGCTGGTCTGTTATCTTGTGAGACGGGTCAACTGGACAAGCCAGGTGCATATTATCACGTTTTTAACCGGACTTGATGCAGCACGACATGCGTGGTGGGGGTAGGTCTTTGTTAGATGGGTATGGCCATTACCTGTCTGTTTCAGGATGCAAAACTAGGATCTATGGACCATTACCTGTTCTTCCCATCATGGAGCACAACTTGTGTTGTTGTGGACCCCGGATTTATGAACCTTGAGGGCCGCGTTCTTGAGAAAACATGATCCAGCTACACTACCATGCGAATGCGCTATTTTACACCTCTTGAGACCGTCCTGATGAACAGGTCTTGCTCTTCTGATGTTTTTCACGCGCTCTCGATCATCCACCGCTAACCCAGCATTCTCCTCTTGTTATCAATCACCAACGCAGACAAGAAGCCAGCGCCAGCAGCGTTCCAACAGAGACTGGAGATGATGGAGCTGTTCAAAAGAAGCATCGATGCAGAAGTCGTTCTTGGCCTCACAAAAGAGCCGTATTTTGTGGACAAATACAAGGTCATCAAGCGACTACTGGCCAGCCACGGCCTGACTCCCCACCTGCACTTCCCCATGGGCCTGGACACGTTAGTGAGACTGGTGGATCAAAAATACTACAAGGAGCCCGTTTCCGAGGCACTAAAGGGCTTCTTCCAGGACTGCCACGTGCATGTGCTCACCCGGGACGATATCCACTTTAATATGAAGGAACTACCAGAACAATGGCAACGCCACATCCACATGTCGAAACACTCGTCCAAAACCGATGGCGTGTCTTCCTCAAACGTCAGAGCGCTGGTGAAGAGCCACAAGCGCCACCACGAATTCGAGAGGCTAGTTCCGCCGCAAATCCTCGCCTACATTGTTGAGCATGGCCTGTACAAATAGTTCTTCTCATGTACATACTATATATTTGACTAGTAGTTTACTTTGAAAAAGCAAGGGTATTAAAGTGTGTAAGGTGATTTAACTATAAGGATGGAACAATATCAGTGTCTTGTGTCTTGTGTCTTCTTTCCGCGGATGGTCATGGGTCGTCACGTTTTATTCAGCCTTATTCTTATGGAAGCGCAGAACAATGGGCTGTTCATGGGTGTACACTTATAACATAGCGTTCATTATTGCCATCTCCTAGATGGGAACTGTTCACGCGGTCGTCACGGGGGTATTTGATACCACAACTATGTATGAGTACTTTTAACGGTGATGCGAATGTGCTCTTGATTTTTTTGTCCATCAAAATCAGGGTGTTATCCTTACCTGCTTGTGGAATCAGTTCACGCCATTCTCAGGAGAAGAGTCTAGTTGATGGTTACGTTGCCGAAGCAGAGTAATTCACCAAGTTAGGCTTCCCCCGTTGCTCGTATTTGTTCACAGGGGTATATGATTGCGTCGCCAAAACCACCTCTCACTTGGACAGTATCACCCACTTGCGCCATCTCCTGTCCCTCTTCATGCACCTGATGTTCTCGGTAAAGTTCGCTACGATGAGATATGCAGGTTTATGCAGCGAAGTCAGCGAGTTTGTTTGGAGCCCTCCCAATGTGTATGGGTTGCCGGGGTAACGCATGTAAACAATACATACAAAGACGAGACCCAAAGTCACCTCTACAGCATGATCATAAAAAATAAGGGGGACTCTTCTCAACCTCAGACCGAACACCACGCAGACCATGTCGAAAAACAGCAACCACGACCGCATGGTCGCCTACACGGAGCGACTGGCGTCCTTTGAAGAAGCCCGACTTCCTCGGCGGAGAAAGAAGGTCCAATGGCCTCATGAACACCCGGATCCAGAGCAGTTGGCCAAGGCAGGATTCTATTTCAACCCCAGAGTCGAGAGTCCAGACAATGTCACATGTTTCTTGTGTGAATGTTCGCTGGACGGCTGGGAGCTCGACGACTGTCCTCTCAAAGAGCATCTGGAGCACTCTCGGGGGTGTTCTTGGGCCACCATTCTGTCCAAGGACTGGCAGAATGAAAAGAATCACGACCCTCACTGCAAAGAGAACATAGGCATGCGACTCACCACCTTTGACAACAAATGGCCTCTGGAGAAGAAGCGGGGCTGGCCAACGTCGCTCAAACTGGCCGAGGCAGGCTTCTACTTTGCGCCTACGGTAGCCGAAGAGGATCTGGTTGTGTGCGCCTACTGCGACATTTCCCTTGACGGATGGGAAAGAACAGATGACCCTCTTCATGAGCATGAGCGACGACGTCCCGAGTGCTACTTTTTCACCAGCATGAAGAAGGAGGAGGCTACTACCAAGAAGAAACGAAGATCTTCTAAGCGAGCTTCCAAGAAGATTGAAGAAGTCGCCGATGAGAGTGTTGTCATTTTACAGCAGCCTGACAATGGGAGTGTTCAGATTCTGTCGGATCCCGAAGAGGAGCCAGCCCCCCAGCCCATTAGATCCAAGAAGGAGGGCCGACGACCAAGCGCAAAGACTGCTCCGAAGATCAGACAGGTGTCTGTAGAAGAAGAGCTTGCCAAGCTGCAGAAGGAAATGGAGGAGGATGGAGACATCAATGTTGCCTTGGAGCAAAAGGAGGATGTTTCTGACTTTGAGGTTGACCTTGAGCTCAGCGAGATGGCAAAACAGGCCGATTCTCTGGTCCATAACTTTGATGAAGGTATCAGCGACTTTGAGGAACCTCACCACAACCACCAGCATGAGCCTACTCCTGTCAGATCCAACAAGCGACCTTCTAATGTCTTCCAGGATGATCCTGCACCTCCTGCCAAGCGACGAAAGTCTTCTGTGGTTCCTTCTGCACCAGTTGCTCGAATTTCTCTGCCTATTTCCGAGGGTACCAATAATTGGGAGGTTTTCTCTGGATCGTCTTCTCCAGCTCCTCAAGAGCACGAAGTGGACAAAGGAGAAGACGGCGGTGATGACAATGATGATGAGGAAGACGACGACGACGACCATGAGGACGATGAGGACGATGGGGACGATGAGGACGATGAGGATGAGGACCAGTTCGTGGAGGCTAAGGAAAACCTCACCGAGGAGGACTGTGTGGTTGTTTCTCCTGCCAAGCCTCTTGAGAAGATTCTTGCCAACGACGTGCAAGCTCATGTGGAACATGAAGTTGAGGAGCCCGCTCGTGAGGAACAAGAAAAGGAGCAAGTTCCGGTTCAGGAGGAGGAGGAGGAGGAGGAAGGAAAACGGGAAGAACCTGTTCAGGAGGAAGCCCAGTCAAACAAAACTACAGATACCCATAGCACTCCTGCTGACTCTGAGAGGCGAGACTCTGAGCGTCGGTCGAGGGCAATCACCCGATCTCCTCTTGCTGTTCGCAACCTCAACCAAATCGTTACCACCAAATCCGCCACCAGCACTCCAGCACGGTCCAAAGCGAGCCAGTCTCTACAATGGGAGCCTGTGGACTGCGACCAGGTCTTTGACGTGTGTGAGTCGAGTCCTCATAAGGAGCCTGATCACATCCTCGACATGACAATCACGGAGTGGTACAAGTACCAGTCAGTAGAGGCCGAGAAGCGGCTCATGGAAAAGTGCAACCGAATGGTCGAGGTTGTGCAGCGAGAAGGCCAGAGGGCGCTGAACCATATCAAGGCTCTTCCCACAGTTGATGGGTAGTGCTCTACAAGAACCAAATCTAACCTGCTTATATAACGGAATATTATTTATAGATATTTATATACAAGTACAGTACTGTAGGTACATACTCTACCGGTGCAGTACATACAATCCCCTGACGTATCCACTTGATGCTAAGGCATCTGTGACAGACTCACTCGGCGCGCTCAGTTCTATGTAGCGTAAGTAGCCGATCAAGTAAACTACTTACAAGCTGTACAGTAATCACCCCAACTGACTCACTGCCGAACATGCGATCCGAGTAAAAAGTAGGTCTGTCAAAAGTAAGTGACACGAAAATTTTGCACACGAATGGTGTGCACGAATGGCAGCAACTCATTCAACCTGGCTGTCGTTACCCCACCATCTCCTCCCCATAACCGCTTCACGCATAGAAGCCGGTATAGAATGTCTTTGTCACATTCCACAGCCCCGCGCTAACGCATTGTTTACTAACTTTTTGCTGATATGACAGGTGACAGCTGACTCCGAATCGGATATTATCGTCTGCCACTTTTAAATCATTCTGTCGCGTGGCTGATAACTGAACGCGGCGACTTCTGACGTATTCACCTATCCACCCAGCCTCGCCACCATGCGCAGCACTGTGCCTTCGTGCATTAGTGCCATATTCTGACACACAGCAGGAGCCACTTACAAATACAAATCTAGACAACGTTGGAGTGTATGCGGTGTACATACCGTATATGTTGTATTGTGGCTGTTTGTTCATTAACGGACGTGCTCGTACATATACTGTACATAGAGGAGGGGGCTGAGTAAGGTGGATCTCCCCAGACTTCAACTACGATACTGGGCTGTACCTATTGCAGTCCAACTACAATACAGTATGGACGCCCTCCACACCTTGTGTGGCCCACTAGCTAATACTTGTAGTACACAGCTTGACCAACTACTAATGCTTCCACCACTAATACAGATGCGATTTATTTGTTATGAGTCTTGTACAGTTATTCGTAGTGAGTCTGCTCGTCTCCTGCAGCAGCTCAGATGTGTTGTGTGTGGCACATTACCACAGTTGAACATTTTCCATGCCATTGACAAGACCATCCACGTCCTGCCTGTATCCAGCACCCTGGTATCCTAGTGGCTGTCTTTTGGGGGACCGTTGCTGAATCAGTCCAACCTCGTCCATTAGTCGGCGATGAGCCTGGGTAGTCTTGATACCCATTAAGGTCGCTCGCACTTTGTCTACAGCCACCTGGCGGGTGTATCCCTCCAAGTAAGGGCTCATGAGAACCTTGAGCACAAAAGTAGGACCATGAATCTGGTCTGACAAAATAGCATGCAAGTTGAGAGGCTCCAGCAACGCAGATAACAGCAAGTCTCGAGACTCAGCCTCCCGACTGGCGAGAAGCTTAAGCGCCGTGAGAGCTGCAAGCTTGTGGGTAGCCAACACAACAATGTGAGGAACCAGCCTTGGCGCAAGCACCTTGTGTCGATGGGGGAGCACACAGGTATCCAGGTACCATGTTAGCAGAAGAGCCCCGTTGGGGTTGACCGCGAGCTGGGGAGCATGAAGCACAATGGCGGCAGCGACCATTCGCTGCTGGTCTCGAGAGGCATGGGCTGACTCAAGACAAGCACGCATGGCTCGAGATCCAAACCGGCCTAGGCCAATCTCGGAGAATCGTGCAAGCATGGTCTCGTACACAAAGTCGGACCATGGGGCTCCAAACTTGAGACAGCCCTGGAGCACGTAGTTGCCGAACTGGTCGAGAAATAGATGCACTGTGTAGGGACGCAAATGTTTGACAATGAGGGCACGCTGGTGTGGGGTTCGTGCCACATCGATGATCTTTTGGGCAGCCCAGGTTCCGTTCTTATGGATACCAATGGCAGCCAGATGGGGAGCAATCTGCTCCAACATGCGGTCCTTCGCACCGTCAGAAGCAGCCTCAAACAGCTTTTGGACAACAGTGTTTCCGAGATAGTCGGCGGCGAGTTGGGCCACCTCGGGCAGCATCTCGTCAACGACAGTCTCGATCTCCTCAGCAGCGAGAATTCGAGCATCCAGCCGCTTGCCCACGTCGCGGAGTCGAGCACTGTCGAAAATTCTGTGGGCCGTCTGCTCAGGGACTGTCGAAATTTCGGGTTTGAGCTCCACAGAGGCGACAGCAGCACGCTGAACGGCAGGCGCTATCCAACTTAAGTCCCAGGGACCAAGCTGAGCACAGACAGCCAGCAGCTCATCCTGGAATCGTGCATCCTCCAGGGGTGGAACGTCAGGAAGCTGAGGCAGATCGGGCTGCATGATTCCACCGGCAGCAGCCATGGATCCAGCATGCTGCAGCTCCTCTACACTCTCGGGACCAAGCTTTGCAAAGCCAACTCGGCAGGGACCTGCTCCGGGGAAGAACTCCTTGCCATTGAGCTGTTGTAGAGCATGCAGGGCGGACTGCGAGTCCGCAAAGTTGATGAAGCCGCAGTTCTTGTGAGTCAGGATTCGAGCGCTCTCCACAGTTCCGTAAGCTGAGAAAATGTGGTGCAGGGCTTGAGGAGTGGCAGTTGGGGGGAGCTTTCCGAGCCACAGAGACCGAGAAGGCTTCTCCTCTTCATACTGGGAATGAGGGGGGCCTCCAAGCGAAGAATGGGTGGCTCCATGGGGAGGAGTTCCACCTACAGAATGAAGCCCGGAGGATGCAGTAGCTGATGCATTGGAGGTCGACGCGCCGCCAGCATGGGGACCAAGGGGTATATCGTAGTCGTAGTAAGGCACGGAGACTGTCTGTGCTCGCTGACGAGATGCAGCCTGCTGGACGGCGGACGCCTGCTGGACCTGGGGGTGCATCTGAGGGGGAGGCATCTGTTGCAGATGTTCGTATGGGTCGTCCTCTCTTGGCATGGCGTTGATCGTGTACGATCGAATGCGGCTGGGGTCGGTCTTGACATTGAGCTCGTGCATGAACGGTTGCAGCGGCTCGTAAGGCTGTGTTACAGGAGGGAATGGGATGGGTGCATCTCCGTCAATCAGGGAGGACCGCTTGGAGTTGGACCAGATTGATGAGCCTGACAGTGAAGGGTATAGCGACGGCCGGGAGTCAGGCAGCAGATTGAGCGAGCCCGAACGTAAACGAGAGCCCATGGCGTTTGCCAGGGCGTGTGATGAGGGTGTAGAGGAGCCCGAAAGAGGAGACGAGCCTAATGGGGGTCCCATGGGCACATCCAGGAATGAGGACCCCGACTGCTGAGGCTGAGGAGGTTGTGGGACTGGTTCTGGGGCAGGAGTGGTGGCCATAGAAGGAGCCTGAGAGACCGATGGAGGAGGCATGGTAGTGGTCACAGCCGGAATCTTGTTGGGGTTGAGGTTGGACCCCATTGAACCCGTGGCTGCTGGCCAGTCTCTGACAACCTCGTCATTATCGGGGGACAGCAATGCCAATGATCCCTTGTGATCTCGGTCGAGATTTTGGGTGGTAAGGCGCGACGGGAGCGTGCCGGCACGTGCTCGTGATCGCAGTGGTGAGTTCCACACGTCCATCTGTGTTAGTAAGAGTTGCCATGTGGTTAAGTGTGACAAGGTTAACTACATGACCCAATCCAAAACATCGCAGGTCACAGGGCACCCACCTTGTGGAGGGTGGAGAGTGCGGCCTTTGTTTTACGCGGTGTAGAGACGGCTGCCAAACGCCTTGTTGTGTGTGCCTGGCGACTGCGTCATAGTTTTCTGTGGGACTTAGTGGTGCGGCGTTGTGGTGAGGCGGATACAGCGGCGGCGGTGAGGTCCGTATCTGGACGTGAGGCGATATCGTGGCGCGAGAGCTCTAGTTTCTTGGTTCCGCCCCGGTTGTGGCCCTGGATCAGCCCATTCGAACACATTTCTTTATCGTAGTCGTTCAGGGTGTCTCTTGATGCGTATCTCATGTCGTGACGAAGAATGGCCATTGTCGACCCACGCGCGATTGGTGACGACAAAAGACGTTGAAGGTGGGGTTGTCAAGGCGCAGAGTGAATCCCGGTTTAATCGTCTCTCTCGGTATCATATCTCTTGGTGATGTGTCCACCGCCTGTTGCAGGGTCTGTCGTATCCCACAGCCCGAAAATGAGCTGTTCGCACCATCCAGTCGCTTAAGCCACGACACATTTTACTCTGTGGCGATTGGGGAGCTGGGAAGCGGACCGTGGCGTCATTCCCTTCGCGTTGTCCTTGCACTTGTCTTTCCATACTCACATGTTTAGATCTTGGTGGCGATGTGTGTTCCGTGGTTGACAGATAAGTTGAAGCAATGTCAGAGTAGACTCAATATCGTGCACCTGTGCTCTATGTGTATCCAATCTATGTTGGAGTCAAAATTATGTGGTGGGACCTGTGGGCTCGCAGTACATAGGGTTTGGTCACGAGCTGCAAGCTCCAAGGGGTTGGGCCAGAATGGAGAAGCACACATTCAAGATATCAGAGGGTGGGGTGCGGAAAAGAGGTGTTTGACAAGCGGAGTTCAAGGAGAGGGTACAAACCAAGTTATATATTGTGCCGTGGTACGTTGTAACACCGCGTTGGCTCTCAGCATCAATTCTCCGGACTTGTGTGGTTGGTGTGAGCCGAGTGTGCACACAATTGAAATAATTGACTCTAAAATATACTCGCTACAAAAGCCGACTAGAGGAAGGCTGAGCGTGCGGTGTCTCTTTCGGTCCAACAATTAGTGAACGGGCCGGGGGCTCTCCTGTTGAAGCGGTGCTCTCTCCGTCTATTTTGAGCTGCTTCGGACTTGGCTGCAAACGACTTTCCGACCCGCGCTGTAGCTTCGTGAATAACTCAATTGACTCCACAGATATCATAGAAGTTGTAACCGTTGGCGGCGTACCAGCATGGAAACAGGACATATATCAGCAATTGACCCGCCTCAATTTCGCTTCTCGAGTGGCCACAAAGTTCCGGTATGTGCAAGTGCCACCTCATGTCCATAAAGTACACGTTTTGCCTTCCCATTGCAAGTAGCTACAGGTTATGTAGCGAATCTCCCGTTCCTGACTTTCCCCTTAGTGTTACCCGGCCTGGATAAAGCGCGCTTTTGTGCACGAGATGCGGGATATGGATTTCTGTGGGGCTGTGGGATGAGGGCCCCAACTCTAAGCCCTGAATGGTGATCACCCGAGCGGTGACGATGGTGTCACGCCCGATCCAGTGTGTCGGACCATCGTCGGCGGTCGCCAGCAACAATTGCGCATAGCTATGTTTTCTTGCGACCCGAGTGTGTCAGGTTGTGACAGCTCAGCCCAGGTACCTTTTTTGGTATCTCTCCACACCACGTTTGGCTTTTCCCAACGTCCGAGCTCCACTTGCTGTTACTATTCTGGGAGCTGCACGCATCACGCTACACATGCACTCCTGATGCATGGAGCAGGCTGAGAGATGCTTGGAGGTCGCCAGCCGCAAACAGCAGGTAGGACGCCGAGACCATCCCGTATCATGAAACGATCGTGCCGAGAGTGTCGACATTGAGCCTCTTCAGGCATAGCAAGTCCACTGGGCCCGCAGCACATGCAACTTTTGGGATTGTGGGGCAGCCAGAGGTTAGTGCGACTAATGTCCTCGGTGTGTGCTCTAATGTGCTTGGTTTGTGGTGTACAATGTACTGTGGGTTGTGTGGTGTATTAGGAGCATCTTGGGACCCGTTGATGACCTCGGAGTTTCACCTTCCACTCATCTTCTCGAATTCCTGTCAACTCCCTATCGGCCTTTTGTAAAACCCGTCCATACCATCTCCGTTGCATGCTCCACCTATGCAGGCTGAATGGAGGGAGCATATGACCCAGGCTTGTGGATGATTGAAGAGACGGAGGTTCAGGTCGCCGGCCCCAGACGCCAGCGTTACCTTGGCAACTAATCAACCTGCCAGCTTAATCGGCAGCAGTCCATTAATAGTTTTGTTGGTCCAAGTCCCTCAGTCGAGTAGTCGGGTTTCCATGGTGATATTTTTTAGTGTATGCAATAATTTGACGATATAGACGACAATACTGATTCAACAACGCCAACCAGACCCAGACCCTATGGAAGCATGGAACACCTTCCATCGAAGACTTGGAGCAGCTGCTGCTCCAGACTCTTGCTACGCGTCACGAAATGTTACGATCAACATACCAGTGCGGCATTAACACAGTTTCAACCGTGGCGCGACCACCGCCCACAAAAGCAATCACTCGCACCGCTAACCATGTGCAAGCTGTTTCCAGAGAGATTGGCACCGTAGTCACCGTAACCACCGCAAGAGAACTGGTGCTCAATACAAGTACAGCAGTACGACAAGTCTGTTACTCTGCAATCTCCCCATTTCACGTGGAACACTGTATAGCCACAGTTAAGATTGATAACCACCCCGCCCAACCTCCACCGGACCTGAAACAATAATACCAGCGTACATGTGGGAACTGCTCTAATTACTTGTCCCACGTTTTGCTTTTGGAGGCGGTCCTGTTGCAAGTATTAAATCTACACATGTGAAACAGAAACGGGGGCATCTCTCTCCAAGTACCGGTAGGTGGAAGCGAAAAAGAAAAGTGAGCTTTCTCCGGTTAGTTTGGCTAGTGAAGCGGCTATAACAAAGTCATTTAGGGATAACTATGTATGTGCTGGTTCACCGAGACAGCAACGTGGGTCCAGAGAGAGCGCTCTGGCTCTCAGCGATGCGAAAAGCGTTTATTATAGAATTAGTGTGGTATCTGGTTTACATTGGGGTCTGGTAGATTGCAGCTTTTTGCTCACGTATTATGGACATTGCGGGCCCGTTCAGGGTTCCACACATGCAATTGGGGGTCAATTCTGGCTCCAGAGGGTCTGTAACCTGACCGAAATTACCTGACAGCGACAGCTCCCCGATTTTAGCAGTTTCAGGGCCTCAACTGACACAAGTCAGAATGGCGTCTGGTTCCTCCCACATGACAGCCCAAACAACCCTGCAGATAAACAATAGGTATTGTTGATGCACCGCGTGCATCCACCGCACCAAAGAGGGTGCTGGGCTAGGGCTGGCCAGTTGGGAACAGCAACCCCAGTTAACCGCATCTCCATAGATCTTTCGACGCGGTTCTGTGCAAGCAACAATAATCGGGCATATGCGTTTGCCACCAAAAGACGCCGTTGATGAGAGCAAATGGGAGAGCTCTACGGGACATGGTCGGGCCCAGGGAGCTCCCGCCAGGTGTCAATTGGCTCTGCCTCCGCACAACAACGTGATTTACGGGGTGTCTCAAACATTGACGGTGATAACGATCATCCCCTACAGTTGTGATGCCCAACCTCCTGTTCTAGACTCTAAGTAACTTTGGTCCGGGTTGATCTTCCGAGCCCAGAAAGATAGAGAATAAACGCAGCTGCCCCTTATGAAATCTCGCTACAGTGCACAGTCTACCTTGGGTCTCCCTTTTTTTTTCTTTTCTTGCTACCGTTAAGTTCCGCCACCAAGTAATTTTTTTTTGGTACAAGTAGTTCATACTGTACAAGTCCACAGAAATCCAAAAGCCACGTTTGTCACGCTTCTGCGGCTCTACATTCGCAACAGTTTGTGTCTCTACAAGTAGGGGTTAGGCGCAACCTGTGGCAGATGTTGGTCATGGAGTTGTGGCATGTGGCCGCTTAGCAATTGTATCGTACATACTGTGTACTGTGGTTAGTCATACAGTTGCCACACTAATCAACTGTGGTGGTGAGTCACGGAGCACGATAGATTGCACAATCTTAACTGCCGATGTCGGCGGCGTGTAAGCAACTGACTCAGGGCCTTTGGGAATAGCCGAGTGTCGTATCACACCCCTCTTGTATGATACCACACATGCTGGCGCAACTGGTGTTATGTGCGCAAATGAACATATATGACATGATGTCTAAACGTGTTTCAAACTGGTTATTCTACTGCTTCGTTTACATCCTGTATTTTTTCCTGCTCAAATTATACATGTTCCTGCCCCCCGCCCAAAGAGGCAACCATTCTCAAAGCCCTAACCACCGTAACCTGGGACCTACAAGTAGTATGCACCCCGGTGGTCTAGGCAGTTGAACCTGGCATACAGACACGTTGTCACAGATCCACAAAAAAGGAATGGGCAAGTGAAAATATTGCGTCACGTCTTGGGTCTCCCTCGGCGGGTGCAACATGTTTACCTGTGGCTCCCGATTCGCAAGGAATGCTGTCCGAGGTGCCACAGTTTCCACTTGGTGTATACTTACGAGTGCCGTAACCATCCTTCACTTTGGGCGCAAAGCGTGTCCATGTCGCCATTTTCGCTATAAACGTGGTATGGCTTGAGTCACCAATGACTCTATTTTTTCTTCGCATAATTTTTTTTCTCCCCAAACTGTGGATTTTTGCGTTTCTGGGGCTTTTTCACTTTGAGTTTGTGACCCATATTTAATTTCACGCAGACAAAGAATATACCTTTGTGGTATCTTTAGTGGCGTGCTGTGTTGTTGGGATTTTCACTTTTCGTTTTGTGGTTATGTACGAGCAATTTGGACCGCCCGAAAAGTGGCTGGCAGGTCGGAACCATTGCTATGGGATATTGGGGAGGAAAAATGGAAAAAGTAACGCCGGAATCACAAACAGAAGACCCACAATGCCTCCCGACGAGCTTTCCGCGCGTTTCCAGGGCCAAAAAGCCCCTCTTTTATCATGTTCCGAAATCTCCGTTGTGGGTGACTTCACACCGAAATGACAAATAAGTCACCTGAAACTCTAATCTTTATACTAAACTTAGAGGATGACAAAATGTAGCTTATCTTATCAAGGGTGGAAATATATATATAAGACCAAGCGGTTATTTCCACTATCATCACCAACCACATCTTCTCTCAAGAAAAACACATATCGACAGCCTGGCAGTCACATACACTCGACCAAGCCCTCTCGACCCACTCTCTGATACATTCGAAAGACCCTTATCTACAACACCAGACTCTTATCTCTACACAAAACACTCGCAACCAAACATGGACTGCTTCCACAACTACTGCACCGTCTGCGATACCATCATCGACACACAGCGAAAGGGCAACCGACTCAAGTCTACCTTTTCGTCCCAGGCCTTTGACTCTTCGCTCTACTGCTCGATAAAATGCAAGCAGCAGGACGAGGCTGAGTACACTTTCACCGCTCAGACCAAGTCGCCTGTCTACGATGTCGAGGATCTCAGCATGGTCCTTCCCTCCCACCTCAACCTCGATGACTCGGAGCCCGAGCTCTTCGAGTGCGACCTCACCGATTCCTCTTCTGTCGACTCCTCTTCTTCCATGCATTCGCTTGATGCTCCCTTCTCCACCTCCCTGAACTTCTCCCAGGGAGAGCCCAAGTACATTTCTCAGCACAACGCATCTCACCCTTACTTTGGAACCTCCTGGGCAGCCACTTCCCCGCTGTCCAACGAGGCGCTGGTCCTGCCCACCGCGTCTCCCATCAACAAGAAGAAGGAGCGACAGTTTTCCTACGCTATGCCTAAGGTATCTCATCTTAGCCCTGGCCGACCCGTCATTGCCAGCAATACCTCTCCTCTCGAGAGACAGTGAGCGGAGTAACAGATACACTCCCCCCTCTTACAACTAACAACCACCCCAAAAAAAGAAGCTGAGCTAGTCTCCGCATTATTGCATTGAGTGTGACCCATACAACAGGTCCCTTACTCTCCTCTCACTATTTATAAGGCATATTTATTAGGTATATAGATGAATCGATGATCATACCAACTATTACTTTGGGTGTAGCTCTGTAGAACAACTTGCTGTCGTTTCCACCCCGCCCGACTGTATTATCTATCTTGCCTCTATCTCCACCGCAATCTCTTGTAATTTCTCCACCTATCTGTATTGTATCCACATGGCTTGTTCTACAGTAACTCTCGAATCAAGAAATATTATCACCACTGCCAATATCAGAAGATAAGCACCGTCTCTTGCGCTGTACCTGGTGGTTAGTGTGACATCAATTTTCACCTACAGGCCTGCTAACACTTACAAGTACCAGATTTCAACACTTGCCACCACAAGTATCGAATCGTGGACCCTCGAACGCGGCTAAGTCTCGGCTACTGTTTTCCGGGGTTGCTAACTACTCTATGTACGATCCGGCACGCACGAACACAGCAGGTGACACCGCAGTAATCTCGCTTAACAAGCCACCGGTGCTGACAAAACCGTTGCTGCGAACAAGAGGGAGAGGTCTAGGCGGGTATCTAAGATTGATGGGATCCCCTCCTACCCATATTATTTCTCCATTCATAGATGGCTGTGTGTGCTGGGGTCTTTTTTCGCTTAACTCCGGCCTACGGGACAAAGCTCTAGAGCGTTATGATGAGCTGGCACAAGCGAACCCCACAATCTTATCTGTTGGTCCCATACAGGCCCGGGTTGCCGCCAGCCTTTTGTTCTGCAAGAGACCCTGACTCCGATCCCGACTGTAGGTCCTCGTACCGGTATCGTACATACTCACGGGAAAGGGTAAGACTCCGGATTTGCACAACGTGATGCGCCAACCCTATTATTGGTATGGGGCAATGTCCGATATGACATGTATGTACTGTATGTACATACGAAACCCCTCACTAAACATGTCATAACACACAACAACGACGACGATGTTTGCTTCGAGGACACATACATGAATATCTATCATAGACGCTTTAACCGGGATTCATCCGGTACCCGCCATCACCACTCTCGGACACTCACTTGTGCCTTAGAATTTAGACCCGAGCTGGTCTCACAAAGGTTTCAGTGCTTGGACCAGATCAAAGTCACCGATCGAACACGTAAGATACAACCACCTGTCGGTTGCACTGTACAATGTCGAGGATGGTCTGCAACGGAATCGTATACATTCGTTACATGCGACCGTCTCGTCAGCCCCTGTGTTAACTCCAACGCCGCATACCCATCCTACCGGGGCCGTCTACCCCACATTTCTTAGAGTTTCAACACATCAGATCAGCTAACCCGCACAAGAGCTTATTTGCTTCTTGTTGTAGGGGAGGGAAAAAAAATCTCGGAGGCTGTGTGGGCATCTAGAACAGCGGCAGCCACGAAATGGGTACGAGTAAATACAGTCCTAGACAGAAACATGTCTTACGCTTGAGACAAACGGCTCAAATTGCGTGCTACAGACTTGCCGGACTTGTACAAGCCTCGCCTCGGGTGGATCATCCCATCCGATGGCATCATCTCTAAGGAGTGCAGCGTGAAAATTCTTACAGCGCCTCCCCACAGTGTGTGCTGATCGGCTCAAGGTACCTACAAACGCACATACGATCTGGCGTGAGACACAAAGGGTTCAGGCACTCCTATTTCTCTCTCAGTACCGACAGGTGGAACACGGGTAAGGGTTTCCGGTTCCAGCAGTCCGATGATAACGTCATCTTAGCGTAGTGGAGTTCAAGTAGCGAAAAGTAAGTAGCGAAAATAAGTAGCAAAAATAAGTAACAAAAATAAGTAGCGAAAATAAGTAGCGAAAACAACGGAAAATAAATCCCTCCAGAATATTCTCTCACCACTCGCAAAAACCGCAGACATATACACTATAGATTAGCCACAGAAAAAATCGTACGCAGACCGTCGGAGGAGGCCGATCTAGACATGACCTGATGTCCAGGTACCGTATACGAGGTGAATGTGAATACATGTTGCCTGGTAGACGCATTGGCTCGTCCCAGGGCGGAAGACACCTTACCAGCCAGCATACATAGTGCTCAAGATGTGCTCACCCAACAGGCACCACCACTGCGCGAGCCGTGCTTGCTGTGTTTGAAATTCGCTCATGTTAGCATGATAATAAAATGTCCAGCTACAGTAGCAATTCTTCTTCTAGACGCTGCCACCAAATAATAAAACCAACCTTGAATATAATCACGCCCTCGTATTATATCACGGTATTATCCGATTTAGGTAGTCTCTCTACAAGTACACTCTTCATAAGTCACCGTCGAGTCGGTGCGGTATGTGCACGAGTTTCGTACTCATGCCCTGATTCGTCTCAGAGACCCGGCCATGACTTTTCCCTCTCACCCTCTCTCTGAACCCTCTCACTCAGAACCAAAAACAAATATCTCCGTGAACCTCTGAAACATACAGAACTTGGCATTCTCAACTACAGATCCAAGTGTGCTCGCATCGCTCATGTATGCACATGTATAACAAGTGACACCATAAGGCAGCCCGGAATCCAAATGTGCGACATGAAAAGAAAATATTTTCAGGGCTGAAAAAACTGCGAGACCAAAGCTACTATGGGAGCCAGAACCGGATCCCACCCATCCGAAAACTAGTCCAGAAGATAAAACCACCGAGACTAACGTTTTTTAGTAGGGTTCCAATGTCGCACCGGCAACCGAACAAATAACTATGATGATCTAATTGATAGCTAGACAGCAACAAGGAAAACAACAGATAAGACGTGAACACTCTACTCTAATCCATAAATATACATACATATTATACCCATCTCTATGTCTTCTATGCATCCACACTGCCGTCCATGCTGAGATTCTCAATCGCCTCCCGCACCAAATGACTGCCCTTGGGATCAAGATTCAGAGCAATGGTGTAGTGCTTCACCGCCAAAGGCTTCTTGTTGACAGCCTTGTATAGCTGGCCCAGCAAGAAATGGACCGAAGCTTCGTCTGGAGCCAGAGTCTGCAGAAGATCGAACTCTACAAGAGCCTCGTTGAACCGCTGGAGTTGCATAAGGATCCGGGCCTTCTTGTAGCGAGAAAGGGCCGATTGCGGCTGGAGAGTCGTGGCCCGCGTGTACATTGCTAACGCCTGTTGCAACATGTTCTGTCGCTCCAGTATCATTCCCACGCAGCACACAAGCACAACATTGTTGCTGTTGATGGCCAGAGCTGACTTGAAGTGGAACTCAGCCCGCTCAAAGTCACCCAGCTTCATGCTCACCATTCCCAGACCATACCACGCATTGTAATGCCGCGAGTCGCACCGCAGAGCCATTCGGAACGCATCTTGGGCCTGCTCAAGAGCCTCAGACGTCACGTGCTCATGACCACTGAGGGTGTATGCATATGCAAATTGCGGGTCGAGAGCTGTGGCCCGCTTGAAACACCTGAGCGCCAGTTCGGGTTCTCGTTGGACTGAGAACGAGTTGCCCAAAACACACCACGCCTGAGGAGACGACCGGTCCGAGTCCAGCAGATCTCGCGACAGGTATGCAAGCTCGAGGTCCTTCTGCAGATGCCACAGGGTCGTGGAGTAGACCTCCATGTCGGCCACACGGGTTCGATCCAGCTCTCTGAGCCGAGCAAAAGTCCGTTCTGCCTCCGCGTAGTTGACCTGCTCAAAGTAGATGCGGCCTATCTTGGCCAGCACGTAGGCAGAGTCTCGGTGGATTGACGGAAGGTCCAGAAAGTGTTTAAGCGCCGTCTGTAGCTCGTATCGTGAGAAGGCAAGAACGCCACGAGCAATTTTGGTGTAGAGAGGGAGGGTGGCCGAGGAGTGAGTGGCCGAAGATGCAGAAGAAGGGGGTGCGCTGGAGGAGTTGGATGCCGTAGAAGCGCCGCCAATTGTTTGGCCACTGGGGAGAGTGTTAGCTATGTTGAGACCCGCTCCCAGAGTTGATCCGGCAAATCCAACGCGTTTTGGCCGTGATGTAGGCGTGTCGTACAGCGAGCTTTTGCCTCCGAGGAACTTGCCCTTTCCTAGCGAGCCTCCCTGGAAGGTGGTGGTAAGATTAGATTGTTGTTGTCCGGTTGAAGAAGCCGATGGGTTTGTGTTGACGCTGTTATTGCTGCCAGCACTGTTGTTGCCACCGAATCCCAGCTTGCCTCCCTGAAAGGGATCCTCCACGGGGTATTGGTATCCTGGTTTGAAAATGTTGGCGACGTTGACGTTAATTCCCATTTCTGTGAGCCGTTCAAAAGCCTCCCAGACAAACGGGTTCTGGCTCAGTGCCATGGCGTAGGCCTCTGCGGCCACGGTAATGTTTCCTGCGCCCTGATACAGCTTTCCTAGCAGTACCAAAAAGGCCGAAGGGTCTGGAATCACGCTTCGTTGTGTCGCAGAATGGGCCGTGTACGTGCCATTGAGCCATGTCTTTTTGCCGGCCTCGAGGACCCGGGCACCGTCAGCATGCTTCTGCAGCTTAAGACACGACTCAGCGTACAGATACAAACAACCAATGTGGGACAGGTGTGTTTTTGTGGCCATCAAGACTGCCTTGTGACGTCCCTGGCGATCCAGAACCAGCGCATGCAAATGGACGTTTTCCGAAGAGGGGTCAATTGCCAACATGCGCTCGACGGTAAAGGCCGCCGTGGGGATCAAGTTGTAATCGATAGCATGCCAGAAGGACGCTGCCAGTTGGTTCATGGTTGATGATGAACTGTTGCACGAAAGGGTAAATGTAAACACAGTCACGTGTGACGTGCAGTTGCGATGTGCAGTTGTGGTGTTACTAAGCTAGGTGGTGGACGGCTGAATAACGGGTTTTTGAGAGAAGGGACATGATGGGAGATGCTTGGTGACTCGGATTTTATATTGATTCTCGTTATCGCTTTCGAGGGAACGAGGTTCTTGGTGGTATGAGAGTGTTCACTATTAATGGGTACGATATCAAGTGAATAGTTAGCGTTTGATAGAGTAAACTAAATATCTAACCAAAGTCAACTATTAGTTGAAAATAGGATAAGTGTGGATAGCAGCAGACAACTCAATTACTACCAGCTTACAGACTCAATAGAAGGCACAAAAGTATTTCCTTTCTGCGTAATACCTGTTCATTTGATATAAATATAAAGACATCTCTTGTTCTACTCTACCCTGGAGTCACTCTTGACTACCAACTTCAACCACTCCAACCACCCAAGAGTATCATCCTTCTACTGTACTGAAGGTAGCTACACTCATAGATGATGAGAACCAAATGACTCTGGTTAGCTCCAAAACCAATCACATGCCAATACCCCAACAAATGCAAACCAGTTGCGTCAGCTTCGCATCAGTTGCAGCAGTTGTTTCGTATCAAGTTGCTACTCTCTTTTACTCCACCACTCCCATGACCTGCACCCGTGACCCCACCCCTTAGTAAACCCCAACAAAATCTAGGTCGTCTAGATCTAAGAAAGACTAAGCATCAAAGCTCACATGGAGAGGTCACATGAGATGGTGAACACCCGTTGCCTTCTGTTTCTGTTTTTCGTTTTCCTAGCTCATCTCCACAAATCTTCTTCCAAACAACCGTGAGACCTGATGACCGATCCATGCTACAAGGTAGTCTAATTGGTACAAGGGCTTGTGATTGCGGACAGTGATCACGTAATAAACAGCCACTTGCTAGTCACATCTTGTCTCTATACATGTTTGGAGCCCCTACCAAACATACTGGGCGTACCTCAAACCTCCATACAACATCTTCATGTCTACTCGTACTTACACCGACAAAGGAATAATATACTACAAGTAGCTTCCTCAACTACAGTAGAACCATCCCGCCATCGCACCTGCCGTGAACCTTGCTCTCCACATGTTCTCTACAGACATTATGCGCTTACCCCAGCTGTTGGCGTCATTGTCGCCACAAGCCACAGTATCGATTGCGCCATGAAGACGGACCATCCCTAGATATGGACCATGATCACAACTTCTTGCGCCATGAAGACGGACCATCCCTAGATATGGACCATGATCACAACTTCTTGCGTCATGTTCCTGAGCCACAGTTGATGCCATCACTCTCTTACGCCTCTCATCCTCGCTAATATGGTAACAGAAGCTATTCGCTATTTGAGATGTTTTGCTTGAGCCGTGGATGGCATCAAGATATGTTAGTCCCCCTCCTATTCTATATTTACTGCACAGGCCAAGGTGAAATGGACCGTGACATTTCGTCATCGCTATGCATCTCTGGCGACATGGTGTCCGTCTCGGACGATGTGTCGGCATGCTCCTCCTTTGCGCCCCACACGCTCACGCGAGCAGGCAGCCTGTAAAGGGCCACTGCTCCCACCACCATAACCACTGCCAAAACGGTAAAGAAAATTTGGGTCGCGGGGAACACGCTTGCATAAAGAGTTGGAGCGATAAGATCTCCTGCTACTGCTCCCACATCCATCACACCAATGACCAGCGCAAGGGCGTATCCAGACCCACACACGGGTCCCAGGACATGGATGATGTAATCAAGAATGTGGGGGTACGAGACGGACCGCACCAGACTCAGAACCATGATTCCGACAATGAAGGCCACATCATTGGGCACCGTGCACGAAATGCCGGCCGCTACCGCAAACAGAGCGCCCAGACGAACCACATTCGTGTCTGACTGCTTGATGGAGCGCCGACAGATCTTGGAAATGCCCAGAAAGATGTAGGGCAGCAGAGTGGGAGTGCCCAAAAGGCCGCCCATGGCTGTGACGGACAGTCCGACGGAGATTTTGGCCAGATCAAGGGTCCGCCAGTCCCACATGTACGAGGAGAAGACGGGCATGATTTTCAGAGAGGCTGCAGATGTCATGGAGACCAGCCCTGCGACAATCATGATGCTTTTGAGAGGGGAGGGCACCGCCTTCTCGGTGAGATCAGCAGTGGATGAGTTGGGGGAGTAGAGCGTGTCCTTGGAATCACGATACTCTTTTGGGGTGTGCAGATAAGAGGGTCCTGTAAGAGCTCTGAACTCTGGCAGGTTCTTTGACCACATGTAGAAGGTTGCGGCGAGACCCAGAGCCAGCAGCATGGCCAAAAGCGGGTTTCCAGACTCCTCCAGGATTCGTCCAACTGTGGAACCCAGCCAGTCCTTACAGACAATACGTAGAACCAGCAGCTGAATCAGCGGGAGCAGACGTAGATCCGGCCAGCCTGCAAAGAAGCCCGTTGTGGTCCGTTTCTCTGCCACCTCCGAGATGCGCTCTGTGTTTTTCTCTTCGTCGTTGGTCATGTCACAGAGGTACATGGCAGCCAGAGCCAGCACCGACTTATCGCACTGCATAGCTACAGACACGAGATAGACCGGGTACGGCAATCCCAGGGCATAGGTGAAGCAGGCCACTCCGACGGATGCCGTGGCCAGAATGGCACACATGTGTACTCCCCATACTCTTCCCTTTGCGTCGCTTGTCGACAAGATCTTGAAGGCCGTGTAGATCTGAACGAGCGTCGCTAATGCCACCATGATTTCAAACGTCGTATAGTGGGTATGGATGGCCGAAATCTGGCACACTTCGTCTGCGAGCGAGACTCCGGGTCCGGACGTGAGTCTCGGGAAAAATGCTCGGCATATTGATGTGAGGTGGAGTTGTGGTGACAGCTGGTTGTGGATTCCAAAAGCTACAAACGCGGGAGCTATGGTGGCCAGCAGAGTCTGTGTTAGATAGTCTGACATGTTTCTCCTTCCTGTTTGGTGCGACGCGTCTCATGCCATCGAGCATGTTTCTGTGCCCGCTCTCCGGTACTCACATTTGTCCGCTTGGCCGCGTAGGACCGACCAAAATCGTTGTTGCTCAGATACTGGACCACGTTGGTCCCCGTCATGATTATCTGACCGTAAGAGTTGGTTTCGAGGGCTGAGTCGAGACAAGGCTTTCAGGAGTCCATAAAGTTTTGGCAGAGTCGGCTGTAAAATAGTGTGAAGACAGTATAATCGACTTTGGCGGTGGGGGTTCAAAGACCCAAGTAAGCGGATAAAATCCCGTATTTAAGCACTCGGACTCTTCCCCACAGCTCCATATATACATATTCCACTACGACCCTGTGCTATCACAGCCTCTCTGTGGTGCTAATCATCAATCTCTAATTTATTTTCTTCCTTTTCTGTTATCCGCTGTGCTGAGACTGAGACGCAAAAAGGTTCGATGAGGGGATCGATTACTGCGAAGAGCCTTGGACAAAAGTTTTTTAAGCAATTTGTTTAGCGTCTGCTTGTAGTTCGGCACACGCGTGACCCAGCCAGTGGCGCAGTAACCGCAGCAACACGCCCGCACGTTTACCGTTTCGACGGAAATAATGGGGCCACCGAAACCGCCGCTTTTGCCTGCGCAAAAAAAATTCAACTAGCACTGCAACATAACATATATAATATCGATAAAAGAGCTCGCCAAAAAGCGCTATGTTTTTCGGGTCTGCCTTGCTATGCTATTTTGGGAATCCTCCTGCCTATTTGGGTTGGGCCGGCTTGTGCCAGACCACAGCAGTAGACTACAGTAGACCGCGATATATATTTCATCAAGGTACAGTACATACGAGAGTTAGAATAATGAGTAGAATAATAAGAAAGGAAAATACAAAGCTCGGGTACAGCACCGTTACTCTTTGCAGCATGAGGCAAGCCTCCCAAATGCGCGACACAGTTGACCGCCGAATGCTTATCAAGACACTGTAGTTTCAGACCACATCCAACACATCGGGAAGAAGACCACCGAGCTGGGCCTCGGAAGAGCTTCCTCCAACGTTTAGATTGCTCTACGGAGGTACACACCACAAGAGTCTTTTAAACATATGGCTTATGGTTATTTCCTACATTATTGAGACGTTTAATTTCCGACCGACGGACCGTGGCCAGTGCATTCGCTACAGTATGTACATACCACGTTTCATACATAGATGGGTCGTAGACTCCAGTGATGATAACAATGACATCAGTTTAGGTACAATGAACCACTGCGTGCAATCACAACGGACCCTTCCTCCCTCTAAAACCACTGCGATAGTCTACTTGTGGGATCCCCTCATATAAACCCCATGACGAGCCAGATAAACACCGCAATCCGAGCAACTGTAACTTCGTACTATTCTGCGTTGGATGTGAAGTGAAAGTCTCGAACAGTCGCTTGTGGCAGGACGGCGAGTAGGAGTTAGAGCAGTTCCATATGACCGGATATCTGAGAACAATTCGCGCGAGCACACGGGTACGAATACGAGAGATATCAACCACAACCTGGCAGTGGAAGACTTGGTTGCTATAGCTAGACTTCGTATGACTGATAGCAATGACAAGTATGTACAATACTGTAGCAACTAACAAATATGGCGATAATGGACTGCAGTAAATAGCTACAGAATTCTGCTCCGAAACTCACTGAGTGTACAAGAATCGGTATTGGTGTTGTATGATGGTAGAAGGTAACCATTGTAATGCATCTACAAAGACTTTCAACGACGACGAGGATCCAACATCCAACTTTTTTATCACACACATGTTCCACGATAAGTTTCCTTCTATAGCTAGTCAGGCACCACCAATTACTACTTGTAAAATAGAATGGAACTCTCAACAGAAGCTACTTCCACGGGCACCTGTACTTGTACTGGTACAGTTCTGTCCACGTGATCACTTACATTCGAATGAGAACTTGTGGCGACACAGAGAAAGCAACCAAATCATCCAAGTACGTACAAAGCCTGTCCCCCTACGTAAGCCGATTGTACTCAATTCCATCACCGCCACTCGTCTACAGCTACTACTATCTCCACCTACAATCCCCTAGATCAATCATCTCCTAAAATACATTACTAATCGGCAGAATGGCGGCTATCAAGCGGAACTTCACACATGGTAGCCATCTGCAGATCGGGGAAGGTCGTGGCCTTCGGTAGCCAGCGCTCGCGTTCAAACATGGACACAAACACGTCTAATATCGTCGTCCTCCACCTCGCTGTCGCTGGTTGGGGTTGTTGCTCTGGTTGTTGTAGTTTCGGTTGCCTCGTCGGTTGCCAAACTGGCCGCCCTGCTCCAGCTGCTGCTGTCGCTGTCGCTGTTCCCGCTGCTGGCTGTATTGTTGCTTGATGCTGTGCAGTAGCTCGTCTGGCAGCTGGAGAGCCTTGATGTTGGAGCCTCGTACATAGTACTCGGACACGGTGGCGGTGTTTTCGCCCGATGCAGAAAACTCTTCGACCTCCTTGAGCGTGAGGTTCATCCAGTGGTCACATTTCAACAGGTGGCCTCTCAGGGACTCGCCCGATTTGAGCTCCACCAGCATGGGCTGACCCTGTGCTGCGTTGAGTAGGGATAAGGGTAGCTGCGTTAGTCATGGTCTGTCTGCCCACGGTTGGGCCGGTGCGTATCGCATCGAGAGGGGCCCACGTGAGCCCCAGGACGCCTGTATCAATACTCACCATCGATGTGGATTATGGTGACAGTTGGTGCTGGCGGTGAAAAAGCATATTTTGGGGCTAGGGTTGGGTGATGATGGTTTAGGTGTGTGCTGTGTGTGGTGGGAACTATTACGTAACCTGAGCTGTAAGGACTCAGGTGCACACCAATTGGGAATTGCCGCAGGGATAAGACGATAATAGAAGTAAGGCGGAGCGCCAGGGGCAGGCCATACGAGATTTATATAGAGAAAAAAAAAAGCAACCCTCACACCCACGACATTCATTCTGTCACTGCCAAACAAGTATATATTTATATATCTCTAACCGCTGATCTGGCTCCCTCCCAGCTGGGACTCCAAATTACCCTCGCTACGATACTGCACACCCAGCCCACATACGGCTTTTCTCGTTGTCCAAAACAGCACATAGGGTAACTCGAAACCCGAAACCCATTATTGCGCCAACGCGACACGACGACGCACTACGCGACCATGTCCATCTACAAAGCAACGTATTCGGGCGTGCCCGTCTACGAGTTCCAGTGTAAGAATGTGGCCGTGATGCGGCGCAAATCCGACGGCTGGGTCAACGCTACCCACATCCTCAAGGTCGCTGGCTTCGACAAGCCTCAGCGAACGCGGATTCTGGAAAAGGAGGTCCAGAAGGGCGTCCATGAAAAGGTCCAGGGCGGCTACGGCAAGTACCAGGGCACGTGGGTCCCCCTGGAGCGGGCCAGAGAGATTGCCACGCTGTACGACGTTGATTCACACCTTGCGCCCATCTTCAACTACGACGACGAGGATGGCTCACCTCCTCCCGCACCGAAACACAGACCCAATCTGGAGCGCAAGAAGCGGACCAAGGTGACGGGATCGCCTCTGGTTCGCCAGCCCAGTCGCATGGAGACTCTCACCCAGTCAACGGGATCCACCATGGGAGGCACTCCACAACACTCTAGACAGTCGTCTCTCAGCCAACTGGCCCAGTCTTACGGACTGGACGACAGCGACCACGTGACTCCATCGCCTCCCACAGTTGCTGACGATTCGTCCGACTTCATGTCCGATGAAGAAGTTGACCGACAAATGGGTAACTACCCTCGACCCATGATGGCCAAGCCCAAGCCAATACAGGTACGGGACCCCAAGGATCTGTACACCAACGACCTGCTCAACTACTTCGTGTCTGCTGACGACGAGAAGATCCCCGCGTTTCTGGAAAACCCACCTGCAGAGTTTGATGTGCACAGACCCATTGACGAGGAGGGCCATACAGCGTTGCATTGGGCTTGTGCCATGGGCCACCTGCGGGTGATTGAGCTGCTGCTCAAGGCCGGATCGGACGTGCGAGCCACCAACATGTTTGGCCAGACACCTTTGACGAGGGCCATCATGTTTACTAACAACTACGACCGAAGAACCTTCCCTAAAGTGGTGGACATCTTGCAAGACACCCTGTTTCAGGTGGACGGCCAGGGCAGAACCGTGCTTCACCACATTGCCCAGCACGTGAGCAAGTCGCAGTCCGCGGCCAAGTACTACGTGACTATCTTGCTGTCAAAAATTAGCGAGAACCACTCTCTAGGCGTACTGTCACAATTCATGGACACGCAGAACAACGAGGGCGACACCGCCCTGCATATTCTCGCCCGTTCAGGTGCCAAAAAGGTGTCCCGTGCCCTCATGGACTTCAATGTCAAGACAGATATCGTCAATGCCGACGGTCGAACTGCGCTGGATCTGCTGGAGGGCGACAGACAGATGCAGCAACATCCGCCGCCCGCCATGGCACTCCACCATCAGCCTCCCTACCAGATGCTGCACGAGAGCGAAACTGCCATTGCCGCACACAATCTTGCCGGAACCGTAGTGCACAACCTGCAAGTGCTGGCCCACGCCTTTGATGCCGAGCTCAAGGAGAAGGACGCCGACGTGCAACAGGTGCGCCAGATGGCCACCAAGATGGAGGAAGACATTGCCGCTACCAACGAGGCGATCCGGGAGTATGAGGCCAAACATGGCACCGCCGAGGAGCTCGAGAAACTTGCCTCTGAGGCTGAAGAGCGTGTGACTACACGGGTGAACCAGCTACGCAAGGTGTTCGAGCGGTCACAGGCGAAGGGTCTTGCCATGCTTGTTGCCGAGGAGGAGCGGGAGATATCGCGTGAACAGACCAAGGGCGAGTTCAAGACCGCCAAGGAGCTCACAGACCTCCAGCATGGACGGAAGGATCTTGTGGACGACGTGGTAGAGCTGTTCGCCAATGCCGGGGTTGGCGAGAAGATGAACGAGTACAGACGGCTGGTGGCCATGAGCTGCGGTGTCAAGGTGGAGGATATCGACGGGCTTCTTGATGGAATCGAGAAGGCTCTGCTTGAGGGAGAGAGATAGTATGGGTCGGTCTAGGACGATGTAATTTAATGTACACTACGAGGTTATCTACTTGTGTATGTAATCTGACAGCAATATTTGGTTGTTTATTCAAGCTTTAGCCCCGCAAGATCATCTCCCAGAGACTCGATCTGTATTAGTTCAATCTCCTTATCAATGCTGGCAGTGGCAACGTAGCCATCACCAGTACTAATGCATCGCAATCTCGAACCTGCCACGTTTATCTTTCGCCACGTAGTCTGGTTGAGCAGTCGCACCGAGCCGTCGTCTCCAGCAATGGCGAGAGTCTTCTCGTCCAACCAACTAAGGCGTCCCAGACTGTACTTGTCTTGAGGAATCAAAGTAGGGAAGGAAACAACAGTGTCGTCAGACTTGACAATAATGACCCTTGCGTAGGGCGTATGGCTTGTGAGACAGGCAATCTCCTTGGTATCGTTGTTGTAGACCATGTCAAACACGGTGAATGAGTGGGGCATATAGTGGGCATCGACCAGAGGAATAGTTCTGAGCTTCTCCAATTGGTCGGAGAGAAGTTGAATCGAGGTACAGTCTTCTCGAGACACAGCCAGCCCATTATGAGTCCATGCAATCGCTGTGGGGTTAGTCAGTGAGTCAATGAACGCCACCTGTTCAAAGCCAACCTGCTTCGTGACCACCACCTTTTTATCGAAGCCAATGGACGCAATCAGTCCATCTTCAGAAACAGAGATTCCTCCGACAAACCGAGAATGTGGCTTGAAACTGCTGGGTTTGTATTCTGAATCCACCTGGACAATGGATCCATCCATGCATCCCACCAGAGTGGTGTTATTGGCTCCAGCAACGATGACTCGTCCTACAGCCGGTAAGGTGAGGTTCTTGACTTCCAGAAGAGTAGTATTGTAAAAGGTCAAGTTCTTGGTCGAATCTGTAGTGACAACTCTGCCACCGATGAGCTTTGTGTCCACAATCATGTTTTTCGACTTGGTTGACAGCACAGTCAGGGTGACGTCTTCCTCCGTGACTACATTGTCGTCTTTCTGTTCCTTTTTCGGCAGGTAGGTCATCAATCTGGGTTAGAAAAGGCAGAGAAAGGATGTACGCCACGAGAGGACAACATCGGGTTTGTCACTTGAAAGCACTATTTCGTCTATATCGTACTCACTCTTCAATGGTGACAGGTTCATCTTTGATATCACACTCCTCTTCAAAAGCAGCCAGGGTCTGGGTTAGTATCAAAGGGAGAACGATTGCGCCGTCGCATCACTCACATTGGTGTATCCCTTATCTTGGAGGTATTTGGCAATTAATCCATCCATGTTGTATGTAATCAGAAAAGGTCTAACCGTCACCAAGCTGCATGCCGTGATCTGGGTATTAGTGAAGTTTATCTAACCTGGAGTACCAACGTCAAGTAATCAGATTAAGAGTGCAATAAGTACGCAATCATGGTCACAACTACGGTACAGTACGCATACAGTACATACAGCAATAGTACATAGTTGTACACAACAGTAACTACATTAAAATACACAGCCATAGTACAGTGTGAACACTACCGACATTCTCATTCTGTCCAAGTTTCAATAATTTTATTATCACCATACCCTTACCAGTCTCCCTTAAAATACAATTGTTAGCCAAACAGCTCATGGGCCCGTCGTCGGCCTCCTCCTCTTCGACGTCCGCCCTTGTCTCTCTCATCTCGAGGCTGGAACCGTGACGCCAGATCCTTGTTGTCTTCTCCGTCCATGTCAGTATCGAGTCTGGAGGCGATATCCTGTGAAGCATCGTCCCGTCGTCTCTCTCGTTTTTGGTTTTCTCTCTGTCGCGAAGACCGGCTCTCTCTAGGAAGATCCAGCCGTGTTCGGATATCCTGATCGTCGACATCCATCCGGTCGCCTTTTCTCCAGGGCGAGGTCGATCGATCTCGTCTGTTTCTGTTTCTGTTTCTGTCGCCCTCCCGCATTCGAGAGACTGGCGACAGGGACCGGTTGTCACGGCTGTCTCTGTCATTGCCCCATCTTCCTTCAAACAGGTCGGCCACGCCTCGCTGCTCTCGTCGCATCTCAATATCCTCAATGAGCGAGGGGTCCTTCTCCCACCGACCTATGTCCCGGTCTCGACGTCGAATAGGCGGAGGAGACCGTCGACCTCTGCTTCGTGACGACAATCTAATGAGATCTTCTTCATCCGACTCGTCATCGCGCTTGGTCACCGAAGGAAACAGATCCTCTCCATCAATTTCAGACCGGCCCGAAGGCTTGAGATTTCGACGTCGCTCAAGCACCTCATACGTATGAGCCTTGTCCTGGAACCGTCGGAAATCCTCCACCTTGGTCGGCTCGCCGTGGTACAGGTAGTACTTTGATTTCTGTCGGGCGTCACGCGCCTTGACATCTGACTGGTAGCTCGTCCGCACTTGCAGTTGGACCTTGCCGTGATCTGCCTTGACAAAGGTTTTGGCTGCACGCTCCTGCTCGGGCTCAATAGAGTCTCCATCGTAGAACAACGACGGGTCCGTCATGGCCTGGAGCGCGTTTTGTGCATCAATGGCGTCCACAAAAACAATATTCACAGACGAATCGTCGACCCAGTCAATGTTGAATACGGAGGAGATGGAACACGTGCCCGACACGTAGCTCTTGACGTCCTTGTTCGACATTTCGTTGACTCCTCGCAAGTTGACAGCCTCTTCTCGGAGAATGGGGCCCGAGAGCAAAATGTCCTCGTCCTCAGGGTTGCCGCGAGGCTCTGCGGCGATGGAGACGGGCTCGACGTCCATTTCGATTTCGTCGGCCACGATGGGGGCCACCGCGCCGCCGTCATCCAGTACGATCTCCGCGTCCATTTGTGTGTGATGCCGGTTTCTGGTGATGTTCAACGTGAAGTTTCACACTAAGGTTTGGGGTGAGTGTGAGTGGTTTGGGGCTGCCATTTGTTGTACAACTGCTACTGGGGCTACAAGGCACTGTAAGCCATGTGTCATACTAGTGCACGTGAAGTCGATTTTGGTCTTTGGTTCTGTACATGAGCTTGTACGAGCAATTACAGATGCCAAAGTGTCTGATGTAGACAACGACAAATGTTGATTATTATTATACTGTCAATGGGGTGATGAAGTTACCCGGCCGACGCTAAAACATGAGCTTTGTGAGCGTTCCGGGGGTAGGATTTTTAGGTTGTCGGGAGTCTTAACTAAGTACAGGGTCAAGTATAAGAACAATTAGTCTCAACTAAAGATGCGAGAATAGTTGCGTTTTTTATTTTTTTTGGGAGAAGACAACCTCGGTTTGAGGATGATGTCTTAGCGCGACAGCCATGAAAGGGGCGTGATAATGACGTGAATACGACAACTCCAACGTAAATGAGCCGCAAATGAGCCTGATTAGTAAGCCAGTCTATATCGAGTCATCATCGCACAGTCGCCATCATACGGTCGCCATCAGGTTGACAGAATAAATACCACGAATGCATACCACGAGTACATAGTATACGTACAATATACTGTACTTGCGACCAGCTGGCTACTCTATCCCCATCTCGCCATTAATCGACGCCTTGAGCGATTTCGGTTCTGTTGATACTTGGGTAAGACACCGTCAAGGTAGAACAATTCGCTGCCAAGAAAGGAACGAGACATTTCCAAAAGTGGGAACGAGACACCATTGCCATCCTGCAAATCTATATGGATATATTTCGTCGCCTCCGTTACGATACAGTTGCCTATCAATAGCTGCGTCTCTTAGCATGGTTTCATTTCGGCAATCCCTAACAGCCTTGCGAGGGTTGGTGAGTGTGTCTAAGCTGTCTGTAATTTGGAGTTCGAGTAGAGAGCCTGTATTTGAAGTGTGAATGATTGGATAGTAACGCGTGGCACACCTTCCTTCATTCACGTGACTACGATGATACCTGTTACGGCGTTCATTTCTGTCCTCGATGTCGCTTTCTCCGCTGGCTATCGTATCGGACATCCACTTGTAGTCTGTCCGACTTCATGCAGCCCCGTTACAGGGAACACGGCGAGACCCTACAACAGCTACCGGTACGAGAACGTGTGTTTGCTTTCGGCAACTTGAGCCTACGTTTCACATGCACGCTAACTCTACGTGTATTTTTCTGCGGGCTTTCAATGAAAGACATCTTGCCTTCAAGAGCAGAAAGCAGGCACCATAGCACCAGGCTTTGGTGGAAGAGGAAGCCGGTCTCTATTATGTATTGCTCCTAAACGATATATCCCATACGTGAAGAGTTAATCGAGTGGCGTAAAAGTGATGGTGGGGTCACACAATATTCCAATAGTACATACCGTAGCAGGACGTCCTACTGGCGGTACACTGGTGTATGCAAGATGGTTGATCTTACCCTGTTGCCATGAAGCCGCTCCTGCCTCTACAAGTACAGTAATAGTCATTTTTCCGGGATTGGCGATCTCAGCTACAAGTACAAGTAGTGTACTCGTACCTACAGCGTCTCCAAAATATACCTGTCCACACTAAAGCGGTCAAGTGTAATCGAGATACAACCTCCTTTTTCAAACAACATTTTCGATTGGGTTTCAAACACTATGAGTATTATTTGAACGAGTAATCGAGTAAAAAGTTGTAACAAGTAGGTTCGGGACATCATTACGGCTAACGGAAGCCGGAAGTGACCAAAGGAGAAGCTATCTCCCCTTCCATTAAAGTAGAAAATAGTTGGTTCACCGGAAAAAGGTGGTTAACATTTGGATCCGGGGTAAAAGCGGCCACAATCAACACGCACACATCCCATACTGTAGTGTACTGGTAGCAACCTACTTATAGCAAACCATACCCCTTGGTTTGGTTAGCACGTCTTCAATTTACACCCTATAGACGACTGGCGCTATGATAAACAAATGCTATAAGCCGCTTTTTGGCGTGGACAGGAGACCGGAGGAAGCAGACGGGGTCACTAGCACCTATCGTCGCGTACAATACGGCTCTCTGAGACACTGATCAGCTCCAAAGGGTAATACGACGCCGGTCTTAGGCGTTCAAGGACAAAGGTGCATTCCAGGGCTGGGGGATCATGGAACCAACCTAACCGACACTTAAAACCGAACTAATGGAGCTGGTGCAGAGGACATGCCACTAACAGCCGACTAGTGTGCGTTTTTTCGATTGTAGTGAAGCAACTCGTAAGATTTAGTGCGGTCTAGAACGTGAGAAGGCGAGCTATTTCGATAGAGCTTGGTACTGTCGGTCGCCAGTATCACGACGACTCGTGAAGCTCCGTTCCATCATTGACAATAGCAGCTTTGGGCAAGTACGAGTGTCCGTGAAAGTAGCTGCAACAGTCAGAAGGAAGAGGTACGAGCCATACATGAGAGCCGCCGTCCTTTGTTCTGCCCTCCGTGGTCTAGCGTCGATCCAACGTTACTTTTGCCAAAGTTTCGCCTCCGTAGAAAATCTGACAATCAGAGTGTCCGCAACAGGAAGAAAAGGGGCCATATGACGTAGGGTTAGGAGAATGCCTGAGACATGACTGGATGAGTGTGGGTGTCGGTAAATGGACATGTCGTTTGAGATGTGGATTAAAAACATCCTTTTGTGGCAAGTAATAGTCCCCTCTTGCCATATCGTTGAAAGCCGTCATCATTGGAGCACCCGTTTAGGTGCGATACTTGCTGTTGCATCCCTCCACCATGTTATGCGTGCCAACTGTTTCTCCCACAGTCTTCACGAATACGTGATCTAAAAGTGTCTTCGAAGTTTATCAGATCTAGGTTGAAAGTCTTTTTTTGGCCCTCAATGGTAACCGGCAGCTCAATCCAGCGATGTGGTGCAGTACGAGTACAAGGAATGCTGGCAATTGATTTCCACGGATATAGACCCGATCAAGACGAAAGCGAGACTCGTCAGCTGACTGCCTGAGATTTCCCGCCTAGTAAAAGTATGGTATTACAGCCCAATTAATAAAACAGCCATGCCAAACACAAAATTGTAAAGATACTATTAATTACAGGAGCTACAAGTAGCTGAAGGATACGACAGCCAACATCGGAGGGGCTCCTGGTGTTCGAAAGTGGGTGAAAAAAGGGACAATGCAACCGCACACCCCCCATCACGACACTCCCCACCCTCGATCCGGCTTTCCAGCGGGATAAGAGCGTATTTTACCTGCCTCCCCTATGTCCTCCGTTTGAGCTAAACACCTTATACGTATTAGTGATGTGCATGCATGCACCCGATCGTGTCTTGTCTTGAGCTAACACTTGTGTCAAACAACTCAAAAGTCACTCACGTAATCTCACCCACAAACCGACTTGGACTCTCTCTTAAAACATCCACAGCAGACGTCAATCTTCCCCACTCACACAGTAGATCACTCACAATACACACCACTCACAATACACATACCACTCACAACGCCACCCTCCACCATGTCTGCAGACCACCAATACCAACAAGCCGGGCAGGAAATCAACAGAGAGGGAGAAGCAGGTGTAGGAGACGACCTCAGCAACATGAGAAGTCTGTACCAAACAATAAACGACGACAAGGATATCATGACGTCCTCGGGACTGCCGCCGGGAAAAGACAACATTCAGCATTCTCTCAACATTCTGCGAGCAGCACAAAGCCATCTGAAAGAAACCGGCTCCGTCAAGGGAGTCTACTCCTCTTCAGGCTTCGACATCGTGTCACTACTATACCAGGTTATCAACCGAAAGAACCCGCAGGTCGATATCGGACCGGTTGATCTCTCATGCTCTTTCCTTGTCACCGATGTCTCCACCGACGACAACCACATTGTGTACATGAGCGGCGCATTTGAGCAGCTCACAGGTTACCCTGAGGCATATATCATCAACCAAAATTGCCGATTCCTACAGAATCCCCAGGGCGCACCACGACCCGCCGAAGCAGGTTTCACCGATGCTGCCTCCGTCTTCGCTCTTCGAAAGGCCATCACAAACGGGAACGAGGTCCAGGTCCCATTACTCAACTACAAGCGAGGAGGCGAGTCCTTCGTCAACATGGTTACTTGCATCCCTCTGTTCCTCGACAAGGCCGACAAGGATCGAGTCACCCACTTCATCGGTTTCCAGATGGACCTCAACCAGTACCCGGACGCCATTCTGCAGCGAATGCTCAACCGAAGTTACACCATGAATTACCGTCTGTCTTCAATTCCCCGACAACCGCGAGTCATTAAACCCGCCTCGCCTGCAGGCGTGGATATCATGTCTACCATCACATCCACAGATCCTCTATCCACCGAGGAGCTGGTGCAGCGATTCCTTTACCATACCTCCGCAGATACCATCATGACTGTGTCGCTCAAGGGCCAGATCGTGCAGGTTTCACCTGCCGTGTACGCCCAACTCGAATACACCCCCGAGGAGGTCGTTGGACTGTCTCTGGCAGACTTCATCCACCCTTCCGACGTCACTGTGGTTCTTCGAGAGCTGCGAGAGATTCCCGTCACCAAGACACTCTCTACATTATTCCGAATCCGAACCAAGCGATCGGGATACATCTGGATGGATGCCCATGGAAAGATTAACGGCGGTTTCAAGCGAATGACTCACTGTGTGGTTTTCACATTGCGACACCGACCCGTATCCGGACTGCCCCTCAAGGTTGTTCTAGAGTCTTTCGACAAGAACGTTATTGACACTAAGCCCAACAGCGAGGCTCTCGACATGGACCCCTCTCCTTCTTCTTCCGAGGGAGCCACAGCTATCGGAAACTTCAAGCGAAAGAAGTTTTCTGTGCTGCCTAAGGAATCTATTATGCCCATGGACCTGTGGCTTCGAGTCTCTCACAACGGACTGATTCTATACACAGCCCGTACAGTCCAGTACCTGTATGGATACAAAGACATGACCAGTCAGCGACTCCAGACCTTCCTGGAGGATGGCCCAGCTTGGGACGAGCTCATGGAAGTGGTTGGTTCTACTAGACGTATCACCACCGCCTTCCTGCGTCTCAAGAATGCCTCTGGCTTCTCAGTCATCTCTCGAGCGATCATCTATCCTGGCGAGATCTTTGGCGGCAAGCTGGTCGACGCTTCTGTACAACTCACCCCTCTTTCAGAGTCTTCGGCTCCTCTGATTGAGAAGATGGGTCTACAGAAGTTTGGCAACATCAAGTACAAGCACGGTCCCTGCCAAGAAGCCTTTTCCCTCCACCAGGACTCTATCATCGGTAAGCGACAGGAGAGTGTCGAGCCGGAACACGCACCTAAACGAGGCCCCAGCAGTGTTTCTTCCGCCTCCACGACCTCTTCTGCCGCCGCAGCAGCACATGTCCCCTCCCCTCCTTCTGCATCTTCTCAAGCCTCCAATGCTGCTGCTACCATGATTACTCCCCAAGGTTCTTCCGTTGGTCGTTCTTCTGCCTCTGCGTCTTCTGCCGACTCAGACTCTTTCTATAGGACTACCGATGCAAACCTGTTATCCATGGTTGGTCCTTCGCGAGTCAACGGCTGGCAGTTTGAGCACAACCAGCTGCAAGTTGGCAACAAGAAGCTGGCCGAACAGCTTCTTTCTCGAGTTTCTGTCAAATAACCCTAATGACGAAGCTATGATTTATATATATTGGGTAATACAAATGGTTGTACAAATTTTTTTTTAGAGATCGGCGATTTCAAGACTATATTAATGGACATAAACGTATACCGTACCCCACAGATGCTTACAGTACGAGCACGAGTGTTAATCATTCATTCACGTGTTTTATCAGAGTTAAGCTGCACTGTCATTGATACTTAGATCTTGTCAACGTGAAAGGTGATGACTTGTTTGGTTATACACCTGGAGATGTTGGGATCCTTGGTGGCAAAGATGGTGGCTTGGGCGGGACCAGGAACACAGTAGTAGTACTCCTTGGGGCCGTCATGCAATTCGAAAGTTCCGTCAGCAGAAATATCGAAAGAGGAACCAATCTGGGTGCCCCCCGTGGTACTGGTTGTGAAATAATCCATGAAAGAATCGTGGGCAATGAGACGGCCCTCGACCGAGAAGGTGTTGTTCTCGTGCTCGGTGATGGTGATGGGCTCGCCGTATCCAGAGGCAAAGAGGGTCACTCCGCTGTCAGAAATGGGGTAAAGGGTTTCATCGACACGCTCAGATCCGACCTTCTTGTAGGTCAGTTTGTACTTGTCTCCGACCGTAGCCAGAGCGGCGGTGGCCATGGTGATGATGGTGAGGAACTTCATAATGGTGGTGTTGCAGAGAAAGATGAAAGATTTTAAGCTGGTTGGGTGAAAGGCCTTTATATATAGATGTTCTTCATGAACGGAAACGATTGTGGACATTTATTGAGACAGTACTTGTAATTGTTCTCTGAAACCTCACTCATCTTTGATAGCCGCCGTGTCTCAGGTACCACCTGCATCGAACTGTATAGAGTTTCGACAAATAACTTATCAGATGGATTTTAGGGGGAGTGGACTGTAGAGATCGCATATAGCGAAATAGATATATTCACAAGGAGCTAGAAATTGCCAATGTTGCGTTATTGCGGTTTGTTACTCATATTTATCTTAGTACGTCCTCCTTTTCTCAACTCGCCCACATCCTCTTGTGTTCTTAGTTAACCGCGCTCACTTCGAGTGCATAGCAGAAAAAAAAAAAAAAAAAATACGCCAAGATCGCAGATCGGCCAACCTGCACTACGACATGGAAGCTCAGTCTGTGAGAGCAAGAGACGGTAGTGGGTAGAAAGAGCGCTTCCATGACTTATTTCATTCCACCGGTCCCGTAAAATGGCTTCACTTTGTGTTTAAATGTAGCGTGACAGCCTTACTGCGATCTCCGTGCCGGTTGAACAGCAGCTGTTCCTGAACTATACCTACCTCGAATTTTGGAAGTGACTGGAGTCCATAAATGAACGACAATTCCGCCGCAAAAGGCTCCAACTTTGGATCCACGAGGCCACGAGCAGTTTCAAGTTTATGTAGCAACTCCTCCGTGCCTGACACCAAGGGTTTACTGTACGAGTAGCTCGGTGGACATTGTTCATACTGTACCGTGTAATTATGTACATACATACTAATGTCCTCGCAGACGGCTGTTGATACAGGCTACAGGGGAATTGTTTGATAATGCCATTTAGATAATTTGGGCAGGAAGGTCTTTGCAGTTCTTTTGGAGCTTTTCCAGCCCAACAGCGTCTGATAATGTTGTAGCTGGTTCTCAATTGCGCTCAAAAATTCCTGTCTTCCCACAAAATCCTAACTAAATCGCCAGTATTTTCTTTACCAGCGTCTCTCTTTTGTCCAGTTCGTCCAGCTCCCTTGAAAGACTGACTGAGTACACAATCGGTTCTTACTACGCCAACCCTCCTCAAACCCCGAAAAACTCCAAATCAGCACCTCGGCGGTTAGTCCCGAAACCACTCACCGTGCCTTGTTCCTCCTGACGTCATGTACCACGAGTCAAATGAATGGTGGAGGCTGCGCAATTACTGTAAGTTTAACATGCCAAGCTAGCTATCAATAATATCGCGATGGAATTACAAGTCCGACAATACCGAGTGACTAGAGAACTTCTCAAACTCCTCCTTCTATTACATAGCTCAGGAGAAACACTTCCGCCATCCTCAAATCAACCCACGAACACGTCTCTTGCAAGTCCGCAATTACTTTGTTGAACTCTGTGGTGGCCACCGGCTTATTGTTATGCAGAGCCTAAGCCCCCACCTGAACCCTAAGATGGTTGCTATGAGATATGGATGCTGCGACTGCGGTAAAAATGACAATTGAATCAAGGGGCGCAGATTGGTTATCTCAATTGCTCTTGCAGGTACACAAGGAGCAGTTTGGTTGCTTCAATTGATAAATGTGACCTGTTGTGCTCCTCTGTGGTGCCATCCAGTGCTCACTCCATACAGAGCACGTGGGCATAAAGTCTAGATTTCATTTCATTTCAGAAATGCATATACATAAATCAAATCAGAAATAATTTATTCAAGAATAATTAGTCTAGTTGAGCTTGGGAACAACACGGGCGGACTGGAAGAAGACCCGGGCAGCTCCTCCCTGGCCAAGAAGAGTCTTGACAAGAGGTCGCTTCTCAACGGGCTCCTTCTCGTACTTGCCCTTGGCTCGCTCTCCCTCAGAAGGCTCGAACTTTCGGTTCTCACCGGTCAGACGGTCAAACTCCTGGGCCAGCTCGGGAGTGATTCGGAAAATCTCAAAGGTCTGGAAGTACAGACCGTCCTTAGGGTCCCGCAGATACTGGTAGATGTAGACCAGGTTTCGCTTGGTCTGCTCAACAGCCAGCTGGGCATACTTGGGGTCTGTGTCGTCTCCGCAGAAGAGCAGAAAGTCGGCAAAACCCTCGGCAAGCAGCTGGTAAAAGTAGACGTTGTCTCGGTAGTATCGGAACTCGGGCTGGGTGTCTCGGTCGAAGATAGTGGTGTTGGGATCACAAACACCTCGGATGATCTTCTCGGCCTCCTTGAGGTACCACTGGTCGTTGGTGATACCGTAGAGTCCGGAAAGAGCAGAGATGGTGGTTCCCTGGTTGTAGGTCCACTTCATGTCGTTGACGGAAAAGCCCTGGCCATCATGGTATTCAACACCATCTCGAATAAGCCAGTCCTCGGGGTCCTGCAGTCGGTGGACAACCCACTTGACACAGTCTCGGGCAAAGTCAATGTAGTAAGAGGCCTCGTTGGGGACGTACTTGGACAGTCGGAGGGCGGCGCAGGCAGACTCGGAGGTGGTACAGGCGTTAGATCCGGTCTTGCCAATGTGCCATCGCACTCCTCCAGGCTCACCAGTGGAGTCGTAGCCAGTCATGAGGAACCGCACAATGTTTCGGCCCTTGTCCAGGAAGCTCTTCTCGCCGGTGACCTCGTAAGCGGTGATGTAGGCAGAGGCAATCTGGGCGTTATCGTCGAAGTAGATGTCCTTGTTTCCGTCAAAGTACTTGGAGGCAGTGCACACGCTGGGGTACTCCTGGGTCTCGTAGGGCTTGAAGGCCTCAAACGCCTGGGGGATCAGCTTCTTGAGCTCGGGGTAGATTCGAGCACCATCCACCACAGCCTGAGCGAAGACAGCCACAGGCCAGACACAGAAGGTTCCCTTGTCGTCGTAACAGCCATCACAGGGAGGGTTGGAGGAGTAGGTGCCACGGTTGAAGAAGGTCTTCTGGGCCTTCTCAACGATGGAGAGACCCTCGGCGTTGGTGTCGGTGAGCTTGTTTTGAGACATTCTTGTTGTTACGGTGGTTGTTGAGATGAGACGGGGCGATACAGCTACACTTATAGCTAGCAATGATATCATTTAAGTTCGAGGTTATTGCTAATGCACATGGAGGCGCATGTAATATGCACGACATGGCAACCGAAGATTAGAGAGCGTAATGGAGGGACGCTATACGCTAGTGCACGAGTTTGAGGGTTATTATTCCGGCCAAGAAAAGTCAATGGCATCGCCACCTGAAAGCCCCGACTCACATGTACATGTGGGCTTCTCCAAAACCGCAATCTACACAACGTTCCTTCCTCTTCTACCCCACAGACATATCTCACCAACCATTGCTGCCTCGAAGCTTATCCCCGTCAAGAACACCATGGAGGCAGATGGAAAGACATAGTCAGTGAAGCAAGGCACTGGGCACAGAGATCCGCCTGGAAGTATAAAGAGCTCTGTCAATCTGCCATTAATCTCTCTTCTGAAACACAGTATATTTGTGATCAACCTTCCACACTCAATTGCAACCAAAATGGCCATTCCTACTCGAGCTCTCAAGAACGCCCCCAAGGCCGGCACTGTGATCCCCGTCATTGGTCTTGGTGTGTACTCTTCCAACAGCACCACCAAATCCGTCACCGAGGCCCTCAACCTCGGCTACAGACTCTTCGATACCGCCAACGAGTACCAGAACGAGACTGACACCGCCAAGGGCATCTCCGAATGGCTGAAGTCCAACCCTAACGTAAAGCGTGAGGACGTTTGGTACTGCACCAAGATCGATGATGCCCGAGGAGGTTACGAGGGCACCAAGAGCCGTGTTGAGGAGGCTCTGACCAAGGCCAAGGTCGGAGGTCTGGACTACATCGACATGCTCATCATCCATGCTCCCTACACTGCCCCTCCTCACACCGAGACCCGAATGAAGGTGTGGAAGGCTCTGTCTGAGTTTGTGGATGACGGCAAGATCCGAACTCTGGCCGTCTCCAACTACGGAGTCAAGCATCTCAAGGAGTTCTGGGACGCCGACACCAAGTACAAGCCTGTTCTCAACCAGATTGAGTCTTCTCCCTGGAATGTGCATCAGGACATCCACGACTACTGTAACGAACATGACATTGTTGTTGAGCAGTACTCTCCTCTGATTCGAGGCAAGAAGTTCGATGAGCCCGGTGTGCAGAGCCTCGCCAAGAAGTACAACAAGACCCCAGCCCAGATCCTTATCCGATGGGGTATTGACAAGGGCATGCTTCCCATTCCCAAATCCGATCAGCCCCAGCGACAGAAGTCCAACGCCGATGTGTTTGACTTCAAGCTGACTCCCGATGAGGTTACCGCCCTCCAGGATCTCGACTCCTACCTCTACCTGGAGTGGGACCCCACCGTTGCTCCTTAAGCACTTTGTATATATCTAGCAGCATGAATACATGGACAAATCCACGAAGAGTAGAGTCTCGTACCAGTAATCTCCCGATGGACCCCCCACTCCACATTAAAAGTATCGGCTGAGGTCTTAGATTTGACTCTAACCCGAGCTCCACTGCCTCAATGAAGATCTGACGAAGATAATTAAGAATACAAGGCGGAGCCAAGAAAATGTCGCAGACAGAAAATCACGATAATAGAGGCTTGGAGGGTCATATTATAAACAAATATGCACTCTACAATGCAAGATGATGCCATTAATATTTAAAACTACATATTGACAAGGATAATGTACTCTGAACACATCCCAGACCACACAGGCTCTTTTGTATCAGTACTCAGCGGGGAGATAGCGTCCATGGTGTGAACAAGCAAACGCGGCCAAGACAGCACATGGAACTATGCCATCTCTTGGAATGCCAATGTATCTTGTTGATCACTTCCAGACCATCAGATCACGGTGAAAGTGTTGTAAATACTGTACAGCAAGTATTCACGTTGTCGCATGCCAGGTATTTTCCTATCAGTAGGACCAGAGCGTGACGTCTCATCACAGCATGGCTGGACAATTTCCAGTGCAAAAGCACTCATCGGAACACCTATGGCAACCGAGCCTTGAACTTCTGTCTCGCCTCAGACGCTGAGGTAATAACCACAATGCAAAACACGACCCAGTGCAAAAACAGCGCTAGGTGACAGATACCAAACTTGGACAGGCCACGGGCACTTGCGCTCACTGCCTCGTCCTCCCGATGCTTCAGAAAGTCGGCTTCTCGCTTGCCTTTCAAACACACAATGTCGCGGAAATACGTCTCGTAAGTCCCTCGTTGTATGTTGTGTCTCATCGCTCCATGGCGCACAGTCCAGATGACTGCAGCAGCGAAGTTGAGCGGCAATCCGACAACACACATGATCTGGTAGATTGTTCCCACCATATGAAGTCGATTTCCAACTCCCTGATCCAAAAAATAGGTCAGCGCAACCACGTAGATGTTGAAGGTCATCAATGCTGGGGCAAACAGAAAGTAGATGCCGAATGTAGGGGTCTTGAGGGCTCCATAGAGACCCCAGATGTTAACCGAAAGCTGTAACGGAACAGCAACAAACAAAAACCATTCGAATAGAGTAGCCATGGTGTCGGAGGCGTGAGAGTTGGTGTATTGCCGGTAAAAATATGAGGATATAAGGGTATATCGGGGTTAAAAGTGTAATTGCTCTTGAGTTGAAGGTGTTCATATGACAGAGGGCTGGAGAGACATTTACATACATGGTTTTGGGTATATGGAATGATATAAATGGTCAGATGAGAGAACCCATGCTCCGAGTTGAATTATCATGTACTATGCTTTCTATAATCACCACTTTTCACACATGTGCAATCAGCTTGCATTCTTGGCGCCATTACTTATCATGCATGATCGTGCATATTGGGATGAGCGTTTTTTGTCATAGTGAAACCGTCTCATTAAAAAACGGCTCGACGGGATTTTTGCTAACTACGAGTGTACACAGCCTCACAATGGCTCCACCAGTGCAAAGCGCCTGATCGTATCATGTTTTTGACTAGCGAGCTGTATAGTACAAATAAATATTTTCCCTTTGAGCAAAGTTACATTCGCTCATCATCGCCAACAGCATATCCTCTGGCAATTCCTCCTCGGCCCTCCTCTAGATCAGCTCCGTCCTCCTCGCCAGAGCCATAGTCATGGCCCAAACCCTGCCATTCTCGCTGCTGGAGCTGAATGGCGGCTGTAGTGACTGTATTTTTGATTGTAAGAGACCCACCGATAGATTTGACCAGAGCCTGAGTCTCCTCGTCATCCGAGTACTCCTGAACATGCAAGGGCTTGTGATCAATAAACTTGCCCGTGACAGGGTTGAAAAAGGGCTCATCGACCTCGTCCTCATCGACCTCAACGTTCAGATCAACCTTGTTGGAGTCAATCTCCCACTCACCAGTCCAAGAGAGCTCAGGCTGAAGAGCCAGACCCAGCTCGTAGACGGAAACCACAGGCTTGAAGTACTGCTCCTCGTTCTCGAGAATAATGCCACCAATGCCACATCCAAAAACAGCCCACACATCGACAACCTCAAAGTTGGCGAGCTTGGCAACGTTGGGCTTGCCAACAACAAAAGTGTACGATTTCTTTCCGCTCTCAGCAATGGCCTTCTGCAGCTTCTTCGACATTTCCTTGGTCTCGGACATGGACAAACTGTTAATGAGAATGCCAATGGTCTGAGCTGCACGGGCCATGTTCATGTATCGATATCTCTTCATGATGGCGGTCTTGGGGGTCTCCGCCTGACCAGACACTGGATTGAAGTATGCAGTAGCGCCGAAACGAGTAGAGTAATGCAAGGCCAGGGAAGACGAAGGGGTTCCCACGTAGATGAGCATGGTCTCCTGAGGGTCGAGATCATCATGTGTTCGTCGGTACAGGTATCCCTCCTCGGCGTCTGGCTTAGTCTCCTCCTCAGATAGTCCCAGAGTCTCCTGGGGGTTGGGGATGAAAGATCGCACAATGATCTTGTCGGGGAATGCTTCTCGGAGAGCCTTGAACATGGTGGGCATCTCAGGGTAGTATTTTGAGTCTGAGTCCAGCAGAATGTTGGGCTGCTCGGCATCCTTGATCTGTTCGGTCAGCTGGTCCACCATGACCTTGACATCGATTTCGGGGTTGCAGAAAACGTATACCACGGGCATAGTGACGGGGTTGAGACATGCAGAGCCGAAGTGGACCACCAGATCAGCCTTGATGTGGTTAGCACCCACCACATCCACACAGCAGGGTGAGTAGTTCGTATCTGCGAGAATGAAGAGAGAAATGGAAGGGTCGACCGTCTGCTTGAGCAGTCGGACGACTAATGCGGAGTCTGCCACGTCGTTTGCCGGAAACTGGAGGGCAATGCTCTTGTATTCATGGCTATTGAGGTACTCTGTCAGCTGAGGGAGACAATAGTATTTGTTGAGATAATCGTTTGAGGGCGTTTCTCGGACTAGGGGTGCCACGGTCTCAAACTCGGGCTCTGTGGAGAGAACGGGCGCTTGACTCATTGTTCTTCGGGGGGTGTTTGTGGGTCGATATATGCAGGTCTGAAAAAAATTGAATTCTCAAAACTTTGGCTCTGGAAATATTTCATTTACAATTTTGAGTTGGGAGTTGGGAGGTGACTTCCAGGGAGATATTACGTAACAGTGGATTTGGACACCTTCCATTTGACCTTGCTTATCGATACGAGAGTCGATTCATCATACCGAACCTCGCACACCACACGACAAAAGGACGACCTCATCACACACACAAACACGTTCACACACACACAATCATCATGGCCGACGAAAGAAGTAAACTTGAGCAAGCTGGAGAGGGCACCAACTTCTCGTCAGACGAAATCGACCGGCTGAGAAAGCGGTTCATGAAGCTGGACACTGACGCCTCTGGAATTCTGGAAACCAACGAGTTTCTGTCACTGCCTGGCGTGGCTGCCAACCCGCTGGCGTCGCGGCTGATGGATGTATTTGACGAGAACCACTCCGGTGACGTAGACTTCCAGGAGTTCATCAATGGTCTCAGCACATTTTCCACCAAGGGAAACAAGAAGGAGAAGCTGCGGTTTGCATTCAAGGTGTACGACATTGATCGAGACGGCTACATTTCCAACGGAGAGCTATTCATTGTGCTGAAGATGATGGTTGGCAACAACCTCAAGGACGCCCAGCTGCAACAGATTGTCGACAAGACCATAATGGAGGCTGATAAGGACGGGGACGGCAAGATTTCCTTTGAAGAGTTCGAGGCCCAGGTCGGAGGCACGAACGTTTACCAGAGCATGACTCTGGATCTCTTTTAGGTACGGTATCTTAGCATTGAATTATTATGACATTATTATGGATGGCAGTGATGGATGGAGTATTGGAAGGCGAGGCGTTTGTAGAGCCCTTTGTGGGTTGCGGTAACGAAAAAGATTGTAAATACGACGTGGTATGCACTTGCGTGTGCTCCCTGGGCTGTATTAACCTGAGCTGGGCACATATAAGCAATATTCAACTAATTTGTTGGACCCACTACTTAGTATTACTTAAACGAGTGCTAACCCGGTGGCAAATTTCAGAGTCGAGAATAGACCTTCATAGATCATTAAGAAGTACAACAAGGAAAGTGGTGATATACACACACCAACCATCCACTCATACAAGTACCTCACACAATTTCTAAGCTGGTTTGCGCTGGATGTTTGTGTTTACTCCTGCAGCTCATGTCTCATATGTGATGGAGAGATCAAGACTCTTGACTCAATACTTGTACCTACTATTCAGTACACATACAGTATCCCTTCTAAGCTCCTATGTTCGATTCTCGTAAAAACATCACTGGTAATTGATACGCCAACCATTGTGCATTTTCTCATCTGAACGCTCGCATGCCGATGGGTCTCAATTCGTCAAGACAACCAGCCCCTTCAATTGTTTTGAGTTTAACAAAACAGAACATCTTTACTTGACATACTTAACCATACTAAGATACTTGTACTGGAGAGTATTAAGAACCAGATCATAGTATGGGCGTGTCCCAGCATAGGGAAATCAATTGACGGCCACAGACCATCCATATCAACCAACACGGGTTTACTGAGCGCTAACAGACGCCATTTCTCCTCCCTTTCCCTATAGTAGTATCGTACTCGTACTGTATGTACATGTACAACGCGTATCTCCATATGCTGCAAATTAAGGGCAGAACGCGTTAATTGCCATTTAAGCTTTCACGCTGTACACAATACAGTAGAGTTTATGCTGGCGGCACCTCAAATTATTCCTCCTACACAACTACAGTACATTGCGAAACTACCCAACTCGTATGGCCCAGGAGAGCTCTTCCTCTTCGGTTTGATAGACGAATCGACTCGCAAAATGAACGACAAAAAACGCGGGCGAAGAAGTAAGGCGGCAGGGGCCAAGATGCTGCAGAAACAGACCTTCCTCAGCTTTTCCAATGGCAAGCTTCTCGCCACAAAACGACCTACTTCCTCACCCATAATGTCACCTGACAAGTCACGCCAGAGCCCGCCGGTAAAGAAAATGCCAAAGAAATCGCCAAAGAAGTCAGTCATCAAATCGACGCCAAAGAACCTCCTACCGACTTCTTTGGCCAGCAGCTCATGTCAAGCGACTGTGGTTCCAGAAACACCAGAGTCAGACATGTCCAGCTCCTCCATCTCAACACCCCTTCCAAAGGACACAAAGGAACGTTCTGGCAGCGGTTCCAGCTCAGACACAGACTACCAGACTCCGCCTGAGGGTCCTGTCGAGATACCGACCGTCGTGAAGCGGGAGTCATTCATGAGCAAGCTGAACCTCACTGTGCGAGATAAGTTTGAAGGTCCTTCGTTCGATCTCGAACAGTCGTCAGATATTCCAACAAACAGACGGAGCACGCAAGATATTATCACCATCAGCAGCGACGATGGATCATGTGGAGGGCGGGAAGACACGACGCTTCAGCCCAGTGACAACTCGGTGATCGTTACTAGCGACGCAGATACCTCACCCGTGCATAACAACCATCAGCTGAGATATTTCAATTGTCGCATCATCGATAGCACCCCGCTGGACAGGAGAAAAAAGCGTTCTGTGGAAGGTAGAGACACTGGCTCTCCCAAACGAAAAACCACCAAAAAGGAAGATGCAGTGAAACAGGAAATCTTAATGAAGGGAAATGAGATAACGTCAACGCCCTGCAAGTCGATACCGAAACCATCGACTCCCCAGAAGGCTGCTCTTGTGAGAAAGGCTCTCAGAAAGACAACCCCTCACAAGAGATCTACTCTCAAAACTACGCCCTCAAAAGTCATCCCGGAAGCGTCTTTCGACAGTCCGGTTTCTGCAAACCGGAACAACAACATTGAGTATTACTTTAGCTCTCCCGCAATGGCTGATTCGCCACTTTCGCCCGCACGAAAACTTTCTAATGAAAGTGTGTTGTCATCGCCTCTGAAGGCACGACGGTATCAGCACACTACGGACCTGACGTCCATGTCTCTTTCCTCCGCACAGGACCTTTCGTCCGACGGACTTTTCTCGTCGCCCACTAAGCACCGACCTCTGCGAACTGTTAGCGACAAGAGCTCCCCTGATAGCCAGAAATCTCCTGACTCAGACGATGGTCTTTTCGATAGTGACTGTCCTGGAAGCACGAGCTACTTTGATGGCTTTGACATGGACAGCGAAAGTGATCCTGAGCTGAAGGTGTCCTACAATGCTGTGGATGTCAAGCAGCGAGCCGAAGACAGACTGGCGGAGATTCTAAAGGAGGTGAAACAGACTTCGTCAAGCACTACTCCTCGTGGAGGAAGCAACGAGCCTGAGGACGAGGTGGCCGTCAAGTACCAAGCTGCCAAGCTCAAGGAGGCTGAGAGAATCCAGCAGCATCAGGAGAAGAAGGAGGCTTACTACAAGAAGCTCGACGAGGAGGAGGAGGCCAGGCGGAAGCAACAGTTGATGGATGCTCCTCTTGTACAGTGTGAAACCGCTGGTGTCGAAGTCTTTTCTTACGATACTGAAAGCATCGGTGTCCTGCCTGATCATAAGCTTCTCAGAGTGATGAATGAGGCGTCCTTGAAGCCCTCGCAGGTGCTTCCTCGACAGGCTGTCGATCTAGAGTTCAACACAGTCGATGTTGAGTGGCTTCTGGTGAAGCTTGCACGTGAGACTTCCAGTGTCGAGCGACAGCACATTGTCCCTCATTTGCAGAAGGCTGATATTATGCTCACTCGGGACAACATCGAGAAGGTCATGAAGGCAATTGGACTGAGATACTGGGACAAGCGCAAGGGTAGTTTTGAGAACAAGGCTAGTGCTTATTCTGTTCTCAACAAGAATCGACGAACCGAAAGCATGCCTTGTACACCTGTCAAGCCCAAACGGCCAGGCAGATTGGCTAGTAATAATCCGATTACTCCCGTCAAAGCACTTAGAATGGACACACCATTCAGTCCCTTCAGCTCTTTTGATAGTCCTACCTCCTTCTCCATGTCCACTCCCTCCAAGACGTTCAAAACACCTCATCCTCCCCCTCCCTTCCGATACAGGAGCGCCGAATCGTTGTCTGACTTTTTCGACACTATGGCTCAGCTTATTGAGCCCGACTGCATCGATTTTCTGTTCAGGCTACTTTTGCTGGTGTCTTCAGATTCCTCGCTGGACTCTTTGCAGTCCGACACCAGTCCCGCATATGCTGGAATGGCTCGCTTGCTTGCCAAGGATGAATTCACGGTCGAACAGGCCCTAGAGTTGGTATGCGACACTGTGGACCTCAAGTCTGCACAGTCTCGAGTTTTGCAAGCTCTCTTCTGTGGCACAGATAGCACTATGATCGAGCTTGCTCACTCTTGTGCCTCCGTGTTCTTTCTACGAGAGTACATTCAAGACAAGACTGCCAGCGAGTTGGCGTCGCTGTGCTCCACTGATCGAAGCATTCTGAATACTACATTCTTGGACAACCTGATGGACTTCTCTCATCACTCTGAGAAGCCTTCGTCATTCATCCGACACATGTTTGGCTTTTTTGCACAGACCATGGACCCCACGTCTGTCAAAACGTGGAGACCTGAACTGAAGCGCAAGGCGGATTCGGCACTCAAGTCGCGGTCTGATTTTGTGGACAACTTGGACGACTTTAAGTTCAATGCTCTCGTCATGTCCTGGCTCACGCGAGTATCCACAGAGTTCATTGTTGTCGAGCCCGCTCTCTCCGCAGCGTCATTCTAAAATATTTATATATAGATGGTTAATTTATTATTATGGTAATTATTTATATCAGTGGATTGTACAATATACAGTAAGCAGTAATTTGTTCGTTATATTGTTGCCCTTGCATTAATGCCATTTTTTCAGAACTCCGAACATGCAGATACGCATATTTAATGCACCTTAACACATGCACCCAATACAGCATTGAATGATGGTCAACTATTCTCTGTCTAGCTCTTGCGTTCAACACTACTCGTACAACGACCATGAGAAGAGTCATCCTACAGCCTGGCTCCGACGCAGGTATCAAAGAATCTGTGTCTATTGAGCCAAATTTGCATTTCCGCACACTTGCTGAGTTCGACAGCTACTTCCAGGAGCTGTTTGAGAAGGCTCCACAGACCTTTAAGGGGTATGAGATGGCATTGACGGAAGGTTCTGAGCGGTGGACCCCTGTTGATGAGGCTGTGATTGGAAACTGGTTGTCGCTGAAAGCGGCAAACTCGGCCAAGTGGTATATTCGTCCTACCAATCAGATGAATTTCATCAGAGACCATGTGGCCCATGAGAAGCTGGAGACGGTGACAGATTCGGTGGCCCAAATGCGTGCATACCTTGAGGAGGAGATCGACGAAATCAAGCAGCGGGCTGGTGAGGAGATTGCCGCTCTCAGGGGCGAGGTCTGGGCTCTAAAGTTGAAACTGGACACTCTGGAACAAGCCAAGAAGTCTCAGGCTTCAGAAGATCTTGATGTTATTGAAGAAGGGTTCTCCAAAGGTCTGGCACATTCATCTCCCAAGAAGACTTCTACCCCGAAACTGCAACTTGGCTCAGATGACGAACTGAAACCAGAGCTGTTCTCTACCTTTGTACAGTTCCGAGTGCCTACAGGGACGAAGAAAGCGTCTATCCCCAAACACGTCCATTCGTGCATTCGCAGCATGGACAGTGTCCCTGTAGTTTACGCCTTGACCTTGTCTGGTACATACGAGCCCTGCGAATACGTTAGCGAATTGCGTGATAAGATCTATCGAGAGCCAGAATGGGAGAGCTTTTGCATTGGTATTCACGAGGAAGACGAGCCGGTAAAACAGAGCATAAAAATTGTTACCCCCGCGTCTAAAGGACCTACAGCCAACCGAAGCTACGCGGCAGCTTCAGGAGGTTCTTCTAAGCCGACAGTTGTGAAACATCCCAAGCCCTGGATTCCCAAACCCCTGGTCAAGACTGAAGAGAATTTTCCTTCTTTCCGACAGGACGACCTTGACGATATCTGTGTCAAGACGGAAAAGATGACCTTTTCAGAGGAGTTTCTGGCAGCTCAGGGACCCCCCACGAGAAGTACCTCCTCTGCTGGGTCCAAATCCCGGGCTTAGAGGGTTCCTTCATCTGAGGAGTCCCTATCGTCTGTAAATAGGATCTACCCACAGAAACTACCAACCCTACTGCAACTGAACGTGATTCGCCAGATAGGACACAGTATGTATTCTGTTGAATCACATACTACTGCTGGTGCCACTAGCCCGAAGAAGCACAAAACAGGAGATGCCTGTCGCTCTGGCCAATCCTGAACCTGTGACCAAACTATTCCTGAGGCACCCCAATGCGCAACAGCTGCGACAAGCTGCTGGATAAGACACATGTGCACTGTACTGATTGTGAGACGTTCACATGTTGCCAGGAGTGTTTCAAGGTGGCTAACCAGACACATCCCAAGGAACACACTTTTGAGCTCTATATTTATTAATAGTTGGTCCAACCAGACAAAATTCAAAGTAACTGTAATTTCCAGCTAAATTTCAGCCCTGTACAAGTATTTATTTCGATTTTCTTTGACATCCTTGCGATGTTAGCCATTCTCAATCCCCTGTCTGTATAAATTTCCCGAATACAGCAGCAGTTCTACAAACCCAAACCCAAATACTGTACATTGTAGCTACATGTACATGTCATGTCACATACCTGTCCATGTACAAGTACGACCTACCAGCAGAACTATGGTCCAATATTCTTGGATATGTTGACTTGAAAAGCCTTCAGCAACTACACAGCTCGTGTAGTGTCTTCAGAGACGTGTGCGTGGACCAACCGGAAGCGTTCTGGCATGACACTATGAAAGCAGCAGTACCTTGGCATAAGACAATTAAGGAGGATGGAAGCAGTGATTTCTGGTTGAAGACCGCTGTCAGTTTTGGAACACAAATAAGCAGGTACGAAGAGGGGGAGCTTTATGTGGGACTGTTTAAAAACGACACGAGAGTTGGATACACACATGCGGGACTGTTGAATCCCGAGATAACATGGCAAACAGAGAATGGTGCGGTGTTCCGCCTGGACATGACCTCAATGGCCTATGAGACACGTGAAAAACCAGACACTAATCCAGAGATCCCCTTTGTGCATACCTATTGCTCTGCACTTGAGAAGGATGTCTGTGTCTTTACTTATATGAGCCATCGTGGTGTGGGGATGGTGAGCATGTTGTCCAAGGACCACTCAGTGGAGCTGGAGTTCCCAGATCCTGTCAATCTAATACTTTACAGGATTGAGTACGGCCACCACAGTCACGAGCTTGTTTTGCTGTTTCAGAAACTGGACGACCAATCTGACATGTTGTTCGCATACTTTCCATGTTTCGAGAGGAAAGAGATGATATTCCTCGGCGCTCTGAACCATGTAGACAGAACTGTGGATGTAAAATTTGCCCAGGGGAGAGTTGTGCTTCCTTGCAAGAGTGGAATCACTGTTATGGAGGCCATGCATGACACTGAGCAGCCATCATACACATACACTTACGTGCTACACCACCAGGGAAGGCTATGTTTCGCTCTGGGAAAGTACGTTCTTGTCTATGGTAGCACATTGACTACTCCTGACACCCTCCCAGTCGATATCTTTGATGATGACTGCTGCTATTGGCTTCTGGATGTAGCCGAACGACGGGTTCTCAAGTCACGTGACGGAGCCAGGTTTTCAATGAATGCTCTGGGGGGTGTTGGGCCGGTGATTCTAGAAGGGAACAATCTGTTCCTTGGTCTTCTCACTGACTCCCGACGGCATTTCTCAGCCAATCTTCACTCTCACATTCAGTTAATTCAGGGAGTTATCACTGAAGAACAGATTACGCTGTGGTTTGGGGAGCAAGCATAGCAGTGAAGATCAAGTGTAACAACCTCTTTATATATCTCACCATTTATTTATTTTAGTTAAGTAATATTTATTTTATAACGATTTCTCCGGAACATATTTGTTTTTTTCTATTTTTTTTTTGTCCCTTTCTACAGTTCGGTTAATTTGTCATGCCACTAATTATTATATCCAACTACAAGTATATAAAAATTATCCGAGATAAAGTTCAGGTATCGTGCCTCGCATGGCCTTTATCCCAGCTGATCGTGTTACTAGACTCACTTTCAGCCATTGCCATGTCGCAGCTACACCGAGGAATGCACAAGAAACCCGGCATGTTTCCCCCCAAAGAAGTATTGGAGGAGGTGGACGCGGGATCAGGCTCAGATACAGAAACCGAGGAGACCGTGGAGTGCACTGAAGAGGAAGAGGAGCAAGATGAAACTGACGGTCTAGGTGACTTGGGCATGCCGCCACCCAAGAAGACGACCAAGTCGGCTGCTTCGCCGACTGTCCCGGCTCCAGCATTAATTCCATCTCTCTCACATCTCATTGGGCTGGAAGGAAAGCAACCATCTCGGAAATACGCGCCAGCAGAATGGCCTCAGTACTTTAAGCAGAAGATTTCTGTTGCTCGCGACAATGACACATTCAATGTGTTATACACGCCACCTGACGATTCTGAGGCACCCGTCTACGTGTTCCATCACGGTGCGGGATCCTGTGCAGAGTCGTTTGCACTGCTCTCTGTGCGTCTAAGAGAAATGATGCACGAGGAACGGTTCCAGCTTGCTGCCACTGCCAAGATCCGAGATGAAAATAAGCTGCCCGGAATGATTGCATTCGACGCCCGAGGACACGGATTCACCGAGGTTGAGTCCACGGACTACTCGTTGGAAGCCTTTACCAACGACTTTGCATTTATCGTTGCCAACGTGGTTGCCGAGTTCGGGCTCACTAACAACCTCATTCTGGTGGGCCATTCGCTAGGAGGCGCTGTGGTAACAAACGCGTGCCATTTAAAGCTCATCCAGCACCCAGTCATTGGTCTTGCTGTTCTGGACGTGGTCGAAGGAACTGCCATTGAGTCGCTAGCAAGCATGCAACAGATTCTCAATTCCCGCCCTAAATCCTTTCCCACCGTCGAAAAGGGTATCGAATGGACTGTACAGAGTCATACGATCAGAAACAGAGAGTCTGCATGTGTCTCCGTGCCCCCTACTCTCATAAGCCAGCATGACGGGCCAGGAATGACATGGAGAACCGATCTCATGCTCACGAAGCCCTACTGGAAGGGTTGGTTCACCGGACTGTCTGAGAAGTTCATTTCTTGCGCACCGGCCAAACTTTTGATTCTAGCAGGCACAGATCGACTAGACAAAGATCTCATGGTCGGCCAGATGCAAGGAAAGTACCAACTCATTGTGTTTCAGGAATCGGGTCATTTCGTACAGGAAGACGCTCCAGACAAGACTGCTCTCAGTCTTATTGACTTTTGGAAACGAAACGACAAGGTGAACAAAACCGTTCCCTTGTTTGGTGCCTTTAGAGCATGACCAAATGACATACTATTTATCAATACACACACACACAGCATTTACTGAATACTACATAGCGATGCACTATAAAGCGGTTTGTCAATACATACAATACATCATCTACTATAAATCGTCTAATCCTCCTTTTTCTTGGTCTCCAGAGATTTGACAATGGCATCAATCTTCTTGGAGGCCCACGAGAAGCCAGGGTTGATGAGAAAAGGTCGAAGATCGAACCGGTTGTCATCGGGAGAGTACTGCTCAGCGTGGTAAGAAGGAGTGAGAACAGTGGTCTTGTGCCGGTTGACGGCGTAGAACCAGAAAAATCGCTTCACCTTGGCAGCAATCTGTTCAGCAGACAGCCGGGGGGTCCACTCGTGATAGAGCTTGATAAACATAGAGTATGGTCCACACTTTTCGACCTTTCGGAGACGACCAAATACAGACAGCTCGTCGTAGGTCATGCCCATATCTACTTCATCACTCTGAACGTAATCCTTAGTGATAGGCTCGAGTTCAGCGGTAGGAACAGCAGTAAGGAAGTCATTCAGAATAGGCAGATCAAACTTGTGCTCAGCATAAGCGATGAACTTCTTGAGATCGGTCTTGGAAATACCACCAATGGGGTTGATATCGGCGGAAGAACAATCGTACTTCGTCAGGTAACCTCGCAGAGTCTCGTCCACGTTGGCAGAACCAAGTACCAACAGTCCTCCGGCACGGCCTCGGCACCAGGGGAGGAGCTGGGCAAAAAGATAGGCCAAAACCATTCTCAGACGAGCCTGGATGTTTTGAAGAGCCAAGTTCTCGGTGGCAGAGCCTCCGTGGACCTTGAAGATGGGTCGCTTGCCGGTGACAGTCTCAAACAGACCTCTCACGGCAGAAACAACAGAGTCCATGTTAAGATCGGTGTGGTAGGCGCCAATGGCTGCAGCCAGGTCCTTGGCTCGGCTTCGGGTGTCCTTGGAGGAGTTTTCGGTTCCCATGAAACACGTGTGGAAGATTCGGTTACAGAGCTCCTTGGGATCAGTGGGGACGAAGTCGGGGTCACCAGTGACGACCCGAGCGTCCTTGATGACCTGCTCGTTGCCGTTGTTGGCAGCATCCGCCACAAGCACACACATGGAGTAGACGATGGTGGCGGTGGCACAAGAATCAATACCTCCAGACAGGGGGACGAAAAATCCAGCTGCTCGACATCGTCGTACGTAGTCCCACATCCAGCATGCGGGTCCCAGAGCGATCTCCTCTTCGGGAGAGTGATATCTGATCTCTCGGGTCGGGGTGGGGTACACCTCAGAGTCAAAGGTGACAGAGGAAGGAGACAACTCCGCCTTGCAGGTGACCCGGGCGTAACAAGGCGAGTTGGCTGCCTGCATGCACTGACTGATCTTCGAAGCTCTGTAGGATCGCACAGCCTCCAGATCAAGAGTGGCGGACACAACCTCGACATCATCCAGACTGAACTGAGATCCCTGGGCAACAACTTCACCATTGACAGCAATAACGGCACATCCATCGTAATAGAGACGGTCACCATCGCATCCTCGTTGGTTAGCATACAAGTAGATGCCTCCACACTTGGCAGTGGCTTCTCGGATCAGCTCCATTCGGGTGTTGAGCTTTCGCAGCTCGTGGTGGGATCCGGAGGAGTTGGTGAAGATCTCCACACCATCGAGAGACATGCCAATGTGGGGCGACTGGGGCGTGAACAGCTCCTCACAGGTCTCAAAACCGATCACGGCGTCCTTGGTGGAAAGGACACAATCACCAAACGGCACAATAGCAGACTCGTTGGCACAGACATTCTGCACAAATCGAGGTAGAGTGTAGTCTTCCACGTATCGTGCCTTAGGCCAGGGGGTAAAGTATCGCATCTCTCTGTAGTTACCGTCGTTGGCAAGGGACAGCTTGGGTCGGATCAGCAGAATCTCCCGGTTGTAGGAGATGACTCGACAATTGTACTTGACATTCTTGTGCATGACGGGCATTCCAATGTCGAGAATGATGTCGCTGGTGTCGGGGTGTTCGAGGATCTCGGCGTAGACCTCCCACGAGTGCAGATACAGATCACCCTCGAGAAAGTGATCCAGACATCCGTAGCCAGTGATTTCAAGTTCGGGACCCACTCGAAGAGAAGCTCCTTGTCGCTTGGCCTCTCGAATAGACTCGAGGATTCGGTCTCGGTTACCCTCAAAGTCAAGAGCCCATTGGTTCAGGTTGCATGTTGCGAGAGTGACGTAGTGGCCCATGATGTGTGGTTGTTGGGTTGAGAGGTGGGAGAGATACAGCCCATGAAGGTTGATCACTGTGCATTGCGGATGTCCGGGAGGTTGTGCGGCTTATGTTACAGTACAGTACAGTTCAGTAGGGCGGTAAAGCGGCGAAACTAGGGAATGGAAAAAAGGGAGTCTTGCATCTATATATATACGATTTGATTGATCTCGTGTCTCCGACCTGGTATTTGTAAAAATATAATGCATCCCTTTCTTGGGAGTGATGGTCTATGCATTGTTGAGCTCAACAAAATTAGCATTGTGGGGTAACTAATATTTGACCCTGTTAATTAATACTCAACTAAAATACTACATCTGGATGACATAACTCAGCAGGATTTGTACATTCAACTAACTACTGTACCCTCCCTCGATAACCTCACATGAACACCGTCCCCGTGACTCATGGTGATAGAATGCCTCACCCTTAGCGGCCTATCATGGTACTCCTCATCAATCCCGATATCGCTATACTCCTGGACCAGCCTAGTGAGAATGTAACCCATTTCAGTGAGAGCAAATTGCTGACCCAGACAGATTCTGGGACCACCATTGAAAGGCAGAAACTCCCATCCCTTTCCCAGAGGTCCTGGATGATTGGTAGTGTCCCATCTTTCGGGTTTGAACTCCTCGGCATCTTCACCCCAGTATTGCTCGTCTCTGTGTGTCCAGTAAACGGCATAGTTGATTTTCTGACCCTTGGGCACAAAGATGGGCTCATCTCCATTAGGTCCACCTCCTCTAGGAAGAGTAGTATCTTTGAGAGCCACTCTCAGGTTGATGGGTACAACAGGATGAAGTCTCAAAACCTCGTTCAAAACATAACGCAGGTACTCACACTGCTTGAGACTTTCGAAACTGATGTTTTCAATTGTGGTCCCAAAGTCTTCAATCACGGCCTTTCTCAGCTTGTGGAAAATGTGAGGTTTCTGAGCCAGCTCAAACATGAGCCAGGATAGAGTAGCTGCGGTAGTGTCTCGTCCTGCAATGAGAATGTTGAGAACTTGATCTCTGAGAACTCGGGGATTAGTGGTATCTCTGGCCAACTCGTACAAAAATATGTACTTGTCAGGATTGGTGTAAATAGGCGCTTTGTGAGCTCGAGCCTTGAGAGCCTTATCAACGTAACCCTGCACGAACTTTTGAATCAGCTCGTTTACCTGGCGGAACTCGTTCCTGAAGAAGACATCTCCGATTATCCAGTAGTTTTCTTGGAACACTACTCGCAGAGCCACCAATCGTTGTACTCTGTCAAATGCATGTTGAAAGTTGGCTCCGAACTTCTTAGAGCTCTCGTCTCCGTCCCTAGTCTCCAGGAGCTCTTTCAGACAGCCTACTGATTCGCCAAGCAAAAAATCAGTAGAAGTGTCCATTGACTGAGCAAAAAACAGTTTTTGAATGTCGAAATACTCGCCCTTGAAGTTGTCTACACACTGTGCAAACTCCTGAAAGTGGTGCTCCACTGAGTCCAGACGTGAGATCTGCTCTCTTGAAAACTGAGGTCTCAGTAGAGCACGAGAATGAGACCAGCTTGAGCCCTCCACGGTGAATATTCCGTATCCCAGAGACGGACAAAGCGCTTCTTTTCTGATTCCGAAAGAAAAATCTTTGAATTGAGTCGCCAGAATCGCCTTGACATTGTCAGGATCCCGGGTCACCAGCAATTGAGTGGGGAAGACAGGATAGAGATGGGTCTTGCCATGTTCTTTGAACTGAGCTCCCCAGCCGGCTGGTCCAATATCCTTAACAAATCCTGATAGCTGGTGGACCAGCCCTCTCCATCCAAGAAGTCCATTGGAAGCAATCGGAGGATACCCATATCCAGACTTCTTCTGTCTTCTCTTGAGGTCGGCTAGCACCAGCACCCTCCACAAGGTAAAGAAGAGGGTGACTCCAATCAGTATTTCGAGCATGTCTGTTTTTTCGGGAGATAAGCAGTGAGAGCGCTACATCTTCCGCGCAAACTTGGGATTTGTCTTAGTCCACACTTTTACTTAGCGTGAGTTTGAGTTGTGGGGACTGGAGCTATGGCATCCTGATTATTCTACAAGCAGACTACTGTAGATTACGAGTCTGGACATCCACGATAACATTCGAGAGGGTGCTAATGGTCAATTACAAACAAATTCATTTCCAGTTACAAACACATCACAAACTCCATTCACTAGAGAGTGTCATGGTACTCAGTGTATGAGGGAACATTCTCCTTCATGCCCCGTCGCTTTCGGGTTTCGGCCACAATCTGACCAGGCTTGGTGTTTGGTTCTAGAGGGGAACCTCCCATGACTTCCCAGTGGTCAAAGATCATCTGAGGGAAAGCCTGGCCACTGGTAGCTTGTCTCAGTTCACCAGTGAATCCGAAAGACTCGTTGACTGGCAAGTAAGACTTGACGGTGAAGAGAGGAGTACCGGCTCGCTGCTCTTCAGAGATAACCTGGCCTCTTCTACGGTTGAGAACAGAGTAGATACCACCTACTGCATTCTCCGGACATTGGATCTCGACCAGGAAAACAGGTTCGACGATACGAGGCTGGCATTGGAGGAAAGCAGCGTAGGTGACACGTCTCATTGTAGGCATTATCTGACCTGTGCCCCGATGAATGGTATCAGCATGGAGAACCACATCCATCATGTTGATTCGAACACCTCTCATACTCTCGCCAAACAGAGGACCTGCCTTGGTGGCCTCCTGGAAGCCTGCCACACACGAGTCCTTGATCTCGTGCATGTACTGCACAGCCTTGGTGGTATCTACTAAAGTGTTAGGTCCAGTTCCGTCAGGTCCGAAGCACCAGATTGCTCGAGCGTGGTTCACATCCCAGTCGTACTCATCTGCCAGTGCTTTGGCTCGTACCTTGAAGTCCTCTCTGGCTGAGATCTTGCCATCATCTACAGCCACATTGAATTCTTCAGAAAGAGGCTCGGCAGTAACCCAGATTCGGTTATGTTTGTTGGCAGATTTGCTCAGGGCTCGGCTTTCGGATTTCTCGGAGATGGTCTCCCGGTACGAAACCACGGGGGGCGACTTCTTGAGAGGAATGCCCGCATGGTCCTGTTCCAAATCAAGAAGACAGATTTCTAGGTGGAGTTCTCCAGTGCCAGCAACAATGTGTTCTCCAGATTCTGAGATGAACGTCAGCACACAAGGATCAGACTTCGACAGTCGTTTGAGACCCTCGACGAGCTTGGGCAGATCGTTGGCGTTCTGGACCTCCACAGCCACTTGCACGACAGGTGAAACTGAGAACTTCATCACCTTCAGATTGTGAGCTGCGTCGTCGGTTGTCAGAGTGCCGCTCTTGAGTAAGAACTGATCGATACCTACCAGACCCACAATGTTTCCAGCAGGAACATCATCAATGGGCTCGACAGTTCGTCCCATCATCAGAACTGTTCGTTGAATGGCCTTGACGAAGAGATCGTCCTTCTTACCAGGGACGTAATTGGGGCCCTGGATACGCACTTTCATGCCAGACTTGACAGTACCAGCAAAAACTCTACCAAAGGCGTAGAACCGACCTTTGTCGGAAGTGGGCACCATCTTTGACACATAGAGCATCAGGTCGGCGTTAGGATCACAGTTCTGGATACCCATACCATTGGCGTCCGTGACATCTCCCTCGTAGAGCACCTCAGCTCTGTACTTTTGAGCAGTCACGGGAGAAGGGAGATGGATGACAATCATCTCCAGCAGCGCGTCAGCCGCAGGAAGGAACTTTCGCATGGCCACCTTCAGAAGAGACTTACCTTCGAGCTCCTTTTCGTCTCCTTTGAGAGAGATGTTGAGCTTCTCCAAAAGAGTAGGTACATCGTGGCTCTTGAAGTTCATGATAGCGTTGAAGATCGTGAATATGGGATCCAGAACAAACATGTTGAAGCCTCGCTCGAGCTCGTTGCCGTTTTCGTCTTTCGATTTGTGTGACCACTTCTTGGTTTTGGGATTGAAGAAGTTGTCGCCCCACAGTCGCTGCATCATCTTCTTCTGGTCTACTCCAAACTTCTTGGCGTAACGAACAGCAAACTGTCGAATGGTAAAAGCCCAGCCGTGGAGTCCGGAAGCAAAGGCAACAGTGCCATTCTCAGGGTACACCTGGCAGTTGCCGAGAGTCTTGTCAAAGTAAGTAGCAATGATGACGTTGACAGACTCCACGGTTCGAGAGAAGGTCTTGTAGAGATCCTCTTTAGTGCATTGAAGTTCGAGAAGAGCTCTGTCGACCTTGTTGATAACACAAACAGGCTTAATTCGCTCGGCAAGAGCCTGTCGAAGCACAGTTTCGGTCTGAACACACACACCTTCAATACAGTCGACGACAACGAGAGCACCATCGGTGACACGGAGGGCAGCAGTGACTTCAGAAGAAAAGTCGACGTGACCAGGAGAGTCGATTAGGTTGATGAGGAACTCGTTGCCTACTGTCTTTTGATCAATCTGGCTGACATAGTCGTCGGAAAGCTGGGCGTAAAGGGAGATGGCAGTGGACTTGATGGTAATACCTCGTTCCTGTTCATCTTTTCGGGTGTCAGTGAATCGGGCCTCTCCAGCCTTGGCAGCAGAAATGATACCGGCGTTCTGAACGAGGGAGTCAGTGAGAGTGGACTTGCCATGATCAACGTGCGCAATAACAGACATATTACGTACGTTGGTCACCTTGTCCATCAAGGCTCTCATTTGGTCTACGGTAAAGTTGACCATGGTGAAGTTGGTAGATGTTAGAAGTTGGTTTTGTTGATGTTTTTGGTGTTTTTGAAGTTTCTGGGTTGATTGAGATACAATTGAGTGGGATCGCAGATGGTAAAGACGGTCCCCAGCATTTTTATATACGCCCTCAAATTATTACCCCACCGTTCCCCATTCTTAAACTACCAAACTGGTCACGCTAGTGGAACCCCTCACCTTTCAAGGAGAGGGAGAGGGGAATGCTGTTGAGTTGATGATGTGGAGCAAGACCCTTCGTTTTGGATGCCACACATTTCGTCTGCTCGTCAATTACTACACTCTCAATTCACTTGACGCTTCTGTAGGTCCTTTCTCGTTCTAAGTAGTCGCCACTGGAGGTCCAGTTCTGTCTCCCGCATAGTGGGTTTCATGGGGGGAGGGGGGAAACATAATTGACACTTGTTTTCTTTGTATACTTGAGAGGTATTCTTCTGTGTCTTCGACGAGTTTTTCTGCTCGCTTTACCCCCGAACGGAAAATACACCTTTTTTAGGCAGTTGCACGGCTCTTTTTGGCGCCCTCAAAATCAGGCACACAAGGTCGTGTGATCACGCCGACCAGTGCCTTGATTCTGCAATAGTTACATAATCAGGGTAAATTAAGGTTTTCTTTGTTCTTGATTGCCCTAAAAGTGGGTCATAGAGCTACAGTACAGTACGTACTGTAACATTGCTTCATGTACGTAGTGGAAGGGGTAAGGACACAAGAATTATAGGTTAGCAGCAGCTTAGCATGTGGCAATGGAGTGGCCAATTGATTGGTGGGTTGTCTACATAATTACTGTACATCGCCGCTTACAAGGGGCCAGACGCCAGCCTTCTTTCACCAAATTCTTGTTATGATTACACAGTGTGTGCTAAAGGTGAGTTTGGTGCCACAAAGAGACTACTATCTGATAAAACGAGGAGGTTTAGGCGATAAGTTGAGTTTCTGGTTGCCTGGTACTTGTATGAGTACTTGTGAACCTCCAGTTGAGCCCTCATATTTGTACAAGGACATACAAGAATGCACTACTTGTCATACTGTGCTGAGCTTGAGTTGTACAAGTACTCATAGCATTTTCAACGGGCGGCTTGTGTGATTTGGTTGTAATACTTGGATTTAGAAGATGAGCAAACAAACACCTCGTATACTTGAAGATTAGTTGAACGACATCCATGATCAAGAGACTATAGGCCCAAGACCTGCTCGATTTCTAGAGTTGGATAGAAATCATATTGAGGGTGCTTTTTTCCCCATAGTTTTCTTTTCTTCTCCAACTGTCTCGCCCTGACCCGCCTAGCCAATCTAGCACCAGTAACTCAGGACAAGACACCATGCCACGTGAGACCCACACAGCAGCTAAAAGACTGGTTCTCGAGCTTCCATGTGTTCTATCTACCGCTGAAGCTGGAGCCCAGTAAGTATCCACCTGCCCGTAAGGTATCGGTAGCACTAGCCAGCACCGGTATTAATATAACCCGTGGTATGAGAGTCAATACTTTCTAGATATCTCCTTGGTGTGTGAGATGTCAAAAGTACTTGCCCGTCTGCTAACAGACTTATGCACACCCAAGACAAGGACCCCATCAATCGCAAAATCGCAGAGACGGATGTCTCTTTCACTGTTATGTACACAGCTATCAATGCGCGACCCACGACTGTCGATATCCCGACTGACGAATGCGGTACCGGTAGATCTATCCCTCCCGACAACGCGTTTCGATTAACACATCTTTGGTCGATGTCTCACTCTTGAGGATGTTCCCATAACAGTGAGCAGATGAACGATGACAAACAAGAAACATAATTGAGTGAAAATCCGAAGAAAAATCGCGGACTACACCGGATTCTCGAGCCCCTACCGCCATGACCATACCTTCACAACCCCCACATTCCCATATCAAACTCAAGAAACCACAGCCTATGTCTAATACTATCACAGTTCACCAACCATCCACATTTCATCAATGGGTATTCCTTCTAGGCGGTGACTCGATACAATCCTCACTAATCACCGACCACTGTTTGGAAGTCTGTGTCGAAATGATGGGCTTATATACAGTTGTCAACCGAGTTATCAGCCGAGTTATCAGCCGAGTTATCAACCGAGTTGTCAACCGAGATGTCAACCGAGTTGTCAACCGAGATACTGTATCAACCAAGTTACTGACTAGTCGTAAGGAGGTGTATTTGACATCGGTATTGTCAGTCCGGGTCTCGCCCATGCACACTTGTTTCATGGCCTTGTGAATATCCTTCATTTTTGTGACAGACCCCCAACTGTAGTTCAGGAGAATGCATGCCAGAAGCGTTTCTGCAGGTGGAGTTGGGACAGGTGAACAATGGTGTATGGTGATTTTCTATATATACATTTAAGGGGACAGAAAAACGCAGAAATAGGCATTTTTGCAACGTACTGTAACTTTGGACGGTGCGCGAGCCTTGCTCAAGCTACAGTAGTGGTAGCCATTGTAAATAGCTGCTACATTATCATGACGAACCGCAGTGGCTTTTTTATGCTTTCAGGAGCTACCGCCAGACGAGAGGTCAATCATAGCCCGCCCATCTGTCTCACTTGACCTTGGCTTGGTGTCCCACAATCGCTCTTTGGTTGCCAATAGCAGCCTTTAGCATGAGGGCTGTACGAGTCAGTTGACATTGTTCGGAAGATGGAGAATGTTGCAGATTCCGAAGTTGGGACATTGGAAGCTGAAAGTGAGAGCGGCGTGGGAGAGAACTGTGCTGGGAGAGTTCCAAAAATAGCTCCCTTCTGCAAATACAAACACACACGGCACTGGAGAGGTTTATTTTTAATCAGCTGGTCATGAATACCTCTCCAGTGGACTGAAGCAAACCGCCTCCAGCCCGGCCAAGTACACAGAGATTAAGCAGACAGCTTGAAGTGTCTCGTAAAGTCTTTCTTCAGGTCTAGGTCGGTGCACGGGATCAAGCTTTGAGAGTCCTGGTAGGTGAAGCTGGCCCAAAGTCTAACCAGCAGTCCTGAAGATAACCCTTTTAGCACGTACATCCGCATGTGCATTGCAGTTGCCATCGCAGTTGTGTGGCTGTTGGCGGGTCATGTGTGTATTGATGATATCGGTGTATTTTTCCTGCCGCCCACAAGTATGCGGGCAGTTTCTTGGTCCTGCAAAGACCGTCAATCCCTGCTTCCAGCTGACGTCGTTGTGCTTGTCCGCGTGCAGCCAGGCTGCAGTCCGTGCAGTTGAGTGAGTACATGAAAACGCTAAGCCGCAATCCAGCTAAATGTCAAGCTCAGAGCACACGGAACTTTTATTTTTATCCATCGTCCAGCTTCTCTACACCTTCCTTCACTTCTACTAACAACACCCTCCGTCAATTTCTAGCCATGGAAGAAGATGCGCCTCCATCTTATACCCCACGACCCACTGGTGACTCCGTCACGGTGAGGGCTTACACCACCTATCACGAGGGAGCTTCCCCTCAGGAGAACCATCGACTGAATGAGGAGGCTCGAATCACACAACAGCGAACCGGCGAGGGTCTTCAGTCTGCAACCTCTGTTCAGTCGCTCATTCTGCCAGAGTCACCCGTGACCCCCTCTCGTCCAGGAAACGTGACCGGCAGACCTGTTCAGTCGCTGGTTCTACCCACCAATCCTCGTACACACGGACGGTCGAGATCGGCCACGTCCTTGGCACCCCCTCGACCCACCGCTCGACGAATGAGCCCGTCGCCTACCCGCACATCACAAAATACAAGACCTGCTGCCTCGCCGTCGCCCTCCAGGCTGACACCTGCTCGAACTCCAAATACGCCTGCAGCAAGACCCGCAGCCACCTCTCCTAGAACTCATGCACCTGCTCAGCGGGTGCCTTCTTCTCCCCAGCCTTCCAGACCACAATACTCGCCTCAGGCTGCACGATCTCAACCCTCACTAACCCCTGCCCGGAGCACCACAAGCATAGTCAGCACGGCCAGTACAGCTACCACAGCAAGCTCTAGCAGCTCTCGACCACGAGCGCCGGCTCAGGCTCCCCCTCCACCACCCACACAGGCGGCCCCTCCCGTTCCAGGAGTTCCCAGCACCACCCATCGCCCTCCTCCCCCCGCTCAGGCACCTCCTCCTCCCCCTCCTCTGGGAAACCAAGCACAAGCACACCCAACCCCTGCGGCTACGACAACTCCTCGGCCAGAATCCCCACCTCTCATAACCATTTCTTCCGAGTCTTTTGTTCCACCAACCGCCTCGCCTTCTTCGTCATCCTCATCATTGGAGTCTCAGATCTCTACGGTGTCGTCAGTGGCACCTCCTATTCCTGGACTGCATTATGCTCTACACACTATTCTGGATTGTCCTCCTAATGCATCCAATCTCGACATTGAACAGGCGTTTAGAACCGAGACTCTGCGAACCCTCAAGGACTGCGATGGGCTCTCGGGCTTCCGAAACTTTTGTTGTTATTCCTTTGCATTTCAGATTCTCAATAACCCAAGCTCCAGAAACCAGTACATGCAACGAGAGGATCACGACGACGCTCTGCTGCTTGAACTGCAAGCTCAGAGATCTCCTCAAGAGCCTGCTGTGTTCTTCCAGTCTCTCTTTGCGGGCTTTTTCCACCCTCCCATTCCTGTCCCCGTGGCAACCATGGGACTGGTTGATCTTCTAAAGGAAGCCGAAGCTGAGCAGTGGGAAGTCACACCCGACATGCCTCCTCCTCCTCCAGTCAACTGGATTCCTACCCAGGACGCTACTCTGATCAATGCCATCTTCGGAGATGCTGTTATTTCTCAACGATGGTTCAAGAGTCTGGAGTTTGTGTCTCGACTCGCCACGTCCAATTCCAAGCATATCAATTGGTACGAGGCTCTCCTCGACATTGCTCTTGACGAGGATGTTGCAGCGGTATCTTCTCCAGCCATGAGAGACTACCTCGCTAAAGGAGTGCAATCTGAGGGTTTCTCCCAAACGTTCACAGAAACTGTTCAGACAGAGATGAACAAGCTGTTTTTGCAGCCCGTTCCTTTCAGTTCCGATGTCGTCAGGGCTACAGGCTACATGATCATGGCCGAGATGGAGGACAAGATGAGAGGTAACACCGTACAGCGGAACCTGGTGGCTGACTCTCTAGAGCGGGCTATTCGACGATCGCACGCTGTTGCCCAGCACTGGAGACGACACAAGTTCTCCGATGACGATCAGGTCAATTTGGTATACACCCGAGCAGTGTACATGAACCTGCAGCAGATCCATCGCCGAGTCCAGGAACTGTGTCGATTGCTGGTTAGCGACCCCTCCCTTCAACGAATCTACCGACTATGGGAGATTGGCAACTTCATGTACATCGCCTCTCAGCAGCGAGAGCTCATTGGCGTGCCTTTCGACAACTTTATGGCCGAGACGGTCTCCATAACTGCTCACAGAGAAGCCTACTATGCCAGCGAGACACCCAAGAAACATCTGCGGGGATTCGATTATACCGAGTCTACTGATGGTCTTTGTCTATGGGACACGATTATCGCCAGTGGAGAGAAGGAGCGAAATGGAAACAAGGGTAGTTTCAGCACCGGGTCTGAGGGCTATGCTTCCATTCGCGACTCTTCCAACAAGCCAGTTCGGCCCATCCACACGTTTGTGACAGATCTTCAGCCGAATCCTCCGGTTTCTCAGAACTATTATACTGATGTTGGATCTGATACCAGCGGCTATTATGGAGACGTGGGATCGGACAATGGGAACAGTGATCTGCTAGGGTCACCCTTCAGAGTTCGTCCCGGCCGAGTGGCGTAAAGCTACCCACTCTGCAGTACGACAAGTAGTTTATAACCGATCTATGCATTACCATTGAGATATAGACAAGTGTGTCTAATTTTTAGAACACCTGGTATGTAGCTATTTAATGACAGGTGCAGGTATGGGGGCGGCAGGTGAGTCTTTGAAGCCGAGGCTGATATGAGCATAAGGTATGGATGTCGTAATACACTCATACAGTATAAGGAAAACCTACAATCTACAAGTAAAGTACTTGTACAAGAGATGGAACAACCGGGGATCTCGCACAGGTGGTAACAATGATAGATGTCGTCTCCTCAAACACCATGCGTGATTAGTAACCATAACGTGTAGCGGTTGCTCTGACATCCGTCCCCACATAAATGCGGGGTAACTCTATACACGAGTAAGCACAAATTCAAAGACTATAAGTACTTATACAGGGCCGGCCCAGTATCGGACACCCTTCGAACGCCATAATGTCCGTCATTGAAACATTTCCGCTGCCCCAAAAGGGTCAGTCCGAAAGACAGCAGCTGCTGATTCTCACCGATAAGCCCGACTACTACCTTTTGGAGTTCAATTCGGCTCCCGAAAATAGACTCTCCAAGGACTTCATCGATGCATTTGTGGAGGCTCTGTACTATCTGCTGTTGAAGAAGGGCGACTCGCCCAAACCGCTGGTGACCTCGTCGACCACCCCCAAGTTCTACTCCAACGGACTCAACTGGGAACAGGCCAAAAGCACGCCTGAATTCTTCCACAGGTACCTTGGACGTCTGCAACGGGCATTCATCGAGTTCCCCTGGCCCACCATTGCCCATGTCAATGGCCATGCCTTCGCGGGCGCCTTCATCGTGGCAAACCACCACGATTTCAAGGTCATGAACCCCAACAAGGGCTGGCTATGTATGAACGAGATCAGCTTTGACGCATCGCTGCAGGCGTGTCTAATGTCCGTGCATAGCCACCAATATGGTCCCCGTCTGGCTCGTAAGATCTGCATGACTGGACACAGATTCACAGCGGCGGAGGCACTCAAGGAAGGTCTCATTGACGCAGCTGGTGGATGGCCTGAGGTCGACGAGTTGGCCAAGAAGATCAAACCTCTGGTGGGCAAGTACAATTATCGGCAGATGCGAATGGCCATCTTTGCGCCTGTTCTGGAACAGACCAAGAACTTTTATCATTATGCTCGTCTCGACAAGGCTGCTCAGAACGAGGCTGATGACTTCAGAAGAGAGCGAGAGGAGGAGATCAAGGCTAAGTTGTAGTTTGGGAGTATGTAAGAATATATGTTGGGTTTACGGATATATGAGGTAGAGTATGTACGTACAGTACTTTTATCGCATCTACTTGTATAATTTTCTTATCAATCTTTTTGTTTGAAGTTCAGTTATATCTCAACTAAAGCCTATCTAGAAAAGTAACTATGAACCCAAACTTTGTTCACGTGTTCTTCTGCCAATCTCTTCTTGAGGATAACACAACGACTCGAGCAGCTATGAGAAAATTAATCACAAAACTGCACTTACCTTTCTCTGAGGATTCGAGTGATAACAGATTTTCGCCGAAATATAGAGTTTCCCACACAGTGCGTCGGATTTTACAGATTTCCACAAAAGAAACGGTCCCTTGGCCCAGTTGGTTAAGGCGTCGTGCTAATAAGAATAGCAGCTTTGCAACGCGAAGATCAGCAGTTCGATCCTGCTAGGGACCAAGTTTTTTTCATACTGAAAGTACAGTGCTGGACTCATCCTTAGTTGATGACATTCCGACATGAAAGACCCACCCAATCGCCGTTATACCGTGCAGTTTTGGCGTTGGTCACGTTTCGACTTTTGGGTCTAACTGAAATGAAGATGGTGTTTTTTTACGAGCTAAACCCTACTGTTACCAGTAGGGTGAAGATTGGAGGCCGTGAGATTGAATTACGAGACACTGCTCTCGTATTTCTGCTTGCCTGGGTCTATCTTTTTGTTCTCATTGTAGCGACAACATTCTTTCGGGCCCAAGGCCTTTATGACCCCCCCCCCCTTTCTCACCGTGCCGTCCCCTCTAACGCACGCGATACCCCCACGTGCTGTTATGCTTCAACCAATAGCAGGCACGTTACTTAGCATGATATCGAGGGTGCAGCCCACCTGTAGAGTCTGGTGATAAGGTTCTCGGTTAGATCAGTTGAAATACCACACGGCTTCGACTTTTTTCTGGGTTCAACTGAGTCCACATTCATCATGTCATACAAGAAGATTGGCGGCGAGGACCTGGAGCTCAACAACATTAACAGTCGCAATTACGACTCTCCCGAGGCTCCTCCAAACGACCTGGACGACCTGGCAGACCTGGACGACTTTGAGCATGATCACGAGGACGATTACAGTGTGGACGATGATCGTGCAGATATCGGAGAAGGGCTTTTGGGAGGCAAAAAGAGCACAGGAAAGCAACGACAGTTTCGACGGAAACCAAAGATCAGTCTCAAGCTGGGGTTGGTTATTGCGTTCGTGATCGTTGTCCTGATTGTGGGCTTTGTCATCCGATACCTCAAGACCAGTAAGGGATGGTCTTCAGATGTGGATTCTCTAGGACGAAGACTGCAACCATGGCAGAGAAACACTCTGGACGAGTACAATCTCAGTAAGAACGGATTGTGGAATTCGTCTAGTGAACCCCAGACCAGAGAGTACTTCTGGACAATCTCCGACATTGTCGGAGCCCCAGACGGAGTCCAGAGAAAGATGACTGTTATCAATGGCAAGTTCCCCGGTCCTCTAATTGAAGCCAACGAGGGAGACAGAATAATCGTGCATGTTAAGAATGAGGGAGCTGATCCTACCGGTATGCATTTCCATGGTATGTTCCAAAAGGGTACCAACTTCATGGACGGAGTTCTCGGAGTCACCCAGTGTGGAATTATGCCTGGACACGAATTCACTTACAACTTTACACTTGATGGCCAGTACGGAACTTACTGGTACCACTCTCACTGGGACCTTCAGGCTATTGACGGTGTGGCTGGACCTCTTGTGATTCACTCCCCCAAGGAAGATGAAGCCTACAAGCATCTGTACGACGAGGAAATGGTTTTGTTTGTGAACGACTGGTACCACGAGATGGGTCGAGAATACATGCCTGGATATCTTTTTCCCAACGGTGAAAATGACGAACCTGTTCCTCAGGCTGGTCTGATTCAGGGCATGGGCGAGTTTGACTGCTCCAAGTACACTGACCGAGAGTGCCAGCAGCTGCAGAAGCAGATTATTCCTGTGGAGGAGAATAAGACGTACCGAATCCGAATCATCAACGCTGGTGCCATGAGTGAGATTGACTTTTCCATCGACCAGCATAAGTTCGATCTCATTGAGGTGGAAGGATTCTCCGTGGAACCCTACGAACTGCAGGCAGCACGTGTGGCCAACGCTCAACGATACTCATTCTTGGTGAAGACAGATAAGCGAGAAATTGATGAACAGTTCTGGCTGCGAACCGAGTTCAACCCTCATTGCTACGCCGAAATGAACGATGAGCTCGATATCAACGTCAGAGCCATTTTCTCATACCCCAGCCACACGGAGAAAGTCAAGAAGCTGATTGCAAAGGGGGATCCCAATTACCTGGTTGCCCACGGAGATCCTCAAGATGTCAAGTGGAAGGACTTTGATGGAACCGTCGAGTGTTTGGAGCTCAATACCACCATGTTGACGCCTAAATACAATGACCCCATTCCTGGACGTGGAGACTTTGTCGAGCTTCATGCTGCTTTCCATAGACAGCAGGGAGCCATCAAGCGAGGAGTCTTCAATGCCACCACCTGGAACCCCGCCAAGGAGGCGACCCTGTCTCAGTTTTTGCGTGAGAAACCCTTGGAGATGTTTGCCGATGGACCTTCCAAGCACTGGGGTCCTGACCAGCTGACCGTGACTGTCAACTCCACCAGAACCATTGATCTGGTCATCAACAACCTCGATGACGGAGCTCATCCCTTCCACCTTCACGGTCACAAATTCTGGATTCTCGACTCGGGCAACTCCTACTTCAATTTTGGAAGATATGACAACATTCCTGACAGAGGACAAGTTATGAGAGACACTCTTCAGGTGGACGGATACGGCTGGGTTCTCATTCGGTTTGTGATCGACAACCCCGGAATCTGGGCGTTCCATTGCCATTTTGCCTGGCACATGGAGGCAGGTCTCAGTGTGCAGTTTTTGGCACTACCTGAAGAGCTCATGGAGATGCAGCCACCGTCTGGCTGGAATGACATGTGTAAGGCAGCATTAGAGGAGGAAAAAGAGGGCCAAAAGGAGGGACAAACTAACTAAAAAAGATTGCTATAGAGAACGCGGGGTAATATATATATATATATATATATATATATATATTAATTTACTAAAGACTGTACATATCTACAACTTCTCAGTGCCTATTAATACGGATGATCGGGACTTTGGGGATGCAGGTGGGTCCGGGTGAGACTAAGTAATTTTCCCGACATTATGTACAGTCGGATATCTCTATTTACACTATCTGAGGTGTTGTGTTTTACAGTACGAGTATGTCCCTAATTTCTTCATACAAGGGTGCAGAGGGCATGCGGCTGACTATATAAATTTGCCACTGAGCCGCCGTTCCTTTTAGTCCAAACAAAACCACAGCCCGCTCCATACCCATTAATTCGGCTCTCACCGTATAGCTACGCACTTTGCCGCATGACGGTGGCAATTTCTATACGAAAATAACTTGATTTTCGCGCATGAGAGGCACATGTACGAAGCACCGTTTTTTCCGTTTGTCGGACTTAGGCCCGACCGAGCCTTAGGGTTAGGGTTGCAGGCCTTGCAATTGGATGTGTCAACACTAGCTCAAGCAGTTAAAAGCCGCGGAAAAGAAACACGTTTGGGTCCGCTCCAGTCACGTGGAATCAAATTTCCTACAGCATCATAACACACAATGGGTGAGTAATCTTTTGTTCACAATCTTATCGACAGACCAACAAGAACACAACCACAGCCAGTCATCGACACACAACCAAGGCACATGACTAACCTAGGTACATCTCTATGGCTCCAGCCTCCTAGGAACTCGCCAATTTGGCAGCAGCTTGCCACTACAATCCAGGGCCTGAAGCCCATCTTTTCAGACTCGGAAAACTTCGAGCCTCACATTACACTTACTTCCAACATTTCCGTCAACACCCAAGGCCAGGTCGACTTTGTGTTAGATCGAGCAGTTGCCGCAGCCAAATGCGTGCCCCAGGGCTTCCAGATTCACCTGTCGTCCGTCAAGTACGGATCGCGGTTCTTCAAGAAGGTCTATCTCCAGGTCGAGCCCACTCCAGAGCTCCTTTCACTCGCCCGAATATGCCGCGAGGACTTTGTGTACATGCCCGAGGCCATGTCACAGGCACGCAACTACCAGGCCATGTCTGCGGAGGAAAGACAAAAAATTGACACCCAAGTGGGCCAGCGGGCTGCCGAGTGGACCAGAAACGAGTACGACCCTCATGTGTCTCTGGTGTACTCTGATCTGTACCCCGTTGAAGACGCAGACCGGCGAACCATTGAGACGAGACTGGAGGACACTTTCGGATCCGGATACGACGAGAGCGGTCTTGGATGGAAAAATGGACGTTTCGCTCTGGTGCGGTGCGAAGGACCTGTGGACGAGTGGGAAGTGCTTGGTGTTCGGGACTTTTAAGGGGTTACGAACTTATTGTTTGGAATGACGTCACATAATAGTCAGCACAATTAAGCACCATCGAGCCTGCTGCTTGTTCACAGTTCTCTAGCAATACTGTGCCATATAGAATGCCAGTGCAAGTCCACATCGTGTGGTTTGGCTGGCCCTTTAATGAATTAATGTCTTATGTTTCTGAAAAGGGTGGTGTACATCGTACAACTGTGGACGTAACTCATGGCGTCACTCCCAAGGCCAGAGAGTGTATGGATGGACAGGATTCAGTATCGTAGGGATAATATATTATCAGTCTTTCTATAAACTGGTGCAATGTATTGTTGCTGTGGCGTTGTGTGTTCATGTTGTTCAGCGTTATATCTCACTGGCTCGACAGAAGTTCTCTATACTCTCTTCTTGCATCTACAGTACAAAACCGCCTTCCATGCTAAATTCTATCATTACAGTATATATACATTATGTTGTAGTCTAGTGTCCACTTACTTTTTAAGCAGCTTGGAAGTGAGGCTCTCCAGATCCTCCAGAGTGGTGGGCTCCTCAACCTCCAGCACGCCATCATCCTCCTCCTCGTCCGAAGACTCATCCCGCTGGAACCACTTGGGCTTCTTGGCGGCCTGTTCCTCCTCGGAGTCTCCCTCTTCCTCGGACTCCTCGTCATACTCGTCGAGTTCTCGAAGTCGCTCGATCTCCTTTCGCTTTCGCTTCTTCTCAGCTCGCTTCTGCTTGACCAGCTCCTTGTCACCGACATCAGCTTCCTCCATATCCTTGGTTTCTCGGTCAACAAATTCCTTGACCTGGCTCTCGACGGGTCCTGCAGCCTTGAAATCCTCCTCGTCATCAAACTCGTAGAGAGCATGTGGCGCTCCCTCGTCGTCAAATAGTGTCTTGGTTCCCAGACCCTTGTTTTTGAGCGACTGCTTCTTGGATAATGCCTGCTTGGCCGCTCGCTTAGAAGTGGGCAGGTTGGCGATATCCTCGTCATCATCAGACTCAAGGTTGTGGTCCTGACGCTTGACCGTCATAAAATCTCCAGTCTCCTCATCCTCGTCGGCGTCTCCCTTGACCATGTTGAGATAATGGTCCGACAGGACGTTCTGGTTCTTCCTCTCAAACATTCTGTCCATCTTAGTTCGTACTTCCTTCTCATCGTCAGACACCACTCCGTCATCGCCGGCCCGCATGAGCTTCTGCAGAGCCCGCGACTGGTTCTTCTTGGCGTTGGCTTCTTCCTTCATCTTCTCAGCACTCTTTCCGAGCTTGATCTGTGGTGCACCAGGCAGACCCAGAGACTCCGCAAAGGCCTCGCTGGGGATCTTTTCAAACTGGAAAATCTCCTTGTCCTTCTGGATGAAAATCGACTTGTAGTACGAAATGAAGGCCTTCTGACCCAGGTACTTGATTTCCGGCGACTTGAAACACAGAGCCTGCAGCTGGTTCTTGATGGACTTCTTCTTGTTCGGTCGGATCGTCAGTTTGTTGATGGGGATATGCTTGGCTTCGAGCCGCTGGATCATGGCGGGCTCCTCAGTGGGGGTCAGGAACAGCAGTGCCTTTCCAGACTTTCCAAATCGTGCACTTCGGCCGACTCGATGGATATAGGTAGCGGCATCTTCGGGGCAATCGACCTGAACAACCCAGTGAACAGCCGGGAAGTCGATACCTCGAGCGACGATATCGGTAGCAAACAGACACGAAGAAGAGGCCTTGGAGAATTTGGAAACAACATCCATTCGTGCTCCTTGTTTCTGCTTGCCATGCAAATGCAACAGGGGGATACCGGGCTGCAGAGTTCGGAAGGTCTCGTAGACGTATCGCACCTGTTTTGATGAACTGAAGAAAACGATGATCTTGAACTTGGTGTGTGTTCTCAGGAAACCCCACAGTGTGTCCAGCTTGTCTTGCAGCTCCACGCAGACATAGTTCTGTTCGAGGTTCTTGGGTGTGCTGGAAGTGGTGTCCGGGTTGGCGGAGATGTACTTGGGGTCGGCGAGTGACAAACGGGCCAGATCACTGACGCTCTTGGTCTGTGTTGCGCTGAAAAGCAGAGTCTGTCTGTCCACAGGCAGGTTTTCCAAAATGGCATCCATGGTCTTCTTGAAACCCATATCGAGGATTCGATCGGCCTCGTCCAGCACCAGCATCTTCACGTTAGAAAGATCAAACCCGCTAGTTTGGTCCATGTGTTGTAACAGTCGTCCGGGTGTACAAATGAGAATGTTCAGCTTGGCCAGTCGGTCAGCCTCCATGGCAACGTCCTTTCCTCCAATAACCAAACCAGCAGAGAAGCTGTGACAACGGCCGATTTTTCGCAGAACCTGGAAAATCTGGACCGCCAGTTCTCGAGTCGGACTAATAACCAGGGCTCCTAAACCATCCACATCACTCCACTTGTTTCGAAACAGGCACTCCAACACAGGCACCAGAAACGCCAGAGTCTTACCACTTCCGGTACGCGCTGCTCCAAGCAGATCGTGGCCTTGCAGAGCGGGAGGGATGGCCCGCTTCTGAACATCGGTACAGGTGACATAATGTGAATTTTTTAGACCCTCAATAGTAGCCTCAGACAAGGGCAGCTCCTCAAACTTGGACACCTCCTTGTCGGCCTCGTCCTCTCCAAAGTTGTCGACGCGCTCCTGCAGCTTGGAGAGCTTCTGTTTGTGTTCCTCTCGTTTGATTTTACGAGGATCGGCTCGTTTCTTCATTTTCGCCATATCTCAAGCTGTCGGATAAATTTCTTGGACAAAAAAATCTAACTTTTCGTGCGCCTTCACTTTTATCAGTCTGAAAATTACACATGCATGCAGCTTGGAGTATGGAGGCGACAGAGGTGCATGCCAGAGTGCATGAATTAGGGCAACGGGGGTGTGAAGAAGGGCGCAAAAGATGTGACGACGGTGCAAGACGACGGTATACTGCAGACAAGGTCTTTCACTGCAAAACTCCTGGTTAAATCGTGGGTCCCGCGTCTCCGTATCATATGACTTTGGGTCACGTGACTGCAAGATTTTTAAGGTTTCGAACTCCCAAATTGAGTCACGTGTCGTCTCTCTGCAACATGAGGTATCGTAAATTAGGAATGACTCGACCTGACAGGCCATCAAGGACCCTGATGCAACTCTGAAATTAGAGGGAGGAGGTAATGAGAAACAGTGCTGGATTGTGGTGAGACATTGAAGCGGGATTGGTTAACCTGTTTCTTTTTTGTCGTTTGCTCTTCATTATTGCGATTTTTGTAGTCATTTGATTAGATCAGATCAGCAGTCCCCTCATGCTGTCGTTGATGGGCGCGTAATCAGTGTAACGCTTTGAATGAGGATGGTGTGAGTAATACTGGTTTCAGTGGGGGGGGGGGGGGGTTCTGTTACTCGAAAAACAAATCATATGCATCTCTGAACGTGCCGGGGTGTGGCATGTTTCTCGCTTCGAAAAATAAATGTTGGCTGTTCCAGGCTTGTCTCAGACCTGCAAGAATCATACTGGCGTAATCTCCGCCAGGTCTGGTCAGGAACAAGAGAGTAAAAGAAATGTTTGAGTCTCGGCTTTCACATCCTCGGCACTAGATAAGCAGCAATATCAATGTCACATTGCTTGCTTGTGCAGGTCAGGGGGAGGGGGATGTATATGATACAAGCAGGTTCGCATCTACAGAATCTACAGTATGTATCTGATGATAGCCTTACACAGCGCACGCAGATGTAGTTTTTGGGTTGAACAGTGTCAGCGGAAGCGGCGTAGTGGGGTACTGTAGTACAGAATCAACGGAATGAAGTTTACAACTGCTTCTGTTACTGTAGCCTTTCACTGTTCAAATGATAACGTTGGAGAAGAGTGCACCCTCTGTTAGATAGGATTACAGTCCAGACACACATTGGCACCGAAGTCTGTAGTCAAACATTGGTCTCAGTTGGTGTAATGACATTCAATAGACTGATTCTGCAACTCCTACACCTTGCATTGTACACCCGAGACCCCTTGTACGGCCCGCATTTCTCCTTCACATGTCGGCATGTGTCTTGTCTGTAGCCACTTCAATGGGATGCAGTATTAGCACTGTCGGACACACCTCAGTCAATGGGAATGGAATGCCATGCTCCTAGCGGCTCATTGTTTGCTAGGAAATACAGTTAATAGCACAGATCATACAGATCATAGAGTCTAGGCCCTATACGTCTTAGAACAACCATTATTTGTTTAAGCGACAACTTGGTAAGCGAATTACAGTAAGTAGCTATTGTTTCTATCTCTGTCAGTGTTCGGATAAGTCCTTAGATCACCATACTCAAAGTGGTACGTTTCGTCGCATCGGACGAGAAGTGTGTCTATCACCGTTTCTTTTTGCCGCTCTCATTTTTGCGGTCGGAATAATTACTGTGGACCCTCGGCGCCGACCGTTTTGCAGGGCTCATCAACCTAAAACTTCTCCGAGTCTGTGCCTTCAGGTGGGCATAGTTGATGGGTGTTTTGAAGTTAATAGTGGGGAAGAACTATGGCAAACAAGCAGATGCAGGCACCTTGTAACTGCAGACCGGTTCTTGTCTACCGACTCCGCTGCACCTGTGCCGCGGTACATGTCGTCACAGGCTGCGGGGTTCGGAGGCCCCCTTGCAACCTCCTTTGATAGTTGCTATGGCCCCAAAGAGTTATACGAGATAGACCCACAGATCTACTTGACTGTTGTCACAGAACCTGCTAGGTTTGCTTATTGTACCCGCTTTGTAGCTACTGTACAACGACAACGTCAAAAATTGAGACGCGAACAAACTCCAGATGCAGAACCCAAACCTCTCTCTCAGAGTTTCGAGTGCTTCTACCTCACAGTAAAGTGGAGGTGGACCTGCAAGGGAATTCAGTCACAAGGCCCCGAATGTCTCCGAAACTCCAATCGGACCGTTTAAACAGACTAATATCACGTCATTGATTGATATTAGCATCCGGCAAGAGCCGCAAGGTTATCTCCTCACCAATGAGCCTGTTGTACGGCTCATTCCGCATCTGCGGCTGATTCAGTTTCGAGTGGGGATGGTAGACTTCATTGCAGCATTCCTAACCTTCTACTTGGTCCGTGGAGATGTCATGGACATCGATTTTGGGCTGAGAAGCCTTTTGACGATGTTGATATCACTGACCGCTAATTTACTCTGGCAGTTTCTCCGGCTCTCGAGGCATCGTCGATCACCAAACACTATCTGCTAGTCTAAATGTCCGACACGACAGCTTTTGATCGCCGTGAACGGCGCAGACCTCATGCACCATGCACCAGGGCCAAATCAATTACGGGTCGCTTAGCGTTGCAGTCGGGGCATTATGGTGGAAGTTCCGATACGGCACAGACACATTCCATAGTGGGGGGATTGGATTATAAAAGGGCCATAGAAAGCCCTCAATTGATACCCAAGTACCAGCTCTCCTCACTATGAAGCTTTCCACCATCCTCTTCACAGCCTGCGCTACCCTGGCTGCCGCCCTCCCTTCCCCCATCACTCCTTCTGAGGCCGCAGTTCTCCAGAAGCGAGTGTACACCTCTACCGAGACCTCTCACATTGACCAGGAGTCCTACAACTTCTTTGAGAAGTACGCCCGACTCGCAAACATTGGATATTGTGTTGGTCCCGGCACTAAGATCTTCAAGCCCTTCAACTGTGGCCTGCAATGTGCCCACTTCCCCAACGTTGAGCTCATCGAGGAGTTCCACGACCCCCGTCTCATCTTTGATGTTTCTGGTTACCTCGCTGTTGATCATGCCTCCAAGCAGATCTACCTTGTTATTCGAGGAACCCACTCTCTGGAGGACGTCATAACCGACATCCGAATCATGCAGGCTCCTCTGACGAACTTTGATCTTGCTGCTAACATCTCTTCTACTGCTACTTGTGATGACTGTCTTGTCCACAATGGCTTCATCCAGTCCTACAACAACACCTACAATCAGATCGGCCCCAAGCTCGACTCTGTGATTGAGCAGTATCCCGACTACCAGATTGCTGTCACCGGTCACTCTCTCGGAGGAGCTGCAGCCCTTCTGTTCGGAATCAACCTCAAGGTTAACGGCCACGATCCCCTCGTTGTTACTCTTGGTCAGCCCATTGTCGGTAACGCTGGCTTTGCTAACTGGGTCGATAAACTCTTCTTTGGCCAGGAGAACCCCGATGTCTCCAAGGTGTCCAAAGACCGAAAGCTCTACCGAATCACCCACCGAGGAGATATCGTCCCTCAAGTGCCCTTCTGGGACGGTTACCAGCACTGCTCTGGTGAGGTCTTTATTGACTGGCCCCTGATCCACCCTCCTCTCTCCAACGTTGTCATGTGCCAGGGCCAGAGCAATAAACAGTGCTCTGCCGGTAACACTCTGCTCCAGCAGGTCAATGTGATTGGAAACCATCTGCAGTACTTCGTCACCGAGGGTGTCTGTGGTATCTAAGCTATTTATCACTCTTTACAACTTCTACCTCAACTATCTACTTTAATAAATGAATATCGTTTATTCTCTATGATTACTGTATATGCGTTCCTCTAAGACAAATCGAAACCAGCATGCGATCGAATGGCATACAAAAGTTTCTTCCGAAGTTGATCAATGTCCTGATAGTCAGGCAGCTTGAGAAGATTGACACAGGTGGAGGCCGTAGGGAACCGATCAACCTGTCTACCAGCGTTACGAATGGCAAATGACGGGTTCAAAGCCTTGAATCCTTGCAATGGTGCCTTGGATACTGATGTCACAAACTTAAGAAGCAGCCGCTTGTCCTCTTCCTCGAAACTCTCAAACACAGTCCAGAAGTCCTTTATAGTTTGATCTGTATCCAGATAGCCTCCGTAATTGGTGTGTGTCTTCAAATCCCAGACGTCCACATTGGCATGTCCTCCACTGATAAGCATTTGAAGTTCATCTGCGTTGAACATTGAGACCCACGAAGGGTCAATGAGCTGGTATAGACCGCCCAAGAATGCATCTGTCTGTGTTCTGATACTGGTGTTAAGCTTGAAGTTGGCCACTTCATAAATATATCGAAGATAGTTGGCCTTAGTGACAGGTACTTCGCTTCCGTTTCGAATCAGATCACGTGTTCGAACATTGCCTTCGGAGTCAGCGTAATCGATTGAAAATGTAAGACCAAGATCGGCATCTCCCTGAGTGGCGTAAATCTGTTTCAGCGATGCAAGACTCTCGTAGAGGTTGGGGTCCAGAGAATACAGATCGTCAATCGACGACCGCATACTTCCTTGTGTCCACTTTTGAAGGAAGAACGATGCAAAGCCGTGCTCAATAAGAATGTTCTCGTAAAGGCCCTTTCCCACCAGATTTCCCAGGAATGCAAGTTGTTTAGTGTCATGGGTAGTCGGGTTGGGGTAAAGAAGGTGGTTATCGGTAGCGGCAAAAAGTCCTCGAGAAGTGTTGAATGCATCATCTGTGACAGAAGTGAGGAACTCCTTCGTCAAACCTCCACCATCAATACCTGCCTCGGGACCAAAATCGTTGAAGAATCGAATCGAAAGAGGTTTCTTCAATTCTGAGCCGTAAGAATACAACTTTTCATAAGCCGATTCAAACTCTCTGCCCCGAATAACAGGAGCATCGATACCCATTCTTCCAGTATGATGCATCAGAAACACATCTTCACTGCCCATAACGTTGCTGTGATCTTCTGCCTTGAAAGCCTCGAACAATGTGACACGGGTGTTGAAAGGGATAAAGAAAGGCAATTGCGAGAGAATTGTTCTGTTTCGGGACCTCATAGCTGACAGAGATGGTCTGGACGCCATTCTTCTGCTTGCTGTCGTCTCCACACCATGCTCTTGGCTCAGTCGCATCTTCTCTTCCTCCACGAGAGACTTGATAAAGCTAGTATCGACATGTAGTCTTCTGACCAGCCAAAATCCCTTTGGCAAGAAAGGTCGCCGGGAATCACGAGCATAGACCTGACGTAAAACTGCAATAATCAGGTTGCACTCTATTTCGTTGGTGATCATGGCCACACACAGATTCTTGAGCACCACCATGAGGTTTTCAATCTCTGAGAATCTGAGCAGAGTAGTGGCTTGGTCACGGAACTCATGGTCGAGTGTGACAATAAGCCAATAAGAGTAGAGCTCCAGAAGTAACGTTAAATGCAAATATTGAGAAGACTCCAAAAACTCAGAAACTTCGTTGGCAGACATGGAATCACGGTAGAGCTTCTGAATGGGTCCTGATTCGAACAGACTCTTCCAGAGCACTCTTGCGACTGGAGGGTTATCAATAAGAGACAGCTGTTGAAGAACTTGCTGCTTTCGCTCTGGGTGAATGCGGAGAAGACTGACAAGAACTTGTGAGACGTCTGTGTAGTTGTACTTGTCGAGAATCTGAGTCACAAAGTTCACAGAGTACAGAGGTTCCAGTCTCTCCAACAGTTCTTCAGGAATATCACCAAATGGCACTGAAGATAGAACCACCGACAAGGCAGGGATGAACTTGTCGCCACCAATCTGGGTCATGTTGGACAGGATACCAACAGCCTTGTTCTTCGGAAGTCGCGCAAACTTACAGATGGTGTCCAGAACCACATTTATGAGATCGATTCCTTGCCAGTTAACTTCCTGGGTCATGTAGTCGAGCACAAACCCTGCGGGATTTCTGCGACCCTGTTGGTTTAGAGCCTCTGGAGTGACTTCAGAAACCCTGGCTGCCTTGAAGAAGCTGGGGATGATGACGGGGTACTGAGCGATTGTCGACAGTATCGTAGATGCATTTTTGTGTCCGTTGGAGATGATCCATTTGCAAACCTCCTCTCCAAGCTCCGACCATTGCTCCGGAGCAGCATTCAGCTCTGAACATTGTTGCAGAACTATCTTAGCCTCCTCCATGTTCAAGGTCCTCCAGAAGTAGATGGCCTCCTGGACGGAGTCTGGACTCTGCAACCATTTCTCCTTCAGCGCCAGTCGCTTGGGGCGCACTTCCTGCACCTGCTTTCTCCAATACAGCTGGATCTGTTTTGCAGCCTCGTCCTGCTTACGAGCCTCTTCTCTCTTGCGTCTATCGTCGGCTGCCTTCTTGAGCAGCGACTCTCTGTTGGCCGTCTGTCGGCCCCGGCCTCCTAGGTTGACCTGGCGGGCTCGTCGCGTGTCGCCTGTGAAGTTGGTGAACATGTTGACGCACAGTTAGGGGCAAACCGAGTCTGATATGTGCGACCCAGTGTTGAGATCGCAGGTTACAATAAGCTTTGTCTCACGTGATTGATAAGCATTTCGGGTAAATCGGTAATGTTACGGAGGTTTGTAGTCGCCACCGCCACATTACTTGGAAAGAAAAATGCATTCGCTACCAGCATGTTATACTACTTCTGCTGTACGATATTTGTAACAGTGTTTGGAATGTTCGTGAACTTTCGCTGTAAACATAGACTGGCAATACAATCATGATTATGTAATAAGGCAGCAGAACAGAAGTAGCGCCTACTGTATGCTACAAGTACATATGGTACAGTATGTACAGTACATACAGTACACAGTATATACATATATTTTACGAACCGATCACATGACAATAAACCTGCTACGTTTACTGCAATTATCCTCATCGTTTTCCGTTAACATGTATTCACAGCTACAGTAGATAGCTTTTTGTTGTTATTCTCATCCTTAATTGAGTATCAAAATGAGCTGAAGTAACCTCCCAAGTAAGGGCTCCCAAGTAAGGGCTCCCAAGTAAGGGCTCCCGAGTTAGGGAGTAAGATTTTCAGGTCTACGCCACTAGACACTCCCAAAACTGTTGAGTATGGAGTCAAGACACTGATAGCATCCTTGCGACTGCACCTATGCCTTTTCGTTCTCCAGAACTCCGCAATGGATGTACTTGGCCTCAATAGTCATTTCCCACTTGTCCAGAGTCTCCAGCTCGTGGTTCTCGAGATCAGCGAGAGTGTCGAGAGGCTGGTCAATGGGTGTGAGCATGGCTGGGTCAAAAGAGGTCTTGGCCAGTCCTCGAGAAGCGTCTCGACCGGCAAAATTCTCATAGGGACCCCCAGGTCCGTAGAACTTCTTGCCTGCAGTCACGTCGTAGACCTTACCCTTGACTCCCATGAGGACTCGGGGATCGTCGGTGCCGTTAAACTTGGCCAGAGTTCGGGGGGTATAGGAGGTGAAGACCAGAGGAGGCAGCTGCTCGCCTTCGTCCTCCTCAATCACCTCTGGTGCGGGGAACAGCACCTTTCGAATGATGATGAATGCCACAATGAGAGAAAGGCCAATGTTGACCAGAAACATGGCGTCATAACCAAAGATTTGAGTCATTGCGATTGTGCGTTCTGTTGTGTGTGTGGGAGAGAGTGTGTGTTGTTGGATTGAATCAAGGCGATCAGATGTTCATAAACAGAGTCAACTGCTTAGACATGCATGCATGTGAATACAGTAATAGAATTTCTGTGACTGGTGGGCCATGTGGGGTGGAATGTTGTAGAAGAGACTGCAAGCTAAGCAGAGTAGATTGGGGGATAACCTCTGAAGTGACCACGTGATACTCTTGGAGATCACTTTTCCGCCACTTTTGCCCCCTCCAAAAGGCTCCTTGTCATCGCTACTCGTGTTATACCCGCAGTTGTATGTCTACACTCGCCTATTATTCCCGATCTCCCAACGGCCACATCCCCACATAAACCATCTTCGTCTTCAAACCCAAAAAATCAAAGTTGCTTGTGATTGATTACAATTGAGCTACAAGTGCAATACAAGTACCAGTACTGTACCAGTACTCGTTTCAAACCAGTCAGATGCATTGTTTTACCGTATTTCCTAAATATTTCCGTAAATCTTGTAGATTCTGTGTGCAGCATTCTGCATAAGCTCCTGAGCCTTGGCGTGGCGCTTGAGCCGCAACTGGTCCCGAATGTTGCCAAACGTGTACCACTCGAAGTCCTCTTGGGGAACAGCCTGGGGTGAAAAAATGCAATGTTGGGCCCAAGACCGAGGCTCCTCAGGCGATCGAGGCTCAAGAAGACGAGACTCAAACTTTCGAAGCGCAATGTTGTTCGAATGTCGAATCGCAGCATTGTTGGGGAACTCCATGGCCCGAGTGATCTCAGAGTACTGGGAAGTGGCATCAATGAACTTCTGCGAAAATGTCTCAACACGAGCAACAGCAGCATCGAGCCCCCGGAAGTCATGGACAAAGTTCGGGTCAGCCTCTTCCGAGTACTTGATAAGATCATCGACATATGATCGCATCTCAGAGGCGTAGTATGCAGTGTCAATGGGGAGAACGGGGTCATCGGCAGATGACAGCGCCAGTCGAACTACAATCTCAACCATGGCCTTAAGATAGTCGATCGAGTCGGGAAGGAACTCGTCTCTCCAGCCCACAGTGTCCTTACAGGTGTCATGAGGGAAAGAGCTACCCTTGAAGCCAACATCGATACTGGGAATACCACAGGTACTGAGAAGACCCATGTAGTCTCCAGCCTGTCGGAACTGCTTAACGCGCTTTTCGGGCCAGTGGTCGACAAACGATTCATTCTGAGGGGACTTGACCTCAACAAGAGCCTTTCGCACAATGTTGTTGAAGTAGGGGTGTCCATGAGCTTGGAACTCAGAGCCAGTGACAGCATCAGCCACGTTAATGTATGCCGTGGTCTCGTCACAAAGGTCGTGCCCAAAGACAATGGGTCGCTCGTTGGAACCAGCAAAGCCTTGCTTGGATCCATCCCAGGAAGCAAAGGTGATGGTTCGCTCCGGGTACCACTGAAGATGCTGAGTCATACCAGAGATGATTCGGGCAGCCTCAAGCATCACAATCTGGCCAGACATGGGGTCCATGGCTCCGAAACAGGCAGCGTCACGGGCACTTCCCACAATGACATTGAGATCAGGTTGCTGGTTACCCTCAATTCGACCAAAGACGTTCCACAGGGGATGTTGCTCGTCAGTCTTGACGTTGTTTCGGACCTTGATACGCACGTTTGACTTATCGTCACCCGAGTAACGAACACCGTCGTTATCGTACCGAGCCCCTGACTTGAGCTTTTGAAGCACAGGAGCCACGTCCTTAAGAGAAGCAGGCACAACAGGGATCTTGGAACCAGCAGTAGCGTCTCCAGGATCAACGCCCTTGCTCGGTCTGTAAGAACGCGGTCCTCCTGGGAAGTTGACAAAGCCAGGAGACATGAGAACATTGGTAGTGGTATCTCGTCGAACGGCATCAGCGTTCTCAGGGTCGTTGGAAAACACAACGACGGCAGCAGCACCATGGTACTGGGCGGTTTGCACCTTCAGGCCAGTAGGCACGTTGTTGTAAGCCACAAACACGATAGCACCTTCCAGTTTGATGCCTGCGGCTTCAAGCGCCTTGAAATCGGCGTCAGTTCCGTAGTTTGCGAAAATGGCGTGACCCTCAGCTTCTCCAGGGTGTGAGTTTGCCATGAAGGCAGGTACCGAGTTTTCCTCGGGGGTCTGCCCAAACTGGTCTTCTCGTTTTTGGTTGCCCTGCTCCCCCACAACTTCCCATCCCACCTGTCCGTTGTCAGCCATGACCACATATCCCTTGATCTCCTTGACTTCCACGTTATCAAGGTTGTATCTCTTGAATTCGTTGGCCACGTACTTTGCCAGCGTCAGATCGCCACTAGTTCCTGCAGCGTGCGTCATGCTGCTCATGTAGTCGAGTCGCGACTTCATTTCCGACGACTCCAGCACCTCCCGCATGTAAGTGAGGAGGTCCTCACGCGTTGCCATGGCGTCTGGCAGGCCAAACGAGTTTCTGTTGTTGGGCACAAGGCCAAATAGAATGGCCAAGATGACAAACGTGGACACAAACACCAGATAGACGAGCCGCTTGAGAATGAGCGGATTTCCCCAGCGGGCCAGCTCCACGTCCATGGCCACGCTGCATTTGTGCCAGAAGCGGGCCACGGGATCCAGCAGCTGTTTTACTGGTGTGAAGAGTTTTGACGAGTATGTCGCCACGTTTTGAGCGACTTGTTGCGCTCTTGCGAGGGTTGATGTGCTTGCGTTGGGATGAGAGCCTCCAGGAAGGGGTCCGCTGGGGGAGTCGTCGAGTTCAAACTGCTCGATTTCGAACGACGAGTCACGCGATTCGTGCAGCAGGTTCTGTCGCGATTCATCGTCCTCTGCGTCGTACACGGGGGGTGGCGAAGAAGGGGTTACTTGGGCCATTTCTTCCACAGTCATGATGTGATATAAATAAAGGGGCAGTGAGGTGTCGTTAGTGGCGGTGTTGTTTTAGGAGGCAGTCTCTGAGCAGTCGTCCGTTTAATTTTTGAGTCGTAAAGAGTGTGATGCTAGTCCCGGTAGTCGTGGTTGTACCGTTGTCGTCCCCCTAAGTGTATGATGTAATGTGATGTTTGATGTTTGATGTGTGATGTTACAAGCAGACACGACAACTGGCGGCCTGCATGAAGCGCAGTCTACAGGAGTGACGGACGGAACCGTGTAGAGATGCCAAGGATGTCACGGAAGCAGATTAACGCGGAGATAGGAGAAGGAGTGGGGGGCGGCTTCAGGAGAGGGGAGCCTCACTGTGGCCAATAAATCTGCACTAGCCAGAAATATCCGGGGGGGGAAGGGGGGGAAGGAGGTTGCGCGGTCACGTGATGCCCGAGAATATGCCGCCTTGATGGCGGGAGTATTTCTGCACAGCTTGCGCATGCCTTATCGGGCCAGGGTTTACGAGTTTGGCCGTTTGGGACTGGTTGGTTAGGTTTGGAGGTTGGGAGTTGGAGTTGGGGTTGGGAGTTGGAATTTGGAGCCGGAATTTGGAGCTGGAATTTGGAGCTGGAATTTGGAGCTTGGACTAGAGTTGGAATTGGGATGTCATAATTTCGCCACAGAGTGAGACCTTAAAAGTGGGATGAGTGGGATGAGTAGGATGTGGGATGGGATGTGGGATGTGGGATGGTATGGTGGGTTGAACCTCTCAACTACAGAGCAAACAATATCGGGCTGAGGAAATAACGAGCAGCAAAAGTTGACAGAATGGAAAGCCAGCGAGTCGAAAAAAGGGCATGTTAGAGGTCGAGTCCGAGTAATGTATCGTATGCTACTTGTAGAACCAACAATCCGCTACACACCTGATGACGCTGGAACACACTAATTATAGCAAGTGGGCTTGTAAACAAGTGCCGGTCTGAAGCGCCCATTTCCCGCACACATGGTGAGAAGCCAAAAGTAGTGGTGCATAAATTGGAGCCATTTGAACGGGGTGGGACTCCAAGAATGCACACTATTCTTCTCCAGAGCTAACAAACCACCATTTTTTGAGCAGCCAGCACGTTTGGGAGACTTGTGGCGTGTTGTATATCCAGCCCAAAATACTCGCCCCCGTCCACCATACCACCAGTAACACTCGTGCAAGTAACGCAATTGTTGTATTGTCAACATAACTCTACAGCCCCACCTCTCCCGATGAGGTAGAAGGCGAGCGTCACAATAACGTCGTGAAAATCCCAACTGCAGTGGTGATTAAAATTGGCCCTCCTTTTCCACACTTGGCCATGCTAATGTCCGAAACGAGTGGACATATCAGGACTGATATGGAGAATGTCTCTAATTATTATCAATACGACGTCTCTGTCTCACTTGTGGTATCCTTTCAGTCCACAAAATCCCTGCTTCCTTGTGCTTGGATACTCGTACTCGGACCGGTAGGTGTGACGTCATTAGTTCGGTTGGCTGGAGGGTGTGCGAGTACGAGTTCACTCTGCACATACCCCGTCTAAACCCACCTCAAACACTAGTCCAAGCTACCCCGGCAGGGTCCGTGACCCCCCTGTCGGCCGGTGTCCATTCAACACCTCTCCAGCCATGGGGTAGACGATAGCGACCCCCAACTGTGTCTATTCATTCCATATGAGGAATACCCCCCGGTCCGCTTCGGTGCGTAGAGTTTGCAATATTCCCGTTTTCCTGCTTTCCATCTCAATGTCTGCAAGCGACTCTGGCATAATCCCTCGCCCAAACCCTGTTGCTATGGTTAGAGTATTTGTTCCGGGGTTGAAAAGTGGAGTAAACGAGCGGGGGAGGGAGACACATTTCGCTCTTGCAGTCCGCTTCACATGCTCCATCTCCTCGTCCATGTAGCATTATTGGGTATGCTACGACTCGTCTAAGCTGGCCAGTTTTCCCCACCTGCCCCTCCCCTCACCCCTGCTCGCCTCTGGGAGGCAGCGACCTTGAGAGCTTGTTCAGCCACCGACAGATATAACCTGAAAAAGACAGCAGTAAAATGCTGCATCGCCAGTCTGCATCGAGGACAAGGGCTAGACCCGGGGATACCACTACCCCAGTCATATTGACCTAATGACGTTTAACTCCATTGTTGGCGCTAAAATAGAATCCTTAACGGCATTCAAAAAAGAGAGACAGCCCGTCGCCGGCACCCCAACGGGCCCGGCAGCGGGAGACAGCCCAGTATATATATCCCACAAGCAATGATCAGCGCTTTTTAATGAACCAATATGCGTTGAAGAGCCGTCGCCCAAAGTTGCAGTCAACTTAAACCCTCCTCCCTTGTCCGAGCCGCGTGAGATGCGTCTCGACGCATGACAGATGCTTAACACTGCGCAGTCTGCACGTGTGGACTGCAGATATCACTATAGATTGGCCCTTTGTTTTTCCCTCACTATGGCCTTAGCGTTCAAGTAGACCCCAAAAATGCTAAAGACCATTGTTAAGAGAAAACTCTGGGAGCGTCGTGGGACAAATAAACAGGCTCAAGTGCAGTCTGCCAAATATTCGTCCTTCAGCAGCTTGAGCTCGCTTGTACGGTCATCGCTTAAACCCCCGCTTTTGTCGTATCCGCCTACCCCTCTCATCGTTGTCTCACCATGACAGAGCCGCAATCCATAGCCCTGTCAGAAACTCTACAACCACCTAGCTCGACTTCCTAGGCTAAAGCCATTAAGCCTCAGCTACACCTTCCGATGTGGTGTGGGGCTGGAGTATAAAGTCCTTTACTCTGCTCAGATGGTACGGCCGTCAAACACCATGTTTTCTTCACTCCTTTCGCTAGTTTCACTCATTACACTGGTCTTGGCCCTGGACCTGGACCCCAACTCGTCGCAGTCTGTCAACAGCGACTCCAAGCTCATCGCCAAGGGTCTTCTCGACTACTACGCTGGCTCCCATTATGGAGGCACCATTGGCATGTTTGTCCAGCCGTACTACTGGTGGCACGCTGGAGCTGCCTGGAACACCCTGGTGGAGTACTGGGCCATCACTGGTGACGACACCTACCTTGACACCACTCGACAGGCTCTCATTTCTCAGCGAGGCGAAAAGTACGATCTTATGGTCGCAAACTTCTCTACTTCCGAAGGTAACGACGACCAGGGAGTCTGGGCACTCACCATGATGGCTGCAGCCGAACGGGGATTCCCCGAGGCCAATGACGGACACACTTGGCTTGACGTGGCCAAGAACGCCTTTGCTACAATGGTTGGCCGATGGGACCTGCACTGTGGCGGTGGTGTCCGATGGCAGATTTTCTCTTCCAATAACGGTTACGACTACAAGAACTCTGTCTCCAACGGTGCAGTCTTCTCTCTCGCTGCTCGTCTCTACTACAACACCGGAGAGAAGGTCTACCTGGAGTGGGCCGAGACTGCCTGGGAGTGGCTGTGGAACTCTGGACTCATTGAGCATGACACCTACCGAGTCAACGATGGCCTTGATGTTGACGACTGTTCTAAGATCACCCATTTCCTGTGGAGTTACAACGCCGGTATGCTCCAATCTGGTACTGCCTATCTTTTTGCTGCTACTGGCGACAACGACTGGGACACTCGAGCTCGAAACTTCTGGAGCTCGGGAAAGAATGTCTTCTTCGATAACAAGATCATGCTTGAAATTGCCTGCCAGCAGGACTCCATCACTTGCAACAACGATCAGCGAACCTTCAAGGGTATCTATGCCAATCTTCTGGGTCTGACTGCCGAAGTCCACCCTGGTCTTGCCGATGAAATCATTGACTATCTCACCACCTCTGCCAAGGCTGCTGCCAACACCTGTTCTGGAGGTAGCGACGGCCATACCTGTTCTCTCGACTGGGTCTCCCAGAAGTACGATGGCAACTGGATTGGTCTTGGAGAGCAGATTTCCGCTCTGTCTGTGATTCTCAACTCCCAGGCTCTCAAGGTCCATGCTGCTCCTCGAGCCAAGCAGAACCAGAACAGCGTTCCTTCCGACCAGGCTGATCTGGCACCTGCCCAGTCGCTCTTCTCCTCTGCGGCTCCCAGCAGTTCTGCGGCCCCCAGTAGCTCTGCTGCCCCCTCCTCCTCTTCGGCACAAGACACCCGAGTTTCATCCGCTGTCATTGTGTCTAGTTCTGCAAAGCCAACCACCCTATCTACCCAGGTGGCTGTTCCTGCCCCTACCGAGCCCGCCCAGTATACTGGTGATGGAAGCGATGTCGCCGCTGGTCTAGGTCTGCTGGCCTTACTTGGACTTGGCGTCATTTTGATGTGAGTATTACGACAACTACTAACCCCAAAAAATGATCAAGACGTTCTTGATTAATCTACATTTTAATTTTTCATTTTGGTTTCTTTTTCATGTTCGACATCTACTTTTCAAGTGGCTTCTTTTTCGCATTTTTCTTGGCACTCTTCCTCTTCATTCCTCTTCATTCCTCTTTATTCTCCTTTATTCCTCTTCTTCCCTTTCTCTTCTTCGTCTTCCCTTCTCTTCTTCTTGTCTTTGACTTCTTCATGTCTTTGACTTCTTCCTTCTCTTTTCTTACTCCTTTCTTCTTTTTTCCCGCACACCGACTTGTGTCGCTCAGCGTCCGTAGCTAACCCAGCCCCCACCTCACCAACTCCACCTCCACTTAATTAGTGTTGACAGTAACCGCTCGACGGTATTCTATGCCGTACCTCCGCTCTGTGCAATCTTCTAGAGCCCTCCCCCTCGCTTTCATATTCTTGTCTATACTAACCATTTACCTGCTGGCACTCTGCTCCTTCGTTATCACAGGTGCTAGTTTTATTTCAGTATTTATAACCTATATAATCTCAATCACGATCTTATGCCCTCACACTTCCATGTCCCTCAATTAATACTGATTTCATAAGGGCAGCCCGTGGGCGTATCGATAGTTTATGTGTTATACGGCGTGTGCAGTTTATGGAGGGACAGTGGTTATGGGCAGAAGATGTATAAGAGTTACAGTAGATACAAGTCGATGTAATTTCCAACCACACCAACAATGCCCTTTCTATCTAACCATCCCTGTGACTCCACCAGCTTTTCAGAGTTTTACGAGAGTGATGATATCAGGGACGCTTTCTACAGCAAGCCCAATACCATCTTCAAGCGTGACTACGTCGTTGGGCTCAACAGAGAGAAGAAGGCCTGTCTTCAGGCCGAGATAACCAAGAAATACAACTCTCAAAAGACAGGACGGCTAGGCTACCTTCCTGTTGCCAAGTGGACATGGTACGCCATTCGGTACTGTGAGCTCTCTAGTCCCATGAATCTCCTTGCCGGTAAAGAGCTCTGCTACCGCAAGCCCCCCAACAATGAAAACGTTGCCTTAGCCCGACCTACTGTTTCCTTGAAACGCAGCAAGCGGGTCAAGCGAAACAATCGACCTGGCCGTCTGAGAGCCATTGCTGTTATGATGGCCGAAAACAAGCAGCTGGAACGGGACTACACACTCTTTTCTCTGCCTGTGAACCTCTATCATTTAGTCGAGCTGGCCAGTGCACATGAAGAGACAATCACCAAAACTGCGGCTCAGCGAAAAGTTATCAAAAGAGAAAAAGAATTGCAACTCGAGCGAAAACAAATGGAACACCTCCGGTCCTCTAAAAAGGAGTTCCTTGTTGAAGGTATGGCCTAAGCCTAAGCCCAAAAAGTTGGGATCTACCCGTCTGTGTATTATAGTAGATATTGTATTATAGTGAAGAATAAGTGAAAACGTAGTCATATCAAGTGTTCTCCGGTGCAAAAAAGTCATGGACGACCACACACATACCATTCGCTTCGCCCATGATGTATGCTCATGTTTAAGTTGAACCATGCTCCGCTATCTCCGAACGGCCAATAAAGTTTCGGGTACACACCATGATGCAGTTCACGTGATGAGACGCGCATCTTTGGAATTACTTATGGCCAAAGACACACCAGTCGTAACATACCACCACAACGCCAACCATGCCGTACAACATTGCCATGGTATCGGACTTCTTCTATCCGCAACCGGGTGGGGTGGAATTGCATGTCTACCAATTGTCTCAACGACTCAAACAACGTGGCCACTCGGTAGTCATCATCACACACGCATACGACAGCCGAACAGGAGTGCGGATCCTCACCAACGGAATTAAGGTGTACTACGTGCCGTTTTTCGTGCTCTATCGAAACTCCACCTTTCCCTCAGTCTTCTCTGCATTCCCTATTCTTCGAAACATCTTCATTCGCGAAAATATTGACATTGTGCACGGCCATGGATCTCTCTCGTCTCTGTGCCATGAAGCCATTTTGCATGCAAGAACCATGGGCATGAAGACCGTGTTTACAGACCACTCTTTGTTTGGTTTTGCTGACGCGGGAAGCATCGCTGGAAACAAGGCTCTGAAATTCACACTGTCTGATGTTGGCCATGTAATCTGCGTGTCTCACACCTGCAAGGAAAACACAGTGTTGCGAGCATCTCTGGACCCTTCAATTGTCAGTGTCATTCCCAACGCCGTCGTCTCTAAAGCATTCACCCCTGATCCAACCAGAGCAGACCCCAATTACATCACCATTGTTGTCATATCACGTCTCTACCCTAATAAAGGAGCCGATCTGCTCACCGTCATCATCCCACGAATCTGCGCACTCCACCCACGCGTTAAGTTCCTCATTGCAGGTTCAGGACCCAAGGAAATCGATCTGCAGCAAATGAGAGAACGATACAGACTGCAGGAGCGAGTCGAGCTGATTGGTAGCATTCGACACGAAGAAGTGCGTGATCTCATGGTCACAGGAAACATTTATTTGCATCCAACTCTGACGGAGGCCTTTGGAACCGTCATTGTTGAGGCCGCTAGTTGTGGTCTACTTGTGGTCACTACAGACGTTGGTGGCATTCCAGAGGTGCTGCCCTCGCACATGACAGTATTTGCCAGCCCCTCGGAAGACTCACTGGTGGACTCGACTATGAAAGCGATTGCGATCTTGGAGAAGAAGGAGGTCGACCCAACCACTTTTTACAACGAAATCAAGGGCATGTACAAGTGGTCGGAGGTCGCAAGGAGAACTGAAAAGGTCTACGACTCAATCAATGAGGAATCGTTGAATGAGCCACTGTTGGACCGACTGGCAAAGTTCTATGCGTGCGGGGAATGGGCTGGAAAACTCTTTGTCATTTGCGTATGCGTCGATGTTATGTTATATGCTATACTGGAGTTGTTTTGGCCTAGACACACCATTGACCGAGTAAAACCTTGGCCTCGAGTCAAGTCTGGAGAATAATCTATTCCAAAAGCATGGCCTGATATCTCTCAAACTGCAGTCTTTGCTGTGCTGCGACATGTTTGGATAGCTGATTTCGAGGTCTCCAGCCAGTGGGATTGTCGTCGAGCTTCAACGGCGTGGCTGCTTGTGCCAGCTTCTGTAGCTGATGAAAAGCGGCCTGCGTTTTCAGAGGCAGATAAGGATGGGCTTTGACAATTGGGGGTTTCAGGTCTTCCATCCAATCGAGGTCGTCTCGACCCTTTGAGTTCTCCAGAGTCAGGTGTCGGACCGTCTGGCGCAGGCTCTGAAGCTCGGTTTCCATCTGAGACTGATGGAGCGTATTTAAATGCATATCTACTATATCTTCCCCCTTGAGCGTAGACAATTTGAGTCGGTTTTGGACATGAGTCTTGAACCTTTGGGCATCGGCGTTCTTCTGCTCCAGCTTGGCCTTGAGACTCTCCACATCATCACGAAGTCGTTTCTCCGTAAGAGCAGCTTCATTGAGGTTGGCTCGGAGTTGCACAAATGCCTCTTCCTTCTCGGCGAACCGTTCGGCTTTTGAATCGTAGTGCTTAATCTTGATCTCCAGAGTCTCAATGGTCTTCTCTTTCTTCAGCAGCACAGCCTTGAGATGCAGGACATCAGCAGAGGTATCTACTATGCTCTCCTCTTGACTCTGTCTAGGCTGTAGCTGAGCCCAGGTAGGTAGATCGTTATTCTGAGAGACGGAGAAGTCTAAAGTAGACAGCTGTTCGGTAAGCTTGATGATATCCTTCTCCACAGCCGACAAGGGTTTGCTTGAGGACCGTTTAAAGATGGCTGTGTAGGCAGAATCCGGATCGTCGTCATGTAGAAGTTGCATGGCAAAGACCGAGACATCAGAGAGTGTTTGGACGGCATTATCAATGATGGGGCTTGGAACTCGAGCAGTCTTGTCTTGGTTATCGATCCAGTACTTCAATTTGGAAAGAGAATTGGCACAGCTCCTGTGCCCGAGCTGTTTGAGTAACAGAATAGACACACGTGTGTGTATAGCCAGTTTAGACATGTCCAAGTAGGTTCTGTTGTAGTCTGTTTGTGTAGATAGAAAGTCGTCAAAGGTCTGAATGAATACAGGAACCATGTTCACAGCTTCGTCCACAAGCAGGGCCCCCTCGCTGACAGTATCGATGTAGGAGTTCACCGATTGCTCCAGCTGCTCAGACTCTCCATGTAGAAACGGCGCATCGACATCTGGACGCCATTCTAGCAGAGTAGCTAGAGTGTGTGCCAGGGCAGAGACGTGAGCTAGTTTTAGAGCCAACCGTAGTTGCTGCTCCTCCACAGATGTCTCATCGTAATCTGCACCCAGAATCGTCTCAACTATGATAGACAGTAAGGCCGCTGTACGCTTAAATCGCAAATGCGCAGAAACAACCACATCCACATCGCTTCCTGGAGTAGTGATGGGACTCTCCGCTGCCGTCAGAAAGTAATGCCAGATAGCCAGCTTGTCCAAAGCCTGTTGAGATGACAGCTTTTCCATTTCCAAAGCAATCTCTTGGTTGCGTGTAGATGCCACTAAGGATTGGAGTTTCTGGTTCATCTCCATGACTGTCTTTACATGCGACACCATGGACTCGTTGTCGTGCTGTTTTTCACGGTGTTTTGTCTCCCACAATTCAATCTCGGCTTGCAAGTCTGCTACAACCTCTCGAAATCTCATGACGCTCTGTTCAAGGTTCTGTTGGCGATTATGTGCATCGTTGGTTCGTTTCTCGGCGTGATTCAGCTCAGATTCCAGATAGGCGATTTCCTGGTGAAGTTGCTTCTGTGTGGCTACGTGGCCTGCCTCTAACTCATCATTCAGCTCCTTAAGCTCCTCCAGCTCGGCCACTGTAGCCTGCAGCTTCTCCACTGACTCTGTAAGAGCCAGGTTTTTCTCCGTCAGAGAATCGATCAGCGTCTCGGACACCATGACATCATCCAGCTGGGCTCTCAGTTCATGTAGGGTAGCCTGGGTTTCCTCAAGCCGCTTCTCAGAGCTTTCCAGCTGCGATTGAGTCAATGAATAGTCTGTAAGTTTGGAGTTCAGTTGCTTGATCTGTTCATTGAGAGATGCCTCCTGAGCCGTAGAGTAGTCTCGTAGACTCACAAGAGCCGCTTCAAGCTGGGCGTTTCGTTGAATGGCAGCCTCATCAGCTGAGTCGATTCTCTCCGAAGGCACGTTGAGCTCTTGTCGCAGTTCCTCCATTTCTCGTTTGGCAATCTCCAGCTTTTCTTCTGCCATTTCTCTGTCAAGAGTAGCCATCTCCAAAGCGTCTTCGTGCTGTTCCAGCTTCACCTTGGCATGGGCATGTTCATTGGAAGTCTTGGTGAGATCGGCGCGTAGCTGCTTGACCTCGTCACTCAGGGGACGCAGTTTACTCTCCAGCTTGGCGACAATTGTCTCGAGTTTCTTTTTTTCACGCAAATCTGTCTGAAGTTGCTGAATTTGTTCTCGCTCAAGCTTTCTTTTGCTATCTGTGACACGTAGCTTGGCCTTGAGACTCTCCACCTGCTTGGCCAAAGCTGTAGACGAGTCTGAGACGTCTGACATGGCCGACTGGGGTCGTTGAGACGGTCTAGGCACCTCTGGAGGCGGCATGAGGTCTGCGTCTGTCTCCACTTGTGGTCGTCTCACAAACTTTCCCGATGTTCCTTTGCATTCAAAGTACCGAACTCCCTGGACGCTGCCGTCATTGTTTCCCTGTCCCTCAACCATTTCCACTCCAATCCACTCTCCCGTGGAGAACTGAGTGGGTCCGATGAATCGGACGTGCGCCGGCACTCCCTTGACCCGCACGCGATCTCCGACTTTCATGTGTGCAAGTATCGTACAGTAGCAGTGGTGCTCGTGATGTGTCGCAGTGTCGTGGAGGTAGATATTCGGACTGCATGCCGACGGTAAATGAAATATCCTAAATTTGTTAGTTAGTTAGTTAGCATAGTTAAGTACTTCTGGTAGCTATAACACCCTATAAAATAACGGCCCGACACGTGATTTTGGCGTACTAAATTCTATGTAGTTTTCTCGCCCATATCAACTTCCAAATCGACTCTTCAGGACCTCACTTTTGCTACTTGTAGATATGATTATTCTGCATTCGCCATCTATAAACAAATCCCATCCACCAACCTACATTACAATACATGTATGCGTAGACAATGCACAACGAGTTTAGGCTAAAACGCGTCTCGTTTATTCCCACAACCTATCACCACAGTACAAACACAACCCCCACAATCACCATAATGCAGTCGGCACGACGAAAACAGACGGCGTTCCCCTCTCGGGGCGTGGCTGCCACCAAGCGAGAATTATCTGCGGATCAACGACAAGAGATCCAGGAGGCCTTCGACCTGTTCGATGCCCATCAGAACCGAGCTCTGGACTTTCATACCCTCAGAGCAGCCATGCGAGCACTCGGCTTCGAGCTCAAGAAGGCTGAGGTGCTGCAGATTCTGGACGAGAACGACACGACACAGCAGGGCGTGATGACGTGGGAGGCGTTTGAGCAGGTTATGACACAGATGATTCTGGACCGAGACCCGCTGGAGGAGGTCAAGCGGGCCTTCCAGCTGTTTGACGAGGACAACACCGGTATTATCACTATCAAAAACCTGCGAAAGGTGGCCCGAGAACTCAACGAAAATATCGACGAGAGTGAACTGCAGGCCATGATTGAGGAGTTTGACCTTGACCAGGATGGAGGAAGTGAGTATGAGTGAAAGAGAGCTGATGGAGCATCACAAAGAAGAAGTCTACTAACACAGTCAATCTCGAGGAATTCATCGCCATTTGTACCGAAAACTAGCTTATTTAATCTAATGTATTTTTATCATCCACAGCTGGTGGAATTGTGTGGATGTACATGTGTTTAACGTATTAATTAAGTCTAATGCCATATACCGTATTTGAAGCATCCTTTATGTCTATTGCTGATCTTTATGATCGACCTACAAGTACTGTAGAAGTAGTTTGGTGGTATCCTTGGTTTTTGTCAGTCTTCTTACATAAGCAAACATGACAAGTCCCAGTGATATCTTCGGTGACATAAATAGAGTTTGGGAGAGGTAAAAAGTGCACGTGACGTCAAATTTTCGACGGCAACGATGACCACAAAATCAAGACTCCAGAGTGTATGAAAATCCGTAAATCAATGTGAAATAACCCGCTCTATATTTCCCACCTACTTCCTTTTTCTCAGCTCTCTCTGTGCGCCAATGAAATCGATCTGATGTTCATTTCTCTCGAACCCTCCCAACAGGGCAAGGGCCTGAAATTTTCATTTTCATCAGAACTCATACAAACCACCACCCTCACACAATGAGACCTACGCGGACGGTACTGAAATCGAGGTTCATCCACGACCCCAAGACCATCTACCCTCGGGTCCGTGTGGATCGGATCCAGCGGGCCACTCTCAAAAAGGCCCCCAAGTTCCAGCAGGTTCTGGCCAGCCATGCCGTTCCCGAGTGGGAGCGATTCACCAAGGAGAGCCAATGGCACTTTATGCCCGGCGACAAGGTCCAGATCCTGGCTGGCCCCGACAAGGGCAAGGTGTCTCAGATCATGGCTCGACACGAGGAGGGAAACTCTTACCTGGTTGATGGAGTCAACGGTACTCAGACCTTCCCAATTCCTCCTGCTATGGCCCAGGAAGGACAGACCACCCACGTGATCGAGTTCCCCAACCCTCTGAAGCAGTCGGAGCTGCGTCTGGTGGCCCAGCGACCTGAGGAGGACGGTACCACCACCGAGGTTGCTATTGCTGCCGTGGAGTGCGTGGGAACCTACTACGACCCTGCCTACAAGCGAGTGCTCCCCCGACGAGTCATGGCCCACGATCACAAGACCCAGGTGCCATGGCCCGCTCCTCTCGAGCCTGTCGAGCATGTGGAGGGCTCTACCGAGCGAGATGTGGCTCGAGAACGAACCCACTGGGTCACTTCTCTGGTCAAGCCTCCTTTCCCCATCGGAGCTCTGCCCGACATTCGAAACGTGCACCACAAGCGATTCAAGCGATTCTCCGAGCGAGAGGTCGATCTCCTCACAGCCCCCAAGCCCTTCATCCCCAAGGGCACCCCCGAGCTTTTCGCTCGACCCCAGCACAAGAAGCCTGAGAACAAGCTCACTGCTGAGATGGAGGCCTTCATTGGCAACGTCATGCAGAAGCACGCTGACGCCCAGGTGGGCCAGCATGACCGAGTCAAGGGCCTCAAGTATAAATAGTGTATATAGTAGCATGATAGCAATTTTCTGACTTGAAGAGCGTATGTAGGCCGTGAGTACGCTCTAGACCTGATGGCCTGACGTCGTCAAGTAACCTCGTTGTCGCGGACCGCGAGACCACGAAACCACGAAACCACGAGTTCTCCGGACCTATTTATCGTAATGAAATAGAGACATCTTGATCGTAGGCTTTTTTATGATCTCTGGACTACAAATCGCCCGCGGCCGTGTAGTCTAGTAAAGGAAGGATACTTGTATCGAAAAAGCGTACAGTAACAAGTTACTACTTGTAGTGGGTGCATAGTAGGTAAACCAGTCTAAAGTGTGTCTTCATAGGTGTCTCTTCGTCAACCCTTCGATGCACTCGAGAATGAAGTACAAGTAGTACAGAACTTGTAGAGTGATGAGCTCATGCACATGCCTTGTCTCGAGTATGAGGGTGTAAGCAGTGGTCTATCTGATAGTGGAGCAAGTAGAATGACTAAATTCTCAGATATCGTTTATCTCTAATCCATCTTACTAAATTCCAAGTCCGGCCAAATCTTCCTACTTTTTTCACGTACTTTTCATTATTGTATAGTAGTTACTCCTCAACTACCATCGGGATTTAACTATAAGAAGTGGACTACGATCACGCCCTCCAGACTCCATCCCTCACCTCTCAACTTCAAAACTGCTTATGTAAGAGGCTACCCAACAGCCCAGCAAAGAAATATGAGCTTAGACACTCATAAGTCTTCGTCTTGGACCTCTGTCTAACTCATTAGTAGTCAAAGCCTCTGTCTCAGAAACAATAACAGCCGTAGACTTGCTAACTACAGCACATTCTATATGAGTAACGTGCTTGTAACGTATTGGTAAATACTTGCAGAAAATGAACTACCGCCCAAACATGTTGTCCCCTCAGACTTTCACGTAATACGGTCTCGCGTCGCCCGGTCTGACCCTTACCTTCCCAGTCTGAAGTCAACCTCAAACTGCCCAATTTGCGAGTAGCTAATCTTGAACAGGGCGATCTACATCACCAGGTTGCCATAATATGTAATTCATATAGAATTCGCAACTGTCGAGCGAGTCTGAAGGTGGGCGGCTAAAATCATGGCTATGTTGCCAAGAGGTCTCACAAAACCAAAATTAACAAGTCCTGGCGTGCAACCACATTTGAATCTCTCTCTACTTGTAGGCTTGAAAACCATACAAGCGCTGCTTGCCGAAACCACCATCGCCACATAGTAGAGACAAACCCGTGGGCTGTTAAATTACCACCGCCTCGACACGTCGCGGTTGCGCTTGTAGCGCCCTTGACGTCTTACTCCTACAAGCACCTACGGTAATTACACGTCTCAATCCGTCTGTTTTCGGACGGACTCCAGGCTGTGTTTGGAAAGACAGATGCCAAAAAAAGTTTGCCCGTCAAAACCTTTGCCTGACCCACATGGTAACACTAAATTGAAGCAGGCCACTGAGATAAAGGAAGTGAGTAGAGTAGCAGTACTCGCAGCAAGAATGAGAACCTGGTTCATATGTTTTTGATTACTAAGTGGTACCAGGTGATTAGCTCTGTTTCATGTGCCCGTTCTGACCCCACTGATGACTAGCTACTGTCTCCCATGCACCAACTCTTTGTTTGCTCAAAATGAAACGTTCCATGCACAGGACACGGCTACCCGCCTAGAATGTGTAAGGAGAAAACCTTCTGGCCTCTGGGGAAGTTTTCTGGGAGCTTGACAGTGGTCAAGTGAGGAATAGAAAATATTATTTTGAGTGGATTGTGGTTTAGATATAATCTCGAATACTTTCCGAGCTGTCCACAATTCTCTCTGTTTTAATCCACCCATTGCTTCGTGTCTTATCAGCCAAAGTATCTCAACGTTAGTCTTCCCCACGTGTGCAACCCTGTGCCAAAAGGTCGTAAAATGTATAGGAGTCACTAACGAAAAAGTGCATGCTCCAAGTAGATTGACAATAGTGCAAAAACAACATGTCTTCAGAAACTCTCCTCCTTCCCCAATGGTGATTTGCACGCCCTATTACAACCGACAGACCATCAAGGTGGGCCTTCGGGCGGTCCAACTCACCCTCATCATGACCGTGGTCATCACCACTGGAGTGCTGACCATGTACTCGGACCTTCCACGTGATTGGGTCTTGGACAACTACATTGACCCCTATACCTCGGAGTTCCAACTGGAATGGCCCAACGATTACCACAACGCCGAAATCTGGGACCAGACGCTGGAGTTTGACACCCCCATCTATTTGGAGACCCATTCGCATACCAACCATAGTGACGGCAGCCTGACTCCTAGCCAGCTGGTGGACTGGGCCCAGGCGTACGGCCTGACTGCCATCTGTGTCACTGACCACAACAACATTGAGGGAGGATGGGCAGCTCGAAACTACTCTGAGACTTTGCGAAGTGAAGGCAAGCCTGCTCCTCTGGTTATTCCCGGCGTGGAGTTCACCTGCTGTCGAATCCACATGAACTTCCTCGGTATCGAAGAGACCATCAAGCCTACTGAGAACTGGCCTTCGGACGACGAGCTCAAGTCCGTCATCAAAAAAGTGCATGCTCTGGGAGGGGTTGTTATTGTGAACCATCTTCCCTGGTCGGAGAGTACCGAATGGGGCCGAAAAGTGCCTACTCTGATGCACCATCCCACTCCCGACCAGCTTCTGAACTGGGGAGTCGATTCCTTTGAGTGTGTATCTGATGGAGTCATAGATCTCCAGGCTATTCGATACGCTGACAGAAACAATCTCATGTGTGTGACTGCCACCGACATTCACAATCCCTCAGACACCGTGAGAGCCGTGACTGTCCTCGATGGACCTCTCACTCAGAAGAACATCATCGACAAGATCAGACGAAAGTCAGTGCGATCCAAGTCCACCTTCTACTATGATCCTATCGGCCCTACCGGTGCTCAGATTGTTCCTCCCCACAACAATAAGCGCAACAAATGGGCTCCTCTGGCCATGCTCAACTTTGGATACATGTGGGACGAGTCCAAGGGTATGTACTCGTTTGTTGATGGCTTCTGCCATGAGCGAAAGTTCACCTTCAGGTACGGAGCGGCCTTCTGGACTCTGTTTTGGATTGTTCTTGGCTGGGTGATTTATGAACTCATTCGAGCTATTGTGGTCGGCATTGCTGGCAGCAACAGTTGCAGACGACGACGACCTCTTCAGTTGGAATAGGGTGGTAACAACCACAGTTTTCAACTGGATTGACGATTTCTAGACTATTTATTAATGATAATTATGTATGTGTTTTGCGTAAATCAACAGGCTGGTGATACTAGAGACTGAGTCCATGCGAAAGAACCAACAATAATGACCATCATGGAAAAGCCGACGAAACTGGTAGCAAATCCATAAATATAAGCCCTCTTGTAGTTCATTCCGTACATTTCGTTCACAAATGTCGAAATGGTACTGAGACATCCGCAAAAACCATTCATGATACCATCCAGAATCTGGCATTGCAAGAAGGAATGCACTAGCTGCGTAGATGAGGTGTTCGTCTTGCCACGCTGTAAGAGAACACAGACGGCCAAGACAATGCATGCCAGAATGTTGGCCGAGAACGTTCCCAGGGGCAACTTGCCGTTCAGTTTAGACAGCTGCCATCTCAGTAGAGCTCCAGGAATGCCAAACAGACCGAGATAAGTCCACCATCTCCAGCTTTTCCAGAGACCTGCAAAGATGATGAATATGCAAAACAGTGCAATGCTGGCAGCAGCGATAAAGCTAGACAGTAGCCGTTCCACCTTGGACGACAGCGGAGGAAGAGGTACCAAGTCTGCCAGATGATGACCGACTTTGAGACCTGCGAAACTTAGTCCGAAATTGATGAGACCAATCGACATGACAGATTGGACTCCGTAGCCGGCGTTGGGGTATCCCAGCTTCGTGTCATTCTGGTTGGCTCCGTATAGAAAGCCTTCCAGCATGAGGGTGGAGAAGGAAGTTAGAGAACCACAGAAGCCCGTGCCTATGCCTAAAAACAGCGGCAACTGTTTCTTTGTCACTCCACGTTCTTTTTCCACGTTTTCAAACAGATTTGTGGCATTTACCCACCCCATGACTATGCAGCCTCCGAAATTGGCCCATACCAATCCGGACTCGGTGAACGAGCCATGGAAGAGTGTCAGGTGCTCTATACCCTCACGGGCTATAGCTCCGGCCATGGCAAACACGGCTATGTTGAGATAAGTCAGAGCCGCGTTCATTTCATTGTTGTATGTGTTGTTCCTGTTGGCGACCCTGAGAGGGAGGTTTGATGCGTCTCAACGATCCGATCCACTCTCGTTGTTTATGCTTAAGTGAGTCAACATCAAAACACGCCGCACCAAACAGATGTATGTGAGCTGTTACCGATTTGAGGTGTTACCGAATTTGTGCAAGAGCTTTAAAATAATTGAAAATCGACTCATTCGATTTTTTTGTTTACTTTGAACTTTCCTTTTCTCTCCAGCTACAGTATATAAATTTCAGTGTCTCCATCTTTCGTTCGGCCCTCGCCATCTGAGTCACGTGACTCCCAACCAACATGCATATATGCAAACCGTGTCCTGTGTGCGTACATACTGACAGTATAGCGACAGTCCAACCGCCATACACAATGTCTCTTCCATTCCCCGTCCAGATCGACAGAGACCGGATCTCGTCGGGAGACGACCTGTTGTCGCAGGAACTGACGCAATTCAAGGCGCTAGAGGACCTCAAGTCCGAGTTCGGCCAGTGGATCCAGATTCTTGAAAACGAGGTCGTGGAGCTCATCAACAAGGAGTACCAACAGTTTGTGGCGCTCGGAAACTCGGTCAGCGGTGGCAACAGCAAGGTGCAGGAGATCAAGCATCGATTGGTGCTGTTCCAACGCCAGGTGGAGCAGGTCAAGCAGGAGGTCGACGCTACAGCAGAACGGATTGCCAAGGTGCTGAAGAGCCAAAACCAACTGCTGGAGGAACGACAGCGCGCAATGGAACTCATTCTGTATATTCGGGCGTTCCAGGAGGTCGAGCTACGTGTCGGTCAAGTGGGAGGTGCTGATTCGTCTGACCCCGAGGAAGTGTTGGATCTGTCCAACCAGCTCATCAAGCTGCACGAGACCCGCAACGCCCATCCAGAGGCGGCAGTCATGAAATCGTCTGCATCCAGACTGACCACTTTATGTGGACTGGTCATCACAGCTCTGTGCAACAGTGCCAAAACGAACCAAGAAGAGGGTCTTGACTTGTTGCGACAGGTGCATGTTCTCCGGCGTTTGCAGATGTAACCACCCCTTTGTCGGTTGTATTGATATAGGTCAAATTATTTATTGTTTATCAACAATACGATTTTCGTAGCTTTCGTAGTTCTCACCTTTGGTACCATGGTTGCTTATTAAGTATTTGCTTATTAAGAACTCTATCAGACGTCCTACACCTTAAGTCTAATTTTTTCGAGGCTTGCATCAACAGAAAATTTATGCCATATCAACTCTGAAAATCCTCACACAAGACGATAGCATGGTTGATTCATTCTTTTCAAACCCGAAAAAGAGGAGCAAGGCCCCCAAGCGGGATGAGCGACGAGGCAAGAAGGCGGTCGCCAAACCCCAGCGCCCCAACGTGGCAGATGAAGACATTACTTCTGAGAGTGAAAATGAAGAGGAGCAGTTCTTTGAGAACCCCGACACGGCAAACTCCAGTGAGGACGAGGAGGAGACCCAGGCTGACAAGCGACGACGACTCGCCAACCAGTACCTGGAGAACCTGAAGGATGAGATGGGCGAGATAGGATTCGACGCTGCTGATCTTGATCGAGAGAATCTTTCAAGGCGCCTGGAGGAGGATGTGGCTGAGGATAAGGGTCTGATTTACCGATTCCTGGACGTCAAGGCCAACTCCTTTTCACGAGTTCACAAGAGCAGATTCCGACCAACCGCCGTGGCCTGTCGATACCCTTATGCCTACACAGTTGGACGAGATGTCGAGCTGGTCAAGTGGGATATCAGTGATGTGACTAAGCCTCGAGTGCTCAAGGTTGTTTATGGCAACCGTCACGCCTCCAAGGATGCCTTCAACCCCAAGGAGGATTACAAGGGCCACATTGACGACATTCTGTGTGTGGCAGTGTCTCCCGATGGCAAGTACGTTGCCACCGGATCCAAGGATAAGACCATCTGTGTCTGGGCAGCCGAGAGTCTGTCGTGCCTGCATGTTTTCCACACCCGAGATCGACGGGGAGTCGTCATGGGTCTGGCCTTTCGACGAAACACAAACCAGCTGTATGCTGCATGTGCTGATCTCAAGGTCCGAACCTTCTCTCTGGACCAAATGTCGCAAGTGGAGACGCTTTTCGGTCATCAGGATGTGGTTGCAGACATTTCGGCTCTGGCTGGCGAGAGATGCCTGACTGTGGGCTCTCGAGACCGAACTGCTGTGGTGTGGAAGATTGCTGACGAGTCGCGTCTGACTTTCCGGGGAGGAGACATCAAGGACTTCCCCGAGGGCTCCATCGACTGCTGTTCCATGATTGATTCACACTACTTCGTCACGGGCTCAGACAACGGCTCCATTTGTCTGTGGTCCCTGAGCAAGAAGAAGCCTGTCTTCATTGAGAGACGAGCGCATGGAGTTGAGGAGAGACCCGAGACTGATCTTCCACATACCGGAGAGGCTGAGGCCGACAAGGTGCCTCTCCCTGCCCAATCTCCCCGATACATTACTGCAATCCACGCCATCCCCTACTCAGACATTTTCCTTACCGGATCATGGAGTGGAGAGATCAAGGTGTGGAAGCTGGGATCCGAGATGCGGTCTTTCACCCAGATTGCCACTCTGCCCAATGTCAAGGGCGTGGTGGACTCTATCGATGTCAGTGAGCACGGATCTCGAGGCAAAGAGGTTTTCGCCGTGGTTGCTGCGGTCTCCAAGCAGCTGCGAATCGGCCGGTTCCTCAACGTGGGAGGAAGAAATGGTTTGTACACTGGAGAATTGGTCTTGTAAGCATGTGAAGGGAGGACTAGAGCATTAATAGAAAACGGTTGCTAAGCGACTGTAAGGATTGAATAAATCGATGTATATGAAATTGTGTCAGAGTGCGTATAATTAAGTAAATAGTTGCAAGACTGAACGATGAGAACATGTGTTATCCACGGTTCATTCTGAGAAAAACAGTAAACATGATAGTGTAAAAGTCAGACAGACGATATGACGTCACAGTCATGGGCTGATAGTAACTTGTTCTGAGTGTAGTTATCCTGCCGTTCATCACCCAGTAATATCACATTATTTCGCAATTAATTAATTAGGCTTTAGTTGAAGAACAATTTTACAGTCAACAGTGTAAATACATTGTTCCTTGGAAAATTGAGAGAAATGAAGTATGTTATTATGTAGAGAAAGTGTCTTTTGATCTATTTATGAGACTACTGTAAAAGTACAAGTACAAGTCCAAATAATTCGCCAATTGCAGGTCCACAAAAATTGGATCTTCCTATTTACAAGTACAGTACATACAGTACTTGTACTTGTACTTGTAGATTTGTTCAGCTAGCAACAATCATATCACCTTGAACTAGAAGCTGTAATTAGCGCCATGGACACCTAAGTCTTTCGCAGCTCTTGTCAGATATTGTTGTCTCAGAGTCTTTTACAATTCTCCAGATCAAGATTTTTCTTCAAAACACGAGCTAAAAATGAACCTGTGTATTGAACGCGAGGAAAGAGTACTTGTATCTTGTACTGTACTTGTACTTGCAAGTGAAATAAAACAACAAGTACAAGTGGCAAACGTACCTCGCGCCTATGGAACTAATATTCTCGCACACCCGTGTCACCTCGTATCCCACCAACACGTAAAAACACCTACACTCTGCATCCCAACACGTGACAAAACTCAACGCGTAAATTAACCTCTCGACCAAACGCGAAATCAATTTTACCCTACACTGTGTACTCCATCCACATCAACACAATTCATATCATGGACTGTGCCGACCGCCTTCTCAAAAAGTATGCGCCCTTTGTGGGGTATGCTGTGGCCACCTACAGTCACGATGGCGACCATGTGTACTCGTGTGGCATTTCCGAGAAGTTGCAGAAACACTCGACCACAAACAGAGACGAGCTCAAGACGTTTGACTACGGCCCACGAGCTGAAGGAGGAAGAAAGCAGCTTCTGAAGACCATTTCTGCCGGTCACCACGGCGTTGTGGCTGGTTGCGATGATGGTACTGTTTGTGGATTCAACACAAACGGTGAACTTGTTTCGACACTGGTGCGAGCCCCTTCAGGTGTCACAAAGGTATTGTTTTCTCCTGATGGAGATCTTGTGGCAGCCTCCAGCAAGGATGACAAGATTACCATTGTCGACTGGGCGTCCAAGCGAAAGGTTTCCGAGGCAACTTTCGCCGGTCTGCATCAGTTCATCTGGAGTCTGGACTCAAAGAATGTGTTTGTGTCTGCTGATGAGGGCATTGTTCAGGTATCTGCTCGTGATCTGACCAATAAGACGCTCGCTGATTTCGCTGCCACTCCCGGAATGATGGCATGGTACCCCGACGGTTCTGTGCTTGCTGTTGCTCAAGCCAAACAGGTTGTCCTGCTTGATTCCGAAGATCTTTCCAAGAGAACCTCCTTCAACATCCCCTCCAAGGTCACTGAAATGCAATTTTCCCCCTCCGGTACCTACATTGCCATTGCTTTTGGTCACATTGTCGAAATCTGGCGTCTGAAGGACTCCAATAAGGTGGCCTTTGTTAAGATGGACGCCAAAGCAAGCAGCGTCAACTGGCACCCGTCGCGAAACGAAATGTTCATCACCAACGAAAAAGGCGAGCTGTGTACGTGGCCCAACCCTGTTCCCAGCAAGTTTACTCTGCCCTTCGAGGGTGTTGCTCCTTTTGATGATGATATTGTTTCCGACAAGAACCACTACATTGAGATGGAGGAAACGCCTATGTTTAATGATGTTCCCGATACCCAGGAACTCGATCTTGCCGATACTCAGGAGATAGACATTCCTGATACTCAGGTCATGGACGAACCGCAGCTGAATGGTATCCCCAACAAGCAGCGATCTTACACCGACGAACTACAAGATACTCAGGTGCTGGAGGATCCAGCTGAAAGTGACGAGGAAGAAGAACCTGTCATTTCTCGAAAGCGAAAGTCCAAGGAGCCTGTGGATGATCCTCTGGCTGACACGCAGATTGTGAATGATGAGCCTGACGCTTCGGAGAAGAAGCGAAAACGGGTTTCCATGGACCCTTCTGTCGATAGAATGGAGAAGGAAAAGTCAAAGACCAAGCACAAGCCGCTGGAGGAGGATGACGACATTGATCTGGCTGGAGATATGTTTGTGGAGGACGATGATGGAGCCGGATATGTGCCTGACTTAAGCCATCGAGGCCTGGGACAGAACGAGTATGGCAATGGTCATATGGAGGAGGAGGATGATGGACACCAGGGAGGCTACGCTATGGAGTTTGACGAAGTTCGAGCTATTCAACCCGGTGCTACAGAGTTTAGAGGAACTAGACGATACCTCCATGCATCTTACCTCGGTTACATCTGGACTATGAAGCATGCCGAGAACCGATACTCTGTCACCTCCTACTTCTTCGACACAGGTATTCACAAGGGCTACCATTTCACCGACCATGTTGGATACGACTTGGGCTGCATGAGCAGACGAGCCACGTTTTATGCGCGAACCTCTCCCCCTTCCATCTTCATGCGATTCCACAGCAGCATCAGTGAGAACTGGAGTCTAGACCTGGACGAGACTGATCCCATTCGATGCATTTCTGTCGGCAAGACCAAGTGTGTTGTTTGCACCGAGTCTGGCTTGATTCTCACCTACTCCATCTTTGGAGTTCCCCTTCGAGTTTATCGAGATGCTGGTGAACCTACTGTTGCCGTCACTGCTCATACCGACACTTTCTTCATGGTAAGACAGGACTCATTCACCCACAAGCTCAACTTTGTGGTTGAAAACGGTGAGGGACACATTTTCACCCGTGGCAAGCTCAGTTTACCCGTTGGAGCACATATCAAGTTCGTTTGTTTCACGCAGAACGGTGACCCTGTTGTGTTCGACTCGGACGGCATCATTCTTATTCTCTCTCGATGGAAGGAGGAGGGCCAGTACCGATGGATTCCTGCACTTGACACAGTGGCTATGGCCAAGGAGCACGGTCGAGAAGAGACCTACTGGCCCATCGGCATTGATTGTGATTACAACTTCCATTGTGTCATTCTCAAGGGAGCTGCCACCCAGCCTCCTCATCCTCTTCCTCTCACAACCGACTTCCCCATCAAACCTGTGGGAGAGCCTCGCCAGCTCGAGTCGGACTATCTAAAGAAGTCAGTCATGGCCGAACTCGAGGAAGGTCGAGACGAGCCTGAGAACCTGGGCAATCTCGAAATAGAGGTCGAGAAGGCTCTGCTGCGTCTTCTTCATGCCGCCTGCAAGTCCGAGTTCAAACTCAACAAGTGTCTGTACATTTACCGACGGCTCAAGAACGAGGAGTGCAAGGAGGCTGCCGTGACCATTGCTCTTCGATGCAAGCGAACCATTCTTGCCGAGAAGATCAATGAGTTGCGAGAGAAGGATGAGGCTGCCAAGAACGGTAAGCGAGATGACTGATCGGAGGTAAACAACAAGCATGGGAACATATATATACTGTAGGATTGATTAATTATAAGAAAATGAGTTAATATACAGTACTTGTAGTAGATGTACACAGATGAGTTGTAGCAGTGTAGTGTTAGTCTAATCTTTGCATCCCTTGAAACCGAAGGAGAAGCCTGCTCCCTTATTGTTCTCTTCAAAGGGAGGAGGATCGTCAGAGAAGTCGTTCGTTGTCTTCGTGTTTGCAGGCGACTGGTCTTCTCCAAAGTTGATACCACTGGATGACTGAGTATTCTGGTTGCGTCCGAAGTTTCCGGCGCTTCTTGCTTCCATCTTTCCTGCTTTGAGAACAGTGTCGATAACGAACCTGCCGTCGAATTCAGATGTGAAGAAGTTGTAATCGAATGGCTTCAGGTCAGACGGGAGAGCTCGGTTTGCAAAGAAATACTCAATGTAAGCTGTCTTTGTGACGACGTTTGCAATCACGGGATTGGTCACTCCGAAATCAGCGATACCGGCAGCCTGGTACATGTGAGCACCAATCTCCCACATTCGGTAGGAGAGCTGGACGTGTAGTGTGGGCGAAGACTTGATCTTGTTGAACGATTTGAGAACCGTGTTGACAATCTGGGATGCGTAGTCAAAGGTATGTTTGAACGACGTGTAAAAGGCCCAGGTGTAGACCATATTGACCTCGTCAGCCTCCGAGATCTTGGCTCGTTTCCAGTATGAAGCACATCGTTCGATTCGATTGAGTCCTCGTTTGATAGCCATGGTACTTTCGCTCTTTTCGCCCACGTAGTAGAAGAATGCTCGTAGCCAGTGTCTTCTGTAGTATTCAGCTTCATAGGCTAGACTGAACCCTGTAGCCCGCATGAGATCGGCTGTGAAGGCCCGTTTGTTCTGTAGAACGTCGTCCAGTTTGGTCTGAATATTCGCCACAAACTTCTCTGAGAAGCCAAACGACGGCATTCCGGCCTTTCGACATTTGTGCCACGTCTTATCCGTCTTGATTTCTTCACTATCTCCGTCCAGATCCACCATCAGCAGCTGTGTGAACCACTCAACTTGTTTCTGGATGTCTTTAGTGGTTCCATTGAGTTGAGAATCAAGAAGAATCTGTTGGTGAGAAGATACGGGGAAGAACTGTTTGAGCACCTCGGTCACCAGAGCAGCGTCCAGGGGGAAAGACTTGTCCTCCTTCTTGCTCTTTTTGAATGGCCACAGTTTAGACTGAAAGTGGGCCTCGCGACACTCCAGTAAGAGCTGGAAGATGGGCACTTGACCCACAAACTCGGACTCTTGAAATGCAGCAAAACACGACTCGACGAAAGTCACAGGATGTTCGGTTCCCTCTTTGAGACTGGGAAGCACAGAATCACCCGTGTTGTTGTACAGTTCTCGAGTTTGGGGGTCTCTCAGAATCTGGTAGGCGTAACTGACGGCTGACAGGGACTCCAGATGATGCAAGCTGTAGAGAGTCTTGTTGAGAAACGCCTGGTCAATCTGCTCTTGCGTGGAGTACGGAGACGTCTCCAGAAGCTGGTGGAGCTTCAGGTTGACGAGCGACATGTCTTTTTGAGTGAGTTGTGAGGGTGGCGGCGGTATGGAGTCTTCAGCAGCATGGATGCATTTATAGCAATATCAAGGTTTGAAGCCATCACCGCCACAAACAAAAAAAAAAAAAAAAAAAAGGGCATTGAGCGAATGTGGACGGGGTCTTTTTATTTGCCAAGATATGGTAGTGAATTTGTGAAACTGGTCACGTGACATTATCTGGACTGTTTCTTTTCTACTTGAGTATGTCATTGCCCCTTGCTGTGACTGACATACTGTAGGCTACAAGTAGGCTACAATGTAGTGGTAGGTCTCCGTATTATCGCCACCTTGGTGCATGCAGGTGATTGTTTCATGCACTGACGATGACCCAAGAAAGTATTTCACATGTCCATTTTGTAGGGTTTGCGCGAGAGAAACTTTTTGAAAGCACGTTTACTGTGTATGCCTTGTCGCCAGATGTTCTTTGTCACCTCCTGTTGTTTATAGGCCCATTTCATCATTCTAAATACAGGCGACCTTTTCGTGTCACGCTTCCCTTTTTTTCAACTCAATCTTGAAAACAGGGTGCTCCCTCAGTTTGTTGAGGATTAGTTAAGACAAAGATCAGCTAGGGGTTCATTTTCGGTGTTGCGACAATGTTGGGATTCTGGATAATACACTGATACATAGAGGGAAGCTGTGTTTTAAACAAATTCTTGAAAATATATGTATGTTCCGATACCAATTTTTCGTAATATCTCCGTTATTGGACTTGCCATTTCACATGCTTTGTTGAAAGTTTGGTTAACTTTTACTTTAGTTCGTTTATTCAAACCCAGCCTTTTCTACAGTGGTATGATCAAGCTACAGTATGGACATACTATGCAGTCATTGTACAAGTACAGCTACAGCAGTGGGAAAGAAGTCATATTGAAGCTACCTTGTTGCGCTCTGCAACCCCGTTTATCTCTAGGCATCATACATTCCACCTCAAATCAATATCATGTTATCATTTACAGAGTACCGTTCTTCTTAGCCTCGGCGTAAGCTCGAACAGACTTGAAGTCATCAACGGCAGGCTTGATCCAGGGATCCTTCTTGAGGAAAACGGGCTCCTCGTCGGGTCGCAGACCAGGGATCTTCTTCTCGAGGTTCAGCTTGGTGAAAACACACTTGTTGAGCAGAGCCTCGGCCTTTCGGCAGCCACTGAGCTGGTGGTTGTTCTGCTCCAGACACTGCCAGTGGAGTCGGAACTCGTCAAGACAGCTCTTGTTGATGTCCTCAATGACGGAGACGGCACATCGGGTGACTCGTCGGCCCTCCTTGAGACAGTCGATGGCGCCAGAGCCCTGGGACTCTTCTCTGCACAGCATGAAGTCATCGTTGTAGGGCTTGCACTTGGCGCCAATGAAGTAGGATGCAGACAGAAGAGGAGCGGAGGTAGCTCCAACCTCGACAACGTCGGGCACGTTGTCGGGCATGTTAGCTTTGTCCTCAAATGGGACCCAGTGGGCGGCAGCTTCTCGGGGCCTGCGTTAGTGTCTAATTATGGTATAGATAAGATCGGAGTAAAGACTGAGGGGGTGAAGGGACCTCACTCTAACAAGTAATAAGGAGAATTGACTCATGGCAATTGGTGTATCATGATGAGGTTGTTGGGTAAAAAATATTGTGGTTGTGTCGACAGTAGTGCAGGACGTTCTTGGTGTTTGTGTTTAGTAAATGAACTCATGTCTCAAGACGCCAAAATTGATCATCACAGGGTCTAAGAATCACCGTCATCAACCTGTTCTAGTTCCCTGGCAACTCTTGCTCCATCTTCACATATGTCCTTATCGTACCGTGCACCATGTCAAAAATTCCACAACCCCACGAATGGCTCCATAATTCGATATCCTCGGGCACAAAAACCATCCATGTTGATTTATTGGCGTTTATCTCCCTTGTCCACAACATTTCGGCTTTTCAAGACTGTCGGAATGCCCGTCATAAAAACGTATCTCGCCATGTTCCATGATCTCAGCCTACGGAGACCAACAAAGCCAAGTGGGTCCAATTCCCGGCTCGAAACACCCTCATTTGACTCCCTGGCGTCCCTTATCACCTTCCCCAGGCCCTCCTGGTTTCCCTGGAATACTCACATTTTGATGTGTTAGCTGATGCTCAAAGGCTTACTACAGTCTACATTTCTCTCACGCAGATTGGTTGATGGTTCCGTCGGCCGGGTAAGTGGGAGTTGTGGTTACTAAGCTTTGGTTCTGCCACTACGGTATTTCGTGTGTGTTGTGTGTTTGAGGTTTATCACTTTTAGACTTTGTAGTGACGCCGGGTGCAACTACATTTTTATCTATATTGCGTCTGGGCAAAAAAACAGAACCACAGGCATCATGTTTGGCAACACCAACCAACAGTCAGGCGGCTTTTCGTTTGGTCAAAATAACACCAATTCGGCCGGTAACAACAACGCGGGAGGAATGAGCTCGGGATTCAAGTTTGGAGCCGGCTCGGCAGCCACTAGCAACAACACCAACTCCTCAGGAGGAGGACTGTTTGGCCAGAACAACAACAACACGTCTGGCAACACGGGCGGTGGATTGTTTGGCCAGAACAATGCCAACACTGGAAACACCGGCACCACCGGCGCCTCTGGCGGTCTGTTTGGTCAGAACAACACCAACACCAACACCAACACCGGAGGAGGCCTGTTTGGAAACAATGCCAATACAAACACCAATACCAACACCAACACCGGCGGAGGAGGTCTGTTTGGAAACACCAACATTGCGAACACAAACACAAACACTGGCGGAGGATTGTTTGGTCAGAACAACAATAACGCTACTACGAACACCAACACAACTGGAGGCGGACTGTTCGGCCAGAACAACACAAACACAAACACAAACACAGGCGGTGGGCTGTTTGGCAACAACGCCAATACCAACACAAACACCGGAGGTGGCTTGTTCGGTAACAACAATGCCAACACAAACACAAACACCAACACTGGAGGGCTTTTCGGAAACAACAATGCGAACACCAACACTGGAGGAGGGCTCTTTGGCAACAACAACGCCAACAATGCAAACACAAACACAAACACGGGAGGGTTCTTTGGAAACAACAATGCAAACAACAACGTGGGCGGTTTTGGTCAACAACAACAGCAGCAGCAGCAACAAGCTGGTTTCGGTCAGTTGACCAAGACCAATCAGCCCTCCGGTCCTTCTGTTCAGGCCCAGCTGACCCGAATCAAGGACGGATGGGACCCCACCTCCCCCAATTGTGCATTCCAATTCTACTTCTACAACCGAATCCCTCTGGATGATATTCCCTACTACCAGATGCCACAAGGTCAGTCTCCTGAGAAGTGGGACAAGGCTGTTGCTGAGCGACCATACAAATCGTCTGTGCCTGTCCTGGCCGTGGGCTTCACCGATCTGCAGAAGCGAACCAAGCAGCAGGAGCAGCAGGTCGGCGTGTACCGGGTTAGAATGCATGAAGTCAACAACAAGCTTGACGAGCTAACCAACAAGCACGATCTTGTGACTACCGTGAAGATTGCCGAGATGCGGGCTCGTCACCAGCGGCTCGTTAACCGAACTGTTGCTCTTGCAGCAGTTACCCAGGTGCTCCGAAACCGTGGGTATGTCCTCAAGCCCGAGGAGGAGGTGCTGCGAAAGAACCTCGTCCAGCTCAACGACAAGGTCACGGACCCGGCTGTGTTTGGCCGAATCAACGAGATCTGGGCACGTATGTCTGTTCTTAGAGAGCAGGCACGGCACGCTACCGACTCGCAGTCTAAGAAGGCTCCCGATGGCACCATATTGACATGGGAGCGGGACGAGGAGACTTTGGAGCAGTTGGCCAAGATTCTCAAGGACCAGCAGACGGGTATTGCATTCCTTGCCAAGGTGCTCAAGGAGGATATGGCTGAGGTTGAGAACAAGATCTCTAGTCTGGAGAAGAAATAAGAACAGTAGCTGGATCCATGTATGATAGCTACAACTAGACCATATTATAATTTTATACTGTACAATGTATTTCCCTTTGTCATCCCATGGTGATGCCTAATAATATGTACATGTATTCACACTATATTGAGAGTAGTTTAGAATCGACCCTTGATGAGCTCGAAAGCAAAGGGAGCTGAGTTAGTAAGGGAGTAGAAGGACAGGCTGTTCGTTGTGACCACCGATTGATATGTCTCATGATTGCTTTTCGCCACATAAATAGTGTTGTTCAGTCACATGGATGGCGGTCGTCTTGTTGTGTTGCCAACTGTGATGTGCCATCAATACTCACCGGTCCACAGACCAATGGCGAGGTACAGAGCGTTCTGCAGGGTTCGCTGGGTCATGAGGTTGTACTTTCGAATATCTTCGTCGGAAATCTGGGGCTGGCCACCGAACATTGTTGATTGATTTGGATATTGATGTAGTCTCGCTGTTGTGAGCTACTTAGTGGTAGAAGTATTTTAAGAACCCTAACCTGAAGTTTGACTGAGTGGGGGTGGGGGGGAGGGAGTATGATGACGCTGTTATTTCGTGCTTGGTCGAGATGTGGGCAGCTCTTGAGGCTACAAGTACTGTTTGTTTGGCTATTTGTATCTCTCTTTTACAATTTCCCTATTTTTGGAGCATTTATGAGAATCCCTTTGGTGTGTGGTCTATGGGTCTTTGGTGGGTTCGAAGAGTATCGAAAGTTGGGACTTGTCTTACGTAACGCATCATTTGGATGTGTGATGGTGGAGGTTGTCAAGTGTCTGAAATTACATATAATAAGCTGTAAAGCTGTCATATAAGCAAATAAGTGACTCTGGTTCGACTGAGGGGTTTTTTGACCGTCGCAAACAACGCACTCGTTCTACACTATCGTCTCCTTTCTAACCCTAACCCCAACATCATGTTTTACTTTGACCAACATCCAGCAACGCCATCACCATACCGACACTATGAGTGACACAGAAAAGCCGATCAAGTCTGAGGAGCCCGTCGACGAGGGCGTGGACCGCGTTGACGAGGAGGAGAATGTTGAGGAACCTGCTGAGGATGTTGGAGAGGCTGCCGAGGAGGCTTCTGAAGCCCCAGAAGAAGCCCCTGCTGAAGCTGCTACTACTACAGAAGCTGCTCCTGCTGACGACGATGAGGACGACTCGGATCTGTCTGATCTTGATGAGGATGAGATCAAGAACGCCGCTATTGAGGACGACGACGACGACTATAACAAGCTGAGCGCCCACCGACGAAAGGTGCAAAGCTCAGGCAAGAAGACGCTCAAGAAGCGAGCCACCAAGGACTCGAGGGCCGCGGACGACGATGAGGACGAGATCGATCACTCACATATCGATTTGGACCCCAGCATGGCGCGACGACGGGAGATTGAGGCTCGGATCGACGCGGCCATGAAGCCTGCTTCTCAGCGACGGAAGAAGCTGGGAGAGGACGATATCGAGATGATGCAGGACGAGCGAATCTCCAATCTGCGGGAGAAGATGCGAAACGCGGCCATTGCCGACGCGGAATCCAACCGAGAGGGCCAGCCTGCCACACATAAGCTACAGCTGCTTCCCGAGGTCAAGGACGTGTTGCAGAAGCATCATTTGGCCGACTCAATTCTGGACAACAACTTGCTGGAGGCTGTACGAATCTGGCTGGAGCCTCTTCCTGATGCCTCTCTTCCTTCATACTCCATCCAGGAGGAACTGTTTGACGCTCTGGTCCGTCTGCCCATCAAGTCCATTCATCTGCGAGAATCCGGACTCGGAAAGGTGGTCACCTTCTACCGAAAGTCCAAGCAGCCGCAGCTGCGAATCAAGCGTATTGCAGACAAGCTTGTGGCAGACTGGACGCGCCCCATCATGGGCCGATCAGACAACTACCGAGAAAAGGTGGTGAGCACACGGTCGTTTGATCCCAGCACACAGGAGATTGCGCTGGCTGTGGCTGCCAAGCGAGCCCAGACGCTCAAGGACGGAACTCTGGCCGAAAAGCAGGCAGAGCGACGACGACGAGCCCATATCCCCTCTGCACAGCCCGCCAACTACCGTGTTGCACCCAAGAGCGAGATCATTCCTCAGAACCGTGGTGGCTCTACTAACGACATGACCTTCAAGCGGCTCAAGGGCAAGCTGGGCGTCACCAAGACTGGAAAGAAGAAGAGTGGAGTTAGTATCGAGGGTCGGGGTCTCAACGGCTAGATATGGATGAGGGTGCCATGAGGGCGATGGTCACACTGGCGAGAAGAAATAAAAAGGCCAGTTTATCTATTGTATATTGTTAGTATTGGTGTATTTTAAAATGGAATGAGAACGTATATTCTAAGTGGTTGAGTGGCTCTTTGCTGTGCTGATAACTCCATATTGGAAGTACTTGTACTGGCACAGTGTGTAATTTTGTCAATACTTTAATACTTATACGATATGCGAACTTACGTCATCGGAACTGGCCAGTGAAGACCATTATGTCAACCTCCAGACGCTCTGATGTTTCTTGGTACTCTGGAAATTTCCCCAGAATGCTTCTATACATCATCAAAATAGCTCTTGCAAGTGGAGGAGTAGATTACGTAATCACACACACGGGACGGTGTAGTTTGGACACAAAAAGCCGCTGGACGTGTTTCCTAGGTCAATTGAGATGATATCACTTCTTTCCCCAGCGTTTAAAAGCTCTATATCCGTTTCTATGGTGAGATTACTGTAGATTAGTATTGCCCTCTCTATAAGCCTATTTAAGCGATATCAAGTAAGACAACGCCATGTGGAGGTCCATCAAGATGCTATTCAAGAAGAGATACCGCTTAGTTTATAAGGGAAACTACTATTATTTTTCCGCGTTAAATATGTTTTCGTTATTTTTGGTAAAAAATATCCATCGTTGCGTGAGTTGGTGACCACTTTCCACTGATAAGCCTAATAGTTGAGGGTGTCATCGAACAGAGAACAGACAGACATGTAGCATGTTTGAGAGTTCTACGAACGAGATACCACATAAGTAACATAGAAGATTGCCCTTCATTTGCTGCCTCCATTCGATTACCGCTTTCCTCAGGAAAATACTTCGTTCACAGCGCCAGATTGGTCGGCTTCTTTACCCTACGATGACGCCACCGTGCACAAGAAAGGCACCTTGTCAGATGGGCATGCTGTAATTGCTGTGGAACCAGAGAGATCTGATACCATTCAGGACGTAAGACATATCAATTTCTGACGACGACAATCAACGATGAAAATCAATCAATTGCCCGTCTCAGAACCACCACCGTCCTTCACTCACTCTCGAACTCTCATATAAGCCAGTTGGGAGTCAATATTTTCTGCGCAACTTTTCACGATGACCACACGACCGAAAAATGAGGAATAAATTTTTCTCACCGCGATATTTGGTCATTGTAGGGCAACGAAAAATGCCTTTCCTGGATGTCCAAAATAAGTGATTAATTACTTGTACACATACACACACAGTCTGTTCCAGATACAATGAATATTTTATTTTATGATACACCTAAGATCGAGGCTTCTCCTTCTTCTCCTTCCAGAGAGCAAGGAGAGAGACACCGGAGACCTTGACAACCTTGAATCGGACACCGGGGATATCTCCCTTAGCCTTACCCTTTCGACCGAAACCGGCGAGCAGGACCTCGTCGTTCTCGTCGACGAAGTTGAGGCAACCATCGTTAGGCACGAAAGCGGAGACTCGCTTACCGTTCTTGGTCAGCTGGACTCGGACACACTTTCGGATACCGGAGTTGGGCTGCTTGGCCTCAACACCGATCTTCTCGAGCACAATGCCCTTGGCGTGAGAGGAACCTCCGAAGGGAGAGGACTTGAAGGCAGTGCCCAAAAGTCGCTTCTTGTAAGAGGCATCAGCCCATCGGCTATGGTTAGTATGGCTGCAAAGGGATCGCTTAAAGCGCGGCGTTCACAATGTGATGGTACGTGGCAGATTGGTCAGACGAATACAGCACTTGAACACAGGCAACTAAAAGACACATTCAGTGTCGTCGTGGGAGAGAAACACATACACAAACACATCATCCATGACACAGAAGAAAAAGGCGCTTGTCGATGACTCCTGTGTCTTGAACTTGTCCATGAACGTTTTCCACCCACTCACTGACACACTTCTTTTCGTTTCTTGTGTCACTCTCTTGTTGCCCTTGTATCTTTGTGTCGCTTCCAACTGAACCACCTGTTTCTTTCCCATGGTGAATTTGTGTCGCGCATTGTTGTTCGTCTTGTCGATATCACTCACTTGTCTCGTCGGTGGATTCTGAGCTTTCGAGCAGCGTTAAGACCTCTAGGCTTTCCGTTACCCATTTTTGATTATGTTCTGTCGAGTTGTAGGAGAGAATAGAAGAAGTTTTCCAAATTCATTATGCTCCCAGCGCCAGTCGGGAAATCCCTAACCTTGCTGTCGTGTGTTCCTAATTTGGCAGAGTCATCACGTGAAGTGTGACTGCTAACCCTAATGCAGCTTAGTTCCAACGGGAGAACCCTAACCCTACAAATGGGCAGAGATGAGGAGTATTCAAAGAGTCCGTACAACTGACAAAGACTGGAATTTTTACATTTTTTCAAATGTTAGAGTACATGTACAATTTCGAAGATGTCTTCCCAGTGAATTTTTCGAAGTTTGATATTTCAAATCCATGTCGACAGGTATTTCGTCAGCTCTCAATACGTAACCACAGCAACCCCACGAAGTTAATCGAGGTTCACAGGTGCTTGTCAGATGTCTGATAGGGTCATTTGAAACATGTCTTGTCAGTGTGGGACTGACCCAGATACAGCAGTAGCTAGAATATGTACTTATACATATCATGGGCGAGATACTGGAATATGGATTGTCATGAACGGGCTTTCAATAATATAAAAGGGTTTCAGTTAGCCATAGTGGTACTGGTACGTACATACTAGTCTCACTATCGCAGGGCCACCATGATCAAGAGAATATGCGAGATCAGATGCAACTGAGAGAGAGCGTGTACTTGTATGAGCACCTGTAAGTACTGTACACTGTAGATTGAGAAGGTATTGAGTTAGGTTTACCACTGATTGTAGGCCTGAATGAATAGCTACTGATGGTAGATCTTGTGCTCGTACTGTATCTGCACGTCTGCAGTTTCTCCGATCTTGGTGTGTCAGTTTCACCTTACAGCGTGTGTGGATAATACCATGTAGGAGGCAACTAGAAATTGATGGAAGGCGCACTCATCGTATATTCTTGCAAGTCGAAGGAAGCTGTCTAGATTCAATAGCTCGTGAAATGCCTCGGCTTGTGATGTTTGGCGCTCCTACAGTAATTACAAGTATGTAGGTACTTAGAGCTCTGTTACGAAAACTCCATATTGGGCAAGGCAGACACTGTGAAGTGGCAAGGTGACCCAATACTTGTATGATATGTGGCGATTATTTCTCCAGGACGACTGATTCATATACAATGCCAATCCATTATTGCCTTATTTTCCATGTTCTGGTGCTCACATTGCTCTACTTCAGGTCCACGGTTTGGTTCTCATAGCAGTACAGTACACCTACAATTTCGCACAAGTGCAGTATGGACTCTCTATCTCTATAGTGAGTCCAATGAACCGCCCCAACGGTGGTGAAGAAACACATGTTTTGAGAGACCGAAAGGACAAGAGAGGTAATGGGACCTCTCAAGAGGACCAAATGACAGATATTGTTCATTAGAATCAACTACTCATCTCTATTACCGTTATTGTAGCCGTTGTATCACTCACTATTAGGGTCATCTCAGATACGGTTACGTGTTTTGAGAATGTTCTGGGAGCGATGATACTTGTATTGTGGCGTGATACCGAGCAGGAGCAATAAATCGTGTTTTTATAGTGTTTGTTTAGTATTCAACATGTCGATATGACACCATTATTAAAAATCGTAGTTACACGTGCACATAATTCGCACTTTTACCTGCAAGTACACTAGGTCCTCGTACATATCACATATCACCTACAGTACAAATTTACTTACCTCACCGCCGTGTCTGTGAAGGTTCATTTATACCTTGCATAATTGGCAATTATTTCCAAACCCAACACACCATAGATGGACGACTACGACGAGTTTGGTAACTACATTGGCGAGGAGGTGGAAGAGGTTGTGGCCAACGGCGTGGAGGAGGTGCATATCGAGGAGGACCAACGGATCCCCGACAGCGACGATGAAATCGAGGACGACAGCAAGACGGAAATGGTGCTCAACCCCGACACGGCCCATCTGGCTCTGGAGCCCATGGTGCGAGATATGGAGGTGGAAGGCGGCAACCAGCAGATCACGCTCCACGAAGACAAGGTCTACTACCCCAGAATGGAGTCTGTGTACGGTCCTGGAGTGGAAATCGTTCATAACGACAGAGATGGGCAGAGCCTGGAAGAACCCATGGTAGAGCCTGAAAGAGAGGTCATCAAGGAGGAGGGATTGCCGGAGACCACATACCAGCGCGACTACCAGGTGGCAATGATGTCACAGACGGAGTACATTCGAAACGTGTCGATTGTGGGCAATCTTCATCATGGAAAGACTGCATTATGCGACATGCTGATTGAAGCGACACACAAGCTGACAGACGAGCATTCGGGCCATATCAACGGACACGTGTCCAGATACACAGATACTGCGGCCGTGGAGATCGAGCGAGGCGTCAGCACTAAGACCAACCCCCTGAGTATGCTGTTGGCCGACTCCAAGCACAAGTCGCATGCCATGACATTTCTCGACACTCCCGGTCACGTGAATTTCTACGACGAGGTTATTTGTGCTTTGTCCATCACCGAAGGAGCTCTGCTGGTCGTGGACGTGGTGGAGGGACCTTTGGCAGGTACTAAGGAGGCTATCCGCAACGCATTCAGACACAGTAACACTCTGACTCTCTGCATTAACAAGTTGGATCGGCTGATTCTGGATCTACGACTGCCACCGGCCGATGCCTACTACAAGATTGCCAACGTGATCGACGAAATCAACATATTTATTGCCTCCGAATTTGGCGAGGAGCGGTACTTTGATCCCCTCACCAACGTCATGTTTGCTTCGGCCAAGTTCCGATTTGTGTTCACTCTGGAGTCCATGGCACGCAAGGTGACCCCCAACTATACCGCGCTGACGAAGCGGCTGTGGGGAAACGTGTTCTACAACCCCGAAACCAGCGCATTTTCTACACAAGCATCTTCCACGGCCAAACGAGCCTTCGTGTACTTCGTACTGGAGCCTCTGTACAAGGTTTTTTCTACCTGTCTTGGAGAAGAGCCTGAGAAGGCTGTTAATATGCTCAGTTCTCTGAAGCTGCCCAAACATTCTCAGAAACTGGACGCAGAAGACCTTATCAGAACGGCATGCATCGCCTTCTTTGAGACCTACTCTCCATTGGTCGACATTCTAACACGATACATCCCGGCACCAAAGGTGGGCGAGGAGAAGGAAGAGGCCGAGAAACCTACAGTTGTCAAGGTGGCCAAATTAATTGCATCAGCCGACAGAGAATCGTTCTATGCGTTGTCTAGAATCGTTTCTGGCTCCGTGCGACTGGGCCAGAAGGTTAAGGTGTTGGGTGCCCATTATGTGCCCAACGAGGACGAAGAAGATTGCGCGGATGCAACTATCACAGACCTGTTTGTGTCCCAAACAAGATACAAGTATACTGTGGTCTCTGCGCCTGTGGGCAACATTGTTCTGATTGGAGGTATCGATAAAACTATCATCAAGAATGCCACAGTGACCACAGACAAGTCCATCTTCCCCTTTTCTCCTCTACAGTTTACTCCTCCAGTTTTCAAGATTTCAATTGAGCCCGTGAACCCTTCAGAGCTCCCCAAGATGCTTGATTCTCTGAGAAAGTGTCAAAAGTCCTATCCCCTGCTTCAAACTAAGGTGGAGGAGTCCGGAGAGCATGTCATATTGGGCTCAGGAGAGCTTTACGTGGACTGCGTTATGCATGATATGAGACTGGTGTTTGCTCGTGACCTTAATGTTAAGGTGTCTGACCCCACAACCCGGTTCTGCGAGACTTGTGTGGAGTCCAGTGCTATCAAAACATACGCAGAGACCCCCAACAAAAAGTCCAAAATCACAATCATCGCCGAGCCTCTGGAAGAAGACGTATCAAAGACCATATCTCTGGGCCAAATCACACCTACAGACAAGCAGGGCTTTGCAAAGCTCGGATACGATGCTCTAGCGTCTAGAAACGTCTGGGCATTTGGTCCTACAGAGACCAGTCCTAACCTGCTTCTTAACGACACGATTCCTGGTGAAGTCAACAAACAGCTTCTCAACTCTGTGAAGGACAGTGTTGTTCAGGGTTTCATGTGGGCTACTCGAGAAGGTCCTCTGTGCGAAGAGCCTCTTAGAGACGTCAAATTTAAGGTGATGGATCTTGATTTGGCTGACAAGGCCATTTTCCGAGGCGCTGGCCAGATCATTCCCACTACCAGACGTGCATGTTACTCCAGTTACTTGCTGGCTGGGCCTAGACTTATGGAGCCCATCTACTCTGTCCACGTGACCTGTCCTCATGCTGCTGTCAAGGTTGTTCTTGAGGTTCTAGAGAAGCGCCGAGGTCATCTCACTTCTGACACTCCTATTGGTGGCACTACTCTCTACGAGGTTATGGGCTACGTTCCTGTCATGGACTCGTTTGGTCTTGAAACCGACATCCGAGTGGCTACACAGGGTCAGGCTCTTGTTTCTCTCATCTTCAACGACTGGCAGGTTGTTCCTGGAGATCCTCTGGACAGAAGCATTAAGCTTCCTTCTCTTCAGGCCATGAGCGGCACTTCTCTTGCTCGAGACTTTGTGGTCAAGACTAGACGACATAAGGGCTTGTCGGACGATCCTACCGTCACCAAGTACCTCGATGACTCGTTGCTGAAGACTCTTACAGAGAGTGGCCTGTTGGGATAAGTATATAGATTGTATTATAGGTTACATAAATTAAATTAATCATTATATCATATACTATTGCGACCCACGCTAGTTATTGGAGCCAAGCTAATGGTCTGTCCACGGCTGAAGGCGTATTTTGGTTGTTCGTCGGCGAATTCAGGCTTTGAGCGTCGGACATGTCGTAGCAGCTCAGCCATTTCTGGCTTTGTGAGTCCTTCGAGATCTTGGCAGGAGGACACCTCTTCCACATGACGAGTGTAGAACGCCGCACATCTGTCCAGGAGAAAGCTGTTGTCGCAAGTGTAGGCAGCTTTCCACAGCTGACACATGAGCACGGGGTTCAATTTGATGAATGAAATTTTGTAGTTGACAAACTCGTGCAATTGTTGAACCTGATATACCTCGGCAAACATCATGAGTTTGAGCAGAGTATCGAAGTCGTCAATGTGGGGGTCAACACCGTAGATACAGTCCACCATGGCTTTGACCCACGTATGGGGATGCTGTGAGAGACTCAAGCTTCTGTTCTGTTGGTTTTCAATTGTCGAATCTCGGTCACATATGAGTTTGAAGTGAGGCCATCGAGCTTTCAAAATCAGAGAATGGACGGGCACTTCTCCTGATTCAGATGCAATGACAAAGTCGCAAGTGGAAGGGTCATCCAGAGCCTCTTGAATGATTTCACACTGCTCAAACAGAGCCGGATACTCAAACACGTCGTTTTCTTCTTCTTCTTCTTCTTCTTCTTCCTCTTTATTGATAGCTTCTGCGTCCATAATTCCGAAATCAAAAGTGCCTTCTGAATTGGGCCGTTCAGGAATCTGTTCCAGTTGTTCCTTGATCTGCTGTGGAGTATGTATGGGTGAATCGGAGTTGGGTGTAGCTGGAAGAGGTGAATCAGGTGGAGGTGCAAACATTTCTGGTTGAGGTGCGAACATCTCTTCTTGAGTGGTAGCAGGTGAAATGAGAGACAAGTCCGAGGAGAACGTTGACGGTTCACTTCCGGAAGAATTCTCCTTTTCATCCTGGGTTTCTGTAGACGTTCTTGGAGAGTCTCTAATCACATTGAGTGTTCTTGGAGTGTCGTAGATGTCTCTGAGCTCATTGATACGCTTGACAGTCTTGAAAAAGGCCTGTGGACTAGCTGCATACTCGTACCACAGATCCACGCGTCCCTGTCTCCATGTGGGCTTGATACTGAGATCTTCGTCCAGCTGGAGCGTATTGAGATGGATTCCTCGCTTTTTTGGCGGCTCCAGGGTCTCTGTGAGCACTAAAAAGGCTCTGTCTGCCATGCGTGTCATTTCTTCACTAATGGTGAACTTGATCCTTCCCGCCATGATATGCACATATTGCGACTTTGGAGACAATAGAGTAGGGGCGAAGTTGTCGATCACAATATAACACTGGTCATTGAGATAGCCCATATGGACTTCTTTCAGCTCATCCTTGCATGACACCACATCTGTCAAAACCACATCTCCCAGACTGAATGTTCTGATGGCCGGGTCCGTGGTGGGTTCTTCTGCCAGGGTCTCTTCCTCTTCGGGGGGCGGCGAGTCTGGCGTTTGCGTCGTAGACTTTTTCAGTGAAAACTTCATGGCGACTGTACAGTGAAGATTGGTAAAATATTTCGCAACATGTCTCCTCTCTCCTCTACCTCCGAAAGTCCTGTATATATGTATCCTCTCCCCACTTAGCTCAACACTAGACATTGCTTGATCTGGAACGAGTACAATTGTATTAAAGTTTCAAAATGTCTCACCCACTAGCCGTAACGTGACTCGTCCAGACACCAACTACATACGCAGTCAGGCACAGCCTCGTACTTTTGCTCGTACTGGTGCACATGAGCGGGGTAAGTTTGCGATTTGTGGGAACATGCAGCCATGCTACAGCGTATTTATGGCACGTATAAAGTCATGACGGGGCTGGTAACATTCTCAGCGGCTCGTATACACGCCACAAGACGTTCCCCCTTTTTTTCTAGCACCTCAAGACGCTCTAATGTTGTCATCCCCAACGTGAAAATTATGCATGGCGCAGACCATCTGCTGCTGTGCGCTGCACTGGGGTCCAAGTGGGTACCTTCATTGTTATCCCAATAACCTTCCGTCAAGTCATACATTCGCAAGTGGCAGGGTGTCACCGATAAGGGAGGGTGCCAGCACGGGTAAGCACAAGTACGAGAAGCTCTCTGTATGTCAACCTGTCGATTACAGATTCAACCTCTTCTAATGCGATGCACTTGTATCACGGATTCTCGACTCTCTGGCCCTAATTAGTGCGCTCTTAATAGCCACGGCGCCGCGTCTTAGAGTAGAATGGATCCAAGCCCTCATCTCATTGTTTGCCGTCATAAATCAGTTTCTCCGATAATAAAAAACTTGGACATACTGTATATACTGCAACCTGTGTGACCTGTCAGTCTGGACAACAACCGAACGAAGATTTTCTTTGCTTCCCCACATGCCTGTCTGACATTCACACACTTGTCTGACAGTCTGGTCAAGACACTTTGCTTATTTTCGGACAATGTTTCTCAACAATGAAACTTAGGCCCTCACATATACAGTCCCGTCGCTTCTCAAGTGTGGAAAAGGCTGGTAGTCTGGCTACTGGGCCGTATTTTAGGTACCCGGAAGATTTTGACCTACGAGTAGCGCACAAGTACGACTTCAAGTATCGGAGAGTAGCCTACATACTGTAGTCAGAGAGTCTCATTCCACACTAACGGGGTGTGCGCAGGAGGCCAGAATCTGAAAGATATTAATAGCCACAGGAGATGGTCAATGAAATGACCATTTTTCATACGGCAACACATCATGCAACTTCAAGATCCACAGATCACCCATCGACACTTCCCATATGCGACAAGGGCGCTTGTCTATCACAGATATAGCCAGTAGCACGGGGTCACATCGTCACAACGCCATGTGTCACCATAAACCATCGAATCAGAGAACCACTAGATGAATCTGATAGTCCGTGCCTTTGTTACCACCAGCCCCCTCTCTCTGCTGAACTTGACAACAACGAATTGCACAAAATTACAAGCCTGAAGAGTTCCGAAATTAATGAGAATAAATAATAATGTTTCATAGAGCGCTTGTACGGCGGTCGAAGCGAGCACAAAAGACCAGGCCCATTAAACCATGGATTTCTCGCAACCTCCGGCATCTGTGTTTTCTGGCGAAGATGCCTTCACATACTCTGCCCAGCAAATAATCACAGAGAAAAGGGATAGTGCCAAGACAACAATACCCTTGAAATAGGAAATAAAATACACCTGGGCTACGCCAGTACCAATCTGGATACTGGCGACCCCCAGAAAAAGCAGCAGAGCGTCCTGATGGCCGATGTCCCCCTCGTGGTTCTCATCTAGGATGCAGAGTGGAGCAAAACAAAATAGCATCTGGAAAAATCCTGCCATTATATTAAGCATGACCACATTGTCTGGCTCTAAAACCAGGTCTAGCACATGCTTGGTCCAAATGTCGATGGTCAATAGCCCGGCAATAATGCATACTGTGCTAGCAATGTATCTTAGTGGCGTCTCACGGACTTTGGAGTCACGTTCTGGAAGATCCATTTCGCTGTAGATGCAGATTGTGGTCACCGAAAGCATAGCGTGAATAATACCGTGGTGGTAGCTCTGGTTCATCATGTACACCGACACCAACCAGGACCAGAGCACAGTATGAACCATATGAACTATCTTGTCGCTGTATCTGGTTGCCGACATGGCATTGACGGTCAAAGATAGAAACACCGCCAAGTAGACCGTCAGGAACTCTCTTGGCTGGGACTCATTCAGGGCCACACCCAATGTAGCTAGTCCACAAATAAAACATAGAAAGGCCAAGGTATCATGGGTAGATTTCTTTTCGCCCAGGGTATTGTACTTCGAGTAGTCAATGGTGAGCTCTGCAGCAATTGCCATGAAAACAAGATGAAGGCCACCAGCAGGTCCCTGAGAAGTGCACATGAGGTACAGCGAAGACAGTATGATGACGAGGAGGGCGAGAATGCGAGAGATTATGGTAGGTCTAACTGTAAGAAAGTACATTATTCCACAGTTGAGCACAATCAGCATAACATGCGCGCATCCAATCTGTGTCCACAGGGGCACAGCACAGGCCATGTAGCAGAACACGAGAGCTGCAGCTTGATAGGAGTCCTCAGTCGAGCAGGGGCCTTCTTGGTCGTCGTGGATATCGACAATGTGTGCCTTGTAATAACAGACGGTACCTGCTGTCGAGAGTGAGAGAAAGACATGGCCAAGCAGGGGATCACACAGTGTCATAATAATGGTAGCGATGAGCGCGTTGACACACGACACGGCGAGGCAGAAGGCTGCTCGCGATCTCCAAGACAACGTGACTACCCGTGTCATGACTATGGTTGTGGGAAAGAACCCCAGACAGCAGACGATCCGTGTAGGGTTGGCCTGTATGTCGTTTGTGTCCATCAATGAGTATGCTGCAGCCATGAAGGCGAGGGTCGAGAAAGCTGCAGAGGCAGCTAGTAGAGCGGTGTTGTTTCTAGAGGGGCTTGGTGTAGGGACGCCCACATCGCGTGGGTGATTATATGGGAACTTGTTGTGAAGCGACATTTGTAGAAGAGCGGCGTCGTGTAGATGATGACAAGAGTGTGGGTTTTAAGTGTCGACGGACTCCAACCTTATGTTTTGGGGTGCGTGAGCTCGCAGATTTATGCGAGCTTTATTGTCTCCACTACAACTACTCGACTTCAGTCGCTCCATGTTACATTCTCACCGTCTGATGGCGGTCAAGGGTTTAACACCTAAACGGATAAAAAGCTGGACATGGTTTTGTAAACGCGAATATTTTCAGCACTATCGATGATGATAGAGTGTTAGAGTGGACTCGATTGATCGACCAGTAGCCCCACACCAACTTTAACCGTATATTTCCTTGCATTGTTTTCTGCTATCAGACGAGAGCACCCAAGGCGGCTAGATATCCACATCCCAACCACTCTCATATACAGCACAGTACAGTACTGTACTTCCATCACGTACCCGTAACTTTGTTTGACAAGTCTGAGACATAAAGGTGGCTCTCAGCTAACCGCATCCAGATGACAGCTGGTTTTTCTTGTTCATTGGACTAAGCTCGACTGCGTCTCATCTGCGCCACATGCCAAATAGAATGTGAGGTTAATGCAGAGACTGATCTCTAAACTTGACGACCCATTCAACGAGCTGACAATGAACAGACGGTAGGAGAGTTGTAGAGAACATTAATATTGGATGGACCAAGGAGATGGAGAGTATCGTTATTACTATGAATTCCAGTGTTTATCATGATGGGCTAGGATATACTACTGGTAGCTGTTGCAATTCCGATTTGTACTTGTAATTGCTAGATACGGACATGTCTGCTTTCGGCAAGATAAGTACAGTGGACTGCATTTGCTACTAATGAGATATCTGTAGAAACGCCAGAGTCACACCGTACAACACTCGTGCATGTATCTCCGTAAGGAGCAATATGCGTGGATATTCAGGTCCTTCTTTGCATATTAATCATATGTCGCCCTTTTTTTTTTTGGCACCTCACCATGTCATGACTCTATGTTTTTTGGCAACTGACCTTTGGACCAGATCTACTGGACACATATTTTCGGTTCAAAGCGCTACAAGTAGTTCGTGCAAGACGGCGTATTCCCTTTTGGGCGGCGTGTCTTTACTACAATATCCTACAGTAGATAATACGAAGTACTTCAACTACTTTACGATAATGTACTTGTCATTACCACAGTACTTAGACGAGTCAGCCATTGCTGTTCAAGTATGTACTATACGCATCAAAATACCCCCACGCCCATCGTCGATTGTATGTCATAGTATCGTATTAAGAGTTAGAGTGTCCACCAACATGAAGAGATATTGGAGTAACTTGAAGTTAAGACTTAGCTAATCCATCTACTTGGAGTGGGTGCAGCAAGAGCACGAAGATCCAGCACAAGAAGAAGAGCAAGAAGTGCAAGACTTGTCACAAGAAGAGCAGCCGGCCATTGTTGAATAGATTGAGATGTTGTTGCGAGTAGCGGAGGTAGTTGTAGTTGTTTTGTCGAGATGACTTGTGGAGAGCACAATTGGAGTGGCAGTACGTCTCCCTTATATACTCCTCACAAGTGACCGTCTATGAAGATAACCAGTTAGATTACCGCCCGGCCGTTATCGTATGCATTGCTGGCCTCAGTAGCATCGGACGTAAGGGTACACAGTATGTACTCGTACATCCAACAACGTCACTCTCACTGCTTTCCTCCGTCTGTTTAATTACATGTTGGTGAAGCTAATCTGTCGCTACGCCCAAAAATTATATGCACACATAGACTCCTGTGCCTGGCATGTGGAGCCACTGTATAGTTGAGTGACAAGCAACGTGTGTAGAGAAGAGGGATACACTGTTTAGAGGGGGAAAAACTCGCCAGTACAACATTGCTGGCGGTCTATTACGATAAAATACTGACATACAAATACATTTCTAGAAATACACGATAGTCCACGGAGAACTTGATAAGCTCGCCTCGCCATTAAGTTTGATTAGCTGCTCTAGGCCGGCGAGTACGGGTCGAAGGAGGAGGTGGCAACCCTACGTCAGGCCAGAGCAATTTGCCCATTCGCAATGAGTCCAAAATATTATCGCCCTTGCGTGTCCGCGATTCTTTGTTGCGGCACACCTTTTCAGCGTCCCGCGCTGTAGCCTGAGAACCGATATCCGCGTTCCACTCTCTCCCCAAAAGACCCGTCAGGTGGCTCCATACTCCGGTCGATAGAGCTGCGTCAGAGTAGCCTCCTTCGAGTAAAGAGAGAAGCTTGCCCTTGTAATAAGACGCCAGTGCGGCCGAGTCCTTGGAAAAGCGGTGGTAGAACTCCACAGGCACGTTCACCGAGTGTCGCTGCATGCCCTTACCTTCATGCTCGGATGCATCAAAGCCAGCTGATAGCACCACCAAGGGCTTAAACTCGAGCCCTGCCTCCCGAGCCTCACGCTGGGCCCTGAAAAAGAACTCGTTGGCCTTTTCGAATAGCACACAGTACTTTCTGTAGAGCTGCCAAAACTCCTCTTCGGTTTCGTACGGCTCAAGATGGACGTTCCAAATGGCTAGACCATGGCCCATGAGACAAGTAGACGCATTTCTAAGGGCATCTGGAGTGGCATAGCCTAGCTCTGTAGGGAAACTGTTGATGTCATGCACACTAAAATACCCAATGGTGGGAGACGGATAGGAGTGCTTCTTCTCGGGCTCAGGGGTGTGTTCGGGCGTGGTGTCTGCACCCACGTTCACCTGCGACCAACAAATGTCTTGTGACCCATCTCCGTGGTGCAGATCAAAATCAAGGATGACTGCATGTGTCACGCCGTATTGCTTAGCAGCATATTGGATGGCCACATGGGCATTGTTGATTAGACAGAACCCGGAAGGGTCGCAGGCGTGACAATGGTGCCCTGGCGGTCTAATGTTAACAAACGCCTGCGAAAAAGTGCTTGTCTTTCCCTCGGGAGGTGGTGTGTCGCCAATTGAGAGTTTCTGGAGAGTTTCGGAGACATCTGAATCATACAGTGCGTCCACACCACGCTCAACTGCACCTACCACGCCCTTTAGAGCAGTCAGTGTCTCAGGGGACAAATAGATGTCACCCTCGGGCCAACCAGGAGGCAGTTCCAATTGGCCAGCTTCAAGCTTGTCCTTTGATTCCAGACACAGCTTCTCCAGCAAGTTGATATACTCAACGCCATGGACAGCTGTCACATGCTCACTGGACAAATTAGCCTGTCTGACAGACTCTTCAATCTCAAACTTGCCCGGGTTGTTTGCGATAGCCGCGCCAACACCTAGAGATGTAGCCTTGAGCCGCTCGGGTCGTTCCACCAACGAGTCCTTGTATTTTTTTCCCATCCATGAACGACCAAAAGTGTGTTTGTACGATAGGGGAGATTGAACAATTAGCGTCTGGGCAGTTCCCGAGAAGCACCCAGGATATATCTTGTCAATTGCAATCTTGAATGACGTCACAGCGTCGTAATCATCTGAGGAGGTGGCCACAATCTTGTGAACAGGTGTCTCAGGGACAACTGCAGGGGTTTCTGTTTTCAAGGGAGTGGCTTCAGGGGTGGCCAACTTGAGCGGAGTTGCTTCAGGAGTATTTCTGTGACTGACATGAGGGGTCTGAAATTGTGTGGAAGGTATGGCTGGACTTGAGTGTCGTGAAGAATGGCCCGAATGAGGTGCTGAGGGAGGTACTGAAGACACAGTACCAGAGGCACCCATGTCGAACAGAGCTGGGTCGATAGCTGCTCCATCCTCCAGTCCAGGCTCCTGCTTGATATATCCGTTATATCGCTGTCCATGAGACATGTCTTCACCTCCTGGGGCGGATCGTGTATGCGGCGTGTAATAGGCGCTTGGTGTTTGGGGTGGCTCTTGTTTCACAACTTGGGGGGTATAAGGCTGCTGGGTGTGAGATTGTTGCTGAAAATTCTTGTCCCACGGTTTGGGGATTCGATGGTTTCCATTTGGCTGTTGACTGCCGTTTTCAGGTGTCTGTTGCCGCTCCTGATACTCCATCTTGGTTGTTGTTTTGGTGGAGTGCAGATGTAACGCGTCATGTGTGGACTTAATCTGAACCGTATATTTGAGACATGAGATAGGGTGTTTACTGAAACGGAGAGTGTTCATGTGACCAGAAAAGGGATTGAGGACACATTTGGACTTTGAAAACTTCATAGACAAATACTTCTTGACACCCTGACTGATGGCTTCTCCACATGTATGTATTGTACCTGTAGCCCACCTCATCTCCTACCAAGCTTGGCTAAACGAGAGCTTTAGTCTATAGACAATCAGCCTCAACGGCTGGACATCAGGTTTTGAGAGGTACAAATCACAGTTTGTTTTTTGCTAAAATTGTTCAAGAGTACCACGTGTAATCTCTCACTTGTTCCTGTCACAAAAATACCCCTAGTTACGCATCCCTCAATTCTGGTATTCGTATTTGTATTTCTCAAGTCATGTGTGAAGGAACTTAATTTAAGAAAGGGGCTGGTATACGGATATGCACTACGTTCGAGGGTGTACTTCTTTACCACACCGTCCAAGGGCAAGTACAGCACCACCATATATAAGGATGCAGCATATACAATACACACGTTTATTTTGATCACGCACCCATTTATCTATCATATATCACCCTCCCACCATGTTACAAATGGGGTATGTCACCAACGGTTTAGCGCGTTTTGAACCCTGGCCTTGGTGAGGAAACTCAATTGGGGTTACCCTGCCGAGAGCTGGGGTAATTTGCCAGCGCCACTTATCCCAACTCGCCGACGAATCGAACCTCGTACTTCCACACCACACAACACCAAACACTCAACCATGTCCAACCTCGACCAGTCCCTCGACGAGATCATCTCCGCTGCCCCCAAGCGATCCAACCGAAAGAACCGACGAGGAGCAAGCGCTGCTGGAAACGGTGGAGTCCAGAAGGCCACCCCTGCCGCCCCCAAGGCTGGTACCCCCAAGAACAAGCAGCAGAAGCAGCAGCAGCAGAAGAAGGTCGCTGCTATTGTCAACCCCATTGACGAGGCCAAGAAGCTCGCCAGCAAGGTCATTATTTCCAACCTGCCCCAGGACATTGGCGAGGACGCCATTCGAGTATGTTAAACCGAAGATACACACACGCGACACTGCTAGAGTGATGCGTGGAGTGGACTCAGTTGCACCTGCAGCCTCAAGGCGCACACAGCAACATCAACGGAGCTGATACCGATTCGTGAACGCTTTCTTCGAAAGTCAGTAGCAAGGGAAGTTGCCATTTTTGTGATGGCAGCACCTCATTCAACAGTAGCCAGTATTTCTGCTCTGCAAAATTCTTGGTGAAGAGTAACCGAATTTCCTTCTTTTTAGGAATAAGGTGAAGAGTAGCCAGACGCTTCCCAGTGAAGAATCTGGTGAAGTGATACGCGGTTTCGGGAGCAGATCTGGATCGTCCTCGGACTGATTCCTGCGCTCACGGCCATGCTTATATGGCCAACCGACATTCCGAGAACTGAAACTGAACGGCCTTTTCAAAAACAGCTGCTAGAGAGCTGAGAGCGGTGGGGTTTGCTTGTTGTCATAATGGAGAGAAAGATCGAAAGCACTCATTGCTAATGTGACACGAGCCGGATTGAAAGCTGATGATCAAAGACCTGCGCATATTCCTTGCCTTGTCTTTGCAGCTGTGCGAGGGAAGAAAAATCCATGTCCAGTTTCAGAAGTCAGCCCCTGGAGGCTGGCAAACCTGTTGCAAATTGCTTGTCGCAGGTTGTCCCTATTACTGGGATTTCTCAGGAATGAAAGTCTGCACCAGCCTGGCTGGGTCAGAGTTAAAGCCGCCAGTAAGACATTGTATAATCCTTGTCAGATTCCTCTGACACTCATTTATGCTCTGCTTTGCTCCCCATTTTCGGATCAGTTCCGTTGTGATTCACGTGATTCCTTAAGAACTCGTGCTGACCATTAGGACTACTTCAAGACTGAGATCGGACCCATTTCCGCCTGCACCATGGTCTACAACAAGGGTGGACACCCTGCCGGAATCGTCAATGTCACCTTCAAGCGACAAGGTGATGCTGCCAAGGCCGCCGACAAGTTCAACGGTACTTCCATCGACCGTGGAAAGCGATACATGAAGGTGAGCAGCTAGACATAACAGAGGAGGATCAAGAGAATCAAGAGGAGGGAAATGCCGGCGACAGTGACGACAAATTACGACCATGACACCATCAAATTGACACTCTGCCTTATTTGGACAGGCAGATGTTACTCTGGAGGAGGAATACCATTGATTGCCGTCTACTGCGTGCCGATAATTGCTTGAGACGAAGCGATTTGGATACTAACACAGGTTGAGTTGGTTTACGACCCTTCCAAGACCCCTCTGTCTGCCCGACTCCAGCCCAAGCCCGAGCCTGCTCCCGCCAAGGCCACCGTCAACGCTGCCGCCAAGGCCAAGCAGCAGCAGCAGCAGCAGCAGAAGAAGAAGGCCACTAAGCCCAAGCCCAAGAAGGCCCCCAAGAAGACTGTGGAGCAGCTCGATGCCGAGATGGCTGACTACTTCCAGGATTAAATAGAATTTAATTGATGTATATTAGCTTTTTAATACTGGTCTTGAGTGTTCTGTGTTATGATAATTCCCCCTCAAGTGGATTCTATATCCTATGGTTGACCAATTGTACGTACTGTAGCTACTTGTACTACATTGTAGTATTGTATGTGCTGTGTCACTCGTCTTTTGTACAATGTGTCATGGCGGCAGCCGTCAGAGAAGGATCTGCCGTAATATACAGAAGCAGTTAATCACGCCGAAACAGAGACTAAAAGTTCAGTACTGGCGAGGCGACCCCCTGTCATGGACTCCAAACCCTGTGCCTTGTTTCTGTATAGATAGCTACTGTACTTGTAGACGCTAATTATTTCCAATCATAAATTCGAAACATCGCCATTCGCTCGTAGTATGATAGACTAACGGCCCTACCCCCAAACGATAGACGAATACACGAGTCTATGAAAACACTGCCTAATTAGAACGCGAAAAGGGGCATGCACAAACCTACTGGTACAGTATTGTATCATACTAAAAGCCCCATGATTATTAGTGCTCTAACGTGTAAGCCGGGTAGCCGAACCCCGTACTATTTTAGACCCCGTTTCGGACAGAGTACAGGCCCATCAGTCTCGGCGTCCGTGCACTGTATACAACTTCTGACACATTTCCCCTCTGTGCTCGTGTTTGACAGCTCGTCCCCACCTCCTCGCACGGTCTCTTAACTCTCTTCGGTCTTGCGTATTTGCGCGTCTGCAAAAGGTTACTTTCCCCTGAGTACACTCAACTTGTTCCGCTATACGAAATTAAAGTTGGCCCCCTGTCGTTTACTTGTACATCAACCACACACATACAAGCCCAACACCTTACATCAGGATCTCTGGCCAGACCGCATCACCACCTGGAGGACACCATGCAGACGCTGAATCCGTTGCTCCACATCGAGTATGTCCTGGCGGCCGAGTTCGACATCGACGCAGGCCCTGTGGTCAAGTACCAATACCCCGACACGCTTCCTGGCGACGAGCAACTCATGGCGGAGCTCATGCTGCCAGATCAGAGCCACGTGCGCAACCAGGACTGGACGATATTCTTTCTGCACGACGAAAACGGGCTGCTCAAGTACCGCCCCAACGACAAGGGCGACATGTTCTACGTGCTCAACCTCGTCAATACCAAGTTCGATAAGGACGTGCGACGAGGCGCTATCGTCAAGAGTATGTGTCTGATTACGCGTTACCCCTACTTTCAGATCTTCAAGCCCGTGCTAATTCTCGCTCTGGACGAGTACTTTGACGCGCCGTCGCTCGACTGTCTCAAAAAGCTCTACAACAGCATCAACAGCATGAGTGTGGACCGCATGCCCTCCTTCTCGGCGTCAGAAAAACTGCTGCTGGCAGTTTCTGAGGACCATTCGCTGTTTGCCGAACGGTTTGGCGAGGAGGAGACGGCATCTATCGTCGACGAGAAAAACGCTCCTATTGATCCCAAAAGAAACTCGTCAGGGGAGAAACCCACATACTACATTGATCTCAAAAACAGAGGCCATCGGCTGGTAAGCACAGGAACGGTGCGAGATACACACTACTTTGACTCGTCGTTACAATACGGAGCCATGAAGATCCCCGTTAAGGTGCCAACGGCCATTTTCCCCGAAACGGTAGGCGACTTTTCGCTCATCCGACTGCTCAGAACCCTGCAAAGTGTCAAGGGTCCGTTCAAATCGGTCCACCCGCAACTAACTATCTTTGGGCCCACCACGCCACCGGTGATTGTGCTTATCAACGCGCTTCTGACCCAGAAACGGGTGCTCTTCATCGGATACAATACCCCTTCGGGCGATGTCGCCGACCACGTGCTGGCAGCCTGTTTCCTTGCATCTGGCGGAGGCATTCTGCGTGGGTTCACACGGTATGCTTTCCCCTACACAGATCTGTCAAAGGTGGACGATCTGCTAGAAACACCAGGTTTCATTGCTGGTGCCAAGAACCCTGCATTTACCCACCACCCCACTTGGTACGATGTGGTTGTGGACATTGAAAACTTCACAATGGACATTTCCCCAGCAATCAGTTCTCCTGTGCCCAAGGAGAAAGACTCTAAGGGCACTAACCCTCTATTTGCAACGATATCTCAGGACGATATGATTTTCACAGACCAGATTAAACGTATGTTGACGGAACATTACGGTGAGTCGTCGATTCGACACCGGTGCAGAAACTACCTGATTCGGTTTGTGCGAATCGCCATCTCTTACGAAGAGTACAAGTACAAACAGTCACAATTATGGCCTCGAAAGGCCCCGGAAAAGGACGCAGGGCACGGGTATGTGTGGAACTCGGGGACACGGCGTCTCTTGGACTTTCAAAACCTAGAGCCCGTTATTGAGGGCTGGCGTCAGAGTAGATCTTATAAGCTGGCTGCGGAGGACGAGCAGGAGAGACTAACCAACCCGGAAGCTCTGACCTTGGACGTGGAGCACTGTCTGGACAAGCTCAAGATACAAACTCTCAACAACTCCGAGAGTGCAGCTATCTACACACTTTTGCATACACATGTGTCTGGGTATGACGACATCAACACCTTGTTGGTACATGCCATTGACAACAATCTTTTCGAGGTTGCACTGGGGTTGGTTCACCGGTTCCCTGCTGCACGGGAGGCCACCTGTGAGCTCCTCGAGCGAATCAGAGCCCATCCTGCTGGTAAGCGGTTCTTTGATCGAATCAACCCTTTCCTTAAGGTGACCTTCTTCCGGATTATCGAAGACAAACGAAGCTGAGGATAGATGACACTTACACACCAACAGTCATACACACCAACAGTCAGACACACCGACAGACACCGACAGACAGACGGACAGACGGACAGACAGACAGACAGACAGACAGACATACACACGCATACTCTCTCTCTCTCTCTCTCTCTCTCTCTCTCTCTCTCTCTCTCTCTCTCTCCTTTTCTAATGTCGCAACCTCTTCAGGTTATCTCGCACAGTTTTAATATCAAACGCGGGTATGTAATTGTATGTAATCTAGTATTTATTTTCCATATGAATTGATGTGTAACTGCTTGTAGCTACTTGCACGAGTGCACTTCTACAATTACTGTACAGTATGTACCTTGGAATATGCCAACATCAATGCACATCCCAATTGAAGGCAAACGAACCTTGACCACGTGTAAGAGAGAAACGTGTTACGACGCGTCGATGGAAGTATGAGAGATACAATTGACAATCAAGTCAGCAGTAATACTCCTTGTAAACACGGCGACAGTTGCTAAATAAAATCAGAATGTCTCAAATCTAATCAGAGGTCACACATACCCCGTTCGTTGGGGGAGACATTATTCCCAACCTTGATACGAGGTCGTCCATTTTCCACTGCATGTGAACCAACGTTATTACAAGTAGCTACACCATGTCTCTGCTCACAACGAAGAACGTGCTGCTGGCAGCCATTGCCCTGCGGGTCGTGTTTTTCTACTATGGCCTCTACCAGGACGCCACCATGGCCCTGCGGTACACAGATATCGACTACTACGTCTTCACCGACGCTGCAAGGTTCATGGCCAACGGACTGAGCCCATACGAACGAGAAACATACCGATACACGCCTCTGCTGGCATGGCTGCTCCAGCCCACGACGCTCTGGTTCTCCTTTGGCAAGGCGGTGTTTGCTGCAGGCGACATTGTTGCTGGATACGCGATCATTCGCGTCCTGAAGATGCAGGGAGTGTCTGACAAGAAGGCCGCTCTGTATAGCACAGTGTGGCTGCTGAACCCCATGGTAGCCACAATTAGCACCCGAGGCTCCTCCGAGGGTCTTTTGGGCGCGCTCATCGCTCTTCTATTGTGGGCAGTCTATGCCAAACAGTGGGTTGTGGCTGGTTTCATAGCCGGCTTCTCGGTCCACTTTAAGATCTACCCCATCATCTACATCCCCACAATCATCTGGGCCATGAACGACACCAATGTGAAGACCAACGGTGGCAAGCGAGTGTCTCTTGTCGAACAGGCCTTCAACTTCTTCACCAAGGAACGTCTCCTGTTTGGTTTCAGCGCAGCTCTCACATTCATCGCTTTGTTCTCTGCATGCTACCATTACTACGGCCATGAATTCCTCCAGCACACATACCTACACCACCTGTCGCGAACCGACCACAGACACAACTTTTCACCCTACTCCACCCTGTTATACATGGTGTCTTCTAAGGCTGGACAGGCTGCTGAAGAACAGGCCCTGTTGCCCCCTCCTCAAACGTGGGCCTTTGTGCCCCAGCTGCTGCTGTCAGGAATCATTCTGCCACTCAGCCTGGCCAAGATCTCCATGGTCAAAACCATGTTTCTGCAGACCTTTGTGTTTGTGACCTTCAACAAGGTGTGCACCTCGCAATACTTTATGTGGTACATTGTTCTGCTGCCCTTTTACTTCAAGGACTCCAAACTCATGTCCCCTGGTCGCAAGGTGGTGTCTATCACCTTCGCAGTTCTCTGGGTCGTTGCTCAGGCTCTGTGGATCCAGCAGGGCTATGCTCTGGAGTTTTTGGGTCGGTCCACCTTCATGCAGTTGTGCTATGCCACTCTGGGCTTCTTTGTGGTCAACTGTTTTGGCATTGTGTTGCTGGTTGGAGATTTGTAATATAAACACACAAGTACATAGATAACGAATGACTTTATATCGTTTCACAGTTGCATTATATTTTATTCTATTTGGTTTTGATCCTTGCCTACGCCGTGGTCATCAAATCTATCTTACTCTAAACACGACAGGGATATCACTTACTTTCGGAAGCTTCGCAGAATGGCCAGGAAGATGATGGCAAAGTGGAAAAGCTGCTCCTTGAAGAAGAAAAGGAAGGCGGAGGTGAGCACGGACTGCACCACCTTGGTGTCCAGACCCTTGTACAGACCGGCAATGCCCTCGTCGTTGATGATCTTTTTAATTCCGGACAGGAAGTTGAGCTGCTGGCCGTCCTTCTGCTTGACCTGCATTCGAGACTTGAGGGTGATGTAAGGATAAGTGACGGTGGTGGCCACAAGCTTGCCCAGGGCGCCGTAGAGGAAGGCGTCGATGGAGGTGAACTTTCGTCGCTTCTCCACTCGGTTCTTCAGCTGCTCGAAAATGGTGTACTGGAGAATGGGGTTGATGACAAGCACCAGGGCGGGAGCAATGCCGGAGAAGAAGGTCTTGAGGCCGTCCTTGGAGGCAATCTCCTTGATGGTGGCGAGAGTGCCCTGCTTCTTCTCGGACACAGTCATTCGGGTGTTGACGACCCAGATGGGGTTGGTCAGAACGACGGTGGCGGATCCAGCAACGGCACCGGCGAGCATGGACTCACCAGTGGTCAGGTTCATGCTGGCAGCTCCAGCAGCGGCCTTGGAGAGCTGGAAGATGGTTCGTGACGACTCGTAGAAGTAGTAGTAGACGAAGTTGGTGACGGAGATACCGAACAGAGCCGAGTCCAGACCGGAGTACAGACCAGCGATACCCTCTCGCTTGACGATCTTCCGGGCGGCAGCCAGGGCAGACAGCGTCTCAGCTTTGGAGTCCTTCTTGGTTCGCATGGACTCGGTCTGGGCTCGGGTGGACAGAGTGATGAGAGGGTAGGTGACGACCATTGAGAGGGCTCCTCCTCCGGCGCCGGCAAGGGCGTGAGCGACGTTATCGTTTTCGGCCATGATGGTGGTGTGTGTGTTTCTGTTTTGCTGGTGCTGTACCTGGTAAGTATCTACTTTGTACGTGCTGAGAGGGAGCTTTATTCTGATGACCCAAATTAGGTCTCCCCGAACTCACAACCTAACGTAACGTGTGTGCCAACGTTATCCGGGTTGCAGACTGTGCAGGAAACGAAACAGCACAGAAGAATCATTACAGTTGACTGAAACAAGAGGGGGGCAAATTGCGGGGCAGTCACGTGATAGCTACCAACCCGCAGGCCGTAGAACCGCTTTGTATCTGATCCGCCCACCACATGGCCTCGTCGATGTACTGCTATCCACCATCACTTGCTCCCCAGATCTACTCCTATGCACTTGCAAACAGAACCCTGACTTACCCCTTCTTCCCCACACACTGCATGCATGAACGTGATAATCTTCAACTTTACCAAGGCACAGCCAAGTTAGCCGAGGTCCGTACCAGCAGTAGCCAACCAGAACAAATATAACGCGCCGGTTCCCCCTTATGTGTGTCTCTACCCCCTCTTCTCCACACCTCCTAAATTGTTATGTGGAAGATATTACATTGCGGTGAGACAGGGGTCACGTAGAGAGTCCAACACCCAATCCACCACTAATTACTGTTCTCTGGTGAACTATCGTCCTCCACCTCATCTATTGGGAGCAAAACAACATGATGCACTTCACCTGCAAAATTCCACTAAAACCAGCTACTGTACAAATATCGGAATGAGACGTGCTTGCCGCGTTCCAGAAACCAACCATGTGCCAAGCGTGGAGTGCACGGTGTATAGTTTGTTTGTTGGTATACCTCGGTTGGCCTTTGATCTAGTGTCATTTGACCTATACTGTACCTTCCGAAAGAGGACTATTGATGACTCGTAACTGTATGTACTGGTGCGATACAGGATACAGTTGACAGCTCGGCCGTTATGGTGGTAGCCTTCTCCTGTTCTGGACCCAGTTCCCCAGATCAGCATACAGAGATGCGTGCTGTACAACTACCGGTACAAACAGAAAGGCGATCACAGGTGAGTGAAATTTGGCGAACAGAAACGCGTAGTACTTGTACTCGCACCGTACTTGTAGCTACAATACTCGTAATTCGCCATAACCACAGCCTGTCACTCGGTACATGCTTCACTCAGCCGTACGGACGCACTTTTCGATTAAGCCTATCTGCCGCTTGTGCCGATTGAGACCTGGATTAGGGTAGAAGATAATAGCACTGTCGCTGGCGTGGGCCCGACGTTTTTCTGGTAAGGATAAGCAGAGATTTTGATTTGTTCATTTTCTCTTTTTCATCAGCTAATGTCAACAACTCTCTATGACGAAACCTGAGAGGCATCAAGGGGTCGTGCTCATTTTAACTCGCTAAGGTAAAATGTGGACCGCCTTATTAATTACTCGACACCTTCAACAACACCTTTAACTGAAATTTGTTGGTTTCATAACTAAACCTAGTTGGCTTTCCAACACTTCAGTTGGCGTTGTTGAGTAGTGCAGGCGCCCCATCAGACTCCACTTCCCATACACCACCACCACAAGATGCAAACGATTGAAACATATAATTTCGACAGTGATCCCGAGTTCAACAACGGCCTGAACGTCCTGCTGGCCAATGCCGGCACCACCCTCGAAGAGGAAAACAAAAAGGAGCAGGAGAGCGGACACAAGTCGGAGCTCATCATCAAGGCCAAGGAATTCTATCTCAACAGAATCAACAGCAGACAGCAGCAGCAAGGAACCACTCAGACAGAAGCAGCAGCATCTGGAGAGCCCACAATTACATACAGCGACCCGCCGCTGACAAAGCAGCTGTCTTACGAGGAGCTGGTAGACCTCATCTCATCAGGAAAGGAAGTTCCGGGTATCCGGCAAATCCCCGACACGGTGCTGGGCCATGATGCATCTTCTGCTGCCACCACAGACCGACCCAAGAAGCCCTGGGAGAAGTAAACTAACTGCTTGCACATTTGACAAGGGCTATAATGATTTTGTTAAGGGCTATATACATATTCTATATCTGATTTTTTATTGTTACACGCGATCTCTCCAGAGACCCGTTACTGGAGAATTCGCATAGTGGCCTCAAATACAACTAGTGCAATGGCGTTTGTAGGGAAAGACCGAATGAACGAAGGCATGAATCCTCGGAAGTAGCCTCTCCATCCCCATCGTTTGTACACGCTCTTGCATGCTGACCACCAGGTAGGGTACTTGGGGTTGATAACTGTGTCTGTCATGATCTGCTGCTTGACCACGTCGAAAGGGAAAGCAGTGACCCAGAAAATGGTGGCGGAGAAACCACCGGCCCAGAAGTTGATAGTGGGCAAACCCATGTCTGTGCGCTTCTTCAGCTGCTTAGTGATCAGATCGTAGGATCCCCACCAGAAGAAAAAGTTGGTTCTGAACAGCATGGTAGAAAACAGACCCTTGTAAAGACCGGGAAGACCTCCCTGGGAAAGCAATTGCTTGGCACAGTTGATGGGGCCAGTGTAAAGCTTGGTCTTTGCGTCGTATTGGACCTGAAGTCGGGCCTTGATGTGTTCAATGGGAGCTGCAACAAAGGACACAGTCCAACCAGCCCCGATACCTGCAATACCGCAACCAATGGTCGGCAGTTCGTAGTAGTCCTGGTAAACAGTGTCCTTGAGACATCTCTTGTAGTTGTGGTAAGAACCCAGCATGACGGAATCCATGATCATCCATCCTACCAGAGGAGGAGTAGCTCCCTTGTAGAGACCCCTGATTCCCTCGTTTCGCACAGTCTTAATCAGACAGTCAATGGGCCCCTTGAACTTTCCATCAGGCGCCGTTTGCATTCGCACCTTGATCGTATCGAAGGGGTGACCCGTCACCAGCTTGGACACACCTGAAAACACACCCGCAACGAAAGACATGTACTTGGGCGGCGGCTTGCACTCTGTGGGCATGTCTTTTCCAAGCGCACGGAGCTCGGCGTCGTGGATTTCCTCCTTGACATGTTGAATTTCCTGCTTGACTTTTTCGGAAACCATGGCGACAGCAAGTAGTCAAGTTTTGCGATCTCTCTTGGTTCAGATTCGAGATGACTCTCACTTAGTGTCGGAAGTTTATCAATGTTATAGTTGCGATATCCCGATGTCGCTGAAACTCGCTGACTTTGAGTGAAGTGAGTGGAGGGATGGGAATGAGCAATATAGCAGCCTGTTTTTGGTCTGTTTCAAGTCTCCAACTGATCGGAACTTTCTTTGTGGGTCCCGTGACTCAAATCAGACTGCGCTTGTGCAAAAATTATTCTCTTGATTACTAATCCAATATCACTGCTGGCAGGTCTGCAACATATGCACAACAACGTGCAGTTGGTACAAGTATTAACTAAGCGAAGAACATCACCCCGACGCCGAACATACAAATGAACGCTCCACCACAGCAGGCCGATACCTCCACCGATGACTGGGCCGCCAACCCTCTGGCCGGCCAGAGCATTGCTGAGAACACCAAGGTGAGTACACCCGGACACCTATCAAGCCATTGACACCCATCAGAACCATCAGCCACCAGCAATCACTACTAACACAGTCAATCCAGTACGTCCGAAGCGTGAGCTCACTAGCTATTGGCGTTGGTGCCGGAATCCTCCATCTCGAGTCGTACTATGGCTTCCTCTTCTACGCCATTGCATCCACAATTGTCAGCATTCTCCTCTACACAGTGTCCTCGACAGGCAACCCTGGTCGATATTTCGTCTATCCCGTGAAACAGCTGTTTGTCGACGACATCTTCGCCGGTCTGTCGTCATTCCTCCTGATGTGGACCCTCTTTTATGAGCTCGTTGATGCTTAGATAGACAAACCACTCGATTGTGATGTTCGCAATGTCACCACTCGGAAAATATAAAGAGCCACGGTGTCAATGATGTTCATGCGCTGTCATTCTTTGCACCGTCTCCAATAAGTTATTTGTTATAAACAATACACCTCTATTTAATCGTTCTTGCCCAGTTGTGTGTCTCTTCCTCTGTACATACAGTTGGATAGCGGAAGTAACGGAGGCCTGCTCGTCTATATGGATGATCTATAATTTACACAAGGGTAAAAGGTACTGGGCTATTGCTTCTTTTGCTCCTTTTTCTCTCGTATCTAGGATCGTATCTGGTTAACAGGCCATGGAACCAATAAGAGCCACCATGCGTCAATAGACGGGGAAATGGAGAAGAAATTAAAGAGGTCATTAGGTAAGACGGAACAGAAAACACCAACAACGGAGAAGATGGCTCCGGAGGCACCAAGAGACATTGTGGCTCGACCGAGGAAGGGACTGCACGAACATGTTGTGCAAGAAGATACAACAGAGATCATGTACATTTGGCAAAACCAGAAAGATTCCATGGTCATAATAACAGGCACGCCAAACTGATAGAGAACAAGCATGTTGACGAAGAAACACCCGAACTCCTGGGGGGAGAAGACGGGTCCAATAAGCTGAGCAGGTCGGAAACCGGGGCCGGTCTTGAGAAGCATGTTCTCGAACATGAGTCGGATGATCCAGGGATTAGAGGGCTTTCACAACATGAAGAAGGCGGCATTGACACCGATGATGGCAGAGATCACCCAGTCGGGCCGCTGCGCAAGCCGTCTAATGGGAGTGTACTCGAATAACAGAGGGAAGGCAAAGTGGAAGACAACGAAGGTGTTGATAGAGATGGCCAGAGCTTTGGCCAAAAATGTACTTGGTGGGATCACCTCCTGAGTAAATCCTTCGGACACCATCGCCGTAAGCAAAGTTGGTGAAAGGTCGAGCAGTGAAGACGCCCTTTGTGTTGTATGCACACGTCTTTGTATCGTTATTGAGCGAATTAGTTTTCCGCTGGTCTCATTCAGTCTGTCCGCAATGCCGCTTCGCTTGCCAAGTCGCTGCTTCTGTCGGAACATGGTGTTGATCTGGCCAGGGGTAGGACCGACCACATTCTTGACAATGTGGTTGGAGGTGGGACCCAGAGTCTGAGTACTCTTCCAGAAACCAGGAGTCAGTCTCCCCAGAACAATGTTGCCTCTGAAAATGTTCATGGTGGACAGTTGTGATGAGCACTGGTTGGAGCAACATCCATCTCCTCGACTTCTCCAAGCCTACGTACGAAAATGCAGTAGCAGGCAGGTTGGCTTACAAATCGAGAGATAGGAGAGTGCATTGAAGAACTAAGGATATATATAAGAAGACATCCTTCTTATATACAGTAACTACTGTATATACGTGGGGTGATAATAATACAGGTTGGGAACTGATACGAGGATATGGGGGGAAGCAAAAGCAAAAACCACAGATGAGTAGTGTAAGTGACTTTTCTTTGTAAGTCCTGTTGTAGCTACAAGTACTTGTAACATAGCCCCGTTGTTGAGTCCATTGACAAGCGCATTAAAATCCTATTAAATGTTTCTAGATACAGACGGAGTAGTTTCGAACGGGTCGTGCCTCCTCATACTTTACACTCTGCCACAGAGCGTCCCGAATACACTCCATGTTGCCCTGAATCTCATAAGCTCGAGACAGCAGCCACCAGGCCTCAGCACAGTCAAATCCGTTGCCGGTTCGAGTTACAGACTCAAGCACAGAGGTGACACGAGCCAGAGCAGCTCGTTCGTCTCTGTCAGAAATGAACAGCGAAGTGGTGGGCTTCTCGATCTTCTTTTCTGTAGCAAGAGCCTGAGTAGGCTTCTTCGCAATGGAGGGGGTAGCAGGGGTCACAGCTCCACTGAAACCGTTCTCAGTGCCTCCGTTGATAGACTCATCAAGTTCAGGCTTCTTGGGCTCAATGTTGCTAGCCTGGTCGTCAGGATCTATCGCATCAATGATAACGTTGGACAGGGCAATAGCACTTGCCAGAGAGTCAGGTCGAGTGTCCAGAGCGTTCTCCACCTCGTCAAGAGCCTGCTGCGGTCGCAATGCCACCTTCATGAGCAGAGAGAGCTGGATTCGCGTAGAGGCAGTGGGCCCATCAACTGACTCGGCCTGCACGATGGCCTGCTCACTTTCGTGGACGAGACCGGCACGTCGATAAATGGCAGCAGCCCACAACCAAAGAATTCGGTGGAGTAATGTGGGGAAGCCAGCAGGCACAGATGAGCTGCCAGCAGAGGTAGGAGCAACTGGAGCACTATGTTGATGACCATTTTGGTGAGCGGCAGCAGCAGGCTCTTCCTTCTTCTTTCGTCGCAACACCTTGGAGAACCGTCTACCGGTGGAAGAAGAGCTCTGGTGTGTAGGCGACACGGAGGGGGCAGTGGCCTGGGTAGCAGTAGAAGGCTTCTGTTTGTGTCCAGGGGTAGGAGCAGCTCCAAAGTAAGCTCCGAACAGAGCAAACACGTCCTTGAGCAGAGGCAGAATTGCATCGAGACCCTGGTCGGCCTCTCGAATCGCAATCTCGGTCATCTTGAGCTCAATGAGCTTCTCCTTGAGAGAGTTGGAAGAGGGAGAAGAGAATCGGTCCAGAGTTCCAACAGCCACCTGGATAGCAGCCTGGTAGTCTCCAACGGCAGACAGAAGCAGAGCAAGCAGATGCCACGACTCAACATGGTCCAGGTTGACAGCCAGCGAGTTTCGCAGCACTTCAATGGCAGGCACGGTTTGACGAGTCTTGGCAAGCAGATATGCGTAGTCAAATGCCGGCTCGGCGGCCGGGAGACCCTGAACAGCTCGCTGGAAGGATTTGCAGGCCAGAGCCACGTGCTTTTCTCGGTCCTCAGTCTCGGTGGCGGCGGACAGGGCGTACAGGGAGTAGGCTCGGCCAATAGCGTAGTCAGCTCGTCCGTATGCTCGCTGCGAGTGCTGCGATCTGTGGTGAAATGCGGGAGACAACCACTCCAACAGCCTGTCGGCAGTCTTCTTAGCAGCGTTTCCATCCTTGTAAACGTTAGTCTGGATTCTGAGCGCATCACTGAAGGCCTCGATAATGGAGAAATCGTCAATGTCCTCATGGGCGCCGGCCTCATTTTTGATTCGGGCGTGCTCCTCGTAGTCCATGAAGACCTCGAAAGAAGCAAGAGCCTCTCTGTCGTGTCCAAGAGCTGCGAGAATGGCCACCAGCGATCGCATGAGCACTCGCGAGTGGTATGTCTTCTCGATGCCTCGTCTCACCGATTCGAGCATCTTGAGAGTGCTGACAGGGTCTCCAATAACTCGGCCGGTTGTGGGGTTGAACTGGTTGGACACTCGCCAATTGGCAACAAGCATATCTGTGTAGCCCTCGATGGCGGCGTTGGAGTCGGTGGCCTTGGGGATACCTCCGGAGGTTGTGGACTGGGAGTCTAGCAGCTTCTCAAAGTTCTGTAGAGTTTCCTTGGACTCCTTGGCCAGCTCAGGGTTGGGGCCCGACTCTCGCTGGATACCATTGAGGATCAGCAGATGGGTGTGAAGCTGGTTTAACTGTCGCTGGTGCAGATCGCCGGCTGACAGCTTGGTCGAAAGTTTGCTCCTGGACAACATATCTGTGATTCGGCCGTACGATCTGAGCGAGTCCAGGGCCCAGTCCTGGTTGGCGGGCAGCTGGGACGCGCACAGGATCGAGTTTCGGTAGTAAAGCCGCTCAGCCCACACCAGCGCCTCAGGGGAGTTTCCAATTGAGTCGTTGATGAGATGTGACGTGGAGGCGTAGACGGAGATGGCCTGGTCAATTTCACCGAGCACCTCAAAGGCAGTTCCCAGAATGGCGGCCCGTCTCACAAGTCCAATATCTGTGTAGTGGTATCGGAAAGAGGGAATGGCGTCGATTTCGCTAATGTCGTTAAGCAACTGCACAACCTCCTTGGGTTCTCGGAGCAACAAGTCTGTGTGTGCGAGAGCCAGATTGTAGAAGAATGTTTCCTCAGTGTCAAAGTTGGAGGTGTCGACATTCTGGAGGGTGGTTTGAATGGCCTGGAGCTTCTCGACGGGGATTGCCGATGTGGGAGACAGGTAGTCGGACACGTTGTAGTCGAGGAACAGGGTCACCAGGTTAGTGTCTTCCAGAGCCACTGTAGCAATTCCTGTGTTAGAGTCGTGAGAGCGAACTTGTGCATATACCTCAGTTGTACCTCAGTTGTGTCTCAAGTGACGTGTGGTGTTTTTGGCCGGTTGTGTGTGTGTGTTGCTTGTAGATTTCCGTCGTTTGGGGTCTTGTAGATTCACTTGTCGTCTGTTTCTGTATTCTCATACTCACCTCCATATTCCGGACATTCGTGGTGGATCTTTTGGACCAGCGAGGGCACCAGGGTCAGGTTTCCGAGGGTCCGGGCCTCGTCGAGCTGCGACACGAGCTGGTTCTTGGGCTGCTGGGTTAGCATTGGCGGTTGTCGTCGTTGGAAACAGTCGAGATACTCACAATCGAAGGCATATCGGTCATGGTCGGAGGAGGAGGGAATGCTGTTCTTTACTGGCCACTTTGAGTTTGGGACCGCAGAACGCAACAAGGGGCGCGCGGGGATCTGGCGTGAAAAAGCTGAGATGCGATGAAGGCTTCGAACGCAGTTCACGTGCTAGCCGGGATGAGCCAATACCTGCATCCGGGGCGTATTGTCGGCAACCCAGCATTATAAGGCCATTTTTGTGCGCAATATTTGCCTGTAACCACACGCTTCTCTTTACAGTCCGACATCACCGTGGCCCTCTCCCCCGGTCCATAGTACAGTAATTTAAAAATGGAGCGAATCACCCCTCGACCTAGGACCCTAATGGGTAACAGAGTTCAACAAAAGGGCTTGGGCTCTACACTGTGCGCCCCACCCTTGCAAGCCTGAAATAATTAGCAGATAGACTTAATTAGCGAACAAGCATATAGACACATTCCCACAAGGGCACGGGACATGTGGGGAAGCCGTGTGTCTCAGGTGCCACAGCAGACAACCCAATGAAATGGCGTACACGTCCTAAGCGAGACAAGACCCGAGACGCAAAGTCCAGCCCCTTGTGGCAGGGATCGACATGTCTAGCATCCCCACATTTTTTAAACGTCGGAAGCTATTACGCGCTCGCTACTGGTCCCTCCCGGATATACCGCTCACTCATGTGAAAAGGTCCATCATGCACGAATACGACACATTTTGCCTATTAGAAGGATAAGACGCTATATTGAGACCAGACAAGGTGAGACCTGCACTAATGGACACTGACCCCTGTAAGCCCAACAAAACCCAGAGTCCACCCACACACTGTCATACGCTCGTACATCTTGAACACACCGAACTTGTACTCTATAATTGCTCATTGTACTCTATGGGAGCTACTTGTATAAGGATGGTTTATGATAGTGGGGACCAAGTTTCGAGTCTGGTGGCTGTACAAGTACGAGTACGAGTACACTCAACTCGAATGGACAACCATTATACCGTTCGTGTACTGCAGCAGTAGCCCCAACACCATCCACCCACCATGCCATACCTCCATTCTGTTGATGTTTGCACTGGTATGTACTACTCGTACAGACAGTAGTCGCCTGCCGTACGAATACCTGTAGCTTCGTGAAAGATGCTAACCAAACAGATTCCAGTCGTTAACCTTGAAGGACTTGGCAATCTCCTTCAGCCGTTCATAGCCCTCCTGGGCCCGCTCGCCCTTGAGAACATTGTAGCTGATGACAATGTCGGTGGAAACCTTCTCCAGTCTGATGAGCGCCACGCAGATGGTCACCTTGGTCAGCTCCTCGGACTCCTTGCCCCATTTCTTGGTCTCCTGTTCTCCCAGACAGGTCCAGATGGGGTACTCGGTCCCCTGGAGCTGTTCCGAGGTCACGATCCGCGATTCGCCGCCGTTAATGGCCACAATCTCGCCAAAATGGGTCTTGATTGCGGTGTCGTCTGCATCCGAAATCTTCTCGAGAATATCGAAAATCAGCGACTCCTCAGCGGGTCCATCGTCGACAAAAACCTCCTGGGTGTCGGGCACCTGACGGAATTGACTGGCGTCGGCAAACGATGTGGGCACCAGGGCCGTTAGAGCCCCTCCAAACAGTTCTTTGGTGTTCATGATTTTTTTTGTTGTTAAGGCGGAAGAGATTAACTCAAAATCTCACCTTACATGCAGTCCAGTGCGATACAGAGAGACCAGGTGCCCAGCCTGCATTGAGCATAAAAAACAAATAAGCAATTGGAGGGTGGGCTAGCCACAGTGCCAGGAACCCGTTTCGGGATGTGGGGAAACCCGTGGGGCAATTTGCGAGGAGCAACCCTCTGGAATATTATTTGCACCAAAGACACAATTATGATCGTATCAACAGGCACCACCCCGAGTACACGTAATGCCTCACCCCACCTGTGAGTAATTGGTTCATGCATTTGACGTGTTTAGTTAACAATCTATAGCTAGCTACTTGTTGCACCGTAGCTGGTCGCCACCTTATCTTGTGCTTTGTGGCAAGACCCCCATGCTCTCTGTGGGGAACATCTCACTCTACCAATTCCATCAATCAAAGAGCAGAACTCGTGATCCCCTCATACTTGTCGCCGCATTTAGCAAACTCAACCCCACTGGTCTCAGTGTACTGATCTCCGTGGATGTAAAAGTAGCACTTGTCCTGATCACGCTCATAGAAGGTGACCACTGCGTCCTTGTCAATCGCATGCAACCGGGAATACTTTTCGAAATGCTTGGAGTCAAAGCAGTCGACCCTGGAAACAATCTTCCTGGAGGGCACGGAAATGATCACAGTACAACTTCCCTTCAGCTCGTAAGACACCCGGAGATCCTCTCCCTCAACCTTGAGAACGGCATGCAGAATACTGCCTCCTTGTTCAATTTTTTCAGGTGTATCTGAAAAGATGGGTCCCCGGTTCTTTTCGTTATTGAGATTCACATCAGCCAGAATATCCCGCTCCTTCTTGCCATCATTGGCAAAGAAAATGCGGTACCAGTAATACCCAATAAAGAGTAGAGCAAGGTTGAAACAGCCCAATCTGTACAACTTCACCAGTGTGCCAATAAGTCGCTTGTGGGTGTATCGCTTGAGAACAGACTTATTGCTCCACCACAGAATCGAAAACAGTTGCTGGAAATTGGCCAGTGTGAATCCTCCCACAGCCATGGACAGAAACAGCCGCTCTTCTCCAGACAACCGCTTGAACCACTTTCCAAGTGAGATCTTTCTCTTTTTCAGGGGTGGGAAACGCACCGTGGTTCCTGTGCCTTGAACTTGTCCCTTTGTGACCAGATCGCGCGTGATCACAGACAACAACGAGAACTTCAAGTAATTGTCGTCCATGGCGTATGTGTATGAGTATGTGTGTGTGTGGTTGTTAAAGAGAAGTTGGTTGAGTTGTGATCCAAGGTTTAGTGTCGATGCTTCAGGGGTGTCTGTTTGGTGATACGCTAACAACCGAACTTGTGTGGGTACACGGTACGAGAACTCCTGGCCGTGGTCAAAATACGAGTACAAGTACTGTACCGGTACAGTACTTGTATTTTATGCTGTTTGTGTATGCAATCCCACCTGTATTCTGCTGCAGTTCACTGCGTTTTTCGTGCAGAAAAGTGGGGTATGCCATTATCACGTGTGGATTTTTCTTCGGTATGTTTCAGAATCTAAGAATCTAATTTTGGGGACTACTTGTAGTAGTTCACGTGACTTACAAGGTGCATCATGCCTATTTTCTTCGGTCGACTTCTCAACTCCATACACCATTTCTCATACTCTTGCTTATCGCAGATCACTCATCCGCACCAGAGCATGCGGCACTGAAAAGCCACCCTACTCTGTGCCGTATCAAAAGTTAAATGTGTCGTGTGCGTTATCTTTTTCATCGACAGAGCACACGGCGCACACCATGAAACGAGCTCTTGCTGCTGTTGCCCTGACGGCATTAGCGGTGGTTTTGATTCGAAACAGTCATAGTGGCGACTTCACCACCATACTCACGCGCTCAGAGTCTCTATCGGATGCGCCACCATTGAGACAATCGGAATTTTCCCCTCCAGCGTTTAATGAGTCAACCTACATTTTCAACGCTGTCCACAACCAGCTACGGCACGTTGGAAATGCTATGGCTCCTAATGGAATGACGTTTACCCCGGGATTCGTGCCTCCGGGAACCGTTCTATATCACGGCATGAACAGAAAGGAACTTCCGCAGGACCTTGACTGGTTCGCCTTTGACCCAGAGTATTCCTTCACAATGTGTTGCAACATCGGGCATGCCTTTGGTAATCCCCATATTACAACTGCCCAGGTGGTGGAACCGCTCAAGATTGTATACATTGACGGTGCCAGTGCGTCTCTGTCCTCCGATCTGGGGACCATGGACTCTCAGGGTTTTCTTCTAGACGATCCCATCGACACCTGGAATGACTACACTGAGTTTGCACGAGGTGATCGTCTGTGCAGACTTTTCAAGGAAAATGGCTTTAAGCTGGATGGTTTTGTGCGTATGAACACGGGCTTTGAGCTCCTAATGTGCAACATGACCAACCCCAAGGTGGAGTATGTCATGAACAATGCCATTGCGGTCAGTGAGGAGGAAGGTACCGCTGGCCTGATGAAGCGAAGTAGCTTTGAAGTTGGTCAGACTTTCTTGTCGAGAGACAGATTTGGCAATCTGCTGGTTCGTCCCTCTCGAGAATTCAACTTCTTTGATTATGACTGGGTCAAGAGCATGGAACGTACTCATTCCAGTGCAGGGGAAGAGCGGGTGGAGCTTGATTATCGGGGACTGGTGACCATTTACGGCATGGAGGGCAGCCGAGACATCGATTTTCCAAAAAATGTGTCTCAGCATCGACTGCTCACGGGTTCTGAGGCTCTGAGACAGGAGCTAAGGTCGCAGCTTTGGGAGGCAGACAAACACACAAGAACCTACGATCCGTACAGAATCAATTGGAGAACGGTGACGGACAACCTTGTGTACAAGATGGCGCCTATTTTGGCTCAGATTAAAAATGGTCTTGGGCAGCTGGAGGCTGGGACCAGCTCTTTGAACGATACGTCCAAGCATCTTGGTGGTATCACGTCCATGTTACGACTGAGATTTGAGGGTGATGAAGAGCTCGCTAACAGTACAAGACATGATGTTGATGCTCAGGTTGAACGATGTGCCAAAACATACGCTTCTGACTTCCATAAGTACGACGTCACGCCTTTTGAGGAAAAAGTGAGGTTCGCCATCAGACTTGTTTCCACTGCAGTGTGTTCTGTAATCATGGAAACTGCAGATTGGGCAAACAAGGTACAGACTCGTGTCGGCAACGTTTCTGAAGAGCTTCCATCTAAGTTGCATGCTGACGTTTCGGATCTGATATCTGATCTCAACTGGTCCTATTTTGTTTCTTGTACTCATCGGTGCAAGGACAACGAGGTCTGCTATCTCCCCACCTGGCCCCATGGAGGTCGAGAGCCCCATATTCCGGCAGAGCCTCTTCAGTGTAGAACCATTGAGGATCTCAGGAAGAGTAGAGGGCTGTAGGTTGTGTTTTATAGCAATAATTATTTTCTGATTTATGCTGTTTGTTAAGTATCTTTCAAGTAATTATGTTGATTCTCTTATATTCTTCACTTTGTTGGTTATCTCTCCTATATAATTTAGATTCGCGCGCATGCAGACAGACAGACGTTATCGTCATGAAACTTCCACCTCCCCACACACCAAATCACCATGGCAGCACTCATCATTGTGGACTTGCAAAATGACTTTCTTCCTGGAGGCTCTCTTGCTGTAGTCGACGGAAATGACATCATACCCATTGTTCAGAAACTCGCTGACTCTGGCAAGTACAAATTTGTGGTGGCCACCAAAGACAGTCATCCCCAAGACCACACATCGTTCGCCGCCAACCATGGAGCTGAGCCGTTCACCTCAATCACATTCAAGCACCCTAACTCAGACAAACAGGTAGACCATACCGTGTGGCCTGTTCATTGTGTGGAGGGTACTTCTGGGGCAGATTACCCTCCTTCATTCGACTCGTCCAATGTGCAGGCTCTTGTTCGAAAGGGATACTTGCAGGACAGAGAGTATTATTCTGGATTTGAGGACGTTTGGGGCATCCACAAGACAGAGCTTCATGACCTGTTGCAGCAAAATGGCGTTACGGAGGTTGACGTGGTGGGACTTGCATTTGATTATTGTGTGTTCAATACAGCTAAAGACGCTGCCAAACGCGGCTATAAAACCACAGTCATTAGGGAAGCCACCAAACCTGTGGATCCTTCTTCTGAAAAAAAGATTGTTGCTAGTCTTGAAGAGGCTGGGGTTCATGTCGTCTGATCCACAACCCAAACCGACTGGTGATGCTGCTGCCAGTACAATACTCGCACTCCGATTGACTGCTCAAATATGCAATGTACAGTACACTGTGTGTATTTTCGTCTCTACATTCTCTTTATGACGGGTCTTTTGGGGCTCACTTTCTACAGTATATCCTAACACTTTTGTCTCTTTTTTACACGACACATACCATACAACTCTCAACACAAGACTCTGTTTGTTTATCATGGACGCCCTATACACTGCCTTCAACTCTGGAAAGCTGGAACCCTTCGTCCAATCTGTGTATAGAGATGGAACCATCGACCTCTACGCCAACAGTGAAGCCATCTGTCTGTTCTCAGGGAGAGAAAATGAGCCTTACCTAGACAGCTTTTTGGGTGGTATCTGTCTTCGATACAGCTGCAACCGGCTGATCAACGAAGGACCGTGGGAAGACCGTCTGGAAGCTGCCAAGCAGATGGTCCAGATCCTCACTCGTCACTATAAGACGCCCATTATCGACTCCAGTGTTCTGCTGAGCATGCACTCCGTGTTCGATACCATGGTCTCTCTGGGTGAGGAATGTTGCGTCTCTTCAGGCTCAATCGACTTTGTGCGCTTCGGAAGAGTCTTCCATGGCATCACGCTGGTCTACATTTTCATATCCGAGCTCAACCAGGCATTAATTTCTATTCCTGACTTTCTGATCCAACGTTGGGGAGCACTCAACCTACGGGCCAACGCCCTAGGCATTTCTGTCCAACCCAAGACCATGACCAAAGTTCTAGACGAGTCTCGAGGTCTTGTTTTGGGCATGCCTGTGTCCAATGGAGATTCTGCTACTGCCCATTACCTACTTTCGCGATTCGGAAAGATCTCCCAGATACTGACAGGACTCCAACAGTCTCCAAAAATCAGCCTTGGTGAGATATTGAGCTTCTGTGCGTCAGAACCTGACCTGCAGTTCCTCTCTCTCATGCTTGTTCGTCAAGACTACTACGAAGAGCTTGTCGAGCTGCTGGAGAACCCTGATGAGGAGATTGTGGGCATGACGACCATTCTTATGGTTCGTGTTGGTCTCACAATCAGATTCATTGACCCTGAGGAGGAGCTGCCAAGCCATCCATGTGTCCCACGATACTCCACGGGTTCTCTCACCCAACAGATGGAGTTTGTGTTCCAGATTTTGGACCGTCCAGACCTCTTGTCGGCCAAAATGAACTCTTCTAACCCCCATCACACCTGGATGGGTGCTCTGTCTGCAGTGGTGACTGAGTGGATCGCCGCTGATAAACCTGAGGAGGTGTACGGAGCGAACAAGAAGTTCTATGAGCTTGATCCCCCTGTATCACTCATTTTTGCGCTGTGTAGACTCCTCTACCTCGTTTGTGAGATGAATGGGGCTGGAAATAAGGATCTTGTCATCGGTAACATTCTCTCCTATGTCTCTCCTCCATCTCCGCTTCTACCCTCCAAGGTAGAGCCTATCAAGTTGGAAGACAGGTACCTTCCTTTCCAGCTGGGCGAGTTCGAGGGCACCACGATGGCTACCCGGGAGAGAAACCACGTGATTCTCTCTTTAATTGGGGTCATTAGACTCCAGATTGAATACACATACTCTTTTATTCGCGAAGAGATTGGCAAAGATCTGATTAGAGTGCTCTTTTCTGGACTCCTGGCAGCCTATTCCAACTGCGTTATCCACGAGGAAACGTCTTCTATCGAGCTTATCATGTCCACTTTCAACGGTTGCATCCAGGTCTTCCCGTCTGGAGGTCTGATTCTTGTGGAACTACTGGCTGAGCTTTCGCAGCAGTCTCTACGGTTTGTTGGGGTGTTTGCCACCGTGTTCAGCAGGTTCTATGACAAGAAGTACTTTTACGGGTGCGAGTTTTACTTCAATGACTTCCTTAGACGTTGGGGAGACACGCCGTCTTTTGATATCACACAGCTGCGTTCCAAGTTCACTTCTTCCTTGGAAGATAGAGCCACTGTTTCTGGAAGTACTTAGTTACGGTCTTGCAGTATATTCTCTTCTTTTCCTATCATTACCATTTGTCAATAAATATATGCCGTTCAAGATCGATCTTGTAGCTAGTTTACGTAATCATTTTCACTTGAGAAGCCTATTTCAGTAACCTGGTTTAGGGCTCAAATATGCATGGTGAGCCTATTTGAAATTTTTTGGCAGTAATCTGCAGAGGGACAAGTTCCAAGGTATATCACTGACGCATCAACACCACAATGGTTCTTCGATCTACACCTGGAGCCGTTTCTGTGTACCAGATTTCTGGTACAAACTCTTCCAGATCACTGCCAGAATGGCTGGCCAAGAAGCGAAAGAAGTCTCTCAAGAACGATGCCGAGTACTCCAACCGAATCGAGCTGATTCAGGATTTCGAATTTGCTGAGGCTTCCAACAAAATTGAGGTGACTCGAGATGGAGGATATTGCATGGCCACCGGTACTTATAAGCCTCAGATCCATGTCTACGACTTTGAGGATCTCTCTCTCAAGTTTGAGCGACACACTGACGCTGAGAATGTTGACTTCAAGATTATCTCCGACGACTGGACCAAGAGTGTGCATCTGCAAAACGACCGATCTATTGAATTCCAAGGACAGGGCGGAATCCTGACGAAATCACGAATCCCAAAGTTTGGACGAGCGCTGGCTTACAACGACGAAAACTGCGACCTGTATGTTGGAGCTGCAGGAAACGAGGTATACAGACTGAACCTGGACCAGGGTCGGTTTATGGCTCCCTTTGAGCTCAGCAGTGCCGGTGTCAACTGTCTGGACGTTAACCAGGCCCACGGTCTCCTGGGTTTCGGTACTGATGCTGGTATTGTCGAATTTTGGGATCCTCGAAGTAGGAGCAGAGTGGGTATGCTGGATGTGGGCGCTCCCGGACTGGGTGGCGGTGCCACAGCTCTCAAGTTCAGAAACGACGGTCTGAACGTGGGTATCGGTAACGCTGACGGTATTGTTCGTCTCTTTGATCTGCGAGCGCCGGAGCCCTATGTCACCAAGGACCAGGGATACGGTTTTGGCATCAAGAAGGTGCTGTGGGTCAACGACGACCATGTGCTGTGTGCCGACAAGCGAGTCGCCAAGATCTGGGACCGACGAACCGGAGACGCCTACACCTCCATTGAGCCCACTGTGGACATTAACGACGTGGCACACATCCCCGGTTCCGGTATGTTCATGTTCGCCAACGAGGGTATTCCTATGCATACTTACTACATCCCCAATCTGGGACCTGCGCCCAAGTGGTGTTCATTCCTGGAAAACGTCACCGAAGAGCTGGAGGAGAAGCCCAGCACTTCTGTATACGACAACTACAAGTTTGTCACCAAGCGAGAGCTGGCGGCACTCAACATTTCACACCTCATTGGCTCGGCCGTGGTCAAGTCGTATATGCATGGTTACTTCATTGACCAGCGGCTCTACGAGCAGGCCAAGCTCATCTCCAACCCTTTTGCTTACAAGGAGCACCGAGAGCGGGAGATCCGAAAGACTCTGGAGAAGGAGCGGGAGTCGCGTATCCGAACCTCTGGAACTGGAGCCATTGCATCCCGTGTCAAGGTTAACAGGGCTCTTGCTGAGAGACTATTGGCTGAGTCTGAGGCCGAGGTCACTAACAAGAAGAAGGTGTCTGCCAAGGAGACTTCCAAGGCTGCTCTTTCCGACGATCGATTCGCTGGCATTTTCGAGAACCCCGATTTCGAGGTCGACGAGAATGCTGCAGAGTTCAAGCAGCTCAACCCTTCGCACAAGAAGGTCAAGGGCCAGCAGTATGGTGAGGCACCTCTGCGAACTACTGCCCGACCCCTTACTGCTGCTGAGGAGGAGGCCATGGAGGAGAATAACGGCTACTCGTCCGATGAGCACGTGGAGGCTACTGATGAGGAGCCCGACTCTGAGGATGAGCGAAAGGCCGCCAAGAAGAAGGCTCTGGCAGAGAAGCGGGCTGAGAAGAAGGCTGCTGAGCGTGCAGCCTTCCAGGCCAAGCGTGCTGACAATATCAAGATGACTACGGGCTCTGAGGCTGCTCGAGAGGAGATTCCCGATGACGACTTTGCTGACCGAGTGGCTGATCTCGAGGCTGAGGAGGACCGGCACGTCATGAAGAACGTCAAGATGTCCAAGGGCGCTGGAGGAGCCGTGGAGATGACTTTTGTGCCTCAGGGAAGCGGCAATAAGGGTCGTGGTCCTCGACCCAAGCGAGATGGAGATGAAGAGGAGGCACGGGACACTGGAAAGAGCAGACAGGAGTATGATGGTCGACGACGGGCTGGCAAGAACGCCTTCCGAGGTATGTAAGAAATGCATAATTAGTATAGAAGCGAAAGGATTCAAAGTATTAGTTCGAGAGATTATGTAGATGATGTAATGAATGCAGTACGAGTGTATACAACTGAGATACCGGTACTGTACTTGTACTGTAGCTACTCGAAAGACGCAGGAAGACACCGATGCAAACGCTTATTCCTACTCGTACTCGTACTATGATAGCACTGAAAACTGTATCAATTTGTCGTAACCGTGCCGAATGGCTTGCCGCACCATTTATTATCTCGCCGCACACCATTATCATGCTCCAGATCCTGTCACGCTCCACTTCCCGTAACTACCAGTATGTACTCCTACGTACATTCCTCTGCGGCTCCCCGTCCACCGACTGCAGATAAGATGTATGGCCACTCACCGGCTAATGAAATCGGTAGTTTGCTCATGCTGCCTTGCGGAAAAAAATGGTGAACACTAAACGGAGACTCCCTTTTGATAATAAGGTGTTTGGCGTATAGAGATACGGGTTTTGAAGTATAAGAGAGAAGAAGTGTAGGTTGCTGTATTTGGATCTCCCCAAGTCTAGTCGTATCACATCTGACTGTCCATGACGTGCTCTACAGCCATTTCTTCGTAGCTCTTCTTTCTATGCGGCTCTTGTTGAGTTTCAACGGGCCCCGCATGTACACTCCAGCCAAACTCAACTGTTGTGTATACTGTAGGTATGGTATGTGTGAGAAAATAAAGTGCTTTGTGCGTACCAGGGATAGGGTAGGTAGTGAAATCTGAGTTAGTACATCAACTCTAGACGATGGGCGTCGCCTGTGTAGAAGAACAATAACTCACCCGGTAACTAACACTATTTCTCGGTGGTCAATGCGTCAGAAGATATCAAGACGGTCCGTTTTGCGTTTAAGCCGAGTGAATGTTGCCTGCCGTTAGTAAATTTATTATGAAAAACCCCACTATGAATACATCAGCCTATACTGATATACCAAGAAGTGCAAGGGAGGTGGTCCTGTTCCACCTGAACGCGGTTCCCGACAGGCGGCGGTACTGAAGGGCTTTGTGAGAGAGGTAACGCCGATTCTCTCTGCAGTCGTAAGACCCAGGTGGTGTGTCCGAGGCAGTATCGCTTTCCCAACTCTAGTAACCTCGGTAGTGTGAGACACACTACCCCTAACGGTAGGACAGCCGGACGACGATGGCGCAGCAATTGGCGAACGCTGTTATAAAACAATTCACTTACGTGCAATGAAAGTTGTTTGGGCAATAAACAATAAATGTATTAGAGCCAGACGATAGACAACAATCCAGCAGATGATGAGCAGGAAAATTGAGTAAGATCGACGTGGCAAGAAGAGTTACAGTTACGCAGAGTTAATAAGGTGTTGGGAGATTAGAGTTACCCTGTCGGATGACTAACTCTCCAGAGCGAGTGTTACATATGGTATGAAAGAACCGCCTGAGAGAGGTCTCGGGTTCCATGCACGTGACGCCGCAACACAACGGTTGCGTTTAAGTTGGTGTCTTAAGTTTGGGCCCGAGTGGGGAAGGTCCTACGGGGCCACATAGCGGTTGGATGGCTTAGTAGTGGTGTGTCATCCTCCGGACCACTGATTTCTGCGCGCCCAGAAACGTCAGCAGCACACCACCCGCTTGTCGGCATGATTGCGAATAAACAAGTTAAGAGTTTCATTTAACGGAGCGAGGGCTGCTGAATGCACAGGAGGATAACGCAATGCTGCGCACACATTTTCGGCACGCAACCTAGCAGCAACTGTTGAGACTGCTGTGAGTGGGTCTGTTTAAGGGTTTGTGTGTGTGCCGGCTGCATGGGGTTAGGTAGGCCAGTGTGATTCAGCCTATACACCCGCGCCACACACGTAAAACTGCATCTCTATCTTCTTGGAGACAACGGGAAGCTGTCAACCTCAACTTGTTTGTCGGCCTTGCGGCGCTTCTTTTAGCCCTGGCCTTATAAGGTAAAATAGGGTTGGGCAAGCGGCTGGAATTACTCCGCGCCGCACGGACCTTTAGGGCCTTCGGCAGCAGTTTGGAGAAAGCAAAAGCCCAGAGCACACGAGTGTGGTTTGCACTTGTTTTGATTTTGGTCTGAAAAAGTCCCTATAACCCTACATGTCTGCTCAGGACGAACGCTCACGCATCCCCCCAATTTCCTCCCAGGCCGATTCCGCCCTTCTCAATCCGCCTCACTCTGCTCTTCAACAACAACAATCGTCTACCAACGGCACCAGTAACCAACCAGACTCGTCAACCATGACGGACACACGAGGCCCGTTGATGACGCAGGAAGCCCGCGATCGCGAGACCCAAAACAGCCTGAAACCACATCCGCAGTCGCAGTCGCTCTTCAACAAACCCCAGATCGCACCTGTGCTCACTGAAGCTGCCTCAGGCTTGCGCCCCGACACCAACATCAACAGTAATAACAACAACGCCTCGTCGCATACTTCTCATACGACATCGCTCTTGTCAGCAGCAGCATCAGCTCGAGGGCCCGATGGATCGATCGCGCACATCAGAAATGCTGCACCCCCAACAGCGGCCATAGAGTCCTCGCCATACTACTCTTACCCCCAACCACATTCTCATATGAAGAACCATCCGCATCAGCAGCCTCCCGCAGCTCCAGGTATCTTCCCCCAGCATCCCCAGCATTCACCACCCCACCCACAAGCCCATCCTCACCAGCACCAGCCTCCAGCACCATACGGTTATGCCCCTGGGCGTCTGCCTCCTCCAGGAATGCGGCCCCCCGCCATGGGCTACTACCCGTACTACCCGTACTCGGCCGATTTGCAGCGAATGCCTCCAGTCGACCAGGGAGACGCCTCACACCCCAAGCTGCCACGTATTAACGTCGACCCTCGTGTAAATTCGCCTGAACAACGACCCTACCCCGACTACGCGCAGCAGCAACCTCAACAGCACGCGCCTCTGCAGACCAGCAACAATAACAATCGCGCGCCTCCAGAGCAGGCGTCCACAGCTTCCGACTTTGGTGGCGACAGACCGCCACCTAAAAAGCGAGGCAGAAAACGAATTGAGGTCGCCGAGGTGCTGGCTAACAACGACCTGAGCCACTGCTCGCCTCTGGGAGAAAAGGAACTCGAGGCCGACCATCGAAAACACAAACGGCCCTCAAGACCTCAGGCTGCAGAAACCACTACCGGAGAACGGCAGTACCCATGCACCTTCCCAGGATGTGAATGGTCATTTGTGCGAATTTCCGACCAACGACGCCACCTGAGATCGCACCAGGAGCCGCTGTTTGTGTGTCCCTTCTACGCCGAAGACAACTCATGCCACAGAAACGGAGGCTCTTTCACACGATCAGATGTGCTCAAACGACATCTGCGGCTGGTCCACTTTGTGCAATTCAAACAGAGTGACTCGGGCTGGTGTAGATACTGTGAGAAGATCTTCCCATCACACAAATTCTTCCTCGACCATTGCGACACCTGTGCAGTCAACAACAAGAGAAAAACACGAAAAGGAGCACCAGACCACGACGCGGACTACAACCAGAACAAGTCTGAGCAGGCGCAAAGCCATCAGCAACCACAGCAGCAATTGCAGCTCACACAGCCCCATCAGTCTACTCATGCCCACATGCCTCCCCCCCAGGACGTGTCTCACAACGAAATTGAAGCCGACCAAGAGCCCGAGGCTGATCTCGAATTGCTCAGTACCGCCTCCAGTATGTTGGCCAAGGAGCCTGGAGAGCTTCCTGTTCTTGCATCGCATTTGAAGGGCCAGGAGGACTCGGATCGACACCAGAAACGAAAAGGCCGATCCTCCAAGAGTTCCCTGTCGGGAACCATTCAAGCAGGACATCATCTGTAAATTATTGTATTATTTATCTTACACGGAATTGTAAGGACATTCGTTTTGCATAAATATCCACAGTACATACTGTAGCATTTATATACACTTGTGGTGGCTACTGTAGAAGATTATCGTGATCGTTGTTTACTATTGCTCCACTTGTTTCGTAGCTTTCTAGCTACTACTGTACATCACTTTACACTTCTATTCATTACTCTCTATATATGACTACAAGTAGAGATTATTTGTACCAAGGCTATGTATGTGCTGTACCCTTAAAGCAAACCATTTCTATCCATCCACACCTTTCCTGAAAGAAACACTCCTGTGGGATCGTACTTTTCTCGCAACGACTTCCACTGCTTGAGATCATCTCCATACCACTCATCAATGATGGGCTTGAGACCAAGCATCTTGCCGTCCTCGCTCTCGTTATCCTTGAGCTCGGCCGTCTCGGGACCCAAAAAGTTTTTGGCCCAGTGAGGCTTTCCTCCAGCCTCGGCCACAATGCCCTCAAAGTCACGGTACCACTTGCCCACAGGGGAGTTGACTCCAAAGGGTCTGTACATGGTGGCGTTGATGTAGAGGGTGAGGTTGGAGTTAGTCACATGGCCATGAGGAGAGGCATAAGGCCGGTCTCGAGGATTGATGTCCAAAAGAGGTCGCAGAGTGTTGCCGGTGATGGCTCCTCGTCGCGAAGCAGAAAACTCCTGAGTGTTGGGCTCCACGTTTCGGTCGCCACTGTCGGGCACAGACATGTTGGAGCATCGCACCTCCACGGGGGAATGCACATAATAAATATTGTCCTTGGCGGCAGCTTCAATTTTGGCTCGCAGAGCTCGCAGGACATCGGGGCCATTGTCCAGAGGCATGCCCCACTCGTTAACAAATTGGGAGAAGAGACAGTCCATGTTGAGACCCTCGACAGAGCCCTGCACGGCCTCCGAGCCGGTTCCGGAACCCAGAGTGTCCTCCATGCCGTACTGCCTGGAGAAGATGAACCGCTCGACCGAAGGGGTAAGCGAGGGCCACAGTCGTACCGAGACCCACAGCAGAGTCTCGTAAAAGAGCCGGCCGAGCCAGGTGCCGTACCAGGAAGGTCGAGGGGCGGACAGCGGCAACTCTGACTTGGAAGCTCGCCACAGAATGCATCGCTCTGCGTACGGGAACCACCACACCCGGATATACTCCGAGGCAGTCCACAGGTTGTCCCACTCACGGATCAGAGTCTCAAAGGTGATGACATGCTGGGTGGAGTGGATGGTGTATGCCGGCACGGTTCGGAGAGTGGCGTAGACGATGATTCCTAGCTTTCCAAGAGAAAGGAGTGCAGCTCGGAAAAGAGTAGGGTTCTCATCGGGTGAGCACGTGAGCAGCTCACCGGAGGCGATCATGATGGTCAGTGACACGATTTGCTGGGAAACCAGACCGTGGTAGGCCGACGAACCGTGGGTTCCTGTACTGATGATTCCGGCCACAGATTGGTCTGAAATGGAGCCCAGGTTCTGCATGGCCAGTCCCTTTCGCTTGAGTACCTCGTTGAGCTGATGGATGCGAATACCGGCCTCGACAGTAACGTCAGTGTAGAGACCCGAGGTGTGGGGCTTGAAGGACACGGCCTTGCTAAGCTTGTCGAGGTTGACGAGCCATTGGGAGGTCATGGTGAGGTCCGAGGGTGAGTGAGCTGAGCCCACCACCATGATTGTCTTTCCCAGGTCTCGTGCTCGTGTCACAATGGCCTGGAGCTCTTCTATGCTTGCGGGCTGGAAGTACAGCGATGGACGGGACCAGAAGGTCCCTGCCCAGGTCTTATGCGAATGAAACCGCTTAGCAGTCGTGCTGTTTCGCAGTGACATGGTTGGTGTAGGTCAGTGTACTTGTAGGGTGACGGATATGACAGAACTTGTGTCTGATTGTGTGTTGTTTGTTGTCAAGTGTGTCAGCGATGGCGGCAAGAATGTGTTATCAGTCGTATCTTGCGCTCTTTTTTGCACTCCGCTGCTCTCTCTGTCTGACAAAAGACCTGTTCTGATCCTGACAGTGGTTTGTACCGTGGTAGGAACGCTTTTTGGCTTTTCGTGAACAGTTGAAATTTACCATTCAAATAAGGTTCCGGTGTCCGTGTTCGCCATGCAAAAAAAAAAATGGGTGCACACATGAGGACTCCCAGCCGCAGCGTACGGGGTCGAGAGATGAGCTGTTGCTGCGGCTTATAGTGCAAATAGTTTGTGACCACTTTGGGAGTTGATGTTTCGCTGCTTGGCTGTATTTATATATGTCCATCGCCTCACAATCTGACTCTCTCACCCCCTTATCTCCGCACACGTCAAAATGGCCCAAAACCAACCGGACCCAAACACGCCACCCAATGGCCCAATGGCCTGTTTCCTCGCCCCAGTCAGAAGCTAAGCTTACCAACCGGGTCCGTTTAGGCACCGAGTCCAGACTAGTGCGGATTTGGCCTGATTAGTAAATAAACCGCTCACAGACGGACCCTGCAAAATACGTGCAGTTTGATCCCATCCCATTTTTACGACGTGCTTTTGAAATATCAAGCCGCATCACTGTGCACGTTACCTGTATGAGAGATAGAGTGTCGACTACAGTAGACAGATCAACTTGACCAGAAACGAGACACTATGGAAGAACCCCGGATAGCACGAATCCGCAAAAAGAAATCACGACACACCAACTATTACAAAAACGCTGAAAAGTATGTGAGATGGGCCGAGGAGCGAGAACAGCGAGAACGCGAGTATATGTTGTCTCGACCTCCACCTGAACTAGAGGAATACGACAGCACCCCCATAAGACCCTACAAGATTGTGAAAACGACGCGCTGGCAAGAACTGCTTCCTTGTGAAGCGGAAGATTTTCAGAAAAACGGTAATTCGCACTGCGCAACCCAGCAGTACACAAACGACACGGGCGCCCCGTCATTACGTCAGCAGAGCGCGACGTGTTTGGCTAGACAGGCGCGTTTTCTAACCGAGGGTCTATTGAAGGACGTTCGCAACGCGACAGTATGGAAATCGGTATGGGAAGCTGTTCTCTATGGGCAGAACGACTCTCTTAACGTGTTTCTGGTGTTTGCAACTGAGTTACAAAAGCATTCTGATTTCCCCTGCCATTACAACGGTCTGTTGCATCCTACAAAAACCCTTACAGATCGATGTGCCTCTCTGAGAGCGCTGCTGCTGCGTGGTAAAAGCCGGCATCGAATCGAGTCTGTGGCCCAAGCACTGACTGTGGGAGACGTCTCTTACCTGGAATTGGGCGTCAAGCATATCCGCAACGAACTCATCTTAAACTACACACGTGATGATCTGTATGAACATGCACAAAACGCCTTGACACGCTTGAAGAGCCTGACCGTGCTGGATATCCGATATGTCGATATCAGCGATGCTACACTGTCCTTGTGGAAGAATGCTCTTGTTCGAGGAGATTGGCCTGAGCTGAAGGTCCTTCTGCTTGGCCATTCCAATGCTGATAAAGTGGCCCCTCTAATGGAAATCCCGCAATTGTGGTATGTCGGATACCGTGGGGATCGTCTCTGCCATCGCAATTGGTTCACGTGCAAGAATGACATCAAGAAGGATGACGTGCCCGATCGATTGCAAAAGATCATCAGGTGTGCTCAGAATCACCCCTCCTCGTGGCTTCTCTCAAGTTTAAAGGAACTGAACAATGAGAGCCAGCGTGGAAAGCTCATCCTCGAGGTTAACTTCTCAATGACATCATGGGATCTGGAAGAGCTTCGAAAACGTCCAGCTGACTATGTGCATTGTGTCCGAATGAGGAAGAACGAAGAGAAGGCTCTGAACCCACCATCGACGGCCGTAAGGACGGAGCCCAAGCCCTTGTATCGTCAGGTGGCTCGTAAGCGACGAGTAGATGCTGCAGTAAGTGGATTTTTTGGCCAGGTTGGGCCCAAGCGTCCCTGTCCCTGAGCAATTATCGTAGACAACCTACAGACATCGACTGCCCACATCGACACAACTTTACGGTCGGCACAAAGACACAGACAATCGTCTAGTGATTATTTAACAGCAATCAACACACGTTTCACATCAGTTGATTGCGAAACGAAACATTAGATAAATATATTTATTGCATTTTTCTCTTTTTTTGACGTTTATTTTGGGTAATTATTTCCGTTGGTGTTCCTCTCGATCTTCTTGCTCCCATTCATCATGCGACGGATCTCACGCAAGGGCGTCGGACCGGAGCCCAGAGTGTGTGAGCCATTTTAGGTTCGGGCGGTACTCCCACTCGACTTTGTGATTAGAACGCAGTTTTAGTTTGACTTTGCGATAGGCCCCTACCAAGGGACGAACTGATTTATACCAGGAGCATATCGAGATTTTAGTTAAGCAGCTAGCTGAATCTCTCTCAAGGCCAAAATAGCACGGCATTCACATTCTGTAAGGCTCATTGACTTCCGCTAGGGAAAATAAGAATAGCGTGCGGACAGCCTTGCGATGAGAAGAGGTCGCGTGCCGCGGATGGGGCCACATACTCTCTCTGTGCCGTTCCATGTCGGCCGTATTGAAGGGGGCGTTTTCTGTGCATGGCATTACGTGTGATCAGGAGGATGCACCGAGTCGCCCAAAGCTACCCTCTATGGCGCTTGGCTGCAGGACTTGGCGGATTTAGAGTTGTATATCATCATGCACCACAGCGATATTGTGCTCAAAAATTAACGGGAGACAATTTACTGTAAATGACGCAAAAGCTCAACTACAGGTCAACAATCAATAACAAAAATCACTTAGTGCAATATATCTATATGATGGAATTAATTTTTTTGGAATAAATATGAAAGTGCGATTAGACAGACTTCTCGTTGTCGTTGAAGTCGGAGACATCCTCAGCCTGGTCCTCCACAGGGGGTCGCCACTGGACCTCACCGTGCAGCTCCTCAGCAAGATCCTCAAGGGTTCGTCGCTTGGTCTCGGGAATCAGGAAAGAAGTACCGATACCGAGCAGCATGAAGAGGGCGAAGATCTCCATGACGTGGTTGAGCCAACATCCCTTGGGCTTTCCGTCTCGGTCACAGTTGTGGTTGACCAGAGTACCAATAACGACCTGGGCAATGATGGCACCGACCTTACCGGAAGCAGCAGAGATACCGTGAGCGGAAGATCGGTATCGGGTGGGGTAGCACTCTCCGGGGACAATGAAGGTGGTCACGTTGGGACCAAAGTTCTCAAAGAGCTGACACAGAATGTAACAGGCGAGCAGACCTCCCTCTCCAATCTTGTCGTAACCGAAACCAATAATACAGAAGAGAGCAGTCAGGATGGTGAAACCTCCAATCTGGATGGGCTTTCGGCCAATGAAGTCGACGGTGACAACAGAGAGCCAGTATCCGGGGATGGCACCGGCACAGATAAGAATCAGGTTACCGACGGAGTTCTTCATGAGGGTGGAGTACAGGTTGTCACCCTTATCGAAACCAATGGTGTGCAGAATGGTGGAGTTGTTAAGACCCAGTCCGTAGAAGGCAACATCGAGCAGGAACCAAGAACCGGCAGTACCAAGCAGAATCTTTCCGTGCTTCCACTGGGAGAAATGTCGGAAGAAGTCGCCGGCAGAGGCAACGGGGGGGTTGTAAGCGTTCTGCTGGGTCTGGAGCTCCTCAGCCTGGGCCTTGAGAGCCTCAATCTCCTCGGGGGAGGCGTTTCCGTGCTCGCCAGAAGTGTACTTGTCAATGTCAGCCTGAGCCTTCTCAATGTCTCGAGAAACGTCAAAGGTGTATCGGGGGGTCTCGGGAATGGTCAGTCGGAAGTACAGAGCGCACATGGCGGGGACACAACCCCATCCGACAAGGATTCGCCAAGACTTATCGAGAGCCTGCTGACAGTCAAAGCCACAGTCGTTGGCGCCGTGGTAGGGCTCAAGAGAGTTCTTGAAGCCAGCAACACAACAGATGGCGACGATGGAGCCCATGAGCTGGCCCCAGCCCTGGTTGGCGAAGACAGCACCCATCATGGCTCCTCGCCACTTGGTGGTAGCGAACTCAGAAGTGATAATGGAAGACAGAGGATAGTCACCTCCGATACCGATACCCATGACAATTCGCCAGAAGGTGAGGACGGCAACGAAGGAGATGGCCTGAGAGTGGCCAGTCATACACTGAGCAATGGTAGCACCGATCATGAGAATCAGCTCAACACCGTAGATCTTCTTTCGGCCGACAACATCAGCAAGAATACCGAAACCAAGCTGACCGATGACGGTACCGACAGAAGTGGAGACCTTGAGCAGGGTGTTGGTGGAATCGGGAATGTGACCATCGTGGCCAGTTCCCTGGCCCCAGTAAACGTAGGACATCATGGTGATACCCAGGTTGATGGCGAAGATATCGTAAGAGTCTGTCATGAAACCGATACCGGCAACCATGATGGCTCGGATGTGGTACCATCCGAAAGAAGCGGAGTCAATCTTCTCCAGCGCGAGTCGTCGTCGCTCATTGGGGTCCTCAATGTGAGCGAAGTCGTTCACGAAGTTGTGGAAAGCGGCGTTACCACCGGCAGTCTTGTTCTGAGCGTCCATTGAATGCCTGAGAGTGGGGTCGATAGCGATGAGGAATTGAGCTGGGAAGCGCAGGTGGTTTATATATGCACTGGAGCGTGCACAGGTGGTCTTTTTTTCCCTTTTTCCTCTGTTCCGATGAGTACCAAAACTCTGTTTAATTTTTTACCGTTTTGGGTTAGCTCTAATTATTCTTGGTCCCCAATACAGTTCTGGAACACCTAAATTTTCAAAAAGTGGTAAAACACAAAACCATAGTTAGCTGGGCCATAGCTCTCTCAGCACTACACTACACAGGCACTCTCAACCCAACCGTGCGTCTCCCAAGTAGTTTGGGAGAAGTTGGAAAAGACGAGTCCCATATCGACCATTTCAGTGGCTATCTCCAGTTTAATATCGCAATGCTTGGCCCCGATATTCGCGCTTCTTGGCAATGTGAGTGGATCTTCCCGCTAGCGTGCCTGTCTTATCTACTTGTTTGCGCTTGGCCCTTCTAACCCTGGGAGAGCCACTTACTATAGCACCACCCCCTCCACCATTAAGTTTGATCACACACGGTAGACGAGGCCACCACCGGCTTAACTGACTGCCTGACTGTGGGGACAAAACTCTGGCAGACAGCTGATATTTGCAGGCTATCTGTCTTGTAGGAGAGGTTCAGTGGTATAGGCAAGTGCCAATACGACAATTTAAGGACCCTACAGCGCCAAGTCAGGCCTGAGAAGAGCTCGGCAACGTTGGTTCATTGTCTTGGGATCGTTTAGAAGGATCAAAAGACCCGCCAAGCCTTCAAATCGATGGCCTCCGCTTCTTTTCACCACCGTCAAGTAATAGTCAAGGTCGCTAGCCACGTGTGTCGCACAATAAACTTCTGCCTGTCATTGGCACTACGTCTTTGTACTCCGTATCTATTCGCGCTATATTGATGTCGGGGGGCTGATGACGTCCGAGTAGTCCGGCTCCCGAACATCTATGCCTTGGCACCCCCAGAAAACCAATTCCCAGGCCGCGATTGAAGCACCTATACCATATACATGGTCGTGTGCAAGAAACCGGTGATGGTTTCAGGGTATTACGTTAAGGACCGCTCTAGTGTGGACTCTGATGGACTTTTGCCTCGATCTTGCTCCATACTAAGGCTTATGGGCCCCAGGGTTAGAGTGGCCCAACTAAGCGTTAAAAACATGTGGTAACTAGTGTTCAACCTACAATTTCTCACTATCGATATACTGACGGCGTGCCCCCACCATGGTGGTGAAACGGTTTACTTAGTCGTGCTGGTAATATGCGCTCCAGCTGCCAGTGTCCCTTGTCTCCTACATCGATAGCCAACCCTATTTCGTCCAATGAGAGACAGTACAGGACCCACGGGTTTCTAAGTTGGGTCTGTGACTCTATTTGACATTATCATATGCATAGTCTTTCTTTGTCCGTTACATATTCTTTGTTCCAATCTTTCGGTTAAAATTTTCTACACGTACGTCACGTCTAATCCCAGTTTTCAACCAATCACAGACCTGCCCTCCCCCACGTTCACGATTGATAGGAGACGCGATGAGGAACGGGCAAATCTAAACCCTGCGGGCTTTCACTCAGCCGTAGACTCAAGGTGTCGTAACTATCCATGGCTTTCGAACTGTGAAAAATTTTAGCAGTTGTCAGCCTCATGGCGGAAAAAATCAATCGATCATTGACTACGGTTGGTGCGTTTTATCCTCTTGACACTATTGCCAAGGCGGTCCCCGGTCGTGTGAGCTCTTGCCACATTTAGTTGAGACCGCCTTAAATACGCACTACGTAGAAAAGGGAGATCTTGTGCTCCTACTGGAGCGGGTGGTATAAAAATTTGCGTGGTGCATCCCGCCTCTTGGCGTCCCAGTACCAGACCACGTTTTGCCCACAACTGGGGACCCAAACCCTCAGCACAGATTGGCAGATATTGCAAATCTTATGGGCTTCAAACACACGGCTTTGAATGTTCTTTATGTTCCCCAAACGGAAATTTACTCTGGCTCACACCCTCTGGCCCAAACCCCTAATCCCAGCCAAATCCAAATTTGCAACCGCCGCCCAGCCTGAAAGTAATCGTATATAGGGTTTGGAAAAGCCAAAAGCAAACAAGGGAGCACGAGCCTCCTAACCACTCATGGGACAGAAATATGACGACAAGCCATCTCAGACACTAATGTAGATCGAGAAGGGCTCCGAAACGGCACCGAAGGATGTGCAAATGGCCAGAAATGGACTGTTAATTGGCCGAAATCTCCAATGGTGTACAAACAGCCATTCATCGACTTCTGCCTTAGCTACACAATCTTGATTAGGTTGGAACGAGTGGATATCGTGGCTATGATATCGACCATGCACTTGCATCCGCCAAATCCGACCTAAAAGTACAGTAGTGGAAATTCACGTAGCTTCGTCCTTGAATTCAATAGCTGAAAACTTTTCCCCAAGACACCAATTGTACATTGGCCTTCGCCAGGCGCGGACAGAATGAACAGGTACGCTGCGTGGAACATGTACGTTTTGTCTACAATGAATGTGTACAAGGGGTCCAAGTTAACCGGACTGGCTATATCACGACCCCTGCACTCACAATACACAATCTCCCCACGTGCGTCACAGCCGCCGAAGCTTGAGCATTGTGGGGATACGTGGCTCGTGTTTCCACATGTCATGTATCAGAAACCGCTCCGTCAGACGTCACATTCCAGTCAAAAATCGATTGCACAATACATAATCTATTAGTCTCCGCATTAGCGGCAGTTCACTGCACCCGTGAACAGGACACTAATGTACGCTGTACCATTAGGAGCGCCAGAAATGGAAAGAGCTCGTTCGACCAGTATTTGAAAGTAAGTTTATATCTGAGTAACAAGAACGACATGCTCGCGTGAGCTTTTTCTGGTGGAGGGATGTGCACTAACGGGTTACAGTAGTTCAACATCAACCGGTGCACTAAACCGCGCACCACTCAACCTGCAACTAACATGGTTGGAGCCATTATCATTGGCCATTTCGACGGGTTTTGATTGGCTTAATAGATGACAGAGTGTTGTAGCAATGCTCAGATTCTCCCCTCCAACGAGGTCGAACTATGCCCACCTTTTCAACCAAGGTTCCCTTGTAAGTTGGAGATGCCAAGACCCAGAGGAATAGGGTATCTTTCGGATGCTTAACCGACATATCGTACAGCATAGTCGCATGGACTGTGGGCGATCTGAGTCTCGCCACGCCCTTTTTGCTCGTCGGGGGCCGTCTGATTAGGCTACAGAAGCAAACAATTTTCTTCACTATTGTAGCTCGTAACTCAATCCGACTTTCATCTCATCTCCGGACCATAGATCCCAACCGGTGACAAGGAGACCCAACTACCAACACTGGACTGAGAGTCATTTTAACGGCCCATTGTCAGTCAGGAACCAAATAAAGAGTTAGTTATATCTCGCCCTGCGCTTATTAGACTTCTTTCACAAGCACCGTAGCTGAAACCTCTCAACGTACCCGTGTCTCGTGGAGCCTTGGCTAAAGAACCTTGAACCAATAAACATATCGCCAAGAGACGCTGACCAGCTCTTGTGCCATTGCTCGGATTTACCACAGCTGGACCGCAGGATGTTGCACCACTATCGAGCTATTCCTGCAAGAAAAAAAATCATACTACTGCCAGTTTCCTTCTCTTAGCGTTGTTTTGAACCTGATATCCGAGACGGTGTGGTGCTATGAGACGCAGTAGTGGGATGATACAGGGAAAAGATGCTACTTGTAGCTTGGCTGCTATAATCATAGGCTACATTGACTGGGCGGTTCAGGATCCTTCGAAACGGGCCACTGACGCTTAGCCCTCAACACAGTCATCCGTAATCGCTTTTTAGGTCGTGGTTAAGGTCGCACCTTGAGCTATTTAGCCATTAGCAATTCTGACAGCATTGAAAAAGTCGCCAAATACACCCTTTTCCGGGATAGAATTCCGTCCCAGAGCTGGCCGTATCGTCTTTGTGTCTTAGTCTCAACTGACCAGAGACAAAGCCGTTGGGCCACTCACTAGCGGAAGACTGTTTGTATGCTACAAGCACAACATAACACCCACAAGGCATGCTGTGGAGACAGTTGAGTAAGAATTACGAGCCTGGCTGAGGGCTTTTTTTTCCCCTTACAGTAATGTTGCTCCGTTCAAAAAGACTCGCCCAGTTGCAATTTTTACAATACCCCTCGCCCAACCCCTGGAAACTTTCCACGCCCCCAACGTAGTCCACAAGTGTCTTGCAAAACCGCAACGGCCCAACGTGCTCTTTTTGCTCTCAAAAATAAAGGGAGGGGTATTGTTTTGGTTGCTACTCTCTCAGTAACCGGTATCAAAACTTGTGCTGCCTTGCTAAGCCCGAGTTAATCATCTGTGTCAATGATCTCTATGTCCATCCATTTCGCGATGCTGTACCTCTTGCGTGTTTCAGATGGTGCATGTGTTTTGACTGCCCTGCTTGTCTTCATCTACTGTATTGCAATGTCTCGATGACGTCACAGAGACCATAGCCTCCGACGTGGAGCTTGTAGCATTGTCATAACCTCTCGACCTCATGCCTACCGTCGAATGTATAGCTACATTCCCAACGTCGTTGTATTATCATACACCCATTGTTCTAACCGCGATACGCAGGCTTGGCCATGGTGCGTACTTGTACTTATACCGATCGGCTGTACCCATCATAGTAAACACGAGCCGTGTCAACATCATCATAACATAGTAACGAGGAAGTTTACACATACCATCCCCCCAACCAATGTCTTGGATGACTATGATATATCGAAGCTGTTTATGTCACAGTCACACTCCCATACTTCCTTCTACCCGTAGCTCACGCGCTATCATGTCACGTAACATGGTTGAGATGGAGGACAGTGGTGAAGGAGCATCATAGCCACAGAGTTGTCGTACTTCAAGTACAGTACAGTAGGGACGTTATAACTGATCTAGTTATGTTGTATTCGGTACCGGTTGCTGCTGTATGGATCTGTTCAAGCCACATATATCGTCTTGGTCTCGGTGGTGCACTCACTCTCACATGGGTCTCACATTAGACATGATTCACCATCCGATTTCTACAGTATTGGAAAGTACAGTAATTAGAAGGGCTATCAATTACAGCGCGTTCTACAGTCACAAGGGTTTGTATTAAATTTGATTTTTGGTATTAAGAGATATTAGTTAGCTTGTCTATTCAGAGAGTCGTCGGTAGACTCGAAGCTCCGCCTGTAGCGACTCATTTTGGTTCATGAGTTCGGCCACGAGAGCCTCGAGCTCCTGGATCTTCTCATTCTTCTTTGCTCGTGATCGCCGTGCAGCCTCGGTGTTTCGAGCCCGTCGAATAGCCGAGGAGTCTGACGCGTCAGACACGACAATAGGAGCCTGGGCCACAGGCGACAACTTCTTGGACGAGAAGTTGGGCGAGGGCTTGGACACCTTGTTGTTGTTGTTGACCACAATGGCTGAACGTCGCTCGGTAGAGTGGAACGTTCGGATCATAAGCGGAGGCGACTGCGTCACCGAAGACGAGGCCGGGGTTTCAGCCTGGCTGGTGGGAGCCTCAAACAGAGGCGACCAGTCCTGGGGGTCTTCAAGAGGCCCGTTGAAAATGGCGTCGCCGGCGGTTTTCTGGTCGCCGAAGTCATAAGAATAATCGAGGTTGGACGAGGAGCACACGGACTCGCTCTTTGAAAAAACGGAATCGGGGGAAACAGTCAGGGATGGCGGGGCATCAAACAGGTTGCAGAAATCGGAGAGGTCGTCGCAACCTAGGTTACTGACGAACCCCGATGAGCTGGGCCCGCTCGGGTTGTGATGGGGCGTAGAAGTAACACATTTCGGTTCTTGGGGGGTGGTGGATTCCTTGTTGTACTGAGGAATCAAAAAACTAGCGTTAAGCGGGTTGCTGTTGCTAGTTGTGGTGTTGTTGAGGTTAGAGTACAAAAGACTGGAGTGGTCTACTTGTTGGTTAGTCTCTAACGGCTGTTGCTTGTGTCGGAAGTTTGAAGTAAAGGGAGTTAAGAAAGTCTTACTCTGAGTACTCAAAACCTAACGAGCGGTAGCTGGGGGAGTCGAAGGCGAGGTGGTGTTCCGTTCGCTCGACTCTGTGACTGCCTAGTTTGGATAAACTGGCAGACCAGGCGGGGTGGGCGCTTGTGGTGTCTGTGGTCGAGAACTGCAAGGGGAGGGTCGTGGGTAGGTGACGCTCCGATTGGTTCTGTGGTCTTTTCTTTCTCTGTAAGGCTGGGCTATGTGGAAGTGCCTGGCGATTTACCCTTTTGCGGTTGTTGCCGGAAGTCGGTTGGATAACTTCTTGGGGTAGTTTTGAGGGAAAGAATGTAGTTTGGTTTTGTGAGCAAGGTGGAGATGTCGCACTTTTTATAACATGAGCCATGCGGTTGAAGGTGCCGTGTCTGTCCCTAACTAGAAGGTTCCTTGCCCTCTTTTCCATTTACAGTTTGTTGCCCTAGCCCTGACTGGTCATAGTCACACCAAACTCAAAATTGGCTTCCCCGAATAACTCTAAGCGAGGATGTTCCTTTTACGTGGCTCGGATATTCGGGGCAGTTTGGGTTATGACAGCGGCAGGATGCGGTATCCGAATGAGCCAGTACTTACCAGGCTGCTGAGGCGTCTGTCTTCCGTGCTGTAGCTCTTTCTACAACATGTTCAGATTCGCCTTTTTAACAACGCGAATTAACTTCCATTTTTACACTGCCCGAGCTTATTTCCAACATGTCCATCAGATTCAACTATCACAATGTGACTCTTGAAAGACATGAGTCAATCAATACACATGCAAACTGGGTCGGACGCGTATTCATGTCCAACTCTTCCCCACGTTGATGCACGTCGCATAGACCATCTGAACATTCAATTAACGACCAATCCGAACACCCGTGCTGTAGCCCCTGGTAACAAGCTCCAGGCGCCTGCAATGGCTGCATCCCCACGGCATAGAACACGCCGTGATTACTAATATCGGGCTGGGATAGATATCTCAGCCGGCGCTTTGCCGTCTCCCTCATATCGAACATTTTTAAGTTGGCACAAGGCAGTATATTCCCGACCAATCACCTGCTTCGAGTGCAGGAATTTTCTTTTGGGGGCCTCAAATTAGGTTTTTCAGACAACGGTGTAATTACTAATCAACAATGGGTGGCGTGCGTGATGCAGGGAGCAGAAGAGGCGAGGAGAAAATCGAGGAGGATAGGGGACATGAGTAACGCGTGAATAGTTGAAATCTGGTTTGTGAACATATGTATGGAACGTGATGAGCGGCTGGCGTGCCAGGTCACAACAAACAAGGGAGTGTACGACTAGTATTAGCTAGAATCACCATGCCCGCCCGATTGCAGAGCGACGAGTTAAACAAGTTAGATGCCCGCCGAAGCGACCGAGAAAGAGTGCCTACTTGTAGCAGGTGTACGACACCGGTACGAGCCCTGGAATGGTGATACGATTTTTTGGCCATGTCAAAAAGATGCGAGGTCGAATACTTTGTAGGGGACCAAGTTGGTACACCACCAGGTAACATAACACTGTTCTTTCGATACGCTTGGAACCGTGTCTTGGGCTAATGGATCGCTAGACAGACTGAAATAACAACTCAGACACTGCGTCACTCTGGTAAAGAATCGCGCTGCACTCAATCAACTTGCCACTCGACGAGGGTGTAATCTTCAGATACCAGCTACGCATTGCCAGGGTCACACGAACGAGACTGCCCACCCACACAATCCCAACCATCCATCAACGACTCACCAACTTAAAGTGGTGATGTTGAATCCGTTCAGATCTCACGACCAGCACCAAACCATAGGAGAAAGGCCCGAAAGTGCACAAAAGAAAGGCCACATCCATTTATAAGACACTATGCAATTTTACAAGATCGACCATAACAACCGGCATTTGTGCAACGGTGGCGTTGTGTCGTCGTCGCTCCGAGAAAATGCAAGATTTCGGCACGCCAGCGGAAAAAAAATTCAAATTGATTTCTTACACATATACATGAGAATCCGAACACGTGGCCAGCAGCCGATACCCTACGAATTCCGCCAAAAATTCATTTTCAAGTTTTTCCATCTTTCTGGTCAATCTCTTTTCTTCCTCTGATCCAGCGAACTCAAATCCGCCTACAATAATAAAGCCCTAACCTCTATCTCCACCCGTTATGCGAGCAGATAAAAAGAACTAATGAATATTTCGAGATTATCTCAAATTCATACATACGGAGGTCAAAATTAATGACTTCATGGTATCAAATGATCCCCGAGAGCTCTAGTTTTAGACAGTGACAACGTATTATACGCATTATGACAGTAATACTACCAAACTAAGAAGTGATAACCTGACTCAGCCAGAGATTTGATTATTGCTCAGCAACAAGATGTCTTATTACGCTACATCTTACTGAGTAGAGCACACGTTATTTACACCAAGTTACGCCCTTGTATCTCATGTTGGTATGCCACACATGAACTCCTGAAATCCTATCAATGCAGGAACCTCGAAATACCCAGTTCGAATCGCAATTATTGCCACCATTCTCGGGATAGAGGTATAATCATAGTTTTGATACTCTCTGAGCAGCTTGGCAGTGCAAAAATCTTCTGCGGCGTTCTCTTGGAGCACCAAAAGAGCGTGTGAAAATTAGATGCTCGCATATGCAACCTCCATTCAAACATCAGGGGTGTTGAAGGTGAGAAACTATTTCGACAGCGATTAATAAAAATCTAGCCGGCTTATTAGAAGGCTTATTAGCAGTTCCCCTGGGATGTTGATTTCAGGACTCATCTATTCCACATCTTCCATAGATTTCCATTCTGATCGACGCGTTTTGAAGTCATGCACTACTGGCTGGTATGCATATACGAAGCACATTTTTTGCCACCAGCCATTCCTCCTGAACTGTAATGGGCTGTTCTGAAGAATATATAAACCCCCTCTGAGTCCCACTTTTTTTTCAGAATCAGACCAGTTCACTCTGAGTCATTCTGGAGACGGAAGGTGCCTTTTATAGCCTGCTGAGATGCAGAGCTGATAAGCAGACCTGTCTCATACAACGAGGACCGCTTCGCTAGCCATGTCCGTTGAGTTGTTTGGGCAATGACGCGTTTACCGCATGAGCCCTTGTCGGTCAAGAGACTCTCGCTATGACGCATTGAAAAAGATGTATGAGCCTGAGAATGTGCGACAGCTTCTGATTGGGCGTTTGAGCTGAGATTTGTTTCTCGGCGAGTTCAACACAGAGGCGAGTACGACCGCCTGCGCCAAGTGTCAGTAAGTCCGTGACTGTGTGCCCGGTTGACCGCCATGAGCTGAAAATGCCATGAGCCAAGAGCGAGTTTGGCCGGCTGAAATGCCCGAGCCTGCTCCGTGCCTTGTGAGTTCTTGAGGACCGCATGTGCAGCCGCCAGAGCAAAGAGCCAGTCAGTGAAACATCTGCAGAGCCACCGACAGAGATTTTCAAGGGTGAAACTCCTTTCGAGACTCCTTTCCCACAGGTGAAATTCCTGTTTACTGTACTCACAGGGTGAAACTCCTTTGTGAAGTCTCATAGGGTGAAATTCCTGTATGAGAAGCCGCCTAGAATTTGAAGAGCCACGCTGAAATGCCAGAGCAGCCAGTTGTAGAGCAAAGATCTGCTTTGACAGACGCCATACATGGTCAAAAGAGCAAGCCAGAGCCAGAGCTATAAGCCAGAGCCAGTGCGACATGAGCCAGAGCTGATACGCCAGATACCACAGAGTCAGAGCGATAGCCAGAGCCACAGATGCCTGAGTGTGAGCCATAAGTCCAAAGAGCAAGAGCCACACAGGTCAGAGCCAGCGCTGAAATGCCAGAGCCAGAACCCATGCCACGAGCAAAGAGCCAGTAAGCCCTTCAAGGCAATAAGTGCCAAACGCCGTGAGAGCAACGTCAATGCCACTAAGTCCTTCAAGGCGATAAGCGCATGGTCGCCATTCGAGCCACTAAGTCCAGAGAGCAATAAGAGCCATTTCGCCTGAGCAAGAGCCAATGAGTCCACAGATGCAATAAGCGCCAAACGCCAGAGCACAGACAGAGCCGAAGGAGCCAGGGCCATAGAGCCGAGGCCAGCCAGTTGCCAATAAGTCCAAAGAGCAATGAGAGCCTGAGCACGAGCCGAAGTCACACTATTCAAGGAGTAGGCGGTGAACCTCTTTACCAGAGGACGTAACTGACCGAACCTGTTTATCTAGTTTTCAGAGGAGTAGGTGAAAATCCGAACCTCTTGGGTTAATAAATCATGGACCAAAGAGTCCCACCCGAAATTCGAATCGTAGTGAGTTGTATCTTTGTAGTATTTGTACTTGTAACTGAGTTGTATTCAACATTGATCTTCTAACGCGACCAGACTGTTCCGTTTAACCACCTGTGCCATTGCGAAGACTTTGAGAGGTCCTTGCTTGTGGAGATGGTGGCTTGTCTGCAATCACTGATGGGATTTGTGCACGATGGGTGGATGATGGATGATTGGTCTTGTCATCCTATGTTGATGTGTGATTCTATCGAAACGAAGAAACAAACATACCGATAATTACCTACTTGTACCTAAACATATACCAAAAAAGCAAGATAAAAACCCATCCATTAATTTATATAAGTTGAGCTATCTAAATGAGGAGAGCAGCAAAGGCGGCAGCAATGGCTCCAGCAGAAGCAATGTTGAGGGCGGCGGAGTTAGAGTTGTCAGCAGTAGGGGAAGAAGAAGAAGAAGAAGAGGAAGAGTCGGCGTTCTTGTTTCCTGCGGTGGCAGAGGCAGCCATGGTGGAGGAAGAGCCAGCAGCACCGGTTGCTCGAGAAGAGGAGTCGCCAGTGGAGGAGGCAGAAGAGCCACCAGTAGAGGAAGCAGAAGAACCAGACGAAGCGGTGCCGGAAGAAGTAGCGGTGGAGGAAGAGCCTCCTGAAGAAGAGTTGGAGTTGTTGGAACCGGCGCCGGCAGCGGCATCTCGGTTGTTGTCAAGAGGGGCGACCTTGACAGCAATGTTCTTTCCGTTTCGACAGTTTCCACCATTCTTAACCTCGTAAGGAGCAATCTTGCCCTCCTTGGGACAGAGTCGGAAACCCATATCATGACCGTGGACCCTGAGCTCACCGTTATCAATCCACACACCTCTGGTGAACTTGTGGCGAGAAGTCTCGACCTGGTCATCGTGATCAAACTCGATACCCTTACCGTAAGAGGTCCTGAGGACACCATGCTCAAGAGTGTAGACAGCGTCTCCCACGTTGGAGAGCCACATCTCCCCGTCAAGCATGACAAGCGCCATATCGTTGAAGTCCTCACCGTCAGCCTCGGGAATCAGACCAAAGGGCTTGGAGGTGTCGACGTCAGAATTGTCGCCAGACTTGGGCCAGCCAGGGGCTCTGTCATCGTTCTCAGCCTTGGCCTCGAAGGAGATGCCGCCACGGCAGTGTCCACCAGCCTTGACCGCGTACTGGGCCTCCTTATCATGAACGGGGCAAGCAATGAGTCCCATATCGTTACCAGGAATCTGGAGGATATCGTCGTCATTGAACTTGAGGCCGGCGGTGATCTTTCGACCCTTGGAGGAGGTCTCGACCTCGTCATCGTGATCGAACTCAAGACCAGGACCGTACTGGGTCATAATTGAGCCGTTGTTGGACAGGGTAAAGAGGTACATGCCTCCCTTATTAGCCAGGTACATGTCATCCCCAAGGATAGATAGTCGGGTACCGTCAATGTCGGAACCCGGCTTATGGACCTTCAGAACGAAGGGGTTGGAAGTATCAAGGGCATTGGCAGCAGCCATGAGAGTGGCGAAAGAAATGGTAGAGAGCTTCATTGTGTAGATTGTTGTGGATGTGGTAGTTGATTGTGATGAGCAAGAAGGGGGATTCCTGGTAGTTCTTATATATCCCCAGAAACAAGGCAGGTTCGGCTAATGGCCAAGCCTCTGGTCGAACCAGGTTTCGGCTAACCTCTTCCGGTTTGCTCTCATTTCTTGCGTCCGTCATGCACCAAGATGATGAGATCAGTGCGCATATATGCTGTTAAGATGAAATTTGGGATGGTGATGATTGCTAATTTGGGATGGTCAAGATACAATGGATGTCTAAAGCCAACTTATGGACAATTATGTTACATTTATACATGGAATATGTCCCCAACAAACCCCATAACCTCCCTATAACTCCAAATACTCCTCCTTCCTTCTTCCATTACTTCTCCCAACAAGGTAAGTGACAGATCGGAGTTTAAGCTCCCCAGAGTTTTTCACTTTAAGTTGCACACGGCTAATCAGAGTGAAGATTATACATCTTGTCGGAAGACATGGCTGAATTCATTCCGGGAACCGATCCACAATTACCAACTCATTCAAGGTACTCAAATGGAGAGTGAATCTATTCACGGCCATACCCGCTCATTCAAACATTTCTACAATGTCACAACACCATCTTCTAATAATAACCCTCACATGTTACATACGCACGGCCAAGGCCACAGCCACTGAAATTCATCAGCCACAGCCCACAGCCACCGGGTCATCTGCGGGGTGTGTTGCGCCTGCCTAACGGCGCTTGAAAATAGCAACATCGACTTTCATTAGAATTTCCTTCCACACGGCGCTGTGAAGTTTTTGCCTGCTGCTCATGGAATTCACAGCAATTGTGACGAACATAGGAAGAACTGCTCGTGTGAGAAGTCCAAACAGGTGCGGTAACTACACAATGACATGATTTGAATACCTATACGCTGAGACCGTTTCATTAGCCTAGTATGGACTGATTTCTATTTATGGGACGTTTTTACGCGATATCGTATACTATACATATTCCGCATCGCTATAGATCCGTGGGTGTAGCCATATTCTATTTTAGGAACAGCGGTCTCTTCATGCAACCTTAATTAAGTGTAAAAGGACCCTGAGAGACAGAAACAGGATTAATGAGACACTCCTTGATGGGGGAACACACATGGTGTCACCCCTAATACGTGCATTTCAGTACATAGATTCTGACCCAGAATGCTACCGAACAAATCAGAAGTTCTCCAAAGGCATGATTGTTTCTCAAATCGGTACTGTGTTCAGGAACAGCAACCACAATCAAGGCACAAGGTTTTAACATGCGATATAGGCGGTTACCTACATTAACCGCAATGCCTTTCAGGTGCACCGTAGCAAGAAAATGGATCTTCCATGCACCTCTGTGTCGCTACTTGTAGTGTTACGAATCAGCAGATGGATATTTCTAGCTGCTTGTAGCTAATGGGAGATTGGTGTGAGGGGTTGTCAATGCGGATGTACTAATAATAGCCAGGCGCAGTCTTCGCCGTAGCTGCTGTGTAAATACGTACGGCATGCGCAGTAGCTACGTACAGGTACATACAGTACTGTATGTACATACGTTGTTTGTACAAGTATGAAACGAGTACACATATGTTGAATGCAGAGACATATGATGCAGCTCAGAGATCGTCCTCAGTTCTCTTAGATCAAGGGTTGCTTGTTCGGAGATAGCACTAATGCCTTCTCTTAGCTTGTGAGTTACTAGAAGCTTACTGGGGATTGGGGCCGCATGCATGCATCCAGAGTACTGGCCGATGATGTCTACATCCACGAGCTTCCATATATCAGATACTGTAAAAGATACGAGATTGAAACTCAGACTACAGTTAAATTTGAGTTGCGACCGTTGTTTGCCGTAAGAGGTGGAAAAAACCTTAAAATACACACATCGCGACTTCACACAAAACGTGGACACCGACATCTATATCATCGAGTGTAAAATTTTATAAAAAGGATGAGGGGGGGGTTCACACTTATAATCATATATAGAGGAAAATTTAATGAATTTACTGGATTTTTACGAGCATTTCGGCTTCATAATACTTTGCCTCACGGTGTGGCAACGTGCATTGCATAGATGCCCCCACACATGAGGCGATAGAAATTGAGATTGGTGATGAGAGAGTACGAGTGACGAGTGACGAGTGAGGAGAACGATCAGTACAACCACACCGAACCAGCAACATGTCGACAATAGGAGAAGATGGACTCATTGAAACCCATGTAATCCCTAAAAAGCGCCTGACTCAGCTCTATAAGAACTTATCCAAACAACGTCAATTTGTTCCCCCATTCCCTAAACAGACTCAGCCACTGAACGACGAGATTCTTCCTTTTGAATTCACCAAAGGCGACGAAAAGTACATCAAAGAACATATTATTGCTTCTGTCATTACCCACAGCGCCATTCCAGACTTCTTACGATTGGAACCAAGTGATATCCCACACCTACAGAAAAGATATGGGTACCAACGGCTACAGGTTAAAATGAGAGACATCTGTAACAGGTTATCAGGGACCCCGTGTTTGGCGAGTGTTCACAAACAAACAGCCACAGAAGACATGATAGATCAGATTGACATGACGTGGAATCTGTCCAGGGAATTAACCAAGGCCATGAAGAAGAGGAACAGGTTAACATCCACCATTTACCATTTTCTGCTCATATTTCAGAATCTACATCCTCACTTGTCTATGAAGATGGCTGCAGCTACTATGGTTCATCTTTTGGAGGAAGGGCATGCCCGTATCAACATCAAGCGGTTTGTGTTCCCTGCGTTGGAGTACAGCGGGCCTACGTGGGAGACTGTTATGACCAATAACCTGTCTCCACTGACTAAAGACACCGAGAGGACAGGGAGAAGCGATTTTTCGAGAGCAGAGAAGAGGAAACTAGCTGAAGCGTTATTGAAACTACACCGTTGCAAGTATCCTCAGAGAGAGGAGGATATCATCGGTATCGTGGAAAGATTGATTGAAGAGACAAAAAGGAAGTACACCCCTGTCCAGCTCATTAGGGAGATGGTCTGTATGTTGGGAAAAGTGGATCAAATCAAGTCTGTGGTGAGAATGAGCGTTCGGCTACAGATGAGTCTTTACTTTTTGCTCGCAATTGAGACACGAATCTCGCATCAACAGGAGAAGGCTCGGAGAAGAGAGCTTGATACGAGGGGTCGTGAAGTGATGAGAATGATCAAGGAGAGGTCTTCAGCAGGAATTCTTGAAGAAGACATGTCACTGAATGTGTCTTGACATCTACACAACTGTAGAAGCCTCACACGTTTGAACCATAGAGATGTCTTGTGCCACTTCCTGGGGAGTCTGCGTAGTTAGTGCCGGTGCTGTACATGCTAATAAACGTACGAATACCATCCAAATACCTCAAATATAGAAACTCACACGACCAACTCCCCTGGCACAACTCTGCCGTCATTATCTACGTGTACTTGTAGTCGCCGAGTCGATGAATGTACCCGGGTCTCTTCAGGGTAGGATGTCAATTGTCGACGTCAGAGCCTTATTCCACGGCAGAGACCGGACACTTGGTGATACGACAAAGGCAATCCACATGTCATTAATCAGCATCGGGAGATAAAAACAGTGTGAACACACAATCCCACAATCCAGTACGTCGTGAGATCGTGGTAATACAATAGTTACACAGCTACGGGTGCTGAAGATATCTGGAGGCCAGTGGACACTCCAAACACCAGCAGAAAAGATAATCATTCTTCCGGAAGATCCCGGAAAGGGCGCCAAGTGCCTTCCATCTCGCGGCTCAAGACTATTGCGTGAGATACGGCCCGACCGATAGCTTTATCTGATAAGATTAGCAACGAGGGGCACTGTTTGTGGCTGCGAACTTTGGGTGGTGACGACATCGACTGAAGTCTAATATCGGTTGCGATGTTTGGAAGAGGCCTAGTTTGTGATATATTTGTGTGAGGCTCACGTTACATATGAAGAGAAACGCATACATCTTGATTCATATAGTCGTATATACCCGCACGGCGCTATGCAAGAAGGTGCAGAATTTTCTGTGGTGTGTAATTCGCTCCACCACCGTTGATACGCATGCACATTAAACTTCAATATATGGGAAAATGTCGACCCCGCCAAGCCAAGGTTGATCCACGTTTTTCCGGGGTAGAAATTCTGAAACACGCAAGAGAGCAGATTTAGAACGTCGATATGGACGGGAGCTCGACACTAGGCCCGAGTAGTGTTCACGTGAATAGCGACGTAGTCCTAGGTGACCCATTAGCGCCCCCCCTCCGCTTATCGATAGCCGATAAGTCACATGACTCTGCAGTGTCCCAACGGATTCCGCACACGGCTCATGGCCATACCTCCACTTTACTGTACGGCATATATTGTTGAGCACAAAACAAGAGAAGCGGCTTACTGAGCGCTGAACAAGAAATACAACAGCAGCTATCGTGCATAATTACCCATCGAAACAGACAAGGCTAGCACTAGATCCGTTTCGTTTCAATAGCCGATATCCTATCACATCATCAGAGCATCCAACCACAAAAAGACGCCTGTGACCACCACTTCATCATTCAACACACACAGAATCACTCCTCCATTATAAAATAGAACCCCTCACACTCATCAACATCCACATCACCAATGACTGCCTGCTCTCACGATTTCAGATCGGATACGATCACAAATCCCACCAAAGAGATGATGGAAGCCATCACCAACTCGTACTCTGCTCTTGGCGACGCAGTGTACGAGGAGGACACCATCACCACCAACTTTGAGAGCCGAATCAAGGAGCTCACCGGCCACGAGGCTGCTGTCTTCGCCGTCTCCGGTACGATGACTAACCAGCTGGCCATCAGATCCCACCTGTTCCAGCCTCCACACTCGATCCTGTGTGATCATCGAGCACATGTGTACACCTGCGAAGCTGGTGGCATAGCCACACTGTCTCAGGCCATGGTGACCCCCGTCATCCCCTCCAATGGCATTTACATGACTCTGGAGGACATCAAGGCCAAGATCATTGTCGGAGAAGATGTTCATGTCGCACCTACCAAGCTCATCTGTCTGGAAAACACAATGGGTGGCGCCATTTACCCCATTGAGGAGATTCGTCGCATTTCAAAGTTTGCACGGGACAATGACATCCCTATCCATCTGGATGGCGCCAGACTGTGGAATGCAAGCATTGCTACAGGCGTGTCAATGCGGGAGTATGGTTCACTCTTTGACTCGATCTCTTTATGTCTATCAAAAGGCTTATGTGCCCCTGTAGGCAGTGTGCTTGTGGGGTCAAAGAAGCTGATCAAGACCGCTACCTGGTTTAAGAAGCAGGCCGGAGGAGGAATTCGGCAGTCCGGTATCCTGACATCTGCAGCTAACGTTGCATTGGACCAAGTCTGGCCCTCAATGGCAAAAACTCATGCTACTGCGAAGGAGTTCGCCAACTTTGTTACTTCTGACCTGGGCCTCAAGCTCCTTTTTCCCGCTGATACCAACTTTGTTTACATTGATGAAACGGACAAATTTGATTCTGATGTCTTTGTCAAGCTTGGAGCGGAGCGGGGCATCAAGTTGCTCGGAGGCAGAATCGTCTTCCACTACCATACTTCACCCGAGGCCATTGAGACCTTGAAGGAGGTGCTTCAAGAGGCTATCAAACAGTATTCTGGGGTAAAGGAAGACAAGCTTAAGACTAGTGGCTACATCTAATAGAGGCGCAAATGAATTCACTGTGGTGGCGTAGATAAATTTCATGTCCTCGAAGGTGGATAGTGACACCTCCAGCATTAGTAATTTAACACGGATTTTGCTAACTGAAATAAAGTTGGGTACAACTCTAAGTACATTAGTCTACAATTAGTGCTTTCACGTGACATTTGGTGATTCGAAACGCGCAAACTCCCGTCGATTTAGCATCTCAAGTCACGGGACATTATGACATCCTCTACAAATGTCATGCAACTATGGTGCAATCGGGCCCGGGCTGCTTTGTCATATCTGGTGATCTAAGAAAGGTGCAATAGTATATATAGACCTTGATGTAGGGGTCCAAGTTGCACAATCATTCAACAACAAGTAACACTTGCAAAGCTTTCAACATGGCTCCCACAATTGAAACCTCTACCCAGGCTACCTCCCTCCCATCCTCCAAGACCGGTTACGGTGCCAACTTGAAGAAGCAGCCTCTTAAGTACTCGGGTTCTCTTGATAAGTATGACCACTTTGAGGTCACCCCTAACATTGGAGAGGAGTTCTCCAGTGTTCAGCTTAGCTCTCTTCTCGAGTCTGATGACTTCGAGACTCTTGTGAGAGACCTGGCTATTCTCGTTGCTGAGCGAGGTGTTGTCTTTTTCCGAAACCAGGACATCAACGACGAGCAGCAGAAGAAGCTTGGTGAGCTTCTGGGCCACCTGACTGGTAAGCCCAAGGAGTCTGGCCTTCACGTCCATCCCACTGAGGCCCCCTCTTCTGAGACTGGCCAGGAGGTTCTCATTCTTCAGCCTGATCAGGGTGTCCTGAACCAGAAGTTCCTGCAGACCTCCACCCGAGCTGCTAAGAACTGGCACACCGACATCACCTTTGAGAAGGTTCCTTCTGACTATGCCATCCTCAAGATCATCAAGAAGCCCAGCTCTGGAGGTGGCGACACCCTTTGGGCCTCTGGATACGCTGCCTACGAGAAGCTGTCCCCCACTTACCAGAAGATCCTTGAGTCTCTGACTGCCCACCACTCTGGTCAGCACTTCCACGCTGTTGCCAAGCAGTCTGGTCACGGTATCGTCACCACTCCTCGAGGTCATCCCCTGAACTCTGGCGATGATCTCTACGCCGACCACCCCATCATCCGAACCAACCCCGTCACCGGATGGAAGTCTCTGTACGTCAACCCCATCTTCACCGAGTCCATCAATGGCCTTGGCTGGGACGAGTCTCGATCCATCCTTGATTTCCTCAACCAGAACCTCAAGGAGAACCACGACATCCATGTCCGTTTCCGATGGAACGACAACGATGTGGCCATCTGGGACAACCGATCCACTTACCATACCGCCACCTACGACTACTCCACTACCGACCGACTTGGCCACCGAGTTCTGTCTTGCGGTGAGGTTCCTTACCTTGATGAGAACTCGATTTCTCGAACTGAGGCTCTGAAGGCTGACCTCGAGGCTGCTGATGCCACTGCTTCCAAGCTGTCCCAGTTGAATGTCAACTAGATTGTCGCTACTGGTAGCTCTCTCTAACGACCTCTAACGAATCACGATTATTTATGAATACATTACGCATTGAAAAAAACTTCCACACGTAGCACTCATTGTAGCATCCACAAATTGGTATCAATATTGTATCGGCAACGACAGTTCAGATTATCACAAGTGACGGGTATCTCTTAAGGTAAAATCGCCAAGGTAACATCGCCAAGGTAACATTGACTTTCGGCATCATGAGCAGGTAAAAAAAAAACTGCTGTGAAGAAAGAAAACTTCCGGTGAGTCTTCCTCAGGTAACCTCGCCATTCCGACGACATCACGGAGGCAACTGTGTTCACAAACCAACTCCCATCACCAGCCCGTGAATCTCTTGGCTCTGGCAACCATCACCACATCCATGCAGGTCCCCACCTTTGAGAGTTGCCTTGTGGCGATGTGGCAATGTGGCGTTGATGGATGAGCAGGCGGCACTGGGTTTGTGGCAAGTCGAACGAGACATCAAGAGGCGGAAAGAGGTGTAAGTTGTGGCAAAAGAGGTGGCTCAGTTGACGAAGGAGGCGGAAGCCGTCTCCTTAATATATGAAACAGCAATTGTGGCTTTTGTGGCTGTGGCTTGTGGCTAGATTGCAACTTTATTGAAACGGCGCAGTTGCACGTGATATAAACTCAAACTTGCCTCAGTAAACGACCTCCACATATAATGGCTTCTATGCTACTCGTACAGTAATTATTGCCACACCACCATTCCAGAATAAAATAACAGATGGGAATCAAAGAATAAAAGATGCCATAATCACAACTCTGACTGTGCATCGTAATCTCGCTTAATATCCGAGAACCTAAACTCCGCATCTCACTGTGCTTGCGCATTTGTACGTCGTCCAGAAGCCAGAAGTCCAAAAGAACCTCACAATCACCGATAAATAACGCTTTGGTTGCCCCTGATACGTATATCAATTTGATCTTTACGGTGCGACTTTAATCCAGGATATTGATTTAATGTTTAGCTGATTGCGCTAACTTGCTCTAGAGTGCAGCAAAGTGGGCATCACTGTGGTACAAGTACACTCCGATACAGGTAGATGAAGAGACACAAGCTTCTACAAGATAAGATGCAGTTCATACTTACCGCGGTTGACGTTAAAATTAAATCACTACTTTCTCTATTTTGTTCAATTATTCATATCTATGCATATTTGTGCGCTATCCTACCAACGTACCTTGTTGGCCTCCACCCTGGTTCTGGCGAAACGTTTACTGAACCTTCTCCATATCGAATCGAATCTTCTGACCCAGACCACCGTTAAGCTCGTAGTCGTCACCCCACTTTTCGGCAAGAACCAACCATTGCTTGACCTGCTGAGCATTTCGAGAACCGTAAAGATCCCACTCGAAAATAGCCCGTTCGTACAGGGCAGCAGGAGGAGCCCAGTCCTTCAGAGGAGTCTTGGAGGACAGATGAGGCTTGGCATCCGATGAAAATGTGACCACATGGGGGATGACCTGCTCATTCATGAGCTTGTAGCCCTCATCCAGTCGTCCAAGGTTTCGGAGAATGACAGCCTGCAGAAGAGCAGACTGGGGGTCATTCATGCCGTTAAGTTTCTTGTAAGACTTCTCCAATGCATTCTGGGGCATCTTAGAGTAGCCGTTCCAGTAGTAGAAGACCTCGCCGAGCAGGGGCTTCTTGACGGCCACGTCAACGAGAGGTCCCTCCTTCTTGAGCTGCTGGATTCGGTGAGCCACATACTTTCGCAGATGCTGCTTCTTGTCGGAAGCATGAGTTGCGGCCTTTTCGAGCAGGACGCCGGCTTGGGCCTTAGCAGCAGGGTCTTCCTCCTCCTTGTAGACCTCCAGGAGACAACAGGCGGCAAGGTAGTTGTACCAGGCATGGCACTTGGGAGTAAGGTCCACCAACTCTACAAAACTGTTGGCCGAGGTTCGGTACTGATGAAGACAGGTGAGCCACTTGGTTCTGTTCTCGTAGATGGGCTCCTTGAGCTGGCGCATATGGACAGTGTTAAGGTCCACAGACAGAATGGCGATTGCCTCATCCAGTCGATGTAGAGTGGCCTCAGCCTGACCCTGCTGCAGCACCAGAATGGAAGATCGGGGGTATCGGGCACGAGCAACCATGAGTTGCTGGTACATTCTGCTTCGGGGAGAGTCCTCGGACTTCTTCTCGAAGAAAGAGCCCTTGGCAATGAGCTCCTCTTCGGTTCCGGGCAAAATCAGATCCGAAGACTGCATGGGGGAGTCGTAGTATCGCATGAGCACAACAAGGGCGACTGTTGCCTGCACGTTAGGAGCAGAGATGGACTCCCACAGAAGTCGCAGACCATCCTCTCGAGAGCACTTGAATCCGATGGCTGACAAAAGTTTGCTGAGGCCAGGAGGAATCATGCTGAAGACGACCTGAATGATACCGAAACACAGACGGAATCCGGTATCAATGAGCTCGTCGTAAGACTCTCCGACGTTGTTTGCAGAGACCTTGGGGCCCAGTCGAGCGTGTCGGGCCTTAGCGTACTCGGTGAGCTCAGCAGGTGTGTAGCTGTATGGCGTGTAATTGGGGTTTTTCTTCATTTGCTGGATCTCGTACAAAGTGGAGTAGGCCTTCTTGAGCTTGTACAAAGCCTTGGTCATTTCGAGCATGGATTCGGAGATGATCATCATACAGGCTCCTAGAAGCTCTGCCTCAGCCAGGGCAACCTTGTACTCAGTTCCCGGAGGATAGGAGCAGTAGGGAGTGTAGTTATGAGTTCGATCAATGTTCTTGTAGGCGGCAGTCTCGCAGGTGGCCAAATGATCTGCTGTCTGTCTGATTTGCTCCGGATCCTGTCCAAAGAAGGCCTCAATAGATCCCACGACTCCGTGGACCAGCTTGTGGAGGCCAGAATTCGTCTTAATGCTGAGGTAGGGGGCAGCATCCTCCTTTCGTTCATCCATGACCGTGTCGATCGCAGCTAGACCGTTTTCAAGGATGACGGCCTCGGAGAGCACCATGGCGGCCTCTGTGGCAGCATCTTTCTTCGTAGACGACTTTCCAAAACCGAGAATAGTCATTGTAGCCGGTTGTCGTAGAGTGTGAGAAGACAAGTTGGAGTATAAGTCGCTGTAGATGAAAGTGCCAAGTTAGATAAGGTTATGTGTCAAGTGCCCCGTTTTGGTTTTCGCGCGTATTATCTCTCACTCGGAAATAGGATTACATATCCGAGTAAAGGACTAAAAGGTGGTATGGAGGATACAAAAAATCCTCCGTCACGCGGCTTGATAATGATTCCGCCTTCGGATCATGTCCTTCACATGCCTCTTTGGTTTTTAGAGTCACTAGGCCACGCTCCAAGGCGTGTCTGGCTAAGGCCGTTGGCCTCCTCCTGGCTGCAGATAATAATTTCACTCAAACGCAGGTCAAGCATCCGGTCCATGTGCAAAAGTCCGAAATTCAAAAACACGTCCCATGGCATACCCGGACATCTACGAGTACATATACTGCACATGGAAAGCCCCCGAGCGGCAGAGGCACGTCGGAATATACACTTCTTGCCCATGGACCCTGGTTTTCGGTCCATGGTAGTGTCTCGGACTTGTGACTGTCTATCTCAACCGAACCGAATTTTCATCAGACTTCCTTTCGGCCTCCCAACCGACACAAAGAATCTAAAAACATTTGTCAGGTTGGTTATCATGGATAAGGGTACAAAGTACCAAAACTTAGGAGATGGTACTTGTAGTTTATGGAAAGCCCTACAAAACCATCCCCATCGCCTGAGGGCTGGCATGAAACATGTGCATGCAGTTTCCGATGTCTGGGCATTATGAACGTTGCGGTAACCATGGAAACGTCGCCCTGTTGACTTTGTGGACATGCTGCATGCACGCCAGCATATATATTAACGCAGAAGCAAATCTCGCCACCCCTCCTCCAAGTTGCACTGTGCTATACTATATACTGTAGTTCTTTTGAGACATAGATATAAGCCAGAAGCACAGACATGTTCAGTGCAAGCCGGTTACAGCAGCAAGTGTCTGACGTGGCTGATCCAGCCGTTGGGCCTAACTTGTAGGTTCACTTGCTCACGCGCACTCATGCAACACATGGTGGACTGGTCATGAAGCATTTATCACCTGGATACAGCCACGCTAGACTTGCCATAACGGGAGCAGAGCGGTGGTGTCAAAAAAATGCGCTTAACCACCCTCTTTACATTTTCTTTCAGCCTTGCTTCGCTCCCCAAGAATGTGGTTCAGCAAATTTTGGGTCCACACGATTAAGATGTCCATAAAAAAGACAGCCTACTGCTCGTAAGTTGCCTTCATAGCCAACTTTCTCTGGTAAGGCGGAACCACTGGAATGTTATGTTAAACCCCGCAGAACCGAAAAATCGCAGAAGATATGTATGCATTCTTTCCTCGCCTTTGCGTGTGATTTCGGAATCACAGAACAGCTCCGCAATGAACTCCGACCCGGCCATGTGTGGCCCTGGCTGGCGTGTGAAACATTTGGGGTGAGGTGCAACTTTTAGGTTCCATTTAGTAGGGTACCTATGCAAACTCTTTGTGAGGACCATTGCAACATTTGCGTTCAGTGGGAGTCAAAGGAGACCCATATCATCTCACGAGGCCCTCAGGCTTATGATGGATTTGCTCTTAGCCTCTCAACCCTAGCACTGTTTCTAAATGTATCCGCCGCACCACCCACACAGTAACTGCCCATCCATTGATCTACAAGTAGTGACCTACACTCAACGGGTATGGACATCCTCTTGCAATATTGCTTGTTGCATCGGAAAAATAACGGCAAACTAACAAGGATAACGATAACAGCTTAAACCACTTGCTGTGCTTTCCCCACTTGGCGCTTGCTAACCGGATGTATAATAAAAGCCTTGTTTCTGGCTAGTAGATGAGGGGTCGAACCATGACCCGCAACCAAGGCTCTACAAGTAGATGTGATACCAGTCTCCGAAGTGTTCCATATCTACAATTAGTATATCCTTCTGTCGCGTGCCCAGTCGGACCGGAGTTATGTGTCTTGTGCACGGGCATTCTTTGCAGACGTGGGGATAAATAGAGTTTGACAATGTAACCACACAATAGATTTGTGTGCTTGGCACGAGATGTAAACCGTACGATGCAACAGCCCTGGAGATGCACACCCGATAATATAAAGCCTTCCTGAGTGATCCGAAGCCTTTACGTGCTTCCTTGCTTTATCGCTTCTTAATCCTTATTTTATCCACCTCAAGCCGTGTAGTAATGTCTCACACATATTTTCTCAGCCGTTACATGTGTAACACTCGCTCTGGAGAGTTAGTCATCCGACAGGGTAACTCTAATCTCCCAACACCTTATTAACTCTGCGTAACTGTAACTCTTCTTGCCACGTCGATCTTACTCAATTTTCCTGCTCATCATCTGCTGGATTGTTGTCTATCGTCTGGCTCTAATACATTTATTGTTTATTGCCCAAACAACTTTCATTGCACGTAAGTGAATTGTTTTATAACAGCGTTCGCCAATTGCTGCGCCATCGTCGTCCGGCTGTCCTACCGTTAGGGGTAGTGTGTCTCACACTACCGAGGTTACTAGAGTTGGGAAAGCGATACTGCCTCGGACACACCACCTGGGTCTTACGACTGCAGAGAGAATCGGCGTTACCTCTCTCACAAAGCCCTTCAGTACCGCCGCCTGTCGGGAACCGCGTTCAGGTGGAACAGGACCACCTCCCTTGCACTTCTTGGTATATCAGTATAGGCTGATGTATTCATAGTGGGGTTTTTCATAATAAATTTACTAACGGCAGGCAACATTCACTCGGCTTAAACGCAAAACGGACCGTCTTGATATCTTCTGACGCATTGACCACCGAGAAATAGTGTTAGTTACCGGGTGAGTTATTGTTCTTCTACACAGGCGACGCCCATCGTCTAGAGTTGATGTACTAACTCAGATTTCACTACCTACCCTATCCCTGGTACGCACAAAGCACTTTATTTTCTCACACATGCTACACGTATGTAGTCTGTGCGGGGATACGGTATAAACAATGAAAAAGCATAGAGTTGGAGATGATCTGACATGGAGGAGCAGAAAGTGAATTTTTTTTCCCTCCTTGTTTCTCATAGACCGACTTTTACA